TTGCAGTTTTCTGTCTTTGAACGTTCTCAGGACATCACTTCATGGTATGCTTTTTTTTTGTGGGGTTGAAAAGAAACCCCTTAGATTGCCCAGATAGTCAACATCTTCAGGTTGCAGACAGAAAGGAATTCAGTCATTTCATTGCTAATCCACTATCGATTTGTTTATATTCAAAGCCGGCCAACCATTAGCTGATCAAATACATACTTTAAACCAGTAAGAGTCTTCCAAAGTTGAGATACTTGGTTCTTCATTGATAGTATGCAGTCCAGTAGACCGAAATATGGCCTTGGATGAGAACAATGCGGGATATAACGGCATTTCGGTCGCATCTGACGAATCCTATCCCGACCGAATGAGATCCTTAGTTTGAAGTTGTACATAACAGTCCTGCATGGCACCATGATCTGCTGAAAAGCACGCCATTCCCAAGGTTTGTCCGCAATCGAACAGAAGCCTCAGAGATAAATACGCCTAATGTCTCTTCCCCCAACGTAGCCATGCAATCCAAGTCCAACACCATCCAGAAAGAAATAATCCGATCAAACTTTCCACAAATGGCACAAGCAGACGCCCCAGCAACAGATCCCGCAGTGTACGACACGTACAAGGACAAATGGTCTACTCTCCCCGACTCCGCAGACGCATGGCTTGCACGAGCGCGTGAAGTAGCTGAAGTCCTTGCCCAGGACGCAGCCGAGAGAGATCAAGACAACAAGTCTCCTCGCGCAGAGGTCGCGTTACTGAAGCATTCCGGTCTGTTGAAGCTTCTTGGGCCGAAGAAGTACGGCGGCGGAGAACAGCCCTGGCATGTCGGCTACAAGGCCATCCGGGAAGTGGCCAAGGGCGACGGGTGCGTATCAACAGCAAACATGCGAACAGCGGCTAACTGTATAACAGGTCCATTGGCATGCTGCTCGGGTATCATCTCCTCTGGTCGACGACCGCCAATGTGGTCGGCACACCCGAACAAGCCGATCGTCTAAAGAGACTGATCATTACGAACAACCTCTTCGTCGGAGGAGCAGTTAATCCTCGAGATAATGACCTGAGGATAACAGCGGATGGCGACTCGATCGTCTTCAATGGATTCAAGCACTTCAATACAGGAGGTGTGGTTTCCGATCTTACGGTTCTGGAAGGTGTGCTAGACGGAAGCCAGGACCACATATTTGCTATTGTGGAAACCAACCAACCCGGTATCCAATTCGCGCACAACTGGAAGAATATTGGTCTGCGGTTGACGGAATCCGGAAGTGTCAAGATTGAGAATGTGCGTGCACCATGGACAGATGCATTGGGATGGGACGCAACGAGCAGAAGACCACTCGCAGAGGTTCTCACCATTCCCTTTGCCTCTTTGTTTCTGCCTACGTAAGTGCTACATGGCTTCTTCCGCACGATCTTACTGACCATATTAGTATTCAACTGGTGTTCAGCAACTTCTACCTCGGCATCGCCATTGGCGCACTTGAATTCGCAGCCAAGTATACTACCACATCCACACGTGCCTGGCCCTACGGCGGGGACAACAAAGAGGCAGCCACGGATGAGTTCTACATCCTTGAACGGTACGGAAACTTCTTTGCGCACCTCCGTGCTGCAGAAGCGCTAGCCGACAGAGCAGGTGATCAACTTTCAGCGCTGTACGAGCGTCATTCAGACGATCGGTCCAAGGTGACCGCTGAGGAACGAGGGGAGGTGGCTGAATGGATCGCAAGTGTAAAGGTGGTCACTACGGATGTTGGACTCCGAGTCACGTCTGGCATATTCGAGGTGACTGGGGCGCGAGCGACATCGCTCAAGGTGGGACTGGACAGGTTCTGGAGGGATATTAGAACGCACACCTTGCATGACCCCGTGGCGTACAAGAACCGGGAGCTCGGCAGATATGTGCTGCTGCATGAGTACCCGGAGCCTACATGGTATACCTAAGCCCTACTACTCGACCTTTGGTGCAAGCAATGGAGGTTGCTGGATATAGGTCTATGCTAGCCTGAAAGTCTCAACCCTGAACGGGCCGGATGAGGATCTGACCATCTGGACCTGCTCTCCCTGCAAGATCGAATCATGATGAAGATATGTATCGCCGATGAGTAACCACTCTCTTCCCCACGGTCGTAGAATAAACGGCAGACTCCCCCCAAATAGTACGACTACCTGATCCCCTGGCTGCATCATTTGCGGACCAAGTCCGACGAGCCGTGATCTCGTTCTGTACATTCGCCTATTGCGCGAATAGACCCAAACAGGATGCGTATATGCATTCTCAACACCAGGGAGGTCCGCTAATTGTCCCTCTGGGACTAAATCGGGGTAGGGTAAGCCCTGTGCAGGGGGATATGCTTGCAGCCACGCCAAAATGTTACTCTTTACCTGCCTTCTCAAGGCGTCCCAAGCGCCAAGCCTTGAGTCCTGCCAGGAGGCTTGGTGGTGGAGGAACATGCCAATCACGCCCAGTATGCCGGCACCGATCGTTTGCAAGAAAGCAACGTCTAGAGCCTCGCTTGTCCCCGTGTACTGAAAGCCGGGACGCGGAAATAACGGAAAGTTGAAGAGCTGAGACCATATCGCTTCTATTGGCGGCTTTTCTGTGTACTTGTAGTGAATAAGGTCGCTCACAGCGTCAACCAGGTCAACACGATAACCGTCCAGCTGGAGGACATCTGGCTCGACCGATGGGCCATTGAGGGGTGAATCGTGGAGCTCCGCAAAATACCGGTAGTGGCCATGCATTGGAATACCCGCGAGACACAAACCAGGTGGTAAGAGAGAGACTGAGCGTTCTTCATGCAGCTTAGGAACCCAGGATGGCCAATTGTCCTGTAACGGATGGGCAGTATGCTGTACGAGCGATAATATGTCGAGCTTTCGTGGCTGCTGGCGCACGCTGAACCTTGTAAAGTCTCTGTAGACTTCTCGCACAGGCTTGGAATAGTTTGGTCTCAGGGCAGCAGGCCTGAGGAAGTTGATATCCGGCCCGAGTGAGTTCACCTTGTCCGAGAGCCATATCACCCCGCGCCGAAGGAGCGACAAGGCCCTCGAATTATGCGCACCTTCGACTTGGGTCAGTGCCAGAACAGGCTGCAATCCTTCGTCCGAAATTCCGAGCAGAGCAAAGATTCGATCGCGGGGATCGGTGCATTTGAAGTTGCGGATCCCTCCAAGTAAAGTGAACATCTTGCCGACAGACCCCTCCACGAATTGCCGTTTTCGCAACACCAAGATCTTCCGTCTGGCAAGGACAAAGGCACTCCAAAAAGACACCGTACCGTCAGGATAATCCAGGCCCTGAGCATCCAGGACAACCCCGCGGAAGTTACAGACATAGGTCTGCAGCGAGAGCAGATCAAAGAAATCCATCTCGTGCTGACCGCATTTCGCGATGCAGCGTTGCGAGGCGACGACCTCCTGTATACACCACACGCGCTCAAAGTACTGCCCTGCCAAAAGACGAGCCAGTGCATCAGTCACCCGTGGCTCTGCCGCCATCGTCTCGAACATGATAACGTCCGCTTCAGTCTTCATCGAGTAGACTGTCCGCCCATCGGACGCACTCGTCGCGGTTTCATTCATATCCCTCTGCAACTCGGACAATCTCCTCGCAAAATCGAACGCTTCTGCCGTTTCGGGCATACCAGGGCCAAGCCATGCAATGACCGCGACCGCATGCTTATATACAAGCCGCATGTAACCCACTTGACGCTCTCGCTCTCTCATATCCTCCTGATTGATGCAGATCGCATCGACCCACAGCCTGCGATGAGCATGAGGGAGACGAAGATGGCGAAGCGCGATGTCGAGGTTTAGGGTTATGCTGAGTTGGCCATTACCGCAGTAGAGGGGCATAGGCGCCCGCTCGCTGCCCCATACATACGACAGGGCTTCAGGAGGCCATGGACAACGCTCGATATCAACAATGTCGAGAGTACAATATAGTGGATCGTACTCTGCGCCAGGATAGAGAGTCAAAACCCGTGTGAATGCGGGACTCGGGCTGAGTTCGTCGATAGGAGGCAGAGGTATATATTGGTACCGGGCCATCTTGCGGTCAAAATAAGAATGTCCTCAAGGGGCTAAAGGAGGGAATCAAAAGTTTGTTAAAGAGAATGTGGGGTTGAGGCTGTGGAGGCTAAAATTGATCGGCTGATTCAATACGAGAACGCCCGGCCATCACGGCATGGTGGTTAGCCTATTGGTCGAACAAGATAGGTAGCAGGGTACCTAGTGATATTGAACGAGAAGATGAGCAAGGCCGAAACCCTGTGATATAGGTTAGGTTCGGAGAGCTCAAATATGCCATCTTAAAGAGCTGCTGTCGAGAAGACATGAAGCGAAGCTAAGCTAGGTTTGATCAATGGTTCGCAGCGAGATATATAGTTCAGGCTCGTATATATAGGTTCAGAATTACCTTTTAATAGTAAACCCTAACTGCTTACTCCTGGAACCAACATCAAATTGGGTTGGATTTAGATGGCAATACCTGCTTCTCAGGATGCAATTCGAGAGAGCATCTCAATAATTGTGGCATTAGAGGTCACTTGATGGATTAAAGACTGCATTAGGCAGGTTCAAGGATAGAAACGACGTCAGAATAGCATTGATATATGTAATCGTGGCCTCTATATCCCTGTTCAACATCAAAGCCAGCTCATATCTTTTCCGGGTGACCGTTTACTACTAAAGCACACTACAACGACCACATAATATTTGGTTACATTGCCCCATATGGGTAAATGCACCCCCAGTGACCAACTATATGTCTCTCCCATGCAAGCGCCTTGGCTAGCCCTTTGTTAGCTACCTTGGCCTTGTCTTCTCCACGAATTAGAGACCCTTTCCGCCTAACGAGTCATGCCAAGGTCTGTTGGATGCGCCAAACAAGGCTGGTTTCCCGAGTTCCCCTGAAGGCTGAATCTGTCCCGCAACGAGACGGACAAGGTTAATACTCCTTCGTGATCACCGCTCGCTTTTTCCCTTACTTTCCTCCTTACAAACATGCGAGAGGGCAGTTCTCATCAAGATGGAAGTTAATAGCGCCGTTGCCCTTCGGCGACTGTCGCTGAGCACAGTATCTAGCCCCAGCTATCAAGCGGCTGAGTATTCTGAGAATGATCTCTCCCCGGACTCTGCCACGTCTCACAATGAGGAGCCGCCGGCATATTCGCGCGCACCTCCAGCAACCCAGGTTCCGGGACGAGGATACAGTACAACGCTTCATCGTTCGCCAGGTGTTTTGCTGCCCACCCTTCTGTATGCAGCGCTGGCAATCTATGCGTGGGTTGCGATCGTCTACCTTTCCTTTCGTCCCATGAACGCCAAGTCGTGGGGGCGCTTCTAAAAAGGCATTATTCCTATCCCGAATCCTTGGACTACGTGCGGAATGAAGGTGTTTATCGCTCTGCCGTGGTAATCAGGTCCCTCATCATTACCATCACTCTCCCTTGGCTTTCCGCCGTATGCGCGAGTGCAGCGGTCATCTATGTACAGAATCAAAAGACGGCCGACAGCCTGCGAATGCGCCAAGTCACGAATCTGGCGGACCGTCGATGGCTAGATATCAGCCTGTACAAGGCCCTTGTCTCTGGAGGATGGAAGAAGCATGGCAGTACATTCATGGCGTTTGCCATAACCCTTCATCTCATTGCCGGCTTGACCTATCCCATCCAGTCAATCTTCATCGAAACAAAGACGATCCGTGTCCCCGAGTCCATGGACAGGGTGGCTACCATAGCTGATCTTCCCAGGTTTAGGTACCGTGACACAGATACCTCGCTGATAGGCAGTGACATCTTGACGACTCGTCGAGCTCTCAGCGACGCGAACTCCATCAACCTCCAGCCATTCTTGTGGCAAAACACGTCTGGGATTCAATTACATACACTGAATGACATTCTATCCTTGAACGACTCGTTCTATGCTCAACTTCCGACTGGATTCAACACGGGCGTACTGCGACAGTTTGCGCCTCGTGTGAACTCTAGTGCCACGTATGAGACCATCACTACCAGCGAATTTCCGTCAAACTGTGACAGTATTCCTGGGTCTTTTTACTCCAGATACTATTCCGAATACACAGTATACGAATACCATAAAAGCTGGGGGTCACGGCCTGCATGCCTGCAAACCTGACTAAATCACAGTGGCAGAAGACGCGAGATCGTCAGGAGTGAGTTCTCTGAAACCCTCTATTTGAATTTTACCAGCACACAGGGATACTCCGGCGACACGCCGGCTGACGGCAAGCTGTACCGAATCACGGTCAATACCACAGCTGGATACTTCGAGCTGCCAAACTACATGAATGAAGGAGTGCCCGGTCCACTCTTGGAGCAAGACCCCGTTAGCCTCTGCGGCGCAGACTGTCGCTACCAGACCTTGGACCCTCATATGAGCACCAACTGGATCCGTCGCGATAACGTCACCGCCACAGACACCCTCGACACAGCATCCTGGGACCCAATCGCAACAGCCAAGAAAGGACCCCTTCTCACAACGGCACTCGCAATGTTTGGTCCAGGCTCTTTCCTGGACACATTCGCTGCGAAGCTCTCGGCCATCAACGACAGCTTCAAAAGAGCCAACTTCACGGGAGATGTCTGTCTCGACGGCCCCCCACTCCTCAACCTGATCCTGTATGAATCATACGGCCCCAGGCGTTACTGCCTAGATGCTTACGTGGGGACTCAATACATGGGCAGCTACGCGGACACCCTCATCCATCAGTGGCTCGGCTACTTCCTCGAGGCCGAGGACCGATTCCCCATGCTCTTCACAGCAGCAGCCTTTCTATCCAACAAGCAACTGCTGGAGTCAGTGACTGGCCAGTGGTGGATACACCAGGACCTCGGAGCCGAGACGACCATCCCAACCATCTCCCCCTCAGGGATAATCGTCGGGTCGGTCCTGATGGCCCTATACATCATCCCAATGTTGGGACTCGCATTTTACGCTGCTTGTTATCCCCGGTGGACGGAGCGGTTAGACTCTTTCACGATGCTGCGCTTCGGGGCCGCGATTGGCGATAAACTGCTCCCTTTGCGGGTGGCCCGGAAAGCGGACCAGATTCCGGTCCTGGATGAAATTCCGGGTGTAGTGATGGATGTGTCTATTCCGGATGGAGATGAGGTTCTGCCGATGGGAACTTTGGGACTTGGGGATGGACGGCCTTTGCAGGGACAGCGTCGGTATGAGGCATTTAAGGAGAGCGATGAGCTTTTGACGCAGGTAGAGCGCAGGACGCTGCGGTCGAGAATCAGCGATGATTCGGTAGAGGAGTAGTCACTGCGAAGAGGTGCTTCATCTGGGAATAACTGCGTGTATATAGGTACATGTGTGGGATATGTCCAACCAGCTGTCCTACTCCAGATGTCATTGGAGAACTTGTAATCTAGCTACAACTGAAAACGTTCAACAACTTGTACGATCGCACCGTCGGACGTGGTCGCTCTTTGCCACATACTTAGGTGCAGCAAACCTCAGAATCCATCCTATACCTCCGATTCCTGCAAGTGTCTGTGCCAGTGTTTGGAAGCTCTGGCTGGAGGCTTCCGCAATGAGAATCGACTTTTCGTCATTTGCAGGCACAGGACCCAGCTCAACTATATTTGGACCGCAAGGTCGCAGTATGAAGGGCGAGGAGAAATACGTACTGACTCCCAACCATCCCCGACATGACACTCAGACGTTCTCTATGTAGTGTTAGCAGACTTGGTCAGCGTGGCATAGTGATAGCAATCCACTGGCGATCATCGGAAGAATTTCTTGATGATGTGGAACATCCATGAAGGAAATCTTCAAAGGGCAAAGCTCATCCATGCAAGCGTCACTGTGTTGCTGTCCTTGATAATCTTCTCTTCTGGACTAGCCTCGAAGGACTCCTGCCCACCAGGCCGGTAAAAGGACCAAGGGTCTGATTGAACCGAGATTCGGTATACTTCACGGCCCTTTACATATTGGTCATTGTTGGAAGTGGTGATATGCAATCCTGTGGCCGTCATACAGCCATTGGAACTTCACAAGCGGGACGGCCATGTATGCGCGACTGTATCTCGCACTGTGGGAATGTCGCAGTAGACGCTATTGTGTGACATTGAGATCCGCCCCAGACAAGTCCTTACTTAGGAGCATGTGCAACGTGAGCCGTTGGGAAGTTACACTCGCTGGTACTTGGCCTGGAGGTATTCAAAATCCTGTATAAGGTACACTGGTCTTGATCCAACTATTCCTTTAGATACAGAAGGAGAAGAAACAGTGTGCTCAAAGGTTGAATCAGCGAGACCGCGAGATTACTTAGGAACTATATGCTTCAAGATACAGGCTTAATTACGTCGTATGATACAACTGCTTGTGGCAGCAGCATCTATGTTAAATATACATCGTGCTTAAGTAATCTAAAATTTTGTCCCTAATTTCCCTAACTCCGTCCCTCTAGCTTTTCCGACCAAATATACAAACAACCTCTGCGCCAATTACCACCTTGTGCTATGCTGTGACCCGCAAGTTTGGTGATTCTGGATTATGGCGCACGACAACATGATTGTCAAAAAATGTTCAACAAGGGGGAAAAAAATTAAGAATGCGATGAGCTGAAACAACATAATGAGGTAAGAGGAGAGGCCGAGCGGCTTTCCCAAGGGGCCAGCTTCCATGGACAGAAGAGCCAGGTCGAGTCGAGGAGCTTGACGCAGCAGGATTCCTATTAGGACGGCGTGCAAGATGTTGATAACCATTCGTCAAAATGAACTAGACCTCTGCCGTCTGCGCAGAAACCACAGAGTCTCTTCTCTTATCCTCGGCGCCTCCTTCATGAACGGGCTCCGGGCTCTGATCTCCTTGCCCCAGATGAAGACTGCCACAGGGGCAAAGGCCAAGGCCAGCGACACAAAGCCCAGTAGCGAACTGGCCCACTGGAAACCGAGATTGGTGTACATGCTCTGCGCCGCCAGGGGGAGGAAGGCGATGAAAACATTCTCACCCAGCCCGATAGCGCCCACGGCACTTCCGGCGAACTTGCTGTAGGCATCGACCAGGTAGTTGGCAATGCTCACTACGACAGAGGTGGTGCCAGCGCCAACCATGGCCAAACTGATGGCAGGAGCGATCCACGGGGTGAAACTATACGAGGTCCAGGCATAGACGAACATTCCGCCCGTCACACCAACCAGACCTCCGATCAGGGCCTGATACAGACGGGCTTCCGGAATCTCGGTTCCAGGCAATTCGGTGTTTCGGAGCGCTGAGTTATAGTACCACCGGTTGGTGACTAGACAGAAAATCCACCCGATGATTTCTCCAATGACGACGGCGGCCTGGACATAACCTGCCTGGACCGCGCTGAAGCCATATAATTCCGCAAAGACCTGCTCGGCCGACTGAGTGAACAGGTAGATTGTCCCCAAGCTAAAGGCAGACCACAGGGTCGCGACAAAGACAACCGATTCCGTGCAGAGCATATACAAAGGTCGCTGCACGCTCTTGAGAGCGACCTGGAGGAGTGAGGTGGTGTCCAGCTCATCCTGCGTGTAGGTTTTCTTCCCTTCTTTGCGCAGCTTCTTTGCGCGAGCCCGCAGAATAGCCGAGCCACGGGTCTCTGGCATGGCGAATAGGAACAGCGGGAAGAAGAAGCCGGTCCAGATGAGCTGGAGGTAGCCGATCCACCGCCAGGAGAGAAATTGGAAGATGGATGCGCCGATAACGGGTCCCAAACTGCTGGAGACCAGGTAGGTGGTGATGTACATACTCATGGGCACGGTTCGCGCCCGGTTGCCGACAAACACGTTGGAGATGATTCCAGCTACCGTGTTGGCAAGGATTGCAACACATCCTCCAGAGAAGAAACGCGTGACAATCAGAGTCGCAAAGTTCTGAGCCACACCGGAGGGGATCAAGAAGCAAATGTGAATCAGGTAGACGATCAGGAAGACATAGCGGATGCCAAAATCTTCCATGACCGGTAGCAAGAACAAGGAGAAGAGGGCGCCGCCAATACCCCAGGACGTGACTGGCCAGTAGGAATGCGGGAAGACTGACTCATCGATGGCATAGTGTGCCGTGGTGATGATAGTACCATTCATCAAAGCGATGAATGTTGCAAACAGGCCTATCCCGACGACCCCCCATTTCTTCCAATTGGGCCAATTGACGGGGTTCTCGGGGTCATTGGGACCATCCCACGTCAAGACGACGGTTTCGGGATCATAGCATGGGCCTGCATAGCATATCAGTTACTGTTGACGGATCCTCGAGAAAGCTCTTTCGACTTACCCTTGGGATGTGAGAAAGGGGCCGGCGTCTTGGTGGCCTTGCAATTGTCGATGGTGATCGGCATTCTGATAAGAAATGGAAGGGTATGATGGGATCACGGGGTAGAAAAATAGTGCGCCTATATATATAGGAAGGTAATAAGCCGCAAGAGAGGTCGTTTGCGGTATTATTTATTCGGTGGACAGCCTAAAGCCAATGCCATTATGTTTACAGTGGTCGGCGAGTTAATGGAGAAAAAACCTGCACTTATATCTATAATGCTTCTCAATTTATTGCCTGACAAAGGTTAGAACAGTTTTACTTCCTCTCTTTTTTCTTTCTAGCTTCAAGGTACTAAGCATGGATCCGGATCTGTAGTCTGTTTCTTCTACCACAGACTTGGTAAACCTACGGATCGCCCCCTACGTACCTTAAAATCTCATAAGATCTGCCAAGCAAGTCTTGGCGGCGTAAACTGCCCAAAAGGGAGTCCCATATGCCGTCTTCCGAATGTCAAATTCTTCAGACATATTCGATCCTCTTCAAATAATATTCCAATTTTGGCATTTGTCATGCTTACTGTCTTGAAAGGAGATGCCGTTACCCGCGTCTGCGAGCATGATGGCGACCCGATCGAGCCGGGCGATTACTCTGCCCTATGAGGCTCACCAGTGGAAGTCTGCCAAGATTCTGCAGATATAGATCTTATTAACCAAAGCAATAGCTGGTTGGATTACCATGCACACCTTTATCTCCTTATTTTATTCACTCACCCCTGGGTTATGGACAAAGGGGCGTGTCGCCGCGCACAGAGCATCAAATGTACAAGTTGTTAGCGTTCAAAAGTGCCTGGTTCTTGTACAAAACTACAGGTATAGGTCTAGTTATAGAATAAGTTGATAGTTACAAGCAGTTGAATAAACAGGCCTCCCATGACAAGAATGATCTTGACTTCTATTTCATCATTGCCAATAATGCTATCTCACATATGTTGTTACATTGTAGTCCAGCTCTTTATGCCTTCTCAAGTCGTTGGTAGATCACAGCTCCCGCAGTAAGCCAAGGAGCAATCCACAGGCAACCCAATCCAACGTAGGAGCGCACCTTGAAGTACCTCCAACCCGTCAATGTGCCCGCCAGAACCGTAGCCGCAATGATAGCCTTTTCTTCCAGAGTCCGGACTCCCGGTCTCGACCATTGAATGTTGAGGAGGGCTGGTATACTGGTCGGCGGGTTTGAGGAAACACTGAGTAGCGGATGAGAACTCACCAGAGGCAGCCAGCAGAGCATTTACCATATCCCAGGCAGTGGTCGCTGTGGCCTTTCCGAGTGCATGCTTTTCGTCCGAGGGGATTGCAGCAATGGCCGGGTCGACTTCCTTGATCCCGAACATGATGTGTCCAGGGATGGAAATGGCGGTGGATATATATATGAATGAATGCCGGGAGAATTCAGCCAGATTTATCAGCTGAGTGTAGGAGCTCTACCAGATTATAAATTATTGTAGGCAATCATGCGTCGCTCCTGGCTGTGGGCTGTGCCTAATCCATCAAAGTTATTAGCAATTCAACTAGTGATCCTGATGCCAGTGAGGAGAATCTTTTACAGACCTTGAGACTACTGGCCAGTCTTGGCGAATTTTGATGCCCCTCTGGACAGTGCCAAGACTTTATCTTATCGACAAGCGCGGAGTGCTGCTTGATTGGATACTACTGTTTTTAGATGGCTCTGGTCATCCGGTGCTTATTCAGCAAGTCACCCACCAATGTGCAGATTAAGAAGCAACCCGAGCAGAGGCTACAGCAGCCAATCAGCGCTGATCATGCTTTAGCCAAGTGGCCAACCAACAACAATAAACATCTAAAACAATGAAGGTGAGAAGCTAATATAAAGTGTCTGACCACTTTATTGAGAGAATTAAGTGCAGATAATCCCATTGGTTTTCAACCAGTAATCTGTAGATATGAGACGATGCTTAGCTTTCTATAAACAGAATAGCGCACGGACATTGAAAATTGCCCCCAGGATTATCAAATACTCCGATTTGACAATCTACTGGTATTGTGGAGCATCAAGAACTGCCCCTGACTTCCTGGACAACTCTGCCACCGTTTTGATCCGACATCGAACCAACTTGCCACAGTCGCTCCTGTACGTGGCCGCACCACCCTTCTCCCGCGCTGTCGTGGTCGATCATTAAGATATCAGCCCGCCATGGATGTCGCTCTCGAGCTTCTCGACCCCCTCATTTTGGACAGGGCCTATGCCTGGTTGCTGCCCTCCGATCGCAGTCTCCCCGATCCGACGTCGCGATGGGACCGCGACAACATCTATCGCCAAGTCATCTCGATTCTCGTCATCACGCAACTCGGCGCGACCTCCCTCTACCTCTTCTTCAGCGCGCTCTCCTACTACTTCATCTTCGACCGACGGCTCGAGTACCATCCGCGCTTCTTGCCGAATCAGGTCCGCCAAGAGATCAAATCATCGCTGTCCGCCATTCCCTTTATCAATATCCTCACCCTGCCTTGGTTCCTGGCTGAGGTCCGTGGCAAAAGCTTGTTGTACCGCTCGGTCAGCGACTATGGCTGGCCCTGGATGGTTATCTCGTCCATCCTCTACATGGCTTTCAATGATATCGCCATCTACTGGATTCATCGCCTAGAGCATCACCCCAGCGTGTACAAGTACATTCACAAGCCACATCACAAATGGATCGGTTGGTCTTCACCAGAACTTCGCTGTACCAGTAGGTGTATGCTGACGATATATAGTTCCCACGCCATGGGCTGCGCTGGCATTCCACCCGCTCGATGGATATGTGCAGTCTCTGCCATACCAGTGAGTATCCCGTACCAGCGATTCTTCAAGGCCATCCTCCTAACAATCAACAGTGCCTTTGTCTTTATTTGCCCCATGCAGCGACACCTGTACATGGTTCTCTTCGGTGCGGTCCAGATCTGGACCATCTTCATTCACGACGGCGACATGATTTCGGGCCATTGGACGGAGAAATTCATCAACAGCCCCGCGCATCACACACTGCACCATATGTACTTCACCGTCAACTATGGGCAATACTTCACCTGGGCCGACACCTATTTCGGGTCGCACCGGGCCCCGGAGCCCGCGCTGGATCCGCTCCATGATGCTCTCAAGGTGATGCGGGCGAAAGGCCTCGTGGATGAGCAGGGCAACCCAATCAAAAAGCCAAAGGGGGAGTGAAGCCCTTCGATATCCCATGGGAATGGATGTCTTTGGTATATATGCATATGACGATTAGACGAAGAGCCGTCTCCTGTACAACCAATCTAGAGCAATACTTAATGTTAATGTATATATAGACGCAAGTTTACTGGTCTCAGTGCTTTCGAAAGGCGGCAGATTTGTCGGGATGATCAAGATTTGGTTATGCATCGAGTTACCCATATGATTCGCTCCGAGCTCGCTTCTACCTCAAGAATGTCATGGCTCGGATGTAATCACTCGAAGTGGAAACGAGATCTGCAGATGCGCGCATCGATCGAGTAGTGTCAGTTCTTTCAGTGATGATGGAAGTAGGCTAAGAAGCGGTTTAGCTGAAGTTCTATACAGCACCAACTACAGCCCTACATGTAGTGCCTATAAATATCATCTCTATCCACTGATCATTCACTCCTTGAAGCCCCAGTCTCTGTTGTTAAACTCACAACCCCCACTGCGTTCCGTTATTGGAAAAGCATGCCCATAAGCTTCCCAGCGTGTCTGGTTCACACCCAAACGCTTGATGTCCTCCAAACTCTTAAATTCAAACAAGAATACAATCTGCTGATTTATCTATCATTTCACGCAGGAAATTAGAATTGTTTCTAAAAAATACATGAGATAGCGGAAACCGAAGTTTCCAGCAGGGAAGAAAGGAGGAAGTTAAGGCTAGGCTGGGTTAAGTCTCTAGGGCTCCTCAGTTTTCCAACTTACAACAGAATTGCAATCAAATCCTCCAGTTAACGAGAGGATGTATGGTATTTTGGTTTTCAAGTCAAGGTAAGGGTCGCATACTTAGAGTGGCACTATTAGTAGGTAGGACGAGCCAGTATGAACAGAAGAGATGCATTTATAAAGTCTACCGTGAATTTGGGCCCTTTCCTTACCAAATGCTTAATGAATGCAAGTAAAAAGGGAAAATTGGAATCTTACTTCCTTGAGAGTCTCCATGGAAACATCTGGCTTGATATCCCAGAATTCAACAAATGTCCACGTCATTTTGCACTGCTATCCAGTAGCACACAGGATCGATCTTCCTGTGAATGTTCAAACTTGGAAGGCCATTAATGATAAGGGGAGGTCCTGCTTAGATAGAGTAGGAAGTCCTATTCTGTGTGGCCATCTACTGCATACTATTGGCAGCACTATAGTTTGTTCACTCAGCCAGCCACATTGATTCCTCGCTCAACATGGAGCTGGCCAGAAAATGGGCATATAGACGGCAAGCCCACTGTGGCTGAAGGGGACATCACTTGACAAACTATTCCAGCTGCGTCATTCAGCCAGCATTGAGATACTAGCCAATAGCGTCCTAGTGTGATGGATTAAGCCAGGGTCATTTGTTCATTACAACAAACACTACGAAGTACAGCAAGCAGAGACCCAGAAAACGGCCTTTGTGGAATGTGTTTTTGGGCTTTTCTGCCAGCATTCAGCAAAATCCCGATTAGATATCTCGCGGCTGAAGAAGTGGTGGTTAATGATGATTCTTTAACTATACTGTGCGTGAGGGTTTGGAGGGTGTTATACGTATATCCGCACCACTTCTGTATCAACCTGTGAACCAAGGCTTAGTAAAGATGGCGAGTGCTTATATAGCATGGACATCGAATAGTTACAATTGCCCATAGCTTGAGGTAAGTGAGTACACAAGGAAAGTTTGCCCCGAAGGAGATTGATTAAGCTTATGCTGCAGCCAAGCTTGATGACGCGGCTTTGGGAGAAAAGAATCATTCAACTGCACTAGGGAAGGAATTATGGTATGACCGAGTATAGCTGCAGAAAATTCATTCGCTCGGAGTCTCTGTTTCTGTTGTGGCTAGACTCCAGAGTCCAGACTCCGGAGATTTCAGCCGAGCTATAATGACAAGTGGGTCATAACTGCTTAGCATGGGATAAGCATGCAAGAAAACGGGGGAGAGTCTGTGCAGCCACTTAGGATTGATTTCGAATGTCGGAGTTGGATAGACTGTACGCCTTAGTGCTTATCACTTGCTGACCACCATCATTTACTTTTGGCGGGTGCTTGATTGTAGCACAGGATTGATGATATAAAGGCGAAGGGCCACGTCCAGCCGTCCTGTTTTCCTTTCTCAAGGAGCAACCGTCATCATGTACCACACAGCCCTTGCGTTGCTGACTGCCCTAAGCGCAGTACTTGTCCATGCCCAGGGATATAGTAAAGAGTGTTCTGATATCTATCTCAATGAAGGTTGGCTAGTTGCAACCTGTCCAAAGGATGACGGCAATGGCTACATCACTAGCAGCGTCTATCTGCCGAACAAGATTACTAACGATAATGCTGTGCTCGAGGTGAGTGCTCGACTGTCACCTTCTCCTGTCCTCTTATGGAGACTAACACAAAGTACAGTGGGCTATCGAGTACGTCTGTCTTGCTGTTCACCCGCATCTACTGACAGATTCAGCGGACTTTACTGGGGTTCCTGCAAGGACTGCTCGCTGACAAACGGTGGTTCAACTTTGCAATGCTCCTGCAGAGGCGCACCATCCCCGTACCGCAACACAACATTGAACCTAGGTAAGGTCCTCCGAACATACGTTGATGTGACCACTGACAGCTTTGTAGAGGAACATATCGCCAACTATGACGGGCACCTCCTTTCCAACCTCACCGGGGCCGTCATCACTGTTCCATCAGATTCCTCATATCCCGTTCCCTCGGAATTTGAGGTGGAGCTTGACACGTCAACACTGAACAACTCGTGCGCCACATATGGAGCAACGATCATACTGAATCGCCCAACAAGCTGCTGGTATCTTAACATCGGAGTAGAGTACTCCTGGGCAAACGGCAACTCGGTGAACAACCAAGGCTGGGAGATTGTGGGGTACTCGGATAAAGATTGCACAAGTGACCCAGTTGCGACCTTTACACAGGATAACCAGGGCACTTGTCTGACATTTTCGACTGGTGTCAAAGGCTTCTCGGTGACTCCCTTATGGAATGCGGACTAAGCTAGGATGGATCAGGGACATAGCCTCCCTATGATCGTTCTCAGAAGTCGGAGCTCTGTGGTTCTAGCTTCACTGACCTCCTACCTAAACGATGGACAATACTACCGAAGTGAGGAACAATACCACTATCTAAGATGAGAGTTACTGCCGCTGTTTTACCACGCTCTATCACGTAATCCCACTGGGCTGAGCAGCTCAGATCTCCACTATCTTCAGAAGTTGAAACAGATGAAAGGAATTCCTCTGCGATATGGAAGAAGCCTACCACATCTGGTTGCCTTACTCAGTACCCCACAGGAAGACAGCTGGTATAGACAAAACAGAATTCTCCTAAAAGCTCCCACGATGGTCTCAGACAAGCCGAGGAACGAGAAGCAATAGCTACATATCCTTGTTCCATTGTCTCATTCGCCGCATCTCTGGTCTAACGCAATGTCTTGGAAACAATGGCATTGTCATTGTTTGCAACTTGAGACAACAAGCTACAAGCAGGGACATCTCCGTGGAAACACATATAAAAGTCAGTCGTCTACCACAGATGGGAAGATTCTTCCCTTAATCAAGCATCGCGGTTTCAGAGCTACTTCCCTCGATTTCTCCAGCCTTGGTCAACTCTCGCCCAACTCTTCCAACCCTATATCCTGTTGACCGGGAATACTTTGTGCGTAATGACGGTAAGTCTGACCCTTTTATACCCAAACCGTGCAATATACTAACCAACGATCTAGTCCACGAACGCCCCAGACTTGGTCACAGTTGTCGGCCACCGCACCCGGCTCCCCGCCAACATGAGAGAGGTGGCAGAAATGTGGAAGAACATCCTGGTGAAGTTCTTCTCCAACCGAGAGTATGCTCCGTTCCCCTTCCGAGACACCCACTACTACATCAATCTCGACATGAACACTCACGGCTACTTGGGCCTAGGCTCCGTGGTGCGCACCCAGGGTTTCAACGCCGGCGTGCACTTCCTCCAGGTGAATTTCACGGCAGCCCCAGCCGACGGGTCCGCTTTCTCCTGGGAGGGAAACGAGCACTTTCTGAAGCGGGAGCTGCGTCGTTCGCTGCAGAGTGTGCCTGACGAACGCAAGCGCGCCATCTATGGACTGATTGCGATTGGAACATATGTGCGCTTCCACAAGTACATGCCTGACGGTCAGTTTGCTCCTGTCACGTTTGTGGATGGCAAGCAGACGCTGCATGTCCGCGGTGACCAGGCAGTCATCCGAGAATTCCTCGCCGGCGTTAAGGAAGAGTGGATGTGATGGGGGGATAGGAATGTGGTTATGGTTGAGAACTTGTGAAGGGTAACTTATATTGTGATTTTTGTGCTTTCATGCTTTTGGGTTTTTAGAATGCTGTCTCTTGCAATGCTGATTACCGTCAAGACAGAACTACGGATAAGGATGGAAAATATTGTGTATGGAAAAATAGTAGCTGTCTCCTAAAACATGCGCTTCCACTCTCTTCGTCCCTAAGAAGCCCCACACGGTAATAGAAGCAAACCTGTCTCTATTCTCTCATGCTCTATAGAGTGTGTGCCTCGTGAACAAGGGCTACCAGACGACTTGGATCGGCTCCCATAACTTCACCAACCTTGTCCCCGTTTTTAAAGAGAACAAATGTTGGCATTGCACGGATGCCGACCTCTTGAGAAATCTGCTCATGTTCATCGACATCAACTTTGTAGAATCCGACATCGCCAACCTCGGGACTATCCGACATCTTCTCGAAGATGGGTGAAATAGCTCGGCAAGGTCCACACCATGTTGCCCAGAAGTCGATTATAATAGGCTTATCGGCGTAAATGAGTTCTTTGAATTGTTCGAACCTGCCGTGTTTAGAAATTTTAGCACTAGACAATAGTCTGGGAGGAAAGAGTATTCAACTTCACTTACGAGGTGATGGCAGTAACAGGCATCTTGTTCTGCAGGCTCTCTTCTGCAGGATTGATAAATGGATGTTGGGATAGTTTGTAAAGGATAAGGGTAAGCCAAGATAAGGAGTTTAGGAACAAGAAGAGAAATAACTTTGACCTGACCTTCCTTTTATATGGTTCCATGCAGCATTACCCCTCCTCCTCCTCCTCCTCCTTCCCCCACCTTTCAGCTGTACATGTACTTGTACTATAGTGTATCTGGCTAGGTTAGTGAAGTACTCTGCAGGGTCTCACTTCAGCCGTGTGATATTTCCTTAGCTGGAGGGATACTAGCCAGATACCTCTCAGAAATAATGACTGAGCACGCCACGCTACCTGAGAAGGGGATCCACGTCATCTTGCAGATCATCCAAGCCAGGCGCTAGGTAGGTCTCTCCACATGTTTGGAGGCCTTGAAGACTTACTAAGAAGTGGATTCCGACGATCCTGCTTGGCCTTTCCCCATCATAGAATGGTGGTATTATGCAGCGTAATAGTTTCGGTTAAAATACTAGGAGAAGGCAGCAGGGAACACCAAGGGCCAAACACTGCTTGCGCTATACAATATCAAAAGGTTGTTGTTTCTTTTTCAACCCGCTCTAGGGCATCGGATGGTCATGTAGGAAGTACGGAAATGGGAAGGTGCTCATTAGCTGGTAATCTTCCTACAACAAGGGACTACTGAGTGCCTATTAGCAAGTGTGACAATACATATAATGCTTAAATAGCCTAGGCCGCATGTCCTCCTGTCATTAATTAGAGTCTTTGAATCACTTTGCTGTCAGCTTGATAAGTCGAGCTCCCATTTCAGACGGAATAGTGACTTTCAATAAACCTTTGTTAGACAGCCATTCAATCGTCGCAGGAAGCCTGGTAGGATAAAGGATCTCAGTGCTAACAGCCCTACCACAGAGTGCTTTGACAGGCAGGTCAACGGATTCAGGACCTCCTCGTCTCCAGACGGAAAGATAATAACACTTGTAAGCATCGCCATCGCGCTGCGTCACAGCCATACCCAGTGAGAACCAATCATCATGCCACCTTGGAAGACCCAAAGGCCAAAATGCGGTTGCTGTTGACAAATCAGCCCGTATATCTCTATAAACATCCATGCCCTCTTTGAGCAAATTAAACTGCTCCGGCCGAAGAAGGTCTAAACGTCCACTTAGATGGATACGACCCAGGAGACTATTAACCACGGTCATCGCATTAAGCTCGTCATCCCACGCCGGCTGCGGGTAGGCCCATATGGCCCCTTGTTCTGGAGTAACAGCGGTAGGGAGAGCCGACGCAATGGCCGGGTAGCGCTCTGGATCTTGCTGGTCGCTCGACGACTGGAGTGCGTGGACCACCAACATGGCGTAATCCATTCGCTGGGCGCCGCTGGAGCAGTTTTCGATCAGGAGGTCAGGGTAACGATCGTGCAACTCGTTTACCCAGTGAAGGTACGCCCGGTTATGCTCTAGTTGGCCGGAGCCAGGACTTGAGCAGTTGATGTCTGTCCCTTGCGTGACATCGATATTGTAGTCGAACTTGAAGTAGCCAACGGCATATTCAGTCACAAGACGGTGGATGACTGCGCTCATGTGTTCTCGGACGGCAGGATGTCGGTAATCGAGTTGATATCGGTTCTTCTCCACGACGCGATGGCCATCCCGCTGGAAGAACGCTTCGTCTGGGAGCTGCTTTGCCACGACGCTGCGGACCCCAATGACTTCAGGTTCAATCCATAGGCCGGGAATCAGTCCTTTGTTTCGGATCTGACTCAAAAGGTTCCCGAATCCCGATGGAAACCTCTTCTGAGACGGCTCCCATAGCCCAACATCGTCCCACCAACCGGAATCATCGGCGTACCAGCCAGCGTCAATCACAAAATACTCTGCGCCTGCTTTGACAACAGGATCTACAAGCCCTAAGATTTTCTCCTCGGTGGGGTCACCCATCAAACAGTTCATGTAGTCATTGAAGATGATCGGCAATCGGTCATGGTCTCGATGCTTGCGTCTGATCTGGCGTCTGTACCGGGTAATAGCTGCAAAGGCTTTCTCGTAGTCAACCTGAACATGACACAGCGCTACAGGCACGGTAGTAAACTCCTCTCCTGGAGCGAGCCTCTCCCTCCAGTCATGCTCGGTCTCTACCGGCCCACCAGCAGCTAGATAAATGCTGTCCTTCCAGTCTCCTATCTCCCATCGCCACGAGCCATTGTTCTCGACCTGCCAGAGCCAGGTATCTTTGCCGTTGACATGCTTCAGAAGCCCCATGGGAAGATGTCCTTCTGTGGAAAAGGTGCCGCGGTTGGATACCGAATAGTGCCCCAGACTTCCCCAATGCTCATCAGGCCGTCCATAGACACCACAATCATCAACTCCAAGACTGGGCAGGTCGTGTTCAACCCACTGGGCTTCTCGGAACCACGAGTTCTTTGGTACAGAGAGCGTATACTCGTGCCACCATCTCTCTGAACCCGTCGACAACCCACCAAGGACCAGCGATGTGAGCTGCGTGACGGCGAGATCTTTGTCACCACCGTTCTGGATGGTCACCATCGCACGTAGCACGGGGAATCTCTCGTAAACCGTGAGGTGCGAGGTCACCAGCAGCCCGGAAACACCATCCTTCAGTCGAACATGGAGTGTCTGGCTGTCTGCAGCGGTATCAATCTCATGGGACTGATACCGCAGACGAGCGCCGACATAGCTCCCCACGAGACTTTTGGAGGACTTGTTTCTTTCGGTTCCTTCTCCGGCCAGCCTCACCTCTACCAAGGGCGCATACGAGTCACTGAAGTTCTTGAACGCGGGGGTCGGCGAAGTGCCAGGAAGAGGCAGCACCTCTTGTAAGAAAGCTGCCCCATCCTTGTCAATACGGACTTTGACTCGAAGAGCCTGGCTTTCGAGTGATATTGTTTGAGTCGACATGTCAGGATTGACCAGTCTAGTTACTGGGGTCTCCAGGATGTCCCTGACATGGGGAATCGTATTTAAAGAGGGGTAAATATCCGCTGGGCAGATCCCGGCTAATAATGCGCCAATAGCGTTAGTCGGTTCATTTAGCATCGTTCGATAGGTTGATGTTATAGGACTAACTCTTTCAATAGAATGTAGGATAGTACACGCATTGGCCTTTGCGATCAGTATCTGGCGGCTCGATTAACGGCCACGGCCGTAGTTGCAGGATTTCGATGGATATCTTGTACAAGTCTAACTATGTACAGTTCTGGGTATATTCTTTCCGCATATACCAAATATCCTCCCCCAGTGAGTGCTACATCTCATACCCCTGCGACAAAATTACTGGAAGCGTTGTCTACCGTACGGACATGGTTCTCTGAAAGGAGAATACCGTCGCCAGCAGTTCCATCAGGAGACATATGCCGCTGCTCATGGTCCGCGTCTTTGCATCTTCCCAGGAGAAAGGTGCGGATCCGCGTGGACGGAGAATCAGTAGGACTGTCCCTGTTACTCGAGACAACACGGCTGGCTATGTGCCAACGGAGCGTAATCAAGGTCTTGAGTGAGGGTAGACATGATATGAATATTGCAACGCAGACTTCTACCGCGGACCAGTTGAGCGGAGCGACTAGAAACCCTGAATGGTTCGTTAGTCGAACCGAGCCTCTCCCAAGGAGCTAGGGGACTTACATGTATGGTCTGGACTGAAGTTTTTGATGTACGTCACGCGAATGATGCTCGTCACGCAGACTCTGAATATTTGGTCAGTAACAGCATTCGAGCAGTTCAAAGATGACATACAGTAACCCCAGCGCGAACATTAGGATAACCACGAACTTCTGGAGGCCACGAACCCGGAGCCGGAGCAAGGGAGGAATTGGCAGAACGAATATTGCAATGTCCGTCGCTAACTTGATGCCGAAGCTGATGTAGTAGAACAGGGTCATATTCAAACAGTGGCCAGTGCTGGTTGGATCCCATGCCACGTGCACGGGTCGGCACTGTAGAATGACCACTATGATCTCTTCGACGCACTCCATGATCAGCAGTATGATGAGGGCGATGCATAATGATTTGAGGACCCGCGAGGGTATGAATATGTGCATGTACAAGACGCAGAACGACACCTTGATTGTGTTCAGAGCAATTATGTATACTAATTGAGTCACAAATACAAGCTAGTGATGTCAACGGAGGTCACCGCGGACGAGTCGAGACTTACCTTGAGAAACATGGTGATAGTGGATGGATGGTCCGCGATCAGTTTGTAATGTCTTCCGTAGCCGTATCTAGTCACTGGGCCCATGTTAAAGTCAGTCGAGAAATGGGATAAGCTGACATACTCCACATTGAGATAAAACAGAGAGCAAACGTGAACATCTGCCAATCTCAATCAGCTATTTACACAGCATTTTTCGTGACATACGTGGCCATACCCAGCTTATAATACAGAGAACTGCAGGAATTAGCCCTGACCCAATGGTGGAGAGTAGTATGACTTACTGTCATCAGACCGGATCCTGTAATAGCGAAAACGCACATACAACCGTACAGCGACAGCTATACTGACGATAACTAATAGGATCACATTGCAGGCGATAACACCGGGTACTCTGGACTGTGCCAGATATGCTGTATTCGCAGCGCCCTCGAAGTGCGTGAGGTTTAGCTGGTCCATCCATATTCATTATTGAAGCAATTCTTGACTTGTATTTGGCAGGCAGCGTAGTGAACGGGAACAGTATAATAAAGCTACCTCGACGTGTTTGATGAGGCTGGAGTGATGATATCAACGGCTGTGTTGCCATAGCTCTCATCCCATGGTTCAGTCCCCAGGAAGGTTCCTAGGTTGATGTGGCGGCAAAAAATTCCACGAATGCCAATGTTTAATTCCCGCATGACGTTTTAGTCAACTGTCTTGATATTTAAAATGAGGCGCAGTGAACTCAGTATTCATCTGGGATCTGTCATTTATCGGACCAAATATAGAAAGGGGTTGGTGGCACACAGCCGCTTGCCAGTCAAGGCGAGGGGAAATAGAATGCGACTGGCTGTCTAGAGGGTAGAAGTGCCAGGCTGGCTTCACAGGATTCAATAGCGTCATATCTCGTCCCGAATAGTAATCAGCATAGGAGGTTGAATACGTAGCATTCTGGTAGTCACCTGATGATTGCTTTAGCGTTTAAGACAGGGCTATGTCTATATAACGACGCGAAGATGCTTTATTAGATGCTCAATCATCACTCTGCTGCCCTTTCCATCCCAGCCAGGCACCGGCAATCAACCCCTTACACAAAACTGCCGTCCACAAAGCCCCATCAATCCCACCGAACTTCTTGCCCACAGCCCTCCTAGAACCGTCCCGAGAAGTAAACAAACAATCGCGCCAAGTCGCCTCCTCTCCTCAACCGCAGAAAGCGACGGAAACCTGGGGTTGGAGAAAAAGTCACAGTAGACACTGGTCAGCACCACACTGGTCAACCCATTAAACTCCAGGATGCGGCTCGTCACCGCCTGTCCACTACTCTGAAACGCGACCAAAACTTGCGGCACGAGGGCTTTCCAACTGAGCTCCGAGTTTCTGGACGGAAAGTGCATGGTCACGATCGTCGCTGCGACTGCGATACAGAGCATCTGGACGGCGAACGACGCACAAAGCACCCAGCGCTGCCGCGAGGGAAACCGCCGGTGGAACGCAGCGAAGCAGAAGGAACCGAAGCAGAAGCTGAAAATGGAGACGCCGGCTTTGATCCAGCGGGTGGTCTCGTCTACGCCGATCAGGCCCAGCCCCAGGTACACGGTGTTGCCTGTTTGCATGCTCACGAAGGAGCCCCAAATAAACACGGCGGAGCTATCAAGTAGGCCAGTAATGACATAGCAGAATAAGAGTAAGAGATCTCCATAGTGAGGGTTGATTTCCGCCGAAAGATGGGCGGCGATCCGGTGGACACGCGACTTTGTCGGTGAAGTGTTGTTGTTCCTAGGTTGCAGTAACCAGTCTGTCTCGTGTGGGACCGACTGCAAATTGCGATGTCGAGGTGTCATCCTGCAAATGGTATTTCCGATGAGGCTGAGATGCGAATGGAATGTCAGCGGATGAATATCAGCAAAGCCCGACGCGTCTCTAAACGTGGGTTCTGGTGTGGAGCCATGACGTCGTATTTGTTACATTTTTTTAGCTGGACTTTCTGCTCAAAACAATCCTTCGCGTCGTAGTCTGGCATTGAGTATATCCGCAAGACGCGTTTATCTTGCATTTCACTCAATTCAGCAAATATTTATTCTTTACTGGTGGCTGACCAGGCCATAGTAACGACTATTGGTCGGTGAGTGCGTTGATGCCTGAGGCAGACTACAATAAGCAGCAGGGGGCGGAATGGCAAGATTTGAGGAAATCCAGATACCATAGATATATTATTGGGTGGATAGCCACGACGGACTAAAATAGTGCTTCGAGGGGCCTACATGAAATGGCAAAACAACATGGGTTCCCATCCGTGGCCCCGCGGCGAGATGTATATTTCCTACAGGACTGGCGGAATCATCGGACATGCTGGAACCAGTGAGCTACAAGTTAATGTATATTACAGTAAATAAGTATAAAAGCGACAGTCCCAGAATGGATTTCCTGTTATCGAAGTGCTTTCATAGAATAATTACTATTATTATATACTAATTATAATCATCCTCAGCGGGCAATTGAACCCATCACTCTAGCACCACACGTGTATCAGTTTATGCACAAGTGATAGACTACGCGAAGCGCCTCATAAAGTTAAAGCATCATAACCTCAATCAATACGGGAGCTTGTGAATCGAAGGAGGGATGTGAGTCGAATTCTTAACCTTGGGCTTTTGCACCCTATTGTGTACGCCCGTCAGCACTGCATCAGAAAAAAGATGGGACGGACCACCTACTCATTGTTTGCAATGTATCGCCTAAGCAGCCATTTTTCATACTCGGTACCAGCACAAGACTGGTCCGACGAACACGCCACGGGATCATAATTGCCATACGTGTAGAAAGCCGCCTTCTTTCTGTCCAGATCAGAGCCAGCGACGTTAGCGGGCTCATCCTTGGTCGGATATCCTCGGTAGGCCGTAACATCTCCCGGGAACCTAGACGGCTTAGCCGCTTCATTGACGAACAACCCAGCAGAGGTGTGGTCGCTATGGTCTCCCGAGCCATACGGATGGACGTAATCCTGAGAATTGATCCAATCGGGGTTGAAGTCGTTGATGATCTGCGTCAGAGTTTCGATAAGGTCGCTGCGCGTGTAGCTCGTGCCGGATTCGTCCACTGTTCTGATGGAGTTGATTTTGCCCTTCCACAGCTTCTCGAGCGAATCGTGGCCTGTACTGGCGAAGCCGTCCCCGTCGATACTGCCGTCGGCCATGTGCATGAACGCGAGGGAGATATCGCGGTCTCGAAGCGAGTAGAGAGGGATATCTTTGCCCTCTACCCCAATATCGGACTCGTCCCAGACATTGGGCATACCGGCCATTGCGGCGTAGGCCTCCATGGCGCCTGCTTGTCGGCTGGTCCAGTACTGGGAGTCCCGGCCTGCGTCGCCAGCGGTTAGGTATACAGTGCGGACATGCCGGCCTGCGGCAATGTCATTGAGGATGTCTGGGTTTTGGAAGAGGAGATCATCGTCCTGATGGGCGACAATGTTGAGGGTGCGCGCTACTGCGAGGCCTGATAGAGACAGGAGGCTGAGGAAGCAATAGGCCTTCATTTTGGGAATAGCAATGGATCAACGTAGGATTAGAGTCTACAGAACTGAGACCATAGGTCTCGGCCAGGCATACTACCAGATCAAAGGCCTTATATATGTTCTTCATGCACAATATTATCGCGTATATTATCGCGTGAGACGCATAGCACCTGTTGTTTATCAAGTGATGCGATTGCATTCTTTGGCCTTGTCACATTCCAGCCACAACGCCCCTGTAAACAGACTTGCAGATCACCATTGTCATTTGTCCCTTGTTTTCTGATCCTACCAATTAGAAGTACCTTATTTTGGGCGCTGGCATTTAGTCCTACGAGAAACAGGATTCGCGGGCATACTTATGATTCTGTCCGAGTGTTTTCCGCCTACGCGAATATACGAGCCATGAAAGTCCTTATCGTCCCTTATATATCCCTCTATACGTAACTTAATTGATGTCGAAGGACAGTCAAATTCTTGGTAGCGGCAGCATCCTTTTGTAGCTGTCATTTATTGGATGGAGAGCGCGTAAATCTGGTTTTATAGGGACTGGATATAGTACCAATCTGCGGCATCAAACCCTAGCCGACTATTGTCGACCCCAATCACATCATGTTGACTCTTTCCAAGAGCACAACTTTGCTAGCATAATCCGTGCTAAACGAATACTGCAATCCAAGGTTCATCAGCATATCGCCCGAATACGGTCCCTGCTCATCGACACGGTACATCGCCCGCGGATCCAGCCCCTGCAATCTCACCCTCGGCATGGTATGATTAATATTCGGGCTAAGCTGGAAGTAGAACAAGACCGCCTTGGCTCCATCTTCCGAGACACACAGCACAGCAGGCCAATTCGACTCCTCAGGCAGACTAAGCCTCCACATATCGCCTTTCAGCACGATCGGGTTGACCTTCTCCGCCAACGCAATCAGCTCCGGAACCGCAGTTTTCTCCTCAGGGCGCATCTTCAGCGGGTCGAGCTCAAGCCCGAACGATCCGCCCATCATTGCAACGTGCGCGCGGAATGTAAGCGGGACCGCTCGCCCTGTTTGGTGGTTCGGCACCGCGGAGATATGCGCGCCCATTGCGCTGGCCGGGTAGACGAGAGAGGTGCCCATCTGGATGAAGATGCGTTCCACGGCGTCGGTGTCGTCTGATGTCCAGACCTGGGGGAAGTATTGTAGGATTCCCGGGTCGAAGCGCCCGCCACCAGAGGCGCATCCTTCCCAGAGGATGTCGGGGAAGCGTGAGGTGAGGGCGTCGAAGACGCGGTACATTCCAAGCATGTAGGCGTGGTTTGCGGCGGGGGAGGGCGTCTCGTTGATAGCCCGGTTGTGGTCCCATTTTACGTAGCTGATGTCTGCGCTGTTCAGGATGTTGGTGATGGCTTCGATAATGAACTCTTGTACGTCGGGTAGAGCGAGATTCAGCACGAGCTGGTTGCGTTGTTCGGTGCGTGGGTATGAGCCTGCGTGGAGCACCCAGTCCGGGTGTTCGTGGTATAGGCCTGATTCTGGGTTCACCATTTCTGGCTCAACCCAGATACCGAAGCGAAGATTCTCAGACGAGTTGGCCACCTTCAAGGAGGTGATGGCTTTCACGAGGGGTTCAAGCCCATTAGGAAATCGTGTTGGATTGGGAATCCAGTCGCCCAGACCGGCTGCGTCTGAAGTTCGAGGGTATTTGTCGCCAAACCACCCGTCGTCCATGACGAAGAGCTTTACACCCAAAGCAGCGGATTCCTGTGCCATGCGGTACATGTTCTCCTCGTTGATGTCGAAATACAACCCCTCCCAGCTGTTCAGTAGGACCGGTCGGTTGTCCGTAGCGAACTTGCTTCTCATAAGGTGATTGCGATACAGGCGGTGCAGAGAGCGCGACATGCCTCCTAGCCCGTTTCTTGAGTATACCGATACACACTCGGGAGAGGTGAGGGTTTCCCCCGGAGCTAAGGGCCAGGATAGCTGGTTTGGATGGAAACCCATAGACACACGTGTCAATCCCTGCGAGCCTTTTTCGACATTGGCAGCAAAGGAGCCGGTGTATACCAGTGAAAATCCCCAGGCCTCGCCCTGGAACTCGGTAGTAGAGTGATGCGCCAGAGCTACGAAGGGGTTGTGCAAGTGGGACGAGAACCCTGTTGTACTTCCAAATCTGTCCAGCTAAGTCAGTATAGTCTGTTTCCGTTGGTTGTATCGAGGTCTTACCCCTGTATGCCATAGTCCACCTTGCGCCTCTGCCGATGCGCTTCTCTCGCCCAGTCCCCTCTGAGACCGATCATATCAAACTCCTCGCATGGTAAATCCACACTCGTACTAGACAATGCCTCGATCGAGATCGCGCCCTTGCCCTTGTTCGTGATGCTCACACTCCGCACAATGGCGTCGTAATTTGGGAATATGGAGTACTTTAGATCTGCTGCCACCTCGCTATGCTGGTCATACAAATGCACCACCAGCGTCGAGACATCCTCCTCTGTACCAAACGTCGCCGGCAAGCCAGGAAGCGCAGGCTTTCCCTTCACCACGGTATGGGAATCATACCGGAAAGCCGAAACAGTATGTCCCTGTGACTGGCGGATTAGAACTGCAGGGACCCGAAAGTCTCCGCGGCCTTGGTCCGGGAACTCGCGTCGAACGCGGTCAGGCATACCGGTCCAGCCATTGATTATGGGAGCTGGATCGTCCGGAATAGGCCCACTGACGCTGCCGCCGAAGTGATCGGAGCGCAGATCACCGGTGGTCTCGTCAACGTGGAATCGGTAGGAAACATTTTTGCCGTTAAGGGAGAAGGTTTTGCCTTCGACGACAATAGCTGTCACCGAAAAGGTTAGAAATAGTGCGGAATTTTGGGAAACTTGCTATCAATGGGACAAGCTTGATCAACGTTTGCTTACCATTGGCAGTTGGCGATTTCTGAGCCATTGTGTTCTTCCAGAAGAGGAAGCGGAGGAGATGCTAGACGTGCAGTGACTAAGTGATGCTTCCAACAGGAAGGATCCAATCTGATATATCTCTGAAGTAGTCAGCCCCGCGGGGCAGCTTGGAAAGAAGAAAATAAACAGAAGCTACTATCGACCTTACCATCTAACCTTACCGGTCCAGATGGCAGCTGAAAGCGGGCTGATTCCCCCACTATTGCTTCTAACCGAAACGGCCACGGCCAACGGCCCGTCGATTGATATAGATTACTGCTTATCCATTTAGGCAGTTCGCTTTGACATTCCTGTTCTGAAGATAGGTTATTCACTTGCTATTATCTGAGGTATATAAAATCTACTCACTGCTACTATCTAGACACCCTTGCAAATGCCTTCATTGAATTATTCTGATGCTATATAAGGGAATATTAATATTAATTCCAGCTTTCGGTGCCTCCAGCTAGGCCGAAAAGGCCATTATATCCAGGCCCTCGTGGTCTCATCGACCATATCGTGTCTTCATGAAGCCCCTGAAAGATGAAGCTTCATGGATTCGTAGCTATTTAACTAGCCGATGCAGATGTCCCTCAGATCATCGTAGGGCCGTCTGACCAACGGTAGAACCTCCGAGACACATATATACCTTAAAGGAAAATGCTTTGAAGATTGCGCTCCCCCTACAACTACTAGACACGCGTCCTGTCCTTCCATAGCCACGTTGAGACGCCTGTGTCGCTGCCTGGAGAAGATTCCTTCTCTGAGCAATTCCCATCTTGCTACTTCGCTTTACCTTGCCCTTTCACTCTCCCCACCATCGCAGGAGATAATCGCTTGGCCTGGAGGAGCCGATCTGTTACCTGCAGTTCCGCTGCGTATTGCATTGCCGGATTCCTCCCCACAGTTCTTCAGCGAGCTTCTCTGCGTGTGCGCCCTTTCAACTACCCTTCCCCTCAGGTATATCCTCGGGCCTGTTAAGTCTAAAGGAAACCAAGGATACCATGAGAGTTACACAAAGCTAAGCTCATTCTAAGGGTCCGTAGCCCCTACTATGTTCAGCCCTCTAGACTTAGTAATGCCGTGAGCTAGTAGGTGGTTGAATCTAGTAGCGCAACTAACGGACCCGGAGAGAGGCAGTTCCGCAAGTAGGTTGGGTTGGAGGGTTGATTAGTAGGGATCCCCCCTACCTTATTTGGCAAGCGGATATCCTTCCTGAGAAACGTTTTATTACACAGCAGTATATCTGAAGAAATTTTATCGAAACCGAGTCACGTCTGTTGTCCGTCGGAGATACTCATCTTCATATTCAAGGATCAGCCGCCCTTCAGAAACATCTTCGGCAGAGGAGATCAAACATACCAGCAAGATTCCATGTTCTTGTAGCGTGGACAAGGATGCGTCGGAAAGGCTCTTCATCGAAGTGAAACGCCAGCCCATACGACTGTTTGGGATATCTGACTGCGAGGACAGCTTCTCCCGTGCACATCACGGCTGGTAGGGGTACACAAGGTATCTTTCTGTTAGGCTCAAGGGCGTCAAATTTGGAGCAGATATCTCCGACCATCTTAATATAAGTCGTGATTGCAAGGAAGGAGGTATCCAGATCCGAGGATGAAATTGCTCCACGAGCTGCTCGGGATAGACGGTCTTGATGGAGAATTATTGCAGACCTAGTATATTTCAGTGACCAGGCAACCTCAAATAATACCAGAGCACGAACGCTAAGCAAATGGCGTTTGCCCCACATAGGACTGCCCAACTCCCGGGCGTTTGCTCGAATAGGGTCTCCATGAATTGCATCAGTGTGCGGTCGAGAACTGCAAATTGTTGATAGGACCAATCAGCGTCACTTGACCGGCAAAGCAACTGAACTTGTCCGAGGATGCGGGATGTCTGGATCTCACGGGCAAAATAACACAAGGGAACCTGAAGCGGCGTCGAGAAAGACGGATGAGAATTGCCTGGCAGCTGTGTTTTCGGTTTATAACAAAAGACGTCGTCTATCGGCAGCCGAAAATTGGCGTCGGGCTCTTCTACTGCGCGTGGCGCCCGAAACTCAGTCGCTATTTGACAGATGATCCTGATGCATCTCGTCTCAGTAGCAATCATGGGAGTAGAGAATAGGTGGCCTACCGGTCTAACATGTATAATCCACACCAGACTCTTCTTCGTTCCTCGGATTCAACCCACCCATGGGAGACATTCCTCATCCTGTTGGACATGATCAATATTCAAGCGGAGAGTGTATCCCAGCCTGGCGCAATTCCCAACGCTCTCAGAGGCCTCGTTGAGCCGGGAAGCTCTCAGCTCGTACAATACCAGCAACAATCCACTCTGCACCATCTCCAATGAAGGTTCCCGTGGGAGCTGTAGAAAGGAAAATAAGTATTTGCCAATCTGGTAGATCCTCGTCCGGTGAGTATCGTTGCTAGATTGATCATGTGAGCCAGTAACCATAAACACTGTTAATAGGAGCATTGCGGTCTCCGCGCAAGGCTTGCGATGAGACAGACGTTTCCGAAAACCTGGCTCTATGATCACTGAGAACCAGGGATGGATATCGCAAAAGTATTCCTCAAGCACTCTCTCCACGGATACACATTGCTTCGTCAGGGTTTCCATGACCAGACCGACAAAGTAGTTGTCCATACCTACACGCCGCGAACTGATATTGTGCCAATGGGGCTGTAAGTCCTGAAAGCTGCCGGGGAGCCACAGCTGATCCTGAGTGACTGGCACATGGAAGAGGAGGAAATCAGACAGCGACAGTCGGGGAGTGTCCTCGGTTTGTGTCACATTTCACGAACAGTCGCATGATAGCTTTGATCTTTGCCAGTGTCAGCAACTTAAAGTCAATGGGAAGATAGTGAGAAATCAGACTTGATGCATCGACTGCAAGACGTTAGCGTCTTATCGCATCTTCTCTTCTGACTGCCTCCTGTGTCTATATTCTTTATGTAAAGCATGACCGAGTCACTAATATGGAAAGTTATATCTAGATAACTCTAATTATGGTTAGAGTTGCATAACCGAACCGCAAAAATCGAACCCAAACCTCACCGAACTCGCAGCGGTGCGGGGTCGGGGCAAGCCTAGGGAACCGCTTCGGGTTCGGTTTCTCTACCCCCAGAACCGTTTCGGGTTCGGTTAAAACCGCCAGTTACGGTTTTTGCGGTTTTATCGGATTAGGTTAACCAACCCGCACCGTTTTACCTAGAAATCACTGAATTCTAGATATTTTTAATTGATACTAATATCACTGGATAGCCTGAATCAAGGGCTATCTCGGTAATATAAATATTATTCAAAAGCGCCTAGTGGTTGCTGAGATATAAGGGAATAATTATCTCTGTCATAGGTTGGTTAGAAAGTAGTGGTGGTTTACATATGTATGCGACCAACTGCTGACAACCCCATATTTAAAAATGATTTTTTAATCACCACCCATTCAAACCTATAGATATTGAATTCATATTTTAGATCTAGATTAGTATGATGATAATTACCATATATTTCATATAAAAATCATAATTTTATATAAGCATGCTCGATAGGGGCGACAGAGGGGTCCCCGAAGGGGGAATGGTAAGGGTTAAAACGGGCAAAATTAGCAGTTTAACCAACCCGAAATCGAACCGAATCTAACCATGGTTAGTTAGTATAGGCCTAGCTAGGCAGGGCTAGCTAGGCCTAGTAGCGGGTTTTGCAGTGAAAACTGTAACTGAATCACATCGGGTCCGGGTTTGGTGTGGGTTCTAAATTTTGAACCCGAAACCGCAGCGGTTCGGTGCCAACTAGGCTTGAACCCGCCCGAACCCGCACCAAATGCAACTCTAAATCTACTAATAAATTAGATAGTGTTAAATCCTTTACTATTTACTTTTTGGATAGCCTAATGGTTGGCTATTAATATAGACATCCACTAACTAATAATATTACTATTATTATTAGTAAATATACCTGTAATCTAACTATGGGAAGAATTTACCTTCTTTGTGGGAGAGTGATTAGGTTACCATCTATATCTATAGGCTATAGCAGACTTTACTGCTAAATTATATTACCCATTAAGAAGACTATGGAGTGCTACTACCTAGTGCTATAGCTGTTGCCCATTACATACCACTCGTAGGGCTATAGAATCAGGTAATGAGGGAATAAATAGCAACTGGTTCTATGGAGTGTTAGTAACTAAATCTAACCATAGTTAAATATTTATCTGCTTAAAGGAAGTAGTGTTCTAGGCAGCTACTAACCACAATACCAAAAAGGTTCCAATGATGATTCCCCTTGAATCATCAAGCCTAGAACATGCTTATATACCACCAACCCCCTAGGCCGTCTGCCCCATGACATCTTTCCACCTACCAAAAGTAGTATAGTCTAAAATTATATGTATAATATAGGTAGAATGGGTATCCATAACCTAACCCGCATGGGTTTCAAGGCAGGTTACTAATATCATGAGTTAACCCAAACCCCATGTGGGTTGGATTGAACCCCCTGCGGATCCATCCAAACCCAACCCACGACCAGTCTAGATGCAACCTGATGCACACCCCAGACACCCTATAGAATAATGTTGGATAAGGGCGGCTAGCTGGCCGCGCTAAACTATCTTCCAACCAGTGCGCGCTAGTGCTTGCGAAGCTACTGTAGATGTTGTCCCTGGTGCAATGTTAAATGGCCTGGTCCCTGCGCGGCGGTTTCAGGTCCCTTGGTTCCACGCCCACGCCCGGACTGCTTGGGACTGACTAGTCTGCGAGTCACACAGCCGAGCTCCTCTGGAAGCTTGAGCGTCTCATAATCTACGATCTACGAACGTTGATCTACAGGCATCTGATTTAGCGTCCAAATTTGTTACGTCCGGAGAGCTCGTCATACATCAACCCAGATGACTTCAGACAGGGAGCTTCTCTATCCACTGCCGATTCTTGAAAGTTGATTTTCTACGGAGAAATCGGTTAGTGGCAAATGTGTTGAAAGACACAATTAAGGATATGAGAGCCTAGACTGATGGGAACCATGTCCAGACACCTTTTTAGCCTAGTGGTATTATATTTCAATAAAATGCAACTCCCAGGGATTAGCGTTTAGGAACAGCGCTAGCAGTGAGCTAGCATTACTCGAGAGTCGAGGGTGAGCTCCGGCCGGATCCGCGAAGGAACTACGTACTCCGAGTAGAGATAAATTCCCAATCTCACACTTCCTAGATAAAATGAATTGGTTCATCAACCGTACCAAGACGACTTCATCATTCGAACTCAACCTCCATGGAGGGCCTCCAAGCAATCATGTCAAATCTCCCTATTACCTCATTTCCATGTTTCAATATCTCCGCCTGGTCAATCGTCCCTTGTGTTCTTGCTCTTCTGGCATGGCTAATCTGTCTTTCTTCCCTCCATCTATTAGACTCAGCCAAAGCCGCTCAGATGTTTCCAAAGACCTCGGCGGCTGGTGGTGAATTTCCCTCGAACGCACCAGAGGCATGCTTCCCTCGAATCAGAGCTCTCAAACATGCGCATGAGACGGCTGAGAAACTGAACACCTTGATCGAAAAAGGGGCGGGGGTACCTGGCCGCCCCGTGCCTCACATGGCGATGCCTGGCCAGCCGCCCTGCAGGCCTATCATGATATCTACCTCACCATGGCACCGCTCCTACCAACCACGGAGGTTCTTTGCGACGATAAAGCTAACGCGGACCGCATCAACGCTTTCAGAACCAGGATGAAGACGCTTCTGCGTGAGCGAATCAACCTCGCTGCGGTTGAGAATATTCTCGGCTCCGGCAAAGACAACGTCTCAGCAGACGCATGGAATGGGTTCTTCAGCTGCATTGCAATTTCTAGACATGCCTATAGGTACAGTAATCGCCCCCTTCCATATCCAAACCCGCCTGAACAAAAAGCCAATATGGAAAAGGTGGGCCACCATTCCAGTTGTAAAGGCTGCCCAACTAGACAAGCTTATCTCCTTCCCCACCGAACTGGACATCCCCTGGAACCACCTCCAGAAGCGATACGATGTGGTATCTGCTGGTGGAAATGTCACATCGAATTACTTCTGCAATTTCACGACGGACGGGTCCCTCGTATACCCAATCAACCACGGGATGTCCGATCTCATTAAGACGGCAGAGTATAACTTCGGGCATATTTTCCCCACGATGGAAAAATTGGTTAATGTCCCTGCTTCCTTCACTCTTTTCAGATCCACGCTAACCCCCTTGCCAAAAGGCACTTCCAATATACGAGCACATTGTGGCTGCCACCATCGCCTTTACCTCTTCTAACATCCCCACCACACTCAACCACCTACGTGCTATTAACGTCCACCTCCGCTTTCCCCTCAAAATCTATTACGACACCCTCACAGACGCTAAAATATCCCGCAGTGTTTGGATGACCTATGTGCAAGGTTTTCAAGGCTGGGGAACCGGCCACCACACCGCCAATGGCGAATACATCGAATACGACGGTCTATCGGGGAACCAGCTCCTGCTGCCCATGATCATAGATGCTTTCACCGGGATACCGCTGTACTTGACAAAGGAGAACATGGAGCGATATATCCCTGTGCAGCAGCGGGAGTTCGTGGATTCTGTGCGGAAGCATAGTTTTCGCGAGGTGGCGAGGGAGAGAGGGTTGATGGACGTTGAGGGGGAGATGTTGAGGATTGTTAAGCAAATGCGGGTGAGTTCCCCTCTTCGTCTTCGGCATGGGCGATTGTGTGGGCCGGTGCTAACGTTGAGTGGTTGATAGGTGTTTCGGGCGACTCATCGGTCCAGAGCTAAGCCATATTTGAGCCTGCCTGCTCCTGAGAGGTTTATCATGACTGCGGGCAAATCAGTGCTGGAGAGCAGTACCATCCAGAATCTTAGGGCGGCTTTTCACTTCCTAGATACTTTTATGGTGAAGAGGTTGAAACAGACCGTCTAACGTGTATTGCCAGATCTTAAAGAGTACATATGAGAGAATCAGCATAGTATAACGCTTCAACTTTGACTTAGGTGGAGTAGGCAGGCTGCCGAAGCACCAGCTTCTCTTCATGGCATGCAAGTTACACACTGCGACCTTTCACCAAAGAACTCCCTTCTCGACTGCGATCTCAACCTGAAGATTGCGGACTTTGGAGGCGCTTCTTTGTGCGGTGAAGAGCCATCAGCTACTCCGGCAACAAGGTTTCGAAGCCCCGTCTATCCGACGGCCATCGGCTTAGCATCGGCTAGAGGGGAACTCCGCATGGGAGCAGAACCTTAGTGCGAGAGTGAAAGTGCCTAGATACTGCCCAGTGCCTAAATACTTCCCCTCGTACTTCTCCTGCCAGAAGGGTCCATGATTACAGTTACAGGTTGACCCCGCTCGACTCCAACTTTAGTAGCCGGATCGGTGGCTTGGCCTTTGATCTAAGAGGTCTAGATCTTATTAGCGTGCAGATTGACATGCAAAGGATCATGACTAATCACATTCGAGTGAGTATTATTTCAGGAGTGAACGATCCAATGTAGCGTGAGTTGCCTTGATGCTAGAAGTATATGGTTGGGTGCGTTTTCGATAACCATCCTGCCTTGCCCGTTTGAATCCCCTCCCCAAGCATCGCCGCATCGCCCGACAACAGATTCTGTTCCGGGAGACCATGTATCGACGTCTCGCCCCAGAAGGTCCTCCCAGGAGTTGAAAGCGACGCATCTTTGTTTGTGCTCGTCCGAGGATTGGCTTGCATGCTCGACGCCGTTACCTGACAATCCAATCGATAGCTATCCGGTGAATTCGTTCTGATCAACATTCCAGACGTATTGCATGGCTGAGAATTCCGACGCTGTGTTGCGCTATCTGCGGACTGAATTGCATCAAGAGGCATTGTCCGCTGCGCATCGCTAATGTTGTTGTTCATTATGTTGAATTCATCCCTCTTCGCGTCCAACCAGCGCTCCAAATCAGATGGTTCACGAAAAGGGAATTGCGTCCATTCTTCCATTCGTGCAGCCTTCTGTTTCGGTGATATGTCTGCCTTCTGTGAAGCGCGAATGAGGGTTGAACCATTCATTGCGCGTAAAGTTGTAAGCGCTTCATATAAAGCGAGCTCTGTGTCTGCGAGTCGCATTTCTAGTTGATTGATGTAGCCTAATGGTAGGCCCCTGCACAAGCCATCAGGAACAGGATTATGGGCGAAGACGGCAGACTACCTACCTCTTCCCGCTCTCTGGGTAATTGCATTTTGACGGGTCCGCTGAACACTGAGAGCAAAATGGACTGGCAAAAGTTATTTGGGTCCTGTGGCATTCAATAGCATGTATGTGAACGGTTATTCATACATATTACGGTCGCACTGGCTGTATGTTAGTGCCATGTCAAGTCCGAGGACCACGACTCAACTCGCCTTGCATTTTCTTTGTCTGCATAGCTCGCAGGAAATTGGACTGACCGACTCGGCTTCTGTATACCTCTTACCATTAGCAGATCTTTTCGAGAATCGTGATGGCTGCAGAACAACCAGGAAGCGGAGTACCGCCATTATACGGACTCTCCACAACTGACGAAACAACGCGCTAAAATCACGACGACTACCGTACCTGGAGGCATGTTGCCCACTGAATAAAATGGCAATTCAATCGTCGACAGATCCGGTTACGCAACAATACAACTCACGAGTTTGGAGTTGGCTGGCGGACTTGAAAAACTCCGGTGGACCACGTGACATCCCCGCAAATCCTAGGATTAGTCATTCACTCTGCCTCCACAACTCGTGGAGGGTTGAAGTCTTCGCAGATGTTCTGCAAACAATTTTCAGGCTATGATCATGGATACGGATCAAGATGGCCACACCGTCTTCACCTGCGACCGCTCTAGCTGGGTGCGACGACTTGCAATGGCAGCATGATGGCCCGCCAGCCAAAAGGCGCAAAGGGAACTCCATGACAAACACGTGCCAGCCGTCGCCGCGAGAGATTGGAATTATGAGAGAGACAGAACGGGATGATTCCGCAACCTTTCTGGGAAGTTCGAGTGGCATTCACTTTATCCGCACTGTTTACAATGCATTTGCCAAGCGTTCAGCGGTCTTGCAGGAAGCGCGAGTCAGGAACCAGAGCTTAGTGCCTGGCGAAGACGATCAGTTACAAAGACGTCCTGGCAAGTCGCAGGGGCTGGATGAGCTCTGCTTGAAACATGAGTTATCTCTTCAGGCCCCTGAGTCTGTATCATTTGAGAGCCTTGTGGGGTGGTCGCGGAGCTACTTTGAGTATTTGCATCCCATCTTCCCCTTCCTGCATGCACCGACCGTGTTGAAAGCCATGGAAAGGGTCAGCGAGAGAGGCATCGACTCACTGGATCGTGCTAATCTAGCTATATTACGCTCTATACTTTCTATATCGGTGATTGATAACCGCCAGGCGCAGAACTCTGGTATGACAGCGGACCCGATCCCTTCTGTCCTGGTGTATCGAACCGTGCAAGAGGCGATGGAAAGCATCCATGCTTTGCTGCTGGAGCCCTCAACGCTTCCGTTGTTGCAGGCAGTATTCAGCGTCCAGCTAGTACTGACGTCTGTGTTACGTCTCAATACAGCTTCCAGGGTCGGGGGATTGATAAGTCGAACTGCGTTCCATCTTGGTCTCCATCGCTGTCCTGCACGATTCTCTTGTTTCAGCCGTGAGGATGCAGATATTCGCCGTCGCCTTTTCTGGTCGATTTATTGTCTAGAAAGATATTTGTCCCAGGCTCTAGGCACACCCCTAGTATACAGGATGACGACATCGATGTCTGCTATCCAGGGAGTGAAAGGCACGGGGAAGTAGGGAAGGTGCCGCAGGCGAAGGGCTCTCACAGCCATTTGCGATTGCTTACCCATCTCGCCAAGTTTGCGAGACTTAGGGGCCTTACACTGGAGCTCCGCAACAAATCCATCCTGCACAGTCATAATAATACCCTCGAGGCCACGTATGTCAACGGTGAGCTTGCGCAATGGTGGAACGAGGTTTATGACGATGTTTATCCTATGGAAGAGCAGCTAGAATGTCTGCCCCAAAACGAAACGTCGCTGCAACCTTCCCACCGGCTGCTGCTTGTGGTCCTCAAGCACGAGTCCATCATATCAATGAATCGGCCATTACTCGCTGCTGAAAGACTCTCGCCGGAATACAAACCAGCCCTACAGGCTTGCATTGAGTCTTCGCGGTCCCTGATTTCAGCTTTGAGGACGTACTTGTTGGCTCATAATAGTAGTCAAAGTGGCCAAGACGCCGCAGATAGTGGCAAACACCAAGCGCCGCTAACTTGGCCATCATTCACCTGGGCCACCTGGATGGCCTGTCTTATCTTGATGTACGCCGCATCGGAGGGTGAGTTTTCAAGTATAAGCGCCCTAAAGTACGCTAAGGTCGGCGTTTCGATATTGGAAAATCTCTCACTGCGAAAGAGTAGCTGGCCAGACACCTGTATCGAAGCAATCAAAGGCATGGAGTCGGCCTTGAGAGTCAACCTAGATTCTGATTCTAGAGAACAGACTCCGCTACCCAGGACTTTTGCCCGACGCACACAGCGGACAACATTGTCAGGTTCAAGCGAGCGTCACATGGACACAGAGCCAAATGGGAGAAGATATTCATTATCAGTTCAGGATGAGGGCATGTCGCGAGCAGATCCCCTGTCTTCGCCCTTGACATCGAGAAGGAGTACTTCGCACATTACTGGCAGGACACCTGGGCTACCCACCCCAGTACATGAGCAACGGCCCATGTCAACCCAGGCACATCACCCGTCGAGTTATGATCTGCATAATGACCAGTCCACCACTGGCATAGAAACTGACAATATGAACGATTTGAGCTCGGCTGGATTGATATTCGGAGACACGATGGGCTCACACTTCCCCTATGCGGTCACTGCCGGTCAGGACATCGCTTCTTTTGCAACTTCTGACCCGTGTGGTATAAGCAATCTATGGAGTATCGCGGACTGGCCTTGGATGATTCACGAGAACTTTTCATGATTTACCATTCGTCGATGATATAAACTCACCGTCCACAGATATAGGAAATATTATTCTTCGGTTGAAAAAATGTTGTTCCGAATGCAACGGAACATGTGAGAGCTTTGACTACGACCTGTACAATGTGGTAGGTTTTGAGCATATTGGTTAATAAGAGGAAGTACCCTATATGTAATGAAGAGCGAGGCCAACATTTGGTCGAGGAACAGAAAGACAATTGGATTCTAGTCTAGTACTCCGTCCTAACCAGAGTCAACAACTATGTTTGAACTGATATTTCACTATCTATAATTCCAACCTGGTCGTCAACTCTTGGTTCGTAGACATATTTGGATGCTCAAAGGAGAAGTGGGATGGCGGACATTTCCTAGTCCTATGCGTTGACACCGGAGGAGAACAACCCCGCTCGTCCTCTATTCTCCGGACTTGACAATATCCGGCGCAATAATCACCACTAAAAGTGGGGGAATCGTGAGGAGAGCTATAATTTTGACTGTGATATAATAGAAAGGTTTACCCACATCGGACTGGATAACTTCATTTAATCTGTCAAATCATTCAGAGAAGTCTAGACACTGCCAAAATGTCTCCCTCTGTTCTACCTAACAAGACTTATAACATCGCTGCTATCCCCGCCGATGGCATCGGTCCCGAGGTCATCGGGGCCGGTATCACGGCTCTCAATGCTCTCAGCGAAACCCTCAACACCTTCAAGCTCAACTTTACCACCTACGACTGGAGTTCCGAGACCTACAAGAAGACCGGCAAATACATCCCCGACGGTGGTCTCGAAGAACTGAAGAAGCACGACGCAATCCTATTTGGTGCTGTTGGTGCACCTGGTGAGTCAATCCTCAATTAGACGCAATAGCGGTTACTGACGAACGACAGACGTCCCCGATCACATTTCTCTCTGGGGTCTCCGCCTCGCCATCTGCCAGCCGCTACAGCAATACGCCAATGTCCGACCAACCAAGATCTTCCGCGGCACGGAGTCGCCTCTCCGCAAATGCGAGACCGGCGATCTGGACTGGGTGATCATCCGCGAGAACAGCGAGGGCGAATACGCTGGTCAAGGCGGACGCTCGCACCGAGGCAAGGCGTGGGAAGTGGCCACCGAGACGGCCATCTTCTCGCGACACGGCGTGGAGAGAATCATGCGTTTTGCATTCGAGACGGCGCAGAAGAGACCCCGGAAGCTGCTGACGGTCGTGACGAAGAGTAACGCGCAGCGCAATGGGATGGTCCTCTGGGACGAGGTGGCTGCGGAGGTCGCGAAGGACTTCCCCGATGTCACTGTAGATAAAATGCTGGTGGACGCGATGACCACGCGAATGGTGCTCAAGCCCGACACGCTGGATACCATCGTGGCGACGAACCTTGTAAGTGGCCAACCGGAACTGATTCGGCTATCTTGCCTTGACGATGGATATAATACTGACACGGAAATCACTACAGCATGCAGACATCCTCTCCGACCTCGCTGCAGCGTTGGCCGGTTCCATCGGGATTGCCCCCACCTCGAACCTGGACCCCACGCGGGAGAATCCCAGCATGTTCGAGCCTATCCACGGGTCTGCATTTGATATTACAGGTATGGGGGTCGCTAACCCGGTTGCGACGTTTTGGACAGCTGCAGAGATGCTGGCCTGGCTGGGTGAGGAGGATGCGGCGAAGAAGCTTCTGGACTGTGTCGAAAATGTGTGTGAGATGGGGATCCTGACTCGCGATCTGGGAGGAAATGCCACCACAAGGGAGGTCACCGAGGCCGTGGTGGGGCAGATTCGGAAGTTGGCCGCTGCAAAGTAAGCTGTAGATAATCAATGTTGAGACTCCGGTGTGAGGTTACAACTTCAGAGATGCCATTAATAATGATTTTAAAGTAGAAGCTATGCTATACTTAAATCCTGTAAAATTATGCTATACCATATAACATATGCATAACCAGGTTTCCTTGCCACTGGACTTTCCACCACTTCCTGACTGCTTGCTTTCGGAAATGGCGGCATAATACATTCGCTTCAGAACATATGACATGCCAAAGCTTACTTCACAATGACGCGGTATCGCGACGTATCTAGTAGTTCTCTGTTGTAATAATGTTATGGGCACCGAGAGTAATGGAGTCTGATCTGTTTCACTACTACGCACCATCATCATATTGCACATTGACTTACTAGCGAAGATGAAGTTCTTTGATATATTAGGGCTGCTATTCGTTTACCCTCGGTAGACAGAACCCGCTATCCAGCTTTGAACAGGGCAGGCTAAGGGGTACTGGGCCTATAATGTAGGATACTTGCATCAAGTCATATTGTTTACTAACTCCACACATAGCACACCAGACCAGTCCAACGCACCCTGCTGGAATGTCAACGATCCCCAGGTTTTTACCATCACTGTGTGTGGTTCTGGCACCGCAGCAGATGGCCAACAGCTCGCTACATCCTCAGTTGGCACTGAATTACCCACCGCGATAGGAATTGGCATTCCTCAAGTCCCAGGGGCTTCCTATCAATACTTCATAGAGCCAACCATGGGGTACCTGTGTCTTGCACCTACAAATGGTGCTGCAATGCTACAGCTTTGCGTTGAAACAGATCCCTACTGGTGTGTGGACCCTTTCGGTATGGGACCGTGGGTGCAAGCAGCTGGGTGGTGGGAGGGGCATAATGGCTACCCAAATCAATTGCTCTCTTGTGCAGTTGACGAGAATCAACTCTTGTCATGCCAGTATGGTGGTTACGATTACCTCGAACTTGGGCCAGCAATTATCAATGATCCTGATTGGCTTGGTTGGTATCCGTTACTTTCTAATAAGTCAGACCGTGGATCGCAGTATTTTAGCACTAATGGAAGTTGTAATTAATGCTTATAAGTCAAATGCATACTGGGATTATGGACTATATTCTTACTACCTAGGGAGCTTAATAATACTGTCGGTTGTAACTGTTGATTCTACGGAGTACTCACTCCCGATATGCAAGGGTTCAACTTCGGCCGCACAAACAAGATCATCCAAGCCGGCCGAAAAAAATGCAAAGAAAAGCTTGGTCAATGGCGTTCTGGCCCGATGAACCACACTACTATGTAGAAATGCGCCACGGCATCACTAACATTTCGGGAAGTTTCCGGGGGTTGAATGGCCGGCCGGTGGGGATACAGTGGAGAAAGAAAAAGCCCGACCTATAACGTGCCCTTCATTTGATTCATCCGCCTCAACACACACTGCTGTTACGAATCAAAATTCTTGATAGAGGAATCCCCCAAGACGTACGGGGCCAGTGCCTGGAGACCCCGCGAACGGGGAAAGTCGGGGGAGCAGAATTTGTTGCTGAAAGTGACTCTCTTGTCTCATCTCGACTCCACAGAGGTCGATATAAAGGCCAGTCAATCTCCCCGTGGACTGCAGAGAGTTGTGCTGCATCAATCTCACCATGGCGTCCGAATCCCCCAAATATCTCGGGCTCTCTGGAAAGGCCCTGCACTGGGCCCAGGTGGCTCTGATAGGTGCCCCTGCCTTCATTGTCTTTGGATACAACCAAGCTGGTGTCGGTCCCCTGGCGACTCTCCAGAGCTGGGTCAAGACCTTCCCTCAGATCGATACGATTAACACGACCGGATCGCTCGAAGCACACCATTCCACCAGCAAGGGTGCTGTCATTGCCTCGTTCCAGATCGGAGCCCTCATCGGAGCTCTGTCTTGCACGCTGATCTCGGACCGGCTGGGTCGCCGGAAGACCATATTCCTCGGTTCTATCCTCGCAATCGTTGGAGAGATCCTCCAAGTGGCATCCTATGGATTAGTGCAATTCGTTATCGGCCGTATTATACTGGGTATGGGCGTTGGTCAGTACAGTGTTGCTGTACCGGTATGGCAGTCGGAGTGTTCGTCGGCAAAGAACAGAGGACAGCATGTCATCATCGATGGAATCTTCATGTGTCTTGGATACTCGCTGTGCAACTGGATCGATTTCGGTCTGAGTCGTATCCCCGAGAGCACGACGCAATGGCGGGTCCCGCTTGCCCTGTCGCTCCTCCCTGCCCTTGTCATCCTCCTTTCTGTCTTTTGGCTCCCAGAATCACCGCGGTGGCTGGTCCAGGTCAACCGCGTCGAGGAAGCAACCCACTCGCTTGCATCCCTAAAAGGACTGTCACTCAACGACGAGGGGATCCGGGCCGAAATCTCCGGTATTGAATCGTCCCTCGAGTTGACTGCGCAATCCAAAGGCTCTTTGATGGAGATGTTCGACCCCAATGACCAGGAGCGGCTATTCTACCGCTTCTGTCTGTGCATCATCCTGCAGTTCTTCCAGCAGATGTGCGGTGGTAACCTGATCTCCGTCTATGCCTCAACGATATTCGAGCAGAACCTTGGCCTCAGCGCCAGCCTGTCCAAGATCCTTGCCGCCTGTGCACTGACCTGGAAATTCTTCTGCTGCTTCATCGCCTTCTTCACCATCGACCGGCTCGGCCGTCGCGTCGTCTTCATGATCAGTGGCACGGGCATGGCCTTCTGCATGATCGCTCTGGCCATCACCAACAGCCGCGACACGGATAACAAGGGCGCGTCCATCGCCTCCGTCGTCTTCATCTTCCTCTTCAACCTCTTTTACCCTATCGGCTTCCTCGGCGGTAACTTCCTCTACTGCACGGAAGTAGCTCCCGTCCGCCTGCGCGTCGCCATGTCGTCCATCTCGACGGCGAACCACTGGCTATGGAACTTTGTCGTCGTGATGGTCACCCCCATCGCACTGGATACCATCGGCTACCAGTACTACGTCATGTATGCTGTGCTGTCCGCGTGTATCCCCTTGCTGGTGTACTTCTTCTATCCCGAGACCATGAACCGCAACCTGGAGTTGCTGAACCATGTTTTCCGGGATGCGTCGTCCCCGTGGGAGATTGTCTCGATGGCGAAGCATCTGCCTCAGGGTGAGGTCACCGAGGTGGACCTGATGGAGATGAACAAGAAGGGCGATGGGTGCTCTGTTGAGATGGCGGAGAAGGTCTAGTGAGGCTCTGTGCCATAAAGAAATGTATATAGAATGAGTCGCGCGCTGCATTATGGTTGATATATCTGCATTTGATTGTGGACATTGCGATGTCGGTAGATCCGACGTCCCATTGCCCGAACCGCTCAAGAAAAAATTAGCAAATCTAGAATACATAGAAATGATTCTTAGCTTTCCTTTCGGACTTGAACAGATTAGAAAGTCCAAGCCAGCATTTTTACAGGTTGTTCCACAACTACCTCCGACAAAGAAGTCCACTCCGCAAATCATACTCCCACATATCGCTCCCAACACCACTCCAAACAAAAAGGCTCTCGCTTGGGTCATAGGTCCGCTTAACCGCAAGCAACTTGTCATAATTCTCACCGTAAAAGTCCTTCTTCCACGTCCTCGAGAAAGCATTCCCCTCGTTCATGTAAGAGCCCGTATCCGGGGCCCAGCGCCTCCAAACCGGTTCTATGGTCGACTCGTGCCATTCCGCGACCGTTGCTAACGCCTTAGATGGGTCAGCGGTGTCATCGATGGATGCACCGTAGACCATGGCGTGGACATAGGCGGAGCGCCAGGCGGGGAGCACGCTACCGCGCATTTCTGGTGGTGTGGTGGCTGGTCCAGCACCTCCCTGCAGGCCAAGGAGGAGCATTCCCCCTTTTCTGGTTCCTGGGATGTAAGGGTTTGTTGGAGGTGGGTGATTAGGTTGGCTTTGGGTAGGTCTGTCAGCTCTCGGCGGCCTAGGAGTCGGCTGCTCATGGAACTACTAGCTCCGGAGGCCCTGCTAGCCAAGGGGTCGGGGTTCACAAAGGCCCAATAGCTCTGAGTTGATGGGGGCTGGTATGAGAGTGTAAGAGCGCTTGAATTGCGGTATTCTTTGATGCGCGCTGCGAGGTGGTGAAGGGTAGAGTTCATTTGCTTCGTCGTTGTATTGTATCCAATTAGGTTGATGCTGACTGCCACGCCCGGAGTCGTCACATTGGCGCCGGTAAGCCTCATGGCTGCCTCCTTCGTCAGCGCCATGACAGTTCCCGTGAAACCCGAGTCCATCAGATCAGGAATCGTGCGCGCAGTTTCCGCCAGGGCATCCCATGAGGCGAGCTCACTTGCCTTCCCACGGCGACTGGGATAGAAAGAAAGACCGCCAGTGACAACATTCGCAGGCACAGGATACGTCTTGAGAACAAACTCGGTGACAACTCCAAACTGGCCTCCACCACCGCCTCGGACAGCCCAGAAGAGATCTTCATTCTGGGCATGGTTGGCCACTAGCCGGCGGCCGTCAGTCGTGATCACTGTAACTTGGTATACCTGATCTGAAGCCAGACCGTGATGGCTAGAAAGCAGACCGTGGCCCCCGTTCTGAATTAATCCCCCTGGTCCTACGGTAGCGTCTTCGCCGCCAACGACGGTGCGGTTGATAGCATGAACGGCAGTGTATATAGATCCCCAGTTGTTGCCACTCCCTACGATCACGACGTCCGCAGTGTGGTTGGAGGCAGGCACTCGCCATGAAGGTCGATGGACGATGTGCCTGAAATTGTGTGTCCAGATCGAAAGCGAATATGCGCCGGTAGATCTAACGAGCTCCAAATTAGTCGACAAGACGCCAAGAGTGTACCAATCGCATACCGTCCGCTGAGGTCATGACCTGTCCCCTTCACCACGACACGGATATTTCTTTTAGACGCCCACTGCATTGCCTTCGCTACCTGCTCCTCGGTCGTGGCATTGACAATATACTGTGGGAGAGCTCCGATGCTACAGCCTCTACCCTCAGTATAACCCGCAACACCTGGAGCCACGCAGGAGTTGTTGGTATAGACCGAGTAATCAACGCTCTCGGGCCAGGCGGAGTGGTATGCAGCATATGACCAGTACTTCGTCACGATTGTGCAGTTTTCAGTTGAGCCAAAGGGATTCCCCGGATAGCAGGACGACGCAACCGGGGTGGTCTTGATCAGGGCTCCTTGGATTGATGCGTTCAGCGCGGCCCATTCTTCGGTAGAGGGCCATCCAGCGTCAAGGGGTGAGAGTTTGCAGTGTGGCTTAGAGTGCACTACACTGGGAAAAGCCAGGAGGGACACAAAGGCAGTGAAAGAGAACAATATCATTTTGTAATGTGGACACAAAAGATACGATGGGGTACTGGTAGGATTCCTGGTTCATGTCGAGAGTGTGCTTGTTTATATATCCGCACTTGTCCCCTATATTCCCCGTTACTATATCGACGGATATCAAGTATCCTGCCAGAGGAATACGTTTTACCGCTGTCGAACTTGATTATCAGCATCACTATAAACCCAATGATGCGGAGAATGACGAGCATCTATACACGGCTCTAATCACTATTGGTTCTTGATTCAGGATCGTGGTTCCGTCTTCGCAGATCTCCCGTTTTGATGAGTTTGATCGTACTCGTACTCGTATTATCAGGCAGAAGCAGCACGAAAAACCAATTTAGAACTCTCATGGTTATTCGTAGGGAAACTGTCCAATGACTGGATCGAGACATTTCCACTACCTGTTAAGGATTAGCAGAATCAGCGTCAGAATTCACCAAAGAGGAAGACCCGCAATCATGGATGGCTGGCTCCATGCAGGCCAACCACGTGAAATTCATCGCAAGACCCAAGAAAACCAAGACCTCAAATTCTCTGAAGCAATACATTTGCCGGAACTTGTATCCCGTTCTCAGGCAAAGCATGGTCGAGGACTCGAGCAAAGGTCCAAAGATCCACCGATCCCCGCTCGCCGTATTCGTACAATTTCTGCCTTTTTGGGAAGATTGCCACCATCTATACTTCACTCGAGGGCTCATTGACGCGCATCTCTCTAAATAGATCAACATGACCCCACAAATAAATTCTATCATAGGTCCTTCATTTCAAGGGCAAGATTGAGATTTTACCACCCTTTATCACCCCCAGCGCGCAATGTCTCTCAACATCTACATCGAAGACCCGTGCCCATATTACGCGGAAAACGACATCATCAGGGGGCGAATAATCTTTGACTGCCCTCGAGATTTCCAACAATTCAAAGATGTCAGACTAACCTTCTCGGGTTGCTCAAAAGTCAGGATTCAGAAAGTCAAGGGCCCAGCAGCACCGACAGGCACCTACCAGAGCAAGTGCATCTTATTCCAAAGGGAGAGGATTCTCCTTCCTGCAGAGGAATGCAAAGTACCTCCGGCGACCTATGAATGGCCATTCAAGTTTTCTTTTCCCCATCATGTTGAATCGTCAAATGCCTGGTCTGAGGCAGGATCATTCCGTGTTGACGAGAACCAACCACCACCACCGTCATTTGATGTTGCATGCCACAATTGCCTGCGAAAGGTATCCGCGAGCATCGAGTACCGGCTAAAAGTCCAGGTCTTCAAGCCCACGACGGGTCTCTTTGAAAGAAAGTCGCCGGTATTTGAGAAGGTGGTGCATCTTCCATTCGTTCCGATGGCGGCACGAGCACGAACATGTGCTATCGAACTGGAGAAGAAGCAGAAGATCGACCGAACATTCACCGTACGCAGCCTATCATTATTGCCAGAAAATACCGACCGCTCCCTGAGTGTGCAGGAGAGATTCAAAGCGTGGCTTTCTCCCGGACAACTGCCGTACTTTTCCTTTGGCGTTGAGTTCTGGTATCCATTGTACCTTGTTGAGGGCATGCCGATTCCACTGTTGCTGGATGTGAAGCCATTAATAGACAACTCTAATGCCCCTCAAGTTCCAGAGATTGTCTTACAAACGGCCTCCATCACACTTATCGGCAGGACGGCCGCTCGTGCATCTCCATTGCTGATGGGATCTATGTTAGGCGAGGTGGATGAAGAGACTATGCTACTTTCAAAAACATCGTTGCGGATGGCTGTTTCTGGTCAGATGGACCTTTCTGAGCGGTTCGGCCAGATATCATTGCCTACTACTGATGTCACTTTTAGCACTTTTAATCTGAGTCGTTCATACCGGCTGAGGATCTTGCTGGTGTTCGAATGCGCAGGAAAGTTGTTCAAATTCGATGCTACAGATCTGGAAGTAGGAGTACTCTCGAATGCTGGAATGACAGGAAAGAAGGATGATTTACCTATGGGCTCAGCAGATGAGGGCTCCAGTCATTCTCGAGGATATGTGGCCTACAGTCCGGACGGACAACCACCGCCGTATTCGCCTTCATCAGGTGTCTCAGAGCGGAGCTCGGAAGGAAAGCCCAGTGTCTAGGGTTCACTCAGTGAACGAGCACAAAGTTCTACGTATGAATATTGCTCATGGTCACTTGCATATACTCAATTCATCATATACGTGTTCATCTCCAAGCATGCGCCTGCCATAATGTATATGATCAAGTTTCCCATTCAACGATATCCTCAAGATGGAGTTCTCCATACCGGTGCACGCTTCTCGAGGAATGCATTGACTCCCTCTACCATATCGCGAGTCCCGAATGTGGAATAATAAAGTGACCGCTCAAACTCATGGTCATGCTGCAATTCGTCCGCTGGCGGGCTGTAAGTATAAATCCAGTAACAAGAGAGTAAGGACTCTCACCTCTGCATATTGCCTCCTTTGCCACCATCAAGGTGGAGGCACAGTGAGAAGCCAGCTTCTCTGCAATCTCCAACGCCCCGGATAGAGCCTTTCCTGGTTCGACCAGTTTGCTAACTAGTCCGACATGATACGCGTCGCGTCCAGAAAGGGGCTCATTGAGCAGAATCATGTTCATTGCCTACATAAGATCTTGTTAGTCGAGTCCCTTATCATCGGGGCCAGGCTTCGCCAGAGAGCAGCTACCCTATACTTGCCCACAGCGGCGGTCACTCTCTGGGTACCTCCAGCACCAGGGATCAGACCGATTGATATTTCAGGAAGTCGAAATTCCACGTCTGGCGTGGCGACGATAAAGTCTGCCTTGAAGAGTGATTCAGTCAGATCAAAAGCCATCCGAAGGGGGGAAAATTGCATACCATCAATGCAAGTTCGAAACCACCTCCAAGCTGCGAGGGACGATTTCCGGTCAGCATCGTCATACCAATACTCAGAGCAGAAGACATACCGCTTTACCCTCGACCGCCGCAATGATAGGTTTCCGGACCTGTTTCATTCCATGACAGAGACCTTCGAGATACCGTTTCTGCCGAGCAGTCTCGCCATCTAATTGAGCGATCTCTTTGATGTCGGCACCAGCTGTATGAAAATCAAAGTTGCGACGAGTAAGCTACATACTTCCTACATTTAACGTGTGACGCCTACCGGAAAAGATGGCGCCAGAACCAGCAATGACGATGGCTCTGATGTGCGGATCAGCCGAGGCTGTCACCAGCTGTCTCAATAACTCGTCGATAAGCGCCTGACATAAAGCGTTTCGCTTATTAGGACGATTCAGAGTGAGAATCCGAGTAGAACTCTGATGTGTTTGAGCCGAAATAAACCCTTCAGTCTGCGTTGAATAATCCATGACGATGCGCATCTAGGCAGGGATCAGACAGCAACACGAATGTTCTAGCTTCGAGGAAACAGTCCAGGCTAAAAGGGGCTCAACACCTGACTGAAACATTTCCAGGCTATTTTTGCCCTTCCCGTGTACGGAGGTAGGGGCTGAAACCTACGGAGTTGCGGGCCGTGTCAAGATAGCCACAGGCCACAACGGCTGAACAGCTAGACCGAGTGTAGCGTGTCGAGAACACCACTTGCGCGACATGGAGTCACACATGCAACAAGCGAAAAAGGCCAAGATGCCTTTCCGGGAAATGTTAGATTAACATAAGCACCTCAGACCGTTTTCATACGGACCCCCGCAGGCGCATCCGGTTGAATTCCGTGCCAACGAGTTGAGAACATTCAGGAATATGAATCCGAGCACGAATCAGGACCACGACTATAATGAACCGATTGGTCGAGACCCATTCTCTTCAGACAACCGATGCAGACGAGGCGTGCGACCAGGGTCCTGTCTCCACTTAAAGTGACCCTAGAGCGAGTAAAGCCACCAATATCCGAAAGGGTCCCAGGAACCATCACCAAGACGGCCCATGATCGACATCTTTGACCCCGCATGCCCAGCCCATTGCTACTCACACTGTGACGTCGTGCACACCTGAAGGATCCGAATCGAGTCGATGGACCGTCGCGATGCATCAGCTTGTCTCACTGCTATCCCGCAATCCTACAGTCTGGCCGTGACTGCCGGGGCCAGGTGGCTGTACTGGTGGGTCAGCAATCAATCTGTCGCCGGGGCGCGGGGCCAACAATATTTCCAAATTCCCTCAACCCTGGCTGGAAGGAACAGGTGTCTGTTCGTCACCAGCAGGGAGACCGTAGCACAATGGGCGCACATATATCCTGCGAGGGACTCCTCCTGCATCGTATTGATCCTTCCGGGAGGGTTACTTCCTGCAACAAGATTTGGTTCTTTTACAAAGTCCCCCAGAAATGGAGTCCCCTTTAGTCTCACCTCGAGACGGAAATCATTTCCGATCGTTCGGCTTCGGCCCCCAGCGCCCTGTTCCCTATCCTACTGTGCACCATGCCTTCAAAGATCGTGCGAAGCAATATCCTGACGCCGTCGCCGTCTGTGATCTTTCCCAGAACAAATCGGTAGAGGTTACATATGATAATCTGCTTCGATATGCCCAGTTCATTGCACTTCGACTTCAGAATCATGGTGTGGTCCCTGGCAGTAGGATTGTCCTCGTCACGAAACGGAGTGTCGAGATGGTCGCTGGTATTCTAGGTATCCTTATGTGCGGTGCGCAGTATATTCCCCTCGACGGCGCTGTTGTTCCGGACCAGACACTGGAACATGCTGTCATTCAGTCCCAGAATACTGTAGCGTTGTGTACGGGTACCTTTAGATCGCGACTGCATCCGTTTCCACAACTATCTTCGGTTCTGGTTCTGGAGGAATTACTCGCGGAGGCGGAGCTTACTGGCTTCCGGGTTGACACCACTCGTTTGATCTGCGAGGGAGACGAGAGTTCCGGGTGCTATGTGATTTACACTTCTGGTCAGCTTTATCCGTTCTGTGCACCGAATTAAACCTAACTGGCTGTGAAGGTACCACCGGCGACCCCAAAGGCGTCGATGTCACGCACAGAAATGTTACAAACGTCGTCTGCCATGCGCCCGGCAATCTGGGCATGTCTCGTGGTTCGAGGGTGGGACAAGTATTGTCCATAAGTTTTGACATGGGTGAGCATGACAGAACTGCGATGACGAAAGGTAGTACTGACATTGCTAGGTGCTTGGGAAATACTGGGGAGTCTTTGTAATGGCGCAACCTTGGTCCTAAGAGGGTCGGATTGGCACGCGGCACTACAACAGGTGAGTCCAAGATTCAAAAGATATTCGATGCAGGTAAACTGAGCCGAGTTAACTAGATTGATACGCTGATATGCACCCCGAGCATACTCCGTCGATACCGTCCCCAAGATTTCCCCAATATCCGCTGCATCGCCACCGCCGGCGAGCCATGTTCTCAGAGGTAGCCATTATCAACAGAGTGTGTCTTCGACTAGAGCTAACTTACTCGTCTAGTCTCGCCGACAAATGGGTGGCGAACGGAGCAACCTTCTACAACTGCTGCGGCCCAACAGAGATCACCATCATCAATACCATGCACAGACACAAATTCGCTCAGCAATTAACTATAGGAAGACCTCTCCCAAACACCAGCGTGTACATACTGGACGATAAGCAACTTCCAGTTGCAATTGGAGAGGTCGGGACTATGTGGGCTGGTGGAGCAGGCATCACAAGAGGGTATCTTGGACAGCCTGAGAAGACTGCCGAGCGATATCGCTATGACCCTTTTGTAGATGATGGGTGCGTCTCAGGCAGTTTGTCCTACTGTAATGCTTCTTGCTGACAGAGATTGCCTGCAGTCACTCAATGATGTTCAATACCGGCGATTTAGCCCGCTGGCTTCCGGATGGGAACTTGGAGACGCTGGGACGCAATGATGATCAGGTCAAAATCAAGGTAGGCCGTTCGCCTCCTTTATCCGATCTTTACAGTACTGAACGCAGTAGGGCTTCCGTGTCGAACTAGATGGTGTGAGCGCTTCATTGGCCTCCTTCCCGGGTGTTATGGAGGCTGCCGCCATCATGGTGGAAGGAGACCTTATCGCATTCGTCACTCCTCAGGCGGTCGATTCGCAGGAAATACAGGCCCACTTGAAGGCGAGACTGCCATACTATGCTATCCCAACGCAAGTGCATAGGATGGATGCATTTCCACTGACGCCAAATGGCAAAATCGACAAACGGGCCCTGGCTCAGTTGTGCCGTCCCCAAAGGAAGTCATCCCAATGTGTTACGGAGATACTAGACGAGAAGAAGCATGTTGTTCTGAGCTCTTCTCGCGAAACAGTGTCAACCCGATCAGATTCTTCAGAATCACTCCACAAACCCGTGCCGTTGGCGGAGAAGAAAAACCGGAAGGTCGTTCGGGGACTCAGATATCGCGTGTTTATTGTCTACCGGAGGCTTTTCACGCTCATCTGGATGGCAAATATTGCTGCCCTCTTGTGCGTTCTGTTCGTTCCAAAGATTGGCCCCCAATGGATCTCAACAATCGCCTTCATCAACCTCACCATTGCCGTTCTCGTCCGCCAGGACGCTGTCATCAACATCCTCTACACAATCTGCTGCTCTGTACCAAAGTCATGGCCATTGGCGATCCGTCGCCGGTGTGCAAAAATCTACCATCTTGGTGGAGTTCACTCGGGCGCTGCAATGGCCGCTACGGCCTGGTTTGCCGGCTCTATCGGGTATAATATCTACAACCAGGTCGACGATGCACGAGTGCTTGCGAAAGTCTCGCCGGCAACCCTCACGCTGTCGTTAATCGTCCTACTCCTTCTATTCGCAATGATCGGCTTCGCATATCCGACTTTCAGAAAGCAGCGTCACAACACATTCGAGCGCATCCATCGCTTCTTCGGCTGGACAATCCTCGGCATCATCTGGATCCAAACAATCCTCTCCATACGGGACCAGCGCGGCGCACAATCTCTGGGCCGGGCCGTCATCTCTTCCCCTAAGTTCTGGATGCTCCTCGTCATCACGGCCAGCATTGCAAGCTCGTGGATCTTCCTCCGGAAGGTCCCCGTCGACGCCGAGGTCCTCTCCAATCACGCCGTGCGGCTTCACTTTGACTACACGATGCCGGTCAACGGGACGTTTACCAGACTATCCGAGCGGCCTCTCTTCGAGTGGCACTCATTCGCGACAGTCCCTGCTCCAACCGCCGTGAACGGTAGACCGAAGGGGTACTCACTAGTAGTCTCCCGCGCAGGGGACTGGACAGGACGGCAGATCAGCAAACCACCCACCCACTTTTGGGTCCGCGATATTCCCAGTAAGTCTCCTCTTCTCTCACTATATCCTTCTGCTAATTATCCCCAACAGCCTGCGGCGTAATGCGCATCGCAACGCTCTTCAACCGCGTTGTCCTAGTAGGCACCGGCTCAGGTATCGGCCCTCTCCTCGGGCATATCCAAGTGCCAACATGCCCCTTCCGGCTTGTCTGGTCAACGCCAAACCCCATCGATACATTCGGGAAGGACGTCGTGGACGCCGTGTATGCCGCGGATCACGGGGCGATCGTGCACGACACGAAGAAGCAGGGTCGGCCGGATTTGGTGCGGCTGACATGGGATGCGGTGCAGGAGTTTCAGGCTGAGGCTGTGATTGTGATTTCGAATGAGAAGTTGACTAAGAAGGTAGTCTATGGGATGGAGACGAGAGGGGTTCCTGCTTATGGGGCTATTTGGGATAGTTAGCTTGTTCGTGTTGTGGGGGTTATTGAGGTTGATGTATGTATTTCTGTTTAATCATATTATATAGTCCGTCGTCTGTTGGACTGTATACCATTACTGTAAATTTGTGCATGCTGTGGGATGACAGTCTGCAAGAAAACATCATTCAGGGAGACCAGCTCGTCTTCTTCCAGAATCACGGGACTGGGATCCAAAATTCTAGCTATCCATTCCCAGTGCATTCCAAGGATTATCCGCGATAAAGAACTGCGCAAAATCGAAGTTCTCCGAACTGGACAAATCCGCGACCAAGTCCCTAAACGACTCGGAGTCCTGCATACTCTGTCGTCGCTGGGAAATGGCTTCAGGATCAGGGCCGAAGTGTAGGCCCAAGATAGTATTCAGACGGCCCGCATCGTGATCCTTTCGTCTCTGCTGTAATAGAATCAAGGAACCAGCGGTTCGGTATGCATCCCTCAGAACCCCTGTGTCATACGCATCCGTTACGTATTTGAGGGTCTGCACGGCGTCGTCTAACAGGGACAACGACTCTGGACTATCCACTGCTAGTAGCGTGCAGATAATCTGGAAAGGGACATTAGCCACATGACTCCAGGGACAGTTTGCGTCTACTAATTCCCGGGCGCAAGCGAGAGCTTTCGCAATTAGCTCCAACATTTGGCCCATAAGGTTCGGGGATAGAGTTGAGTGAACTGCACGCAGACGTCGGAAGATACATAAGAGGAGGTTGCATTGAGAGAGAACGGACGGGGGTTGCGCGCGATTGCTCTGCATGATATTGACGAACATGGTGGTAAGTTGGACGGCGTCGACCGAGGTGTAGGGGTCGAGGCTCTCGGAAAGGGGCAACAGATCCAACATCTCCGCCGTGAAATCTCCGTCTCGACTGGACGGGGTTGAGTATGATGCGCCGTGTAAGATGATTCGTGATCGTGCCAAGTCAAAGGACACCCATGTGTTGATGTACTGGGCAAACGAGACGAGCCTACGTCTGATATCATCGTCGATATTCAGTGTCGGTCGTAAGAGCGCATGTCTGGATGACGGATCCAGGTGTAGACCGGACGCGTCAATGAGGTGCATTAATGAACAGCTCGCCAGCCAAGCCGTGTGAGGCGATGCCGTTAACCGCAGGTAAGAAACCCGAAGAGCCCATCCCGTGATTAGCATCAGTGGTGGTATCTCGCGTCCAGAACGCTGTTCAAGAGCCGACTTGGCCGACTCAACCAGATGCAGCTCTGCAGCCACTGCCTTCCTTCGAGAAAACAAGTAGCCCATCGCGGCCACTCCGCAAAGAACGACATCGCAGGGTTCAAAAGCGGACGGTCGATCCCATCTCGACGAGATATACTCATAGCAGCTATCCTTGTCAACGAAGCCGTAGTACGGAGCGACCTTATCGAAGCAAATGTGCATCAAAGCGGTCATTTCCTCGGCGGATATGATATTCACTATCGGCATCGCCATAAAGCTGCCCGGCAATTGGCGCAGCCCGATATTCCACGCGAAGACTTGAGGATCGAGTGCATTGACAGGGTCGATCTTGAGTCCCAGGTTCTGCACAAAGACGGCACCCGAATTTGGTCCGATCGACTGTTGTACAGTATTGGTAAATCGCTCACCAGGTGGTGATGGTCGTGGTAGAGTCGGTGCCCTTGGGGACTCTGAATGCGACCCCCCTGCTGCGCATGAGCCGGTCGGACTGCCGTCAGAGTGCCCAGGGCGAGGCCCTTGTTTCGTTTCTTCCGTGACCCCAAGTCATAGTGGCATGTGTACTCAGAGTCAGTGCACATCTCGCATGGTTGCTGGCCGTTGCACTTCCTCTTCCTGGTCCGGCATGGCTCACAGGCAACCTTGGAACGACGCTGCCGTTTCAGCAGGCCTGACATCCTTGTCTTCTGGCTTCACACGACTCCTTGTTTATTCGCAACTCCATTTCTATCAATATTAGATTCTCGGAGCCGACATCTGCAATCCTTATTCAAGGCGAGTGCCATCAAGAAAAACCCACGATTCGGAATGATTACTAATACTAATATCGTAGTTTTCGTCACTTGCGCCCATTCCCTTTTCGGATGTAGCGCTGGGGGTCAGGGCTTATATCTAGGTATTAACATTCACTGGTAGTACAACAGCAGAATCCAGACGTTTTCTTTGGGCAATATGGCCTGGTTGGACCAGTCAGCACTAGGGCATGTCTTTCAAGCTTCGGAGGATGTATATCCTCTGCATCATGTCAATGACACCTCTCGGTCGACTCATGGCGGTGTTACTTCAGTGGCTCGGAATCGGATGGAATATGTGATTTACGCTGTATCCAGGTCCAATGTAGTTGGGAAGATGCTGCCTTTGGTCAGGTAGATTTTATGACCAGTCTAGGTGGCAGCCGCAGATAGAAGCGGACATCTGGACGCTGGCAGCTGATATAGTTGTATCAGAAATTCCTGCTGTCCCCGTCTCGTCTTTTGCCAGTTACGAAGGAGAAAGGAGCAATATACGTAATATAGAGCGTCAGAAGCTTATTCAACTTTCATAGCCTATTCTACGGACTAGGTCCTCAGCGAAACCGGCTGGTAAATTGGCGTCTCCATACAGCTGCGGATGGTGCGGATTTAGCGGATATATTTTCTGGTTGCCACAACTAAAAACCGTCACTGACTCCCTCGCAAAATCAACTCTATTTGCAACTCTCCTTTTTCTGATACTCATGTACAATATGACATCAGATTACCACTATACCTACTTTCGAGTCCCGAAGACAGAAGATCTTACTCGCTCAGCACAGCGATACAGAGATCTGCGCCTGCAGGCCCTCAAGCTCTCACCGTCGTCATTTGCGGCAACCTACGAATCAGAAGCCCTTTTCACAGAGGAATACTGGAAATCCCGCCTGTCGCAACAAGACAGGGAGACATTTGTTTGCGCCGCACGCCCTGCTAAGTCTACTGCATCCACCGGAGACGACCTCGAATGGGTGGCTCAATTAACGCTGCTCGGTCCCCGAACCAAAGAGGAGTTCACGCTGCCAGCAGCATCCGGGCAACCAGAACCAGGCCCCGATGAAAAGGAGGAACGGTGGCAGCTTCTCGGTCTTTACACACTATCTTCGCATCGCGGGAGGGGTATCGCGAAGCGACTGTGTGCGGAGGCTATCAAGTATCTTGTCGGGTATCGGGCCGAGCCAAAGAATGTCCAGGTTCGGTTGATGGTTAAGTGGGGGATGGAAGCAACTGCACGGCTGTATCAGCAACTGGGCTTTGAGGAGGTGGGAAGCTGTACCCTTGCTGAAGCACTGATTGCGAACGGGGAAGGGGATCTTTTGCCGGAGGGGTACGAGGTGCAGGAGAAGTTCTGTGCGCGGGGTGGTCATGTTATGCTGCAGCGTTTTACCAGAGATCGTGTATAGAGGACGGCACAATGTAGCCAGCATGGATGCTTGGATTATATGGAGGTCAGCAGTATCGCATAGAAGAAGGTTACGGCGTTGACGCAGGCTTTACATAAAGCGGTAAACGGGCTGTCGTTCTCTCTAAACATGCATTGAAGGGCAAAGAAATCTATACTTTGATCGCTGTCAGAAACATCAAACGGAATATATACAGACATATGAACTCGCTCAAGAGAAAGACATTATAAGGGAGGATAAGTAAGGAAGGATAAAAGAAGCCAAGCAAACGCGGCCTAAACAGCGGCTGGAAGGGACCAGGAGAAAGAGTGTATACCCAAAATCAAGAAAAAAGAGTCAAAAGAGAGTAAGGGTCCTAGAACAATTACGCATTGTTAGAAAGGACTTTTGCAGGGACAGTACAAATCATTGCGGGACCGAAGGCTTGGAACGGTGATCGAATAACAGTCTGCGGATGCTGATGTTGGCAACATGAGCCATAGCGATAACATGTCGCGGTTCCGGGATCTTCGACGGAAAAATCAGATACAAAGGAGAATCCTGCTCCTCATCCGGCTTGAACTTGCCAAAATAGGTCTTCTTTCCGCCGATTGGGAGTCTTTGGAATGTATATCGGTATATTTGCCGCGTTAGATGTGCGAGAGGACCAGGCATTCCTGATACCTCTGCCAACGAGTCAGAAGGCTCATACCCGAAACTAAGGTATGAGACGCCAATCTGCCTCAGCCAAGCCATTGAGGCAAATATTAACAAATCGCTGATTCCTTTTGGCGCTCCAGGGGCGGCGATGCACGGATCGACGTGATATCCATTCTTGCCACCGATCCATCGTAGGGCTGCGAAACCGTTCACCTTTCCGTCTTGCGCTCGAGTATAAATGTATGTCATGAGGTTCGGCATTAAGAAGGGGTCATACTCTGTGATGAAGGCTTGAAGTTTCCCGACTTGTTGCGGGCCATGCGCCACTCATCGTAGATTGCGCACAACTCCATCTCCAACTCGTAGTCTGTCTCCAGGGACGGTGAATAAATGTGCAAGGTAATGCCGCCTTTGCTTGCATTGAGGAGCTGTCGATTCTGGGTGAGGATACGTTTCCCATTGGTCTCATGGATAACCTCGTTTGTCAGAGGGTTCAAGACACGCTCTTTACCAAACTGCAAGACGGTCCATTTCTTGTTACGTGCTTTGGCGTAGCGCACAAGCATTTCGCCGGCACCCAGGAGTGAGACATCCCAGCGTTGTCGACGTCGGTAACAATTGAACTCATCAAGAACGGTAGATATCTGCGCTGGGTCGCACATAGGATCGCCCATCACTATCGCGACCTTGTTCAGAACCTTGAAGCATAAGCCCCCGGTGCGATCTCCATTCACGAAGACGTTGTAGCTGGGGTCAAGCAGCCCCATATGTGAAGCTTGGCCATATTGAGTTGCCAGTCGTTCCACGTCTTCAAGGAGGACCAGTCCGTCCAAGCTGACGATGCGTTTATAGGGGAGGGATTTTCGGCTGGCGTTGATGGAGCTGTTTCGTTGGCTATGCGCATCCTCTTCGCTGATGCAGCTAGAGCCGGTGGGCAAGGTGTCATAGGACCTAGCAGAAAGGGTATCGTCGGATATGCTCGTGCTACTGCGTGTGCTACCACTGGAACGACCGGTGTGACTGGGAACTGACAGCCAGGCTGATGGAGACATTTTCACAGGGGGCTCATGGTGCTCAAACTGGTCGTGAGACATATGGTTGACGCCCTTTGTGAGGCGAGCATGGCCGTGACATAATGACCGTCCGATGGTCTCAGCCAGCAAGACTCTTCTGCACTCTTCTGTTTTATTACATTCAGCCCGACAGCGTTTACTCCGTTCTTTGTTGGTCTTCTTGGTCTTCTTGAGGGTCTCGGGTCTTTCACTTAAGCTGAACGGGGTATTATCAGGCGCCATACCGAAGGATAATTCGTTTCGAGTCTTATGGAACAATGGCGACGTGTAGGATGGAAACCTTGCGTAGGTTCAATGGATCGACCTCGTAATACAGATCAGAAGCAAAGAAAAGGGAGCAGAACATAGATTTTAATGACCGCAGGTTTCAGCCTAGCCAGGCCATGCCCTCCGAAACCCTGGCAGGGCTGCCCTAGTCGGATGGGCCGATATGACAACCCCAAGCCACTCCAGATTTGGTAAAAAGTGGTCATGCTCCTCGGAATACTCCAATCTCCCAGGGCGCAATGACCAACAGAAAGCTTTCAACCTAAATAATATCCACTGTTTCTTGTTTCAGCTGCTTGTTCGCTTTCGCTTGGGTGGCTCGGGTGGCTAGCAGGCTGCTAGCCTTTTCAAGACGCCATTCCATCCTTCTTGTCGTTGCCCTACAGTCGGGGAGTCAGAGCCTCGCTAAAAAATGTTGCAGCCTTACGGCCGGACAAGCTTTGATTAACCTAGCTAGCGAAAATAACGCACTGTTTGAAACTCTACATGTGATATCTACTTTCTGTGTTTGACTAGACAGGCCAAACTGGTATTGAATATTTGAGATGGCCGTTTAATTGACTAAACTTCTTTGCAGCCAACTCACAGTCCAGCCAAGTCAAGAAGAAATTAGATACAACCTAGTAACGGAACGTCTAGGGAGCCAGCATACGTTGATGCTCAAAATAGGGGCCGGTGTGGAGTGGGAAACAAGCTTCGCATAGCCGTATCCACAGCCAATAGGGGACTGGAAGCTAGGCAGCATGATTTATCTGTCTGGACCCTATTTCAGGGACCTATTCAGGTTCGGGTTTTGCCGCCAATTCACCATTGGATGCTGGCGTCCTCGGAACCCGAACTCCAGGCAACCATAAATGTTCAGCCCTCCTATCGAAGACCGACATGTTTAGAAACTGAGCTACAGTAGTAGCGCACCAATGGTACAGCTGTTTCTCGTCATTCTATGGCTTGCTACCGTCTCAAACACCATTGTAACGAGAATAACCAGAAGGGTCTCCATGTATTTTGTCATATGTTGCCGAAGACTAGGTGGAAAAGTCATAGGAGTCTCTGACTTACATGCCCCTTTCCAAACTAAGGCGTTAATTCACCGATTCAACCTGAAAAGCAATTTCCCCAATCTAGTTGAACTCCTCGATAAACCAGCGTCCCTTGTTCGGCATAGTCCCCGGATATTGTCCAGACTTTCCTATATCAACTAATATCTCCAGCCCCCGCCTGCAGACATTCAACTGTCTTTCCTGGCAATCCTTCAGTCAACCCACTTACTAATTGGCTGACAGAGTGTTTTACGACCCAAAGAAGACCGTGAGGAACTCCCCCCTCCCATCACATTCGGCAAGGTCGTATTCTGCCGACCGATAAATCCGTAGATGCTCGGAAAGCTCTCGGCCCTCACAGAGTGCTCGGAGATATGGCCTGATAGCAACTATCTTTGTGACTTGCACAGAGGTTCGTCGAAGGTTGAAAACAAATGATATGTATTCCTCGAGAGCTGGGTTCCGGCCAAACGCTGCAAAGGCAAGGAACAGCCCGAAAGGAATCTCACGCTTCATTCTATGTTCAGTATCGGGTCTCTTGTCGGTTGAAGCAGGCATAATATCTGGAGAACTCACATTCCAAAGATCAGCGGATGGAAAAGTTGCTCTTATAGATTCCCTCCAGCAAGCGCCCAACCAATGGCTCCGTTGCACCTCAAGAACCCGCGGACTCGACATGTTTGAAGTGGAAAGGGAATCCGCATAGTGGAGTCCAACTGAGAGCTATATTAGCAGGAAATATTGAGAAAGGGAAGAGGATATTCACGGATCATGACACTTACAATCCCGGCCCAAGATCATCGGGAGGTGTTTCGCCGTCGGGGGTTTGCGCCAGTTTGTGGATGGCGTCAAAGACCCATGTGAACGCATTTGCCTCCAGCCAACTGTCACTATCGGATATACTTAGGATACCGTAAAGAATACTCGGATATTCCCGTCAAGTGCCTTGAATACATGAAAGACTCGGTAAGACAAGTCGACAAATTGCTAGATTGCCCGAGTTGTACTTCCTTGAAACATCCCAGACTTGCATCGCTGTTGTCATCTGTGGCAGCAGACTGCATTCTTCAATATATCAGTGCCAGAGCTTTGCAGCGAAGCGATCCCTGGAAAGTGAATTGGCTCAATCTCCAAGAGCGTGACTTCACTGCTGTGTCAACTTGTTCTTAGACGCCGCGCGCAATTCTTTTCCCAAGGAGCAATTAAACGATCATGCTCTACTAGGTAAAGAAATGAGTCATTTCGCTCAGGGAGGGGTTGAACGAATTGCCGTTATCTGAAGACAGCAGTGACCATTTTGTGAAACCGGCTGACAAGGAAGCTGAATGAGATGACTGATTGAGACCTTGTTTGAACATGTATCCTCCGCAGACTGGTCTGCGAGACATTCCAACAAAGCGCTGCGGCTATACTAAACAACAAAGATGCATTCTGGTCTGGCTCTTCATTGACTTTGGTGACAGTTCAGCTGAGGATGCGCATCTCCAGTGAAGCGATAGGAGTCATCCGTAGCCCCCATATGTCTTATATTTTGCCCTTGTATTTCCGATCTACTCGAAGCAGGACTGTACGTACCAACTTCGCCGCTTTATGCGCGGAGCGAAAATGTTCTTCGGATGGGGTACGCCACTATTTCTGGAATACCATCATTGCCGCACCTCGCTGCAAGGCCACTGGTTGCAGGAAGGTGTTCGAGTGATGGTCATTATCTATTGAATGACGAGGTAAACCAGAATGGCCTGAAGTTTAATTCAGCAAGGAAGATAGTGAGAACCAAATTCTGCATGTGTGTTGATGATGACCTAGCTATGACAATGATATCATGCGGAGCTACTACCACCACGACGTTTTCATATCTACAGCCTCAGCTCTAGCTCCGGCAACGATGGATATCTCGAATATTTCTCGCCAGATGGTTGGATTCCTACTACAGAAACCAAAGAATTGGACATCAGAACACATACGCATACTCAATGTGGAAGAAAAAGGCACGATATCTGCAGCGGAGATGGTTGGTCAGGAGCACCTCCCAGACGAAGGCGATCAGGGTATGTTCTTAAGTGACCTCGAATATTATGTTGTAGCTAACCGAAATCTTAGTTTTCCATGACCTAAGTCGGCAGTTCATGGAACCAACAAGAGAAGATATCTTCAGATCACGATATGATAAGTTCAGCCACCCCGAAAACGCATTTTCCGGTGTTTTCCACGAGACATACCGTCTCACATTTCCAGTCCCTGACAATCAGGAGCCTAATTCAATACCATTGTCAAGCATCCTATTCGAGATGGTCAGGGCATGCTATGGCCTTGGAGAGATGTTTGTATCTTTCTCTCAGCGGTACTAACCGTTGCTAATATTCGAGCAGTTGGGCATATTCCGGACCGCTACCATTCCACTTGCCATTATTCAAGGCCAAGGGGGCTCTTAATTGTCCTGGGGCCATTGGCAGAATTCCCAAGGGAGAGAACTATCCGTTTTCTCCTCTGGTAGTTTACAATGTACATACATTAGCCGCTATGCCCGCCTCTTCCAGACTACTGACAGCTATCCAGTTTCTGGAAGGATCAACGGAAGAGAATAAGATCAAAGGCGAGGTGCCATATGGTTTATTTCTCATTTTTGCCGCTTTCAACAAGGATCCTCATCAAAGAGAGTATGCGTCTTTCCTCATCAATATGCGTCGTACCTCTCTTACCCGCGTACAAATTACAAAACTGGTGGCTTCGGGATCCTACTTGCAGGCGCTGTGTCAAGGAAAGCCTTTGGAGGAGCATTTGGAGATTTACCGGTCTCATGAATTTGATCTCGTAGAGCCTGAAGGGCGCAGGGCATTCTTGGTGATGTTCGTGGGTGTAGTCAACTACGTGATGAATCGTCCGGAGTTGACCAAGACTACATTTCTTCGGAGAGCTATATCATAGTATAGCCATAGCCGGGGGAAGTCTGACCGATTTCCAATTGAGCAGGTATACTAGCTTTCACAACATTCCGTGACTTTATGGACTCCCTGAATCGTGGTAGCCTCCTTGTTGATAGAACATGTTATTACTCGGCTTTTTTTTTTTCCAACTTAACCCAAATGCCAAAGCCATTACCTGCGTCAGTAGAAACAATGAAGTAAGAAGCACAACCTTGGCATCGGGTTGTTGCTGCAGGGAATACGTCTGTTTCAAACCACGGAGAAGCCATCGGTTTTGCCGGACAGAAGGTCGGGGACCTCAGGGTCGGGGTTTCTCGTAAGTGGCTTGGAGCTGACTTTTGGTAAGACGAATCTGGTTCATCTTCGCCTCGCCGCTGTACAGATTTCTAAGGGCCTCTACGCGTCCCTGTCGACTTTTGAGCTCCATTGCCCTGGTTCTGCGAACCCAGAGATATTGGTCGGCGGCAAGGAACTTCGACTTCACCGCATGCAGATAGTCGGCTGTGAAGTACGCGGCAACAAGTCGCACTTGTGTGCCGTGTATCGAAATAAGAAACGCCTCTTGGTCCTCACGCCGGTTCAACAGCCGATCCTGCTCGCAGGCGATACCTAACAGCTCAGCCACTTCTTGGCCGAGGATCTTATAATTGAAGCGCTCCGGCTGCCCAGTACCCCCGTGCAATCCTCCAGCATGTCGGCGTTTGGCCTTCGAAATCATTAGTAACAGTTTTCATACACTGTGAAGCGTGTAGTGTGATTGTCTTACTTGTACAGCCACCAACGGCACATCGGATGGCCGGTCTGAAGAGGTACCGGCTCCACTGCCGAATAGAGCTATACCGCCGTCAGAACTTGCTGAAATCTGGTCGAATCCAGGAGGGTCCAGCTCTAGTTTCAGACGCATGTCAGTAGTAATGCTGCACAAGCTGCAAGCTGCAAACTGCATTCTTATTGTTTTGCATCGCTGCAATGCCGTATTGCCATTCTTTGAGAAGTGTTTGATGGAACCATCAGGGTTTCAATAGCCTTCAACTACAGGCCCGCTGGTTTGGGTCTACTGAGTGGTTAGTGGTGATCATATACTGTATTCTGATCGGTGATTCCAACACCTGTTCATTGTTACCCAGGCCAATAGACTAACCACTGTCACATTTGATATACGATATCCCAGGAAGGTCATTGTTTATTCATATAGTAATTCCCGAAAGAAATCGCCCATCTATGTTGTGTTGGAGATTGAAAAATACTTGTGTATTATATTCAGCCTGTCTTCTAACTATAGACAAGAACCATGTCCCCCGCGAGCATCAGGCTTACGGCTGAGAACACAACACCCCATGCTCCAGACATCAGTTGGTTTCTTGTGCAAAGATGGCGTCTATTTCCGATTAATACAACTGGCACGATAGGGGAAGTACTTGCGGTATATGGTTCTTTGTGCATAAAGGATGAAGAAAAGCGGGGACTCTTAGGAACTTACGTTCTTCGTAATCCAGTCATTGATTTGCAATTGAGCCAAGATATTGGATCCATCATACCCAAGTCTGCCGTCCATAAACCGCCAGTAACGACTGCCCAGCGGACTGAGTGTGAACGTTCTGTCGGAGCCCGTCTCGCCGTAGTTCCTCAATGAGTTCCTCGTAGATATCCTCCATCATTGTCCCGAAAGTTGAATAGTCTATCGATCACACAGATGGAAGACTACGAGGGCTTAGTATCAATAGTCAATAGACAGATAAACCACAGCGCAAGTATTTTCTACTAAGGCAACTATGGATGAGCTAACAACGCCGGTATGGAACGTCTGCGGCCGAAGATACCTTGGTAATTGATTGCCTTCGAGGAGGCGCTCGCGCCTATCGTTGGGGATCAAATGGCTCGTCATCATACTTACAAAACCTCTCTACCTAGCCTGTGATGAATTGCCCACTGCCAGTGAGATGATAGACCCGGTCAAGGATGCATTCATCGAACAATATCCCACAGTTCTCGCCACTGGCTCAAAGTTCCTGCTTTATCAGTAATCCCTCATCCAGCACTCCCTCCTCCTTCTGGTCCGCACGAGTCAAATTGATTCTAAAGGCCGGCAGTTCCACCTTTCCAAACATGCCAGTCTTCTCATCCCTGTCCCAAAAGACAACCTCGCTCAAAGGAGTTCCCGCATACATTATATTATCTACATCGCTGATACAGAATTCATCCGAAACGGGTGCGAAACCCGACCATGAGCCAGCATTATTCTCGTGTTCGCTCCATCGCCCTAGCACTGATTCCGAGGGGGCCTCCCTATCCATCACGGCTGCAATCCTCCATACCTCTCCTAGTTGCTTCTCATCTCTGTAGAGACCGGAGGGAATCAACTGGGCGTGTAATTTTGTGTTCTTGGGGTATTGAAAGTGCTTGGATATGATGCTCAACACATCTGTGGAGTTTGAAATCCACTCGTTGATCTCAAGGCCATGGGTTGAAGTGTATGTTAATGTCAACGTGGAGTGGACAATATGCTCCTTGGTAGAAGAAGTGTATCTCCCCACATATGTTTCCTTAATCTGCCGTGCAGCAAGCGCATCAGCCGCACGAATCAGTGGAACAATGACCATCTCCACTATTACTTCCGGGAGTGTCTCATCTCCAGCTGTGAGAACCGTAATACCCAAATCGTATTCCGGCACGAGGAGGATGATGGTTCTGTACCCCGGGACACCGCCACCTTTGGTGAAGAATGTCACTGTCCTGGTCCTCCGCTTATCGTCTGGGAGAAGAATTCTGTCCGTGCGGAAAATCTCCCACGGCATGCCGTAATAACTCCCCATCCCAGCGGTGAATGATACAGGTAGAAGCCAATTCAGCTTTGCGTCTGCGATGTCTTTGTAGTTGGCCAGGATATAGCGGAGAAAAATTGACATGTCGTGCGTAGAAGAGTATAATCCGCCCGTGGGATTCTCCACAGCCTCATCGACGTCGAAGTACCATGCATTTCCCTTGGGAAGAACGGACACACTGTCCGGTGGTTTGGCAAAGGATGTTTGAGACATTCCCAGGGGATGGAGGATTGCGGTTGTTATGTATTCCTCGTATGTGGTACCGGTGACATTCGCTAAGACGAGCCCGAGGAGGTCGAATGCGAGGTTGGAATACGTCGACTTCGTGTTTGGTGCAAACAAGGCTCGCCTTCTTGTTAAATTGTCGAATATGTCCTGTGCGGTGCAGGGCTTATGGCTGTTGTCAGACTCGCAATTAGTAGTTGTGTCGACGGGCTCGGGATCCGTGAGGAAATCCCCCTGGACCCAGTCGCGGGGTAGGCCAGAAAGTTGGCTTGCCAGGGATCGGAGTGATATTTTGTCCCACTGGATACTACTAGTACTTCTAGTCCCGTCGTGAGGCGAGCTGCGGAGTTGAGGGATGTATTTGTCCACCGTATCGTCGAGTGCGAGGTTCCCGGCGGCATGCTGTTGGAGTATCCCCAGCACAGTGAAGACCTTGGTGATACTTGCGATACGATATCGACTTGCCTCATCAACTCTCTCGGCTCCAGGTCGCGTTATATTTTTATCCTTTGCGGTATGGAACGTTGACCATAGGGTGGACCGTGATGAAGTGATTTCAATTGAATAGGATGATGTATTGAGGTTGTTGGAGTTGCGGAGTAAGTTTGACAGCGAGGCTTCTACTAGGCCGAGGGCTTCCCATACTTCAGAGGACTGACGGTTGTAAGTTGGAGGTGGGTAGAAGGGGGCCTGCGTCGAGCATATTGCCAGGATGGCGGGGATGAGGCTGAACAGTGTGAGGATGATATTGACCTTGGTCATGATGGATGATGATGGTAACTCGTATTGCGGGAGAACATGGTGCTGCCTGATAAATAAATACAGCCAGAATTGGCTTACTAAAGATGGGTCATGAAAAGGCGTTGGACTTGATGAGCGACTAATCCATTGGTGCGTTTTGTGCACTAATATTTAGAGAGGTAGGGGTATGTATATGGAGGAATTCATTCACCGTTTGGAAAAGGAGATGGCTATGCAGAGATTCTGAGGTTACTTAGCATGTCAGTATACAATTATACAAGCTTAGTATAACAAATTAAAATCCGCTGTGGACTGTGGAATGGTGTTAACAAACCCTGATTGAAAAAGGCTACTCATCTTCATCATCTTGGCCTTGGCGTGCTCCAGCCTGATGACACCACCGCAGGCGTGCTCAAGCCAACGGCAACATGAATGGCGCAGAACGGCACAGAATGGTACAAGGACCTACCCAGATTAAAGGACTTGGAGTCCGCCATTAGTATGCAAGAAGGACTTGGACGATTCCTCTTACCTCCTACTACAGCGGACCTTATAGACGAGGCTAGACGCGCTCCCATTGTGGTATTTAACGCCACTGAGATTCGCAACGATGCCTTGATCATTACGGAGTACGACGGCATAGCAGGCTCTACTATACGCCGGCGAATGAGACTTGCGCCACCTATTAGAGCGAAATACAAGGATGCTCATGACTGCCATGTCCCGAACGGTGTCTGAACCCTGGCAACGGAGAAAGAGATGGAACTAGTCACGGAGACCGTGAAAAGCACGAGTTCTATTGCCGTTTCCACTTTCATAGAGCCTCTCAAAAGTGAGGTCTTGGATGCGCTTAGCAGCTGTGGGATAGTTCACTTTGCATGCCACGGGTTCGCGTATTCCGAGGACCTGTCGTCAGGTAGCTTGTTCCTCGGGGTGAACACAAACGAGGCTCGGAGCGTCTGATGGTTCGAGAGCTAGCGGGATTCTGAATTTCCGACATAGCCTTGCACAGATCGCTTATTTGACTGTGTGCTCCACTGCAGATAACTCGTCCATCAACTTAGCCAACGAAGTTATTCATATTGCCAGCGCCTTCAAACCACTTGGGTTCCCACACGTTATTAGAACCCTGTGGCGGCCGATAATCAGTGGGCAACTGAGGTCGCAGTGGCGTTTTATCGCAACATAATAGAACACTTGAAGGCGACTGGCTCGGATGTCAGTCATGACGTGGTTGCTTATGCTCTCCACCATGTAACTAAAGAGATAAGGCAGAAGAAACTGGGTAATGTAATTTGTAGAGCACTGTTTATAAATATCAGGGCGTAGGAAGATCTTGGAAACAGCCTTTAAGAAGACACTGAGGTGAAAGAGAAAGGTGATGTTTCCAAATATCCCTCAAGGAATCTGAATAAAGCCTTGCAATTGGCGAGGGACAGCACTCTTCCGTTAGTCAACCAGCCTTGTGCAAGGTTACGCCGCCTTAGTATAATGTATGTTTGCACACCTGTGCATGCGGGGTTATCAGTAAGAGATGTGGCATCTGTTCATAGACTATTCATATTTATAGTGGTAGAAGCTCATAGTCAACACATCTTCCCAGTATGGCTCATATTGATGCTTCGTGTTACTGTCTAATCTGATATTGCTCATTCAGCTTGATGAGCATTGAAGTAAAATGACGACTCCAGAGCTTATCTGCGCCAACTGGGGCCTCGCAAACAGAGACTGCAAGCAAGAAGGCAGATACACTTGCAGCAAATGTCATCTAGTCCTTGTGGGTTCATCATTGACCATGCAGCTCTTTTCTCTATCTGTTTGTCCTGACAGATCTGACTTTGTAGTACTGCGGTCCAGTATGCCAGAAATCGCACTGGACGCAACACAGATCCGATTGTAAATCGGACCTCAATAAAGCAACATGGCAGCCCGCTTGGGTTTTGAAGAATCGAATGCCTTCATTTATTGCAGGAGGGTTCGGACAACAGTTTGGGATGAAGAAGTACCTCTGGGGTAACATCCCTGCCTTCGACATCCTTCGACTTGGATCAAACGAAGGGGAAGAATATGGTGGAGTGATACGCATCTTATTTGCTGGTATGTGCTTGATTTCACTTCGCTATTGATGCCCATACGATTCCTTGTCGGGAGCTGATGAGACATACCATTGTCTATAGCTTCAGGAGATCTTCGAAATGTTGTCAAGACAATTGCCCAGCTTCCGAGTAGCTATAGCTACCCCCTCGAACTTACGATAAACGACCGGGATCCCGAAATTGTGGCCCGCAACGTTATCTTGCTTCTTATTGCCCTAATAGTTGAGCAAGTTGACGAGGCAGTTGATTGCATCATTCACATCTGGTACTCGGCTTTCGTGCGCGAATCACACGTTGACCTCCTCAGACATCGAGTTCGACCTCTGATCGAGGATGTCTGCAACAAGATCAAAGACAAAAAGCCCGGTAGCCTCTTAGGGAAGACATGGGCATTTGGACGGCACTCTCTCCGAGTCGTTCTCGAAAGATCGTCTTGGGACCGTCTCTTGTCTTTGGTTGACCCGCCAGCTGGCTTGACTGCTGATCGTGCACGTGAACTTCGTGCAGCTATTACTCTGGCTGAATCACGGAAAGACTACCGTGATCGATACGTGTACTGCCAGTCGCCGTCGCATCGAATCGCTTTCAAAAAGTTCAGGGAGGACGGCCTCCTCCTCCCGTTTGGATCCTCAGGTAATGGATTTCGAGAACCAAACCCGTGAGTTGGAAACCACATCACGCCGTGCTATAAAGGCTAGTAGAGACAGAACATTGTTCCATACAGCTAATGCCTGGCCAATGAATGACAATGCCGATCCGCTTCACGGGTGGTCTTTAGACGAGGTTGCCGCTACGTCAACAGGCCCTGCAACTGCGGATATATACGGCAAGCTCTTCTTTTACATTCGCGGAATGCTTCGATCTTTCCTTGGTCGGCTCCCGAGTCTGAGGCTCTCCTTTAAACTCTTTCAGCTCGACGCTGCTTGCCTTCCTGGCCATCTCAAGAATGATTTTTTCAGTAGAATCGAGGTGAGCAATTAGCATCTGTCCCCTGGACCGGAATTTTGGTCTGAAATTGTACCTCAAAAAAACACACTGATGGATCTGTATAGGTGTCCAACATTTCGGATGCTGGCTGGTTGGGAATTCACCACACACTAAGTTTGATGGTGCCTTTGCTTCAAACGCCTCAAGAGAACCCACATGCGACCCTGATTACACTCTTCATGAACGCGGTTGACGAAACCTTAACCGATCAAGACAAAATGCAGGACCTGACTACAGATAGTCCAGCCACTAAACGCCTTCTCAAATATCTTCCTGTGAAAGGGAGGACAACTTCCGCCTATGATCCCAAGCTCATCAAGTTCAACCTTGGCCGGGACCTGGTCAAAACCTATGACGACATCTTCGGCCGGTGAGTACAGATTCTTTGTATACCTGGACCCCGCATGTTCATCCTGAGAGTAGGTATTCGAAGACGCTTAAGTTTTGTGAGTTTGCCGATTTGCTGGGGGCGGCGATGAAGGAGACGCACACTATCATCGACAAGTGGCCCTATAGATTGAAGCTCCGACCTGGCCAACCAGGCGCGCAAGAGGAGTTCGACAGGTGCATTAGTGGAGGGATGTCAGGGAAAGAGCGCTACGTAGAATGGAAAAGAGTTCATAGGGGTATGATTTGAAGACATGGTTATGGATGCCACCTGGCCGTCGGAATTTTAAGCGATCCCATAAGAGGTATATGTCTAATCGTTAGGATAATTTCCCAATCATCTTATGTTAAATCTCACATAGCAGAGCTCGTGCCTTGGGTGTTCTACATAAAGAACGGAATACATTGCTTCCCACCGCTCCAACGCCGAGGACTCGCATGATCAGTTCAGCAAGTAGGAAGCATCTAATTCATCTAGATGGGCATATCAATAAGTCTCAGGCACCCGGTTACTACCCATTATTCATGCTGTTACGTACCGAGGACTTTAGGTGGATACTACCTCGGTCATTGGGATTGAATAGTAATCAGCATTGCGGCAGGGAGTAAACCCGCATAAAATGCAACAGAGCGTACTCGGCTCGCCGAGCGAGCTTGTCAATTTACATGCACAATCCCATGAACATGATGCACACTCTGACGGTTTGGGATAAGCTAGATGCGTTTATCGGCTGGCTTTCAGTTGGTAAGACAAGGATTAAAATATTGTACGCCGTCATTAACTCACCTTCAACAGTCGCAGAGGCAATATATGCTGCAGTCACAGGGTTATTCCGAGGCCCTTCAGGGGCAGATACCTATCATCATCATATAATCCAAGCTGTGGTTAAGAAGGTGGTGTACCGCAAACGTAGCCTGTGCGATCCACACTACTAACTTACTGCTGCAGCTTACGATGAGACTCAGTCCGCTACAACTGCAGTAAGTACCACAAAGACCGATAAATTGGCACAGTTAACAGAGATAGGTATATGTTCAAGTCTTATGACCAACTCTACCTGCATTACTGCCAAAAGAATGGCCTCAAGCCACATTGTGTCTCGAATATCCGCGGGCTGAAAGGGTTCTGGATTGGCAGTCCCTCCGCGGAATATATCGTCATCAACTTCCATGGTATTCAGCCCACAAATATGACGAGACACTACTAATAATCAGAACAGGTGGTGGTTTTGCCATGGATGCGACAGCTTCCTACCTTGACTTCTGGCCGCGGATACAGAAGAGTCTTGCAAATGCTGGTATAGAAACGGCCTGGTTCCATTGCACGTATACCTTAACACCGCACGCGGCGTATCCTACTCAGTTCCAAGAAGCCGTCGAAGCTCTACGGTATATTCTGGAGGATGTTGGACGGTCACCGTCCCAAATTCTACTAGCTGGAGATTCGGCGGGCGCGAATTTGTGCCTAGCAGTAATATCCCACTTAACCCATCCTTCCGAAGACGTGCCCGAGTTAGTCATCAATGAGCCCATTAAAGGCGCTATCCTCATGTCTCCATGGGTCTCGTTTCATCACAGCTGGCCGAGTGTAGAAGCCAGTGAACATAGGGATATCGATGCAAAGGACGTCACGACAAAGTGGTCGAGAGCCTATCTCAATGGGCGGCCGTCGAACAACTACATCGAAGCAACAGAGGCACCAGATTGGTGGTGGGACAACATTAAGGCCCAGCAGACTCTGGTACTTGCTGGAGGTGACGAAGCTCTACTAGACCCGATCAAGGTTTGGGTGAGCAAGTTCAAAGTAAGTAGCTGCAGGATCTAATGTTGCCAGACGGAATGGTTGATACCTCACAGATATCAAATCCCGACACAACTCTGGTGATTGGGGACAGGGAATGTCATGTTGCGCCTCTGATCTGGCCGATGTTTGGTGACTATCATGAAACCCAGCAGGAGCGTGCTTTGAAGCACTGGCTGCTGCAACGGTTACGTTAATGTATACATATATATATCTGTACACGATAAAGAGACCTGTGCTGCAATAGAATATTCTTTTACCGTGTTCTTTTCCAGCGCAGATTGTGGTAGTTGGAGTAAGGTAGGTCGGGCGTCGAGAAAACATCACGTAGTATAAGATTAAATAAGGTGCCTCAGAAAGGGTTAAGCGAACCTATCTGGGCCGGTAAGCAGTAGCTCTAGCAAAATGAATCTACTTTAGAATTGCCTCGGGTGGCAAGGGTCTGTATTGTTTGATTACAATATCATCAGGCAAGCATCAAGCTAAATTTCACTACGGTTAATCCCCTGGTTACAACAAGAAGGGAGCTTAAGCCACATATGAATGTCTATGATAGGATACAGAAACCATCAGTACTGCCTCCCACGTGGCTTCGTCGTTATTGCTCTAAGCAACAGTCCCTCCACTGCTTTGTGAGAATGAACTAGACTTTTGCTCTCCTCAACCTCTCTTGCTCTGGCACCGGTGAAACCTGTATCATCAACTATCCCCATCCGAAGACAGTCTTCCAAATAGTCTGAAGCCGGCCGGCTCTCGCAGCTCAGAGACCCATTCCAGCAAGCCTCTTTTGGCCCTTATCCGTGAACAAAAGAAGTCCATTGGAGTAGCCAACCGCCCAGATCATAGGATACCGCCAATGAAACCACCACGGATGATCCGAGGCCCCAAACCACCCAAAATGCTTGTCCAGGTTGTAGCATAGATAGTTGCAGCTACTCAAAACAAGCAATGCCAGAATCCCCGTGAAATGAGCCGCCTTCTTTCCGTAATAATGGTCGACAATGAAGCAGTTTGTGAGGCCACCCATCGCTCCGCCCATGCCTAATGGACAAAAGACCAGCGTCCACAGGATTTTGTAAATCAGGTCGCGAGTTCCGGTCATGATGAAGACGCCGACGGCCAGGAAGATGACTTCGGCGAAGAGGGAATTGAGCCAGAATAGTAGGAAAGGTCGGAGGTACACGGCTCGTCGCTTTCTGGCAACCTTTGCATCTTGCTCATCGGTGATCAGGACTTGGTAGTTCATGGTTGTTGTGTAATCAGGTGTTCGAATGAAGGAGATAGGCTTGTCTTGAGTTTGTAAGCATTTTGTGTAGAGTTTAGTTGGACAGTCTTATAACACAGTATATGACGGAAGTATACAACCGCATGGCCTCGGTGGTGTATATTCATTGATTAGTCTTCATGTTGTATCATACCGAGGTCTCGGATACCAATTATTCGGTTAGGTTGTTGTTTAGTGATCTCTACTTCTCCCGTAAATGAGCACAAAATAAAGAATACCTAGCATGAATTCCAGATGTCCCCCACGTCCTATGTTACTCATGTCAACTAATGTTGCTTATTGAAATTATCAATCAGCGGTCACGACGTTGGCGATTGATAGCGTTTGGGCTTGAGAAGGTCGAGGGATTGGCAACATACCAAAATATATCTTCGTGTGTCCGCCCTGTAACATACAGTGATATTCATCCATTCTCGTGCAATTGTCAATTTGACTAATTAATCCGCGAGTTCTAGCTGACGATAATAAGAAGTTATATATTTGAGAATAAATATTCGCAGTAATCATAAATTACATTCATGTCTCTTAAGCCAATGACTATGAAGTCTGCCAAGACAGCAATTTACTCAACTCTAAGAACACGTATTTATGGCCTATCTCTGATGAATCTCTATCGATGCTCCTTCACTCGAGAGATCTTTAAAAGACATTGGCGTTCACACACACAAAGACAAGTCAGAGCCCAGTGCAGTCCACATAAGCAATGATGTCAGATATGCTTACAAGAAGCAGCGCAGAACCACACTCGACAACCCAGTAAGTCAAGCATGACAGGTACATACGACCTTCCCTTTGAATGAGGAGAATAGTATCAACTCGCTTCCCAATCGGGCAGGACAAAGTTCAAGGTTATAAGGCTCCTAATACTCCCCATCCAATCCCCAGTGTCTAGACGTTCAGTTGAACCTTAGTCTAATCAGCAGAACCTTCACCGGACTAATCCACGGGTTGTTGGCGCACCGACATGTACCTACTGATGACGGCCTGGTATGAACACTGGTATCTGATGACAACTGACGATGTCATCCGGATTAGGTTGTCATGCAATTGGTTGGCAAGAATGTCGGTCACACGACACCGGTAGCAGCCACAAGCCACAAGCTTCCTCTTCGGATCAATTAATTCGACAGAGGCGCAGATCAGACACTGACTAGACTTTTCAATGGAGGATTAAGCAGGTTTGCAACTGCGTGGTGTTGCTGATCGGCATATCCTGCACAACGCAGACGCGTCATGGCGGCTTGTCACGTGAGTTCCCGGCTTTGCTGCACTTGGACTGCTGGACTGGCTTAGTCAGCAACACGGAGTACGATTTTCAAATTGATGCCAAATAAGCAACTCATTCATGTATTGAGAGCGATACCATTATCAATATGTACATATTAGATCTAGATGCGCCAGGCATGCAAATATGCGATGACCGTTTATCCGTATCCGTTCTCCATAGTGGAACCCAGCCCAACCCAAACCAAACGCCGTGAAACGCTCAAACGACCGAATCAGAGAACCGGTCAGTATCCTGATCCGCCAGCAAGGGCACGTCCCCACGCGACTGGCGCCATTTGTGCACATTCCGATCGCCAGTGGTCGGGACAGGCTTCGCGAGCCGCAGCGCCCAGCAGATGCAGTACTCGACCGGGAGGAGGAGGAGCAGGACGCGGTTCCCCAAGAAGCAGATGGTGACGGTGAAAGTGGCGACCGTCGCGTCGAGCCAGTAGTGGTTTGCCGTTGCGATGATGACACTCAGCACGAGCAGGGGGTACACGAACGCCATGACCACGAAGAAGATCTGCGTGAAGGGGGACTTGCGGACGGGTCGGCCCTGCAGTCTGTGCACGAGGCCCGAGTGGTAGATGAAGGTGCACCCGATGACGAACGCGTAGGTGAAATGCAGACTCGGCATCGCGGCGAACTGGTTGACGGATTTCCCGCCTACCCAGACGCTCTCTGCGTGCTCTTGGCGGACGGTGTCGTAGAAGCCGTAGGAGTCGGGGAGCAGCCGGGGCGGCATGCAGGGGTAGAAGCAGAAGATGAGGAATGCGGCGAAGTTGCCGAGGGTCATGGTCCGTCGCGCGACAGCAAAGGTGTTGTGGTTTTCGGCGGCGTAGTAGTACCAGCCCAAGAACCTGAGATGTGGTCAGCACTGAGTTGCAGGAGGCTCAGAATTGGGATAGACTTACAACACGGTTCCGGGGATGTGAACGAGGGAGTAAATGCGGTTGAAGAAGGTCATGATGGACTGGTGTCCATTGAGGAAAAATGACTGAAAGTCGGATTCCTCTATCGGAAAGAAAAACCGCGCGATGGAATGATGCTCGAAGTTCAAGATCCCGACACCGTGATCCTGTGCAACCTGGACGACGCCAATCTCGGCGGGGGACAGCCACTGCGACGTCGCTTTGGTGACAGAGTAAAACAGATAGTTGACGGCCCAGTAGAACATTTCGACCAGAAACGGGAATTTCTGCAGGATTCTGCTGTGGATATGGTGCGCCCACCGTGAGGAATCCGGAACTTCAATGGCGATGCCGCATATTGTGGGGATTTTAGAGGGATAGTCCTCCATCGAGCTGCCGTTATCATCTACCGTTGTTCTGCTGCCGAAAATGCTGAAGCCTCTACGGCGGTTAATGACTAACGAGCCAATCATGATGCTCACAACGATCTGTAGATGGATAGTCAATACAGAAAGACTAAGATTCTTGGTTAGATTGCGACGTGACATACGATGGGTTCGAGCCAAGCGTGCGACTCGAACTGGGGTTTACCCAGGTCCGGCGACTCCGCCCTGGCATCCATGACGGCGGGTAGAGAAGAATGGGAGGAGTCGTGGAGAGCTGCGGTGGTGAGGTGAAGATCAACAGTAGTGAAAAGGAGAAACCAACTGCAGATTTCTGGAAAGTGGAGATTATATACTACTTGGCGGATTGATAACCGGACCAGGTTATGATCCAGAAGGGCAGGGGGCTGAAGAACAAACAGGTGTTTGACTGGGCTGGGCTGCGTAGATCCAAGTTTTACCACCCGTACTCGTATTATGTTCTGCTCCGCCAAGAGTGCGTATCCACCCAGAACAAGGACTTGCTTGGCGGGAAAATCCTCCTGGAACCGGTTGATCCGGTCGGATGCGAGGGGCTCCAGATTCATTCACTAAAGGAGGAGACCAGCAACGCGTCCCTTCTGCAGAGAGCAGGTGCAAGTTCTACCACGCGAAGAATGAAGTTCCTGCATGCTAGGAGTTGCCTCTGATTCAGTGCAGTATGTAAAGGTACTAAGATACTAGTAAAGTACTGCATACTGCGTACTATTTGTTTCATCTTTGGACGCGTAGGCAGAGCTACGTTTCATCCACGGTTATTGGATGCTGCAGTCGGCTGACGGCAGGTAATGGACAAATACCGAGCAATGTGCATATGCCCTGTTACTATGTCGGGGCTAGCCATGTCGAAACTCCGCTGAAGTAATAACCCCTAGTGGCCACTAGCGCTGGCCGATGATGGCAGAGGCGCCATCCACTCCCGCTATTTTTGACTTTTCTGCAAGTTGTGCAACTCCCGAACCGCCTGTTCGATATCATTTTTCGTCACCATGTCGGATGCGGAATCTCCGATCGCCGATTGGTTATGGTCAACTTCCTTGATTTGTACCTGGACGGTGCGGACAGCATAATTTATGCTTGATATGCCCAGTTGCGAATAATCAACATAATCTTTCACAGGAGCCAAGGAGTCCAGAACGATGGCGATCCAGGTATGAAACACTAATCGTTAGATCATTGAAGAAGCTTCTTAAAATCCCTCATGCCCCGAGGTCGCGACTCTCGGGTCTCAACCTGGCTCTACAGCTTCGTGGTCACGTGAACTGATACCGAAGAGGAGCATTTGTCCGACTCAGAAATTCCTCGGCCCATGGTATCACGTGATAAACTAAGTGCTCTCCAGACACGTCATGTTGTTTTGACCGTTATTCTCTGTCTCCAACTTATTTGTCTATCATATTCTTAAGGATGACCAGAGATATGCTTTTTCTGGGTGCTTGGCTTACTAGGTCATCCGTTGGGGACAATGAGATCGATTTCTTTTCGTTTAGTGAACCTGGGAAACTTCCCTACCTTGAAACGTCTCCGTATGCGACATCACCTGCCGACCCTCGCTCTTGGACACGCGAGACTGAACACGAGCCACTGCATCACTCAAATCGGTCTTTAGACTCACATGTCTGCGGCCGCTGACCAGCACCCGCTCCGAGCTCGTTTCCATGCATACGACGTCCAGCAGATCCCCCCGAGGGTCGTACGTCACTTGATCGACGAAGTCAACCTCAGGCCGCCTTGACCCTCCGTCATGAATCCACAAGGGACACGCGCTTCGTTGCACGCGCGAAATCCAGCGACATCAAATGCGGTAAATGCTTCAGCAAAGGCTAAAACAGCAGTGATACTTCCTCCGCCAGCAACGAGAACCACAGTGTGATAGTGATGTTGGACAAGGGTTCGGAGAATGGTGCCGTATGGTCCCTCGACGATCGTATTCACACGACCCTCCAGCTTAGGAATCGCATCTGAACCGAACCGCCTATTTCACAGAAACGAACACTGAGTCCTGCCTGAGGAGGAATGGGAAACTTCATTAGCCGCCCCCCACGGAGCTTTTGTACAGCCCATTCCGCCAGCCGCAAGCGTGCATTTGCAATAGTAGAGGGATGAGTCTCAAGCACTTTGGTCCGCGAATTGAAGGACAATGTGCTGTCAAGGCCCCCACTTCCATCTTGGTCCGGAGAGATTCACTTTCATTGCTGACTATGTGTCCGGTGACTGGTCCCGTGCCGAACAACTTGGCAACCACTATTCCTTCATTTTGAACGCGGAGGACCGGCCAAAAATCCATCCCAGGCAGGACTTGATCCGAGGTGCCAGTGTGGCCCAGACGTAGATCCACGAATTGAGTTCCTGGCCCAAGTGCCAGCAATACAGCCCGGGAAGACCATCGCCAGGCATATATGAACTGACGGAGACCTCGTACATCTGTCGCCGAATCGGAGAATCGATAGAATCACTAGGCCCACCAGCATGACAAAGGGGAGTACCGGTGGACTCGTGGGGGCTGTCAACAGACGATCGGTGGAGTACTGCAGATATATCTACCTCGTAGTTTCCCTTCTTGTAGTACTATGCATGTAGCTGTGCGATACCACCTTCGTGTAGAGGCTGGCAGACGAAAGGATATGCATGAACTACACTAATAAACAGAATGAAATAGCTGGTCATGAGTTGAAAACATTGAGCTTCTCATGGCCGATTCTAGGGTGTTTCTGTCACCCGTCGGTATTGGACGCGTATTGGTCACAACAGCAACTCAATTCACCCTGCAACGACCCACAAAATGAGAATAACAAATCAGAAATTCAAAGAGAAAAGTACATCACAAGATTATTCCGGAGAATATTCTTGGATAAATATTTTCTATAACTTTGCCTTGTCTACTTGCGTGAAATGAGGATTTCTACTTTATGCCAGTCCAACGACTATCCATCTTGGCTATTCGCTACCAAGTAAAAGATTCCTCCACGAAAGAAACAAGCAAAGACGGATTCTGTCTAATCATCTCCGAAACGACATGTCGAACCTCATCCGCCATCCTCGCCGGCCCACTGACAACAACACAAACCGGCACACCGTGATACTTCTGAACCTCTTCTGTCAACAGCGTCGGGATATCCATTCGCCGGTCATGGTAGGTCCGCACATTCATATCATGCCAGCAAGCGTTTCCAACCGTCTCTTGGACAGACTCAATCAATGCTTTGCTGCGACAAGCCCAGAATAACGTATGTCCTCCGCGGTGGCTGCACAAATCCGGGACCAGAGCGGTGATCCCGACTCCTCCAGCAATGGCGATGACATTGGGATGATTTGTCCAGTGATGACTGACCAGGGGAGATGGGGGATATGATCCTTCCACTAAAACCGGGAGTTGAGACCGCGCACTTAGGTGTCGCGTTGTTCCAGACTGGGTGCGTACGAAGAACGTGAGGCATGGTTGGTAAGATCCCTCGGTGGCCAGGTCCTGCGACGAGGATGTAGAAAGCGGCTTGTCCGAATCAAGAAACGTCGTCACCGAAGTACCGTTCTTCGACAGATATCCACTCTTGACATCCTGCGGCACGACGTCGATCTTCTTCTCCGTGCTGTCCTCGCGTCGGAAACGGGTAATCGCGGAGAAGGGGTGGTTTTCCCAGATCCGCCACGTCAGAGTGGGAAAATAGAGGTATACGTGGCCCTGCGCATGTACACCAGGAACTTCAACTTTGAGATACTCATCATCCAGGACAGTGACATGAGCCTTCCGAATCCCATGCCGTGCCAGCCTCAATACCCGAAATACCCGCTCAAACGCCCAGATACCGAACGCCACATAGATCCAGGTTTCGTAGCCCCATTGATGTCCGTACCGGTACCAAATATGCAAGTAGCACGCAAGAAGAGCAAGGAAGGACAGGACGACGTGCCAAGCCAGGAATAACTCGTAGAAACGTTTCCGGATTGGCCATGTGGATGACGGGATCAAGACGGCCATCGCCAAAGTCGCCACGACGCCCCAAATCCAGAATGCCTGCTTACTTTCGGTACTGTGCTCATTGTTGGCGATGGCAATATGCAGATATATCGCCGAGTGCAGACAAGCTTCGAGAGTGCAGATGAACGCCAGCCAGCGATGGAGCAAGAGAAAGGTTGAATGCGACCAATCAGTCAGCCAGAGGAGAAAGTTGTTCCGACCGGTGTATAGCACCAGCAAGGGAATATTCGCAAAGCTGAGCACACCGATGCGATTTGCCACGTAATTGAGAATTTCGTCGTGCTTGGACGCGAACCAGGTGCTTGGATTAGCAGATCGGAACCCGACAGCGCACAATATTATGTTAATTGTTGACAGATACGCAATGAAGAGGGCCTGCCCTCGAGTGGGCATAAAGAAGGTGCCGAGCATCGGGGACTATGGCGACGACCGACAAAAGGAGGATCGATGAAGACTGCCTTGAACCATACTCCCAAAGCGGCCGGAAGTGGTACGAAACGGATTAGAGAAGAGACGATTGGGATGACTGCACCGGTGAGAAGGAGGACTAAGCTATAGCGAGGCAAATCAGCAAGCAGCGCTGTGAATCACTGCAGGAAGCCTGCCCGTATCGCTCATGGGACGTCTCGAGAGCCTCGAACGTCCAGAGAGTATTGTAATTACTCACATACGTCTCTTCCTCGACCAAAGAAACCACATCAAGAACCGCGGATGTGTTAAGTATTGTAGTTGGCGGTCTGGCAAGGCTTCCAAGAGCTTCCTGATAGGACTCCTTCGGGCTAGGTTGATGCTGTAGTCTACCGGCCACGTTCAACTCCCAGTAATTCTCCAGAACTGAGACAGATACATCAGCACAGTGGATGTACATGCAGTAGGCTAGTGTTTGAAGGAAGGGATCATTGTTCGCATAGCACGCAGGGCTCGGAGTATCCATTGCCAACCCGGCCTCATCCATAGCCATGTCATGACCTCCTGTGGTGTCGCAATTCAGAGGGTTTGTAATCGAGGCACGACACGCATAAGCGCAGACGGGCTTATACATGGAGATGCCATAGCCAGTGAGCCCGTGCCCTGGTCTTCCGTTTGGATCATGCGACGCGACTGGTATTGCAAGAGAGAGCAGGATCTGCGCTGCCCGCTGGTATTGCGACAGCTTCATCGCGATGGAGCGGTTCAAGTTGAGTCTTGACTCTGATCAGTCCTCAACCAACAGATAATAAAAGGAAAAGGAGAAAGTCTGTGCAGCATGATGATAGCCACGGAGGAAGACTCAAAGCGTAAGGTTTTAGGGTGTTCATGATCCTTCGCGTTGATGCTTCGGAAATCAGTATATTTTGTAGCGGGTCCAGACATGAGCGGAAATGAGCAGATTTGAACAGTTCCCCACAGCAGACAAGTAGCTCTACAGCATCTAGACTACTTGGCAGCAGCAGACGAGAATAGTACTACATCAAAGGCATCCAGTCACGATTCTATTCTGATATCTTTTTCGTAATCGCCGTCCTTTCCAGTGGTAAACGGGAACCCTCTATGTATCATGTATCCGAAAATTAGGTACATGGGCGTCCACTGCCTCATTCGCTCTTCGCATGTCAGAGATATGACCGCAAATCACAGCCATCCGGCGATATGACTCTGACTCATGAAAGATCAAGCTCGCCGAGATGGTGTCTGACGTCAAGCCGATGTGGTAATGTCGAGTCTTCACGCTGGCGCATGTACCCATCCTTTGAGGAGCTCCCCTGCGAGGATTCCTGCGAGTACGACACAGAGAACACCGATATTAAGACCCATCACCCCTATCATTCTGAAAAGACATCGGTTAGGATGCGCCGCTTCAGAAAGACGGGAAACTCACAAGACAAACACAATAAACGCCCTGAGAAGCCCACCAAAGCCCGCATCCAGACGTAGTACGACACCGACTTCTGTACGGTCGACTCAATCGGGGACAGGTTATCAGTGGTGGATCCATGACTGCCCACCCATTCAGCGTGGTGTGCGAGCATCTCGACTGGTTCGTCGTCGGCGTGAGCATGATTCTCCCTGTTGATCCGCACGAATCTTGGAAGAGGACTGAGGCGAGCATTGAAGCGAGCTCTGCGTCGGTGGGGAGGAAGTCTTCCGAGGGACTCAAGGGCACGCGCTTTGATGATCTTGTTCTCAAGTTTATTCCTGACGGCGACCAAGTATCTGTTCCAACAGGCAAGGAAGAAAAACACAACGAGTGTAAGGACGTATACGACGATGGAGTCAGTGCTCTGGCCGTAGAAAGGCAGAGTGAGGCGAGTTCCACTGTGAAAGGAAGTGGACATTCTCACTCCGCTACCTTGACTGTCGCCAGAACGAGAGCTATAAGACTCATTCTTCCGGTCCATGGTGACTTTAGCTCTTTATCTTTTCTTTTTCAGGTTTCAAGAAGTAAGGAATTGGGGGAAATGGACTAGATGGATAAACGACGCGAGATGGTCAGTGTTTGTTACTCGCGAGGAAGTGCGAAAAGAGCCAGAGGGGTCTGTTGTTTGTGTTATCATTCACTGCTCTATAGAGCTAGTAGAGACTTTATGCATATATAAGGATGATTATCACCTGCATATCTCACCCAGATATGCTTAATATTATTGTAGGCCAATTTTGCATAGTTTCCACAACCTTGTCTTCATAATTACCTTGATAATCGCGCAAACATGCTCAAGGCTTGTACTTGACAAGGTAGTATCTTCTGATGTAAGGCTTTTCTGCATCCATGATTTTTACTTCAGAATCCAGCCGACTATTTCAACCATTTCAACTTTCTTTGCACAAGTTCTTATCGATAGACTGTACCCCCTCTCTGGCAATATGGCCCGCTATCTCACACTTAGAAGAATGCCATTTTTCCCTCAGAATATCCGGATGATCAGTTGCGCGTCTCCGCGAGAATGTACACCAAAATGGAGATGGGCCACTTCTTCATCCCCGAGGTACCTTACTAATTCGTCATTTTCGGTGAACATGATGAACTAGGCTGACGAAAAGAAGGACCCTTTTCTTGGACATGAGCGTCCAACTACAACTCCAAGTAAGGCAATATACGACGGTTAATTGCCCTCGAGAACAGGACTTTCCTTTCAAGACTTGGTAATTTTACTGGTCATATGTTGGATACCTTGGATATTGCGGATCCATTGGGGCGTAGTTGATTTCATCTGTCTTGGAACCACATTGCGCAAAGGGAATAGACGATGATGGCGATTCATTTACCTTCTTCAAGGTGGTATAAACAGACGATGCTGGATATGAACACAGCAAGGCGATAATGTTATTTATAGCGGTCCGAATCCCGCTGAAACAACGAGGACTCAATGACGGCCGAGCCGCTGTCCTAGCCATCCACTGCAGCCAGTGCCTCTGCCAAAATTAAATCTGACTGACAGATGATTAGTTACGGTACATCCCCAGTCACTGATGCCGTTGCAAATGGTGTATCTGTCATTGTGTCATCGACCAGTAGACAGTGGAGTAGGGATAGGAACCGTTCGAGTCGACGGTCAACCCCACGCTCCCTATACGAGAGTTAGCCGCATGGATGACATAGGGGAGCACCCACCGCACGTTGACGTGTAGCAGCCATATGGTTCAGATCAAGAGACTTGATGTATGCACTGGTCGCGGTGGCTCAGCTGAAATTTACACCAGTACTGCACCCTTGGTGCCGATGTTCATTTCCCAACTCCGAAGCCACAATAGCAGGAGAGGCCCTATAGCGGGGAACAGTCTCTTTGATATCCGCCTGATACGCTTTGGGTTTTGGCGTTGGTATGTCATTCTCTCTCGCTCCTGCCATACGCCTTGACGTACGTATTCATGCCGCATAGTTATTCCAGTTTAGACAAACGGAATAACCGGCTTGATGTCATGCTTCTCCGCCGCAGATAAAACGTAGTCGAGCCGTTGGAGCCTGTCTTCGGTGGCGTTAGTGATCGAAGACAGTCAACACCTGTGTTACTAGTTGCTGGTGAATTACTTGGTCTCGCCGTTAATGTCGAATTTGAGTCCATGGGGCTTAGCAAAGGAGACAGTGCCGGAATGGATGGAAGTGGACAAAGTCGAGGATAACATGGATACCCTCGACCAAGCTGTGCTAGTGGGAGGCGCAGTTGTTGAGAATGACTGTGTTGACGTTGTGGTGGCTTCAGTATGTGTTAAGGAGATCACCTTAAGAGCAGCGAATGGTTGTACTCTCTACTAGGATGGCACTGGCTATGCTGCTAATTGGCGAGCATGTATGCCCGTCCCCATACACAAGAGGTTTCATCTGTATAGTACTGACTGCCACACAGGCCCCAAGGTCCGACCTATGCTACGACAGCTCCTATCAGGTACGAGCGCAGCAGACTACCATGACAGCATAATTTCAGGAACAGATAGAAAAGGAAGCGATTGGAAATCTCCTGAAAATCCAATAACGGCAAGTTGAGTGAGGCGGTCATTCGAAGTCATTACGACCTTAATTTACACTTTACTGAGATATCGTACTACTACCCTTCGACCGCGCTCCTGCTGGATCTACAGCCCCCTCAAATCAGCCGGTAACAGGGCAGAATCCCGCTGTCGTCTGCTCCGCCACGAGCACATCCCGACGGCCCACCGCTGGGGCGGAATCCAACTACCCACTCATTGTATCTGCTGGCGTGACATGGCTTTCCCCCTGATGTGGCTCACTCCAGACCGAGCGATGACTGAAGAAGGTTTAGACTAATAGGGGGGAAGGATCGAGCTATGCAGCTGAGGCGGACCCATTCCAATGGTTCAGTCTAATACTGAGTACCCCGTGTCCGATTTGGCAAAGATTGTCTCACTTCGGGACGATCTCCACCGAGCCACCCAGTTGGGGTATACTAAATCTATCTCGGCCATGTTATCCCTGCATCTCCGGCAGTGCATATCTAGCATTTACCGCAAAGGCAGCAAGTTCGCCCTTTGGCTAGGTTGTCTTTCATGATTTTCACTTCTTTGCAGGGGCCGTTTCCTATTGAAATTAGACGAGTCTAGAGATTATGCCAACGCGTAGGCCTGGAGCAAAGTGGAACCATGCCCTGAAACATTTCGTATAGCGTCTGCCCTCCGATACCATGGCATTGGGTGCACTCTGCAACTGGGCAGGGCTTCAAGTGCCACATGCTGGGGAAAAGGCTGAGAGCCTGTTCAAGAAGAAGGAGGCATGAGGAAGTAATGGACCTCCACGACTGGAAATCAGGCCGATCATAAGATGGTAAAGCGCCGAATTCTCTATTTCACCTGCTACTATCTATCACTTGGTTGAGCGATTTGCTTCCAAAACTAAAGTTCGCCACTTCTGCATTCTGACCTTCTTCGCAGTGGGAGGACCGGCCGCTCCAGGCTCGACGCGCAAGCTGACTGTGGCTCATGCACCGTCTCTATTCTTAGGGCTCGTAAGCAGGCTATTCTCAGTGCTAGTGTAGACGCCGTTGATCTCGGAATCGCCGAGCTGAAAATGTAGTAATAGCCCAACCTCTAGAACCGCTCGAACAAAATACGCTGACAAATCGTTTGCGGCAAGTCCACGAACCCATACAGCTACCCTTACGGCGACGGCAAGAACTATGACTGTGCCAACTTTGGTGTCTTCCAGCAGAACTGGGGTATACTTCGTGTTCGCGCGTCTGTTTACGGCTTGTAGCGTCAGGCAGAGGCCCAGGAGGAGCAACGAGACTTTCGTTATGATCAGCATTAGGCTAGCTAATGCAATCGGCAAATCTATATCTCAAATTGCCCAATGCGCAGAATGGATCCATCAAGTCGTCCTCTGATCCAACCCACATAGGCTAGATGTGGATGGATATGAATGACCCACCTGATTTAGACGCTGATAAAATATATTTCTTCAAACCATAGAGGGTATATTATTTTCTTTCTCTATCTTTAGTGAATGTATAGTCTCCCAAGAAGATGAGCGTTGTCGTGATTGTAATTTTCTGTGCTGGTAAACAGAGTAGTTCTTGGAGGTATATCTCAGCACTAGGTTCCATCCCCACGATGCCGGCCCACGATAGCCCACTAAATAAGCTTATATTTACTCGAATAATTGGCTATATAATGACCATAGACAACTAGCGTCCTATTGAATGGACGATAAATATCCTCGTGGTGTGCCTAGAACGGTAGACAGACACTCGGTAATCAGAACACTGGGTACGGCGGATCTGTATCCGCATTCCCGCATGGCTTCTGGGTCGGTGGGCCAGGAAGTGGTGGGTCAATCCGAAATCCACATAAGCTAAATCCATGGATCAAACTACATCCGATAATGCGGGTTGACCCAGATTCAACCCACACCTAGTCAACTCAGCATAGTACTAGTTCGATGGATCCAAGTATGAAGATAATGTGGGGGTAGAAGTTAAGGACGTCATAGACTCATAGCGGCAAACCCTGCCATCATACTACGGATTGATCATCGAGTCTATAATACTTGGCTCTACTGTTTTGCATCATCAGCTTAATGATGCATTCCTGGTAATTGACAGTGGTGCGTCCAATCGCGATGGTTGAGCCTAACACAGTAGGTGATGCCGACTTGGCCTCTACATCAATCCCTGAGAGAAGAAAACCACCCAAACTACGACGTAAACGACCTGTATCCCATGCTCTCGACGAAGATGTAGAGAAGGAAAAAATCGTTGGTACGGTAAGCACGCAAAAGCAGGCGGTTGTTTCCAAGACGTCTGATGATGAATCGAACTTTGAGGATACGTTGGAAGGGGAGTCTTCGGCCATCGAGGCTCAACTCCAACCGGTCCCTGAACGACAACGTCAGACTATTTGGAGTAAGCCATTTCGTAACGAGGAGAAGGAACGCGACGTGGCCGAGGATGAAGATGTTCCCGTCGCTGCTGAACGCCAGAGACTGAGACGAGGCCGACGCGGCGAGCAAACGCTCATTCAGTCAAACACGATTGATAATGCTGGGAGAACAGTCGGACAGTCCAGCGAATTGGTGCTCAATAGAACTGACGGCGTGGTGGGGACGATTACAGATACGAGTGGACGAGTTCTCGGGAGGCCGTCAGAGAAAAACGAACAGCTAAAGAAGGAGGATGATGAACAGTTGAGGTTGCGGTTGGAGTTGAACCTGGACTTGGAGGTTCAGCTGAAAGCGAAGATCTCCGGAGATCTGACGCTCACGTTATTGTTAGTATTTGCCCCTGTTCACAATGAATTCGGATATTCATCGCTGACTCAGTAAAAGGAAATAGGCAGTAGTTGGATTGGGCCTGGGTTCATGTCCACAAACTTATGACTGCGGTCGGGCGATGCTACCCATGAGTAAAAGTCCAAAAAGGCAACCCTAAAAGGAGAGGGGGAAAAAGGCAAATCTTAAAGGAGTTCATCAACGCTCAGTAAAACTGCCCTGCTGCATTATTCAGTTGAAGCACGACTAGGTCTCCTGTACTCAGCTGGTTGGCGAGGATTCATCAGTTTGGAAACGCCATATCACTCGTACCTGGATGAATGTGTAGCATATACACAGTTAGACTACTTGCCTTCGATGATGAATATCCTACACTTGCCCCTATCCATGGTGATGGTCTTGCACATCAGTTACAACTGCACCGTCTTTATCTCTCGCACATTTGAAAACGCTTTCCACTGGCTGTCCTTCTCAGTGATGGTTAATCCAAGGTACTACTAGGTAGCCAATGGAGCCAGAGGTTCATGTACTATAAGGCACAGACCTCTCCAAGTGTAACAAATCCTTTCTGAAAGCCCGGCCGTGGCTGTGGCCGTGGCTATGTTTGTGGCTGTAGTTGCGGTGGATGATGGTTTCTCAGGCTACCCTTGATAGAGCGGGAGGCCCAGAGCACTCCACAGACATCAACTCACTTCAATCTCCTGTTCGTGGTCGCGAACCGTGGTGTCAGCTTGTGGCAAATCCTCTATCCAGTGGTTCATGGGGCAGTACGGTATATTTTCGGGTTTAGGTTCGAGGCGTTAACAAGTGTTCCGCATTCTTGTACATATGATACGCCGGAAACGAAGAACAGAAGCGCAACGTGCATGCGCCTCAGCCCAAAACATATGCTCAACCAGTGTAATGCATTTGTCCATGGCTACATCAATTTCTGTACGACCTTGAGAGCAGAGACCAAAATCTCCTGACGGGAAATCATACAACACTCGTAATCTTCCTAGAAAATAATAATAGGGTATATATTTCGGGTGTGACGAGTCATTCTGGACCTCACATATCTGCGGAGCACGCTCTTAAGATGCAAATTCTACTGCGTGTCTGATCGCCTGTACCTTAAAGCATACATTGTATGCTTCCATATACATTGATCTATGGAGGCATATCGTTCTAGCCTGATGAGTATCTGCCAGAGAAAGCTAGACGTCGAAATATCCCGCTGCGATTGCGATCTACGCCGTCTCGTTGGGCATACAAACATCCTGTATGCGCTGCTGGACTCAATATCTCAAGCAGAACAGAAGATTATTACATCCGTCTCAGAAGAGGAACTCGCAGATAAAGCCAGTGAGATTCAACTGGGCTCGCCGTTGGAAGACGTTGGCCTGATGCATGAATCAGTCATTCAGTCGATATTTTGGTAGGCACCAATACTGTATGATGCTGTTTAGGCTCGCCGCTGAATTGTGACATCTCAGAACCAATATTTCGAGTACTTGACACAATGCACTTTGACTCTTACTCCACACATTTGGTTTTGATTGTAACCCCACGTAGACATGCGCAGTCTGACCGCTGTAGGAAAGTCCGGTGTTTGCAATAGTACTGGATGACACTTCCTTTACAACTCGTTGAGTTCAAAGGAAAATTATAGGGTCATAGGTGAGGTACCCGTGAGCTTGTAATGACTGGCGGTTAGAAGAGCAGTGGCATGTCAAAAGACCGATCACCCTACCTTTGGTGTTGAGGAAGGGGTCGGGAGAGGGTGTGTTGCCATGGACTGCGAAGATCTTCTTACCGAGCTGGGCCGTTCAAAGCTGCCTGAACGCAGCTGAGACAGATGCTAGCTTCGCCACCTGATCAGTCATTCCAACGGCTGACGCTGACCCAACCAGAAAGTTCAATGCACGGACGTGGATCATCATTCTTAGTGCAAGATTGATTGGGATTCAGGACCACTAAGGCACATTAGGTTCCGTGGCCCGGGTCCCAGGGATTGAGGATTTCTGGTTCGTATTGCAACAAGGTCGGGCCCATCCCTACACTCCAGAGTCCAGACCTCTGGACTCTGTTTTGAAATTCGTAAAATACAAAAATTATTTAGAGAATGTATTAGAAGACTAATTTCTCTGCCTTAGGTGGGCGAATGCATTCTCCTAGTCTTTAGAGCCTATGCGGTTATTTAAGCTTTGACGGCATTAGTCGCATCTCACCTCCAACACGTAGGATTGGCCAGTATGTCTAATTAAGATCGATAGTTTCGTCAGCTTCACCAATGCGTCAACACTACTGCTCCGTTCTCAAATCGGCATAGCCAAGCAATGCAGAGAGTTTCGATTTTCCCGAGCATTCGCACATCATTACTCCGTAGTGCTTACAACGACAACCTCGGCAGAGGATCGCAATGGTCTCTCAGTTCTCTCAGTCTAGAGATATTTTGGTGTTTAAAGTAATCACCCCGATATTTGTTTCAATATCCCAACGCCCTGCACCTGCAAGAGTCTGGACCGTCATATCTAGGTTAAATGGTAAAACTTAAAAGTATTTTACCAATGCGAACTGGGAAGCATTATGCGGCTAAGGCATCTTGTACGCCATCCAATCCCCAGCGTAAGGTACCCTGGACGGTTCCACTTTCGAGGCACATGGGAAGATAACCAGAGCAGAGTCGAAGGTGGAGATCATTTTTCGACCATCCAGCACGCAGAAGACATGCCATTTTGTTAGTAAATAGTACTCCATCACTATCCTGTGTTTGAACTCTTCACAAGCTGAATTATACTTTCCGAGATCCTTAAAATCTTAGAGGGTTCGATGACTAGGAGAGGTCACTTCGTTCCTTAGAGGGTCAGGGCCGCTCAAGCCACAACAAGATCTGCAGAAGATCTGGCCCAATGGAAGGGAAAAGCTGACTAGCATCTGTAGACAACTATATCCCGCATAACGGCGGTATATCAGTAAGAAATATTACTGGGCCCATGTTTAAGCAGACATATAGTAATGAGACATCGTGTTCACCATGCATCAAGCACATTGCGGGATAGCAGAGATGATTCTAAAATTTAGCTTACAGATGGCTGTGTAATGCTAACATTCAGGATCTGACTCTGAGCCAATCTCCCTTTTCCTTTTCTAATTTCTGATTTATTTCCCCCTCGTGTTTACGTTTTCGGGTCTGACAAACTGACCCGAAAGCTAATATGATGGGTTACCATTTGTCCGCCTTCCTTGGTGCTCTTCATGCGTAAGGTTTTGGGGCTGTAAGACACGCCCAATAATCCGCAAGCTGCATCGTGCTCAACCCATGTAATATATTCTATGGCGAGAGTCGAGGCGACAGCCACTTTCTGTAAAGGATTCCAATTCCTCTCCTTTTATATATTCCACCATCGACAATGAGATTGAAACCGGTCAATAGCTCTATGCAAAATGTGGACAACCACACTGGATCTGTAGCGGCGGAAGACACCAAACAAACCCCATCGAAATCGCAGGAATGGACTCCAGCACCGCTTCCTATTCTGAGCCGCCATGTCCGCTTCAACAATTGCCGACACAGGCCACGATCGCCCCATCCACCCTTGACCCAAAGGAGCCAGACTCATATCATCTAGACACCGTACCGAGCACCCACAAGTCGGCGTATGGTTTATACGATGTTTGGGGGTGCGATACGAATAGTACCAATGGCCTGCTTTCCTCTACCACTCGATCATCCGAGTCTGATCTTTTCTATGGTCTCTCTACTCTAATTCCCGGATTGCGCCAGCTGGATTCTGGAGCTCGGGCAGCAACAAAAGCAGAACGCAAGATCACATTCTTGGATGGTTGCCGGCGATACCCCAAGGCAATGGCGTGGTCGGTGGTCGTTTCGTCAACCCTCATCATGGAAGGGTTCGACACTCTACTTATATTTTCTTTCTTCTCACTTCCTGCCTTCAAACGACACTACGGCATGCCAAGCAAGGACGGCGGCTATGAAATTCCTGCTCGCTGGCAGTTTGGTCTGTCCACGGGGGCAGAGGCAGGGGAAATTGTCGGACTGCTTCTCAATGGCCTGCTGGCTGATCGCGTCGGATATCGCATCACTATATCTGCCGCTCTCGTTGTTCTCTTTTTCTGTATCCTGTTACCCTTCTTCGCGGTCAATCTGCAGACGTTGCTTGCAGGACAGATCTTGTGTGGAATCCCCTGGGGCGTCTTCCAGACGCTGACTATCAACTACGCCGCCGAAGTCATGCCAGTCACGCTCCGCGCATACCTTCTCAGCAGCATCAATATGTGCTGGGTACTGGGTCAGCTCCTCGCGACGGGTGTGACTCGTTCATTCGCCAACAACGACTCCACACTGTCCTTTCGACTTCCATTTGGGCTGCAGTGGGCCATCGGCTTACCCATATTGGTCGGCGTGATCTTGGCCCCCGAATCACCCTGGTGGTTGATCCGGCACGACCGACCGCAAGAGGCCAAACGGTCTTTGGCAAGGCTGACGCGGAGTGGCGTCAGCGTGGATGAGACAGCCGCCATGTTGACACATACCAACGAAGTCGAAAAGCATCTGACGGGTGGCGGCGCCATCTCATACCTGGACTGCTTCAAACGGGCCGACCTTCGCCGAACAGAGATTACGTGCTTCGTCTGGGTCACTCAGCAAGTCTGCGGCAGCAGCCTAATGGGCTGGGCCGCATACTATTACAAGCAGGCCGGATTCGCTACCAGCCAGGCTTTCAATTTAACAGTCGGGACCTTTGGCCTGGCAATAGCTGGGGGCGTAATCTCCTGGTTTCTCATGCCCCGCGTGGGCCGCCGCCGACTTTATCTTTCTGGGCTTTTTGTCATGTTCCTCACTCTACTTACTGCAGGGTGTATCAGCGTAGCTTCGACAGCTCGATGGCACTTGTGGGCTCTCGGCTCTCTTCTTGTTTTCCTGACATTCGTATACAACATCACCATCGGGCCCATCTGCTATGTGCTGGTCGCTGAGATTCCCTCTACCCGGCTCCGCGTCAAGACCGTCGTTCTGGCACGCGTGGCGTACAACCTGTCCGGCGTACTCATCAACTGGATGACGCCAAATATGCTGAGTCCCGATGAGTGGAACTGGAAAGGCAAGTCCTGTTTCTTTTTCGCCGGGACTACCCTTCTGTGCTTGATTTGGTGCTACTGGAGACTTCCGGAAACCTATGGATTGAGCTATCTTGAGATCGACATTCTGTTTGAGAAGAAAGCGAAGACCAGCAAATTCCACGAGCTTCAGAATAACCTGCGAGATCGGGGCTATTTTGGCCTCCGGGGAGACGAGTGTCCTTTTCGCGGGTACTGAGACCAACGAAATCAAATGTCCAATACGACTGCTCTTTCATGTATACCGTACGTTTTACTTGGGAATCCACGGAGAAACTATAAATCTTTGAGAATCATAGACGAAAATATCTAATGGCAGGGCCTAGACATAAGGTAGCTAAGCTACCAGACCGCTATTTGCCACGCAGTACGGAGTAAATGGATGTAACAATGAATTACCTGGATTGGGCTGAACATAGCTATGCGAGGCTACCACCGCCAAGAAGTCACCATTTGTGGAGGGTCTAGACTAGCATATGGATGACCCCAATCCCATGGATGTCCCAGTCTGGTAAACGGTCCTCTCCATACTTAGTTTCGACGGGCCGGTCTGGTCTTCTCCCCGCCGGTAGTTAGGCACTTTGGCTAGTACCCGGCGGGGTCGTTGTAAGTTATTACATATTCTATCTTGAAATTACTTGTTCACATCATTCCAGGCTCTACGAGGTAGTTGCTTTGCCTATCATGTATTACTCTTTTCAGCAGGTGTTGCAACTTTGCATTTTGCACACGTTGCTATTTATTCTGATTACCTCATGACTCATCACTGGCCTGAACAGGGTTCCAAGAGCAGACGTCTATGTAGCCAATATCATCCTCTGTGTAGGTCTAAAGTATTGTTCATTGACTTGCCTACCCCATCTCCATATTGGAACGTCTTTCCTTAATAGCAAGCTACCTTGCACGGTGCGTCCCGTTGGTAGCTTGAGCATAAAGTCAGTGCTCTTAAGCCTCTTAGTAGTCTCGCGGTAGGCAATTACAGCTCCAGGTGTTTACAGTTTTTGGCTGAATGCTGAGCTGAACACTAGTGCACAGCCCTCTGCTCTCAGAGCCATCTGATGAGGAATCAATATGGTCACTCGAGTGTGGATCTGTGCAATTCCCCTATCATGGCTAGGATAGCGCCTACAGGCAAGGGAAACATACCAAATCCTTATATGTTTCTTTTCTGTTTAAATTACAAGATAGTCTGCTATCAGGCGAATGCATGCTCAAAGGTTCTAATTAGAATAGCAGGGGGTTGGGGAGTTGTTGAGGGATTGATTGGATCTATTATGGATTGGTACGAAGTGGTTCGAATATAGATATATACATGTACTTCTGCCATCAAGAATCACTGCACATTCCAACTCTAGATATCAAATATTCTAGATAGACGCTAGGATGATGGCTACAATACAAATCATATAAGTATTAACATTCTATTAACACACTGGGTATGCTCAAGGTAAATGATAGAAATAAAAACTGTAGTAGTTCTTCGTTCCAGCGTGGCAATCCCACCTCTCATCCCGCCTCTCTTAAAGATTATAGCAAAGTGCTATGTTATTCTAACTCTAAAAACTGCCATGACATCCCATGCGGTAGCGCAAACGTCGCATCCCGTATTGAATTTCTGCTAGCAGCAATCATATTGCTGTCGTAAGATTGGACACCAGCAAGTCTCGTTTCATGCAGCTCCTCGATAGCAAGCACTCGTGATATGAGTTGATCAAATACTTCCTGCTTGCAGAGTGATGATTCTTCGTCATTAAGAAGTCGCACTGCCTCTTTAGCTTTCCCGATGAACATGTCGACGGCCGTTGGAACGTCGATGGTAATAAGTGTGTTGATCTGATCGCGTTCCTTCCGTGCTAAGACCAGAAATTTAGATAATGCATCGACGGCATGGTAGTATTGCTGGTAGACCCAGTATGGCAGATAGAGGACATATTGAGGCGCAAGAGAAGAGAACGTTGAGAAGAAGTCTTTCGCTGAGGTCAAGCCTGAGTGAAGGATATCATGGCGCACCCCGGTGCTATCCCGGTCGCTCTTTATGAAGTCGTCATCCAGAGCAGTCTCGTATAAGTGGAGCTCCAGACTGTAATACTGTAATGCCAGGATGGCTAGGTACAAGATTAGCAAACGTTGTCACATATTTCATGGTAAGGGAAGTCACTGGCACTCACAGTCCTGCAGTCGGTCCTGCGCGCTAGATGGTCTCAAATGCTTTAATTCCTCTTCAAGAGCCTTGACACACGTTTGCACTGAATCCGACGAAGCTATGTGCGGTGGATTGTACGCATCGAAGGGAAATATTTGAATGATCCTGTGCGCCATACGATTTAGTCGTACCAGCCGGACAAGATACATGTCTGTAGGATATTCCTGCAGCTCCTCAGGAACATGACAGCATTCTTCAGTGTAGCCCGTGTATCTAAGAGGATCCATATTCTTGAGACATGTCGCAGTTCTGAATGGTTAGTCTACTACCGGAGCGATGTATGGGGGCCGACCTACATACACACAGGTGGTATAAAAGCACCCGAGGTAGGCTCGCCGTTCATCTGTGGTACGAGCAGTGTCATGGTCGCATGGTTGCGGTGATTTTCCAATAGATAAATGAGGCCTTTGATGGAGTCCAAGACTATGTAGCATGGCCAGAGCCAGGTGCAAGATGATACCCAGCTGTTCTTCGGATTCAAATAGAAAGTGATGCCTAGTATGGTGTGAGACCCGTAAACTACGAATAGAATTGAAACGGAAAGTTATAGGTACCATGATAGGCAGACCAAGAGGGCCTGCAGGATATCGAGACTCTTATGCCGTTCCTTAACAATTGAGCGGCTGATATGCTCTAGGAAATGATCTGTCATGTGTTTCCTCCGATCTGCTTCTTCGAAAGAAGCCACCACTAGAATCGCACTCAAGAGAAGTGGCCTCTTTTGCTGCCACTGCGGCAAGGCCATATCAAGCGGGATGACAACACAAGGGCAGTGGTACGCCATCTCTGTCCGGTATTTTGCTAAAATCAGCGATGCACTTTCATGAGTAAAATGGGGACTTCCATCCCACGGGAGGACCAATTGTGAGGTCTTCTGGGCTTGGGGTCTGTTTGTGTGTTCACTGTTGGATGCTGCACCAGACGTTATCTGAGATGATACGCCGACAAGACAAGCTACAGTGTCAAGCTTCTTCTCGAGTCTCGCAACGTCCCTTTGGACAAAGTCAATAGCCAACCACCCCTACGGATCTCGTGGGTACTTACAACGGCGAGGTAGCATTGCGCTTGTGAGCGCCGGGTGCCTGAGTGGTGCACTCCCTCTTTAAACGAGAACATCTAGTCTTTATTTAAAGGGGCTCAATGGACTTGAACTGAGAAAGTATCGTACCGCTTGCACCCACCCGTCTCTTGTTGGTCACATTTCACTTTTGCATACGCGCATTGCTGGCATGCCTTTGGCTCTCGGGTTCTTACGGGACGCCTTCTAACCATCGGCAACACTTGCTGACCAACACTTTGAGAAAGTAGAGTGCGGGTATATGGTTGGTTGTATGGTTCTTGTCAGAGTGTTGGTGAGTTGTCATGGCTGAGGGCCTGAGGCTGAGATCACTGGGCACGGAACTCCGTGTCCCGTTTCAGCCAATCATTTCGAGCAATCACCGGTGAAGGGTGAGATTTAGGCGGCGACGGGCAAACAGAGTGCCGATTCGGGTAAAATGATTACCTAGCTTAAATAGAGACGATCGCCCACCATGTCAGATGGGTCAGCCATCAAAACATTATATCGGAGAGAAACACAACACCATCCCTTATCAGTCTCAAAGATCTTTTTGTTGAAGACTTCCAGGCCGCCCAAATATCAATCAAACAACTGCCCGGAAGACCTGACAACTGGCATCATGTATTTAATTGCGACAAGCATTGAAATCAATGCTCCTCCGGCAACGGTCAGAGAGAAGGTATTGGCTTCCATTGGATGCTGAGAAGCAATAATTTCAACCATGAGTACATCTGGCTTTCTGACACTTGGAACCAGTTTCTCGACTTTTCATCCATCCCGACATACTCACCCAATGGATTTTTCCGCTCGATATCACCCGTTGACCCAACTAAATCATCTATCGATCTACAACCTGGTGACAAATTAAACGTCTGTGCAGGCTATGGAAAGATGAAGTTCTCGCCTGTCCTCTCATCAAACACGCCGTCTATGTTTAGCTGGATCGGTTCTATCCCAGGAATCTTCACAGGTGAGCATATGTTTCGATTCGAGGAAATTCCAGCATCGGGACAGGAACAGAGCCGCACAAGGTTCGTCCATGAAGAGACGTTCACGGGTCTCCTTTCATTCCTCATGGGGGAGGGATTTCTCGCCAGATATGTTGGTATGGGGGAGGATTCAAGAAAGGGGTACGCTGGGTTCAACCATGATCTAAAGGCTTGGATCGAAGGAGAGCGCACGGAATAGCGAGCTACGCCTTGTCTAATCTGCTATCTGCTGTCTAACAATCTTCGTTTATTCTCTTTCTCTGATATCACATGCTGCTTTCAAGGAAGCATCTCTTCTTGGATCGTTCGTCGCATGTCGTGTTTCTGTTCTTTGATACAACCCCAGCGTTTTGTTTTCATTTATTGAACCAGCTTTTTTAGTTTCGCAGTTTTGTATGAAACGTTCATCCATAATATGCCTGCGATCATCCAACCATTATAGAGAATCCAAGAACTTGATAGTGTTTTAGTTGGGGATTTGCGCTCACATTTCAGAACTCAAGACAGATCTTGTAGGACCAATAGAATAAATACTGTGTTTATATATTAATTAATAATGGAATCCCTTAATTAATAGTGGATAAGGTGCTATTAGCAGAATAACGAAGTGCTTGTATCTATGTAAGCAATGGCCTGTACTTTATTGTGAGTGACCACAAATTCAAGGTTATTAAGGGAAGGCATCCATGTAAATATTCACATAGCTTTTATAGTTAAGAGTAGTAAGTTTATTTATCAATTACTATGTTGAGTTATTGAATTTTCTAAGTGCAGCATTGTACTCTAAGAATCCTTCCGCATTATTGAGGATGGAATATGTCTGGTACCATAACCTTGAGTGGACTAGCTAGCGTTTTAGAACCACTTACAAGCAATTAAGCAGTAAAGAATATGATCTCCACTTCTTAAATACTCATCCGCTGCATCTTGCATCCGGCGGACACATAAGAGGAATTGTAGGCTGACGGATACCCCGGATCGGTGATGTCACTGATCACCAGACCTCCAAAACCACATGCCGAATGAAACACAGAAACAACCATCAATAAACCATCCAGGCACTATAACCATCAATAATTAATCTTTGTATCTTGCCAGGAAAATAAGTCGAGGATGGAAGGGACTACACCACCGTACACCAGCATCGAAGACTATGGCCTCGTGGGGGACATGCACACCTGCGCCCTGATCAGCAAAACTGGCAGTCTTGACTATATGTGCTGGCCCGTCTTCGATTCGCCCTCCGTCTTCTGTCGCATCTTGGACTCTACACAGGGAGGACATTTCTCCATATCCCCTGTACCGGATATCCAACCAATCAGCAAACAGCGATATCGACCGTACACTAATATGCTGGAGACGCGATGGATTGACGAACAGGGGGTGGTGAGTCTTCTCGATTACCTCCCTGTATCAAGTCACAAGTCGCACCCTGAGTGGTGTATTTGCGATGACCCCATTGCTCGTAATGACCCGCAGAGACCATGTCATTCAGGCGTTGTCCGGAGGATCGAATGCGTGAGGGGTGAAATGGAGATGGATTTTGAGCTATTTCCTGCGTTCAACTATGCAAGGGACCGGCACAGTGGCCATTGGATCACTCCCGAGAACTCCAGCGGCTCGCTCAAGAAATATTCCTTCGAGAGCCAGACGCAAAATTTACACTTGGCTATCCATTCCGGTATCGACACTTCGCTTGAGCCAGCTGATGCCATTTCCCCGGTGGATCTAAAGCTCGAGGAAATGGAAGGCCCAAAAGGGCCAGGGCTTCATGCAAGAGTGAAGTTGAAAGAAGGGCAATCAATCTCATTTGTGCTGCACGACCCGGAAACAAGGCTTCCTGAGGAGGGCGCCCTACGACACTACCTGGACGTACTGGAAAAAGAGACGCTCAACTTCTGGGGTGACTGGATTGCCCGTTGTACGTTCCGCGGCCACTACCGTGAACAGGTTGAGCGCAGCCTCTTGGTACTTAAGCTGCTCACCTACAAACCGACCGGAGCAATCGTCGCAGCTCCTACGTTCTCCCTCCCCGAGTACGTCGGAGGGTCCCGGAACTGGGACTATCGGTACTCCTGGCTTCGTGATGCCGCTTTTGTCGTCTACGTGTTCCTCAAGAATGGTTATCCAATGGAAGCCGAAGCATACATCAACTTCATCTTCGACCGCGTCTTCCCTCCAGTGAGGGATAACGAATGCGTCGCGGGTGCACCATTCTTACCAATCATGGTGACGATTCGAGGTGAGAGCGACATTCCAGAAACTGAGCTGGACCATCTAGAGGGATACAAGGGTAGTAAGCCCGTACGTATCGGAAACGCAGCTGCAGAACATATACAGCTGGATATCTATGGAGAACTCATGGACAGTGTCTATCTCTACAACAAACACGGACGACCTATCTCCTATGAGCAGTGGGTCGCCATCCGACGCATGATGGCGCATGTAATCAGAGTTCGAAATGAGCCCGACAGATCGCTGTGGGAAGTCCGAGGCAAGGAGCAGAATTTTGTCTACAGCAAAATTATGCTATGGGTTGCACTAGACCGAGCAATACGTCTCGCAGAGAAACGATCTAATCTACCGTGTCCAGACGTGGACCAGTGGAGGCGTGCGCGTGATGAGCTCTACGATGAGATCATGAGCAAAGGCTACAACCTCAAGGGAAAGTATTTCTGCATGAGCTATGAGAATCAGGATGTGCTGGATGCAGCTGTTCTCATTGCACCGCTGGTATTCTTCGTCGCTCCAAATGATCCCAGATTCCTGTCCACTCTAAAGAAGATCATGTGTGCCCCGGCCAAAGGCGGGTTATCAATTGCCAATATGGTATCCCGGTATGACCACACAAAAGTGGATGATGGTATGTTCTCCTCCTACACGGCTGTTTTCCTTACTGACTCCAAATCCAGGGATTGGTGGCGGCGAGGGCGCATTCGTCATGGTGACTTTTTGGCTAGTTGAAGCGATGATGCGTGTATGTTTTCACATCATTCTCATAAACAAAGTACTGACGCGGTACGCAGGCCTCAAAAGCAATGCCATATCAGAAGGACGATCCATTCTACCCCCAACTGCGCAAGGCAGCGGTTGCGCACTTTGACAACATGCTCGCTTTTGCAAATCATTTGGGTATGTTTTCAGAAGAAGTGGCCATATCAGGGGAGCAGATTGGCAATACTCCCCAGGCCTTCAGTCATCTGGCATGTGTCAGCGCTGCGATGAATCTTGGGGAGCAAGCTGAGCGATGAACAGCTGTAAAATTTCATGCATGGCTGGTTCCTGATATTCCAACTGCACATTCCAGTATGTGGCATCCCTTTGGAGTGCGCTAAAATATAATAAAGTACATTGCATACATAATCTATGATGATGATCATCTTCATTGGCTTCGATGATAACCCTTTCATGCGCGTAATCCTCTAGCTCGCTAATCTGATTCCTGATTTCCTCACCTGTGCGCGCCTGATGCCAACGCCTTGACCCTACGGATAGCCTTGCCGGACGTGAATCTCCACAGCTGTTGGTTTTGCCCAAAACACATTCTGAAGCATCTGTCTCGCGCTATCATTATGGTACATCATCTTCGTAGTACATCATTCCACTTGAGCCTGCTGTCCCTTGGAGCTATATCCTTTTGGTCATGGTCCTTCTACACCAGACCTGCTATTTGCAAAACTCTGCGGACAAGCATAGCTGACCTGCTGCTCTTTCTAGGCTGGAAAAGGATATAGGAGTGAAGTGGTGAATTTTCTATCTTCTTCGTATCCCTCATGTTTATGAGAATTGGACATATTCTACTCTACAGTATCATAACCAAAGCCCTGTCTGTCTACACCTGACCTCCAAAGTACACCTTGAGACCGTCGTAACTCCCCAGGAACAAACCACCTCCCAACCCAGCCGCGAGACACGTCAAGGCCCCGCCTCTAAAAAGACCTCGTATCCCGTCCTTTACCAATATCCCCTTCGCGACAGCCACAGCATTAGCAGACGATACCCTCTCTGCCTTTACTGACGGAGGTATAGGCCGAATATCGGCCTTCAAGGGCAGTCGAGCATAGGTAGGCGTACCCGCTGCAAGCCTCATGCGCGTCTTAACCACATCAACAGGCACAAATAGCATCGAAACCACCGCGCTAGCTAGCGCACCGCTGTAGAGCCCCCCTTGAAATAAGCACTAACATCCCTGGAATTCCGCGGAACCTCGAACCACGAGGTCTTGAGATACTCATACAACAAGAACGTCAGACTCGTCCCGGGGAGATGGCTAGCAGCTAGCATGGTATACCCCGTCCAGAGCTTAGTCGGATGTCTGGAGAAGCGCCTGACGGTCGATAACAGTGGCGAACGACTATGCTCGGATTGAGCATGCACGACTTGAGCATTCTGCTTCAGCACCTCGGCGGGATTAGTGATTGCGCATGCGACCAGATCTGCTACTGCGCTGCTAAGTGCATACGTGGCTAGCTCGCGGGTTTTTGACGGTTGAATGCCTTCGTTGGGTTGAAGCGTTGATTTCATGGTTTCGTAGATTGTGAAGAAGGCGACTGATGCGGGGATACTGGTGATAATCGTTGGGCCGAAGCCTTGATATAACCCTCGGTAGAGAGCTGGTTTGACACTGCCATTTACACGCTGATATGCTGATGTGTAGGCTGGTGATTGTATTCTAGTAATGAGCGTGTCGAGTGGGTGAATGAGTAGCTCAACTCCTACTGCGGCTATGCCTGCTGCCTAAATGGGATTAGTTGCACGCAAGGCCGTTATTGTATGAGGTACGTACGAATGAGACGTCCTTGTTACTAGCATCGACGGACATGGTACTGGCGAAGGGCGCTCAATCCTTGGTGAAAGCCTGTCGTTATATTTTAAAGGCTAACTGAAGAAATAAATGGTGTCGTACAGGTCAGAAATACTGTCTTGGCATGGAACTGATCGGCGTCGGATGTCCGATGGAACGAGAATGGAATCCGCGGATCCCGTATACAGCAATATATGAAGCTTAAGCTCGATTGAATGTGCATAAGAACAAATACCACAATCTGAAATCCCTATATCATCATGCCCAGCATTTCACCCTCCCCGCCTCCACTCAATGCCTCACTCCACCACGAAAGAAGAGCTACCATATACTTCAGGTTTGCATGCCATTGCGCAGGTTATCATACTGCGACACCGGATAGTCCAATTCATTCTGATTCTGTTCAAAGGCTCCCGTGCCTCCAAGTGCATTTACTACCTGAGATGATATCAGCACTGGACCGGCAAACCACGACATAAGTACTCACCGTGGTAATCAGACTATCACTTCCGGTCTTATCGCTGCTGCTGTCCCACCACATGGCGCCTCCCAATCCCAAGGACTTGATATAGCCAGACTTCATAGTCGCCACCTGAGGGTTGTCATAGCTGATCAAAATCTTGTTCGTCGCGTCGTAACTGTAGCTTGCCATGATGTTGGAAATGACATGCTCCGTGGCACCAGTCTGCGGGAGCGCCTTGTAGTCCCACACTCCGTTCTCCCAGCTGCCCTGGCCAACGCCGTTATAAGGCTTGCCAAGACCGTCGGTGTTAGCAAAGGAGCGCCCGTAGAGAGGCATGCCCAGGACGATTTTGTTTGCGGGGACTCCACCGGCGCGGTACAGATCGAGTGCGGTCTGGGTGTTGAAGGGAGTGGAGAGCGGGTTAGAGGTGTCGTTGTAGACGTTGGCCTGGTGACCAGTTAGAGACGAGAAACTGCCGGCGTAGTCGTAGGCCATGAGGTTCCAGAAGTCCAGTTGCTGATCCATGTCTTTGAGGTGAAGGACCTTGATCTTATCCGGACCTATGCTAAATCAGAATGATTGCAACTTGTAGTATGAGACAGCGCGTACTAACCAGCCGGAGAAGCCACCGTCAGAAGGAAGTGCTGGCCGCCCGCATTTGCAGCACTATAACTGTCCAGCGCCTAGTGACCTTAGTAATATGTCCATTAAGAGTCGCGTTCATCAGCACATACAGTTCTCACTTCCTTGAGCAACAGAACAAAGTCGTTCGCTTGCTGGTCGTTCTCAGGGTACTAGGCCTATTAGCCAGTGTCAACGCTGACGTCGTGCGTCAACTTACCTCCCAATCGATATCCAGCCCATCAAAGCCCAAGTCCTGCAACAACTTCACCGCAGTCTTCGCAAAGTTCTTCCGTCCAGCATCGGTGCTAGCCGCCGGAGCAAAGTTGGGAGAATAGGTCCACCCGCCAATGGACAAGAGAACCTTGAGGTTACGGTTTTGCTTCTTCAAGAGATACAGCTGCTTGATACAGCCGTAGACATTGTTACCGGTATCAGACCAGGAGTCACCGGGGTAATGCTTCTCAATGTCGGCCCAGGAGTCTGTCATATAGACTTCCCCGGTTTCGGGACGCACATTGGCGAAGGCGTAGAGGACGTGCGTGAGCCTCTGAACAGGGAGGTCCTGAGGATTATGGTTGCGCCCATAAATTGCCTAGATAGTGAGAAGGGGTATTCAGTGTGATGTGAAAGAGTACTAACCCAGTTGACAAAGTAAACGACGGAGCGATACCCGGAGCTAGCGCGTGTTTCCAGATCAGTATTGCCGGCATCGCGATTCCACATCACCGCGGCGTCGACACAGAGACTGCCGAGCAGAAGGGCGACCTTGACGATGGTGGAAGTTGCAAAGCGCATTGTTGTCGTTCAGTCGAGCTTGTCGATGTCTGAGTTTGTCGAATGAAGTCGTCCTGTGCTCTGTAAATACCATGCGACACACTTCCTATTTATCTCCGTAGCTCCCCTTTTCCATCGCTACTATCACTCGCGAAATCCGCAAACCTCCGCCATACAGCGTCGCTTTCTGGTGAAGTCCCATCGTCGGGTCGTAGGTATAGATAACCCCTAAACCCCATCACCAGTAACCCTGATGGCAACGTGTCACAAGCTAGGGGATCAAATCAGATGCATAGATAAGGCAGCGATTCAGTGAAGAACCAGGTTCCGGTGATCCGACGGCCATAGATCTTGCAGTAAACTGGAGTCACAGGCCAGGTTTCACGTACCTGACCATCCTGCATGCGACGTCGGCAGATGCAAATGGTCAGGGCTTATCTGCCCAATAAGAGCTTCACTTTGTGCAGAATGGGCAATGTGACTCCCCGCGTGGAGGGCTGCCAAGGCGCTTAGTCGCGTGAGGGGTCTCCTTAATCTCCAGTTCGATGTAACGACAGGAGGACGTGTATATGGAAGCATATGCCCTTCTTGGTTATCCTTCCGCTGCTTAATGGGTCAAAAGGGGTTTGCAGAAGCTGGAAAGGGAGCATGACGCTATGCGACGTGACCGTGGCCGCCGAGCCCAAGGGATGTCACTATCACTCTCACTTTTATTTCAATCACTGTGCAGTCAACTCGCGACAGCAGAGATCATGGCGCGTCGAATCTTGAGTAATGTAACATGCCGATGATCTCAATATCTTTCTTGCCAGGGTTTGCGGATACACTGGGGTTTAACACCTTGACCCCGCGCGATCTAGCGAAGTACAGGCTTACGCTGCCGAACCTCTATCCTCACATGCAGTTATTTTGAGGCATACCTTTCGCTGCCGGAGTATCGCAGGAAGCAACGTCATTTAGCTTTACTTTGGGCGTGTTGTCCGTAAAGTAGCAACCAGTAATGTCTGTGAGATTAACCTATAGAGTGACCCGCACCTGTCATGTTCTCAATGTTGAGCACATCTCCGTTGAACCAATTCGACACCCATTCCATCAATGATACAGACCGCGAGCATTTCACGTTCAGTGTGTCAGTACAGATTGGCCAGCAACTAGTTATTTCACAGCGATGTGTGTTGAGTCAGTAACTGTAGTAGTGTCCTCTTCTGCTGAGAGCACATGCTGACGTGAGAACCTCTTCCGCCCCCTGACAAGCCAGTAAGCAGTGGAGATGATGAGAACGATGCCAATGACCACGACACCGTAATCTGGAAAATGATTAGCCATTTAACAATAATATCCTCAAGAGATGGATGACACGCACTCATGCTTCGGCCTGTTACCGGAAGAGAAGGCGGGAATAGGAACAGGACGGTGGTGAGGAGGATATAGCCGATGGCTACCTGTAAGAGAATCAGTCAATCATGACAGACACCAGTAACGGGACTGAGGGGTTATACAAGGTTAACCGTCCATCCGATGACCGGGCTCAGGGTCCAATGGCTCTTGGGAAGCTGGTTGCGACCGCGCAGGCAGTGGATTATGATCGGAAAGCCGTAGGAAATATCGAAGCAAACAACTGTGGCGGAGCTTAATGCGTTGAATGCACTTGAAAAGTCAATGACCCATAATTCCTTTAATCGAGAGTCAAAATTGGGAAACTCACGTTGAAGATCCGAGGTAGATGCAACCGCAGCAGAGGGTCAAGAACGCAGTGAGGCCGAGAGCATTCAAGGGTGTTCCTAGGGTAGGGTGCACCCTCGTCCAGAATGGTGAAAACGGCATTCCGGAATCTCTGTGGTGAGAGTTAGGTACGGATAATAGACCGGTACTGGGTTTAATTGTTGTGGTACTCTAACCTGCCAAGAGCAAGTATCATTCGGCTGGAGGTGGTCATGATTGCCACGATACCCATCAACAGGCAGATAATAGGGAATCTGAGCCCGTGTGATTAGCAATCATACAGTCCAAGATGGACTACCTGTGGAGAGTGGACGGGCATACAATAACAAGCAAATTGCTCCGGCCTTGCTCTTCGTGGCATCAAGGATGATCTGGAGTAGTGGGCCATAACCGGAGGTGATTATCGTATTGATATCGTCTGACACGAACAGGAGGACAATGATGAATGCAAAGCTAGTGAGTGCCCCGATTGCTACACATGCAACCATAACTCGGGGACCTTGGACGGACGGGTTGGGAATTTCTTTGAGCGCGATATTGTCAGTATTCTATGCATGGATTGAGGCATAGCGAGGACACTAGCGGCTTACCTTCGATCATATGGGCAACGGCGTCCTGATCGGGTCAGTAGATGATTCGCGTCACAATGGTATATACACATACAAATCCGATGAGACACAAACTACCTTGTAGTAGCTGGCGCCGTTCGTTAGCTTGTCTACTTGTTATGTGTGAGCTGGATGTGTCCTACGCCTAGTGGCCAGGCAACACCATCTGGCCCTATTGGAGAACCAGATTAGCTAGTATCTTTGAATATACGAATTCAATGAGCAACGTACATCCCGTCTCATTGATGAATTGGGTAAACACGTAACTGAATTATTGTCAGTTTTATTCAGTTAATCCTGCTTTCGGCGACGGGACGTACGTGGCTGAGTTGTAGTCGGGTACAGCACATGCGAGAGCTGTGATCGAAAAGATGAGGAATCCACAAAGAGACCAGATCACTAGTCCTTAATTAGAGAGCCAGAGCCGGATATCCTGAGTGCAGTATCGATAACTCACATGCAGCTTTGCTCAGGGCAGCGAGGATCGAGTTCCAGAAGGCGTTGATTAAAAAGCCGGTCAGGCAAAAGCCGATATAGACGAGGAATACCTGCCATGGTTGGACAGTGAGATTCTGTATCCGTTAGCCTCCCTAATATCTCCATAAGGTCCTTTTCATGTCGCTTCTCGGTTGTGGAGCAGCGAGTATAAGTGGAGGGAAGGATAAGTACTGGATTGGCAAGGACTGCGATGTTCATAATCAATGAACTACCGAATAGTGAGGCAGTGGCAGGGAGGCATATCTGGAGTTGAGCCCTCTGATCAGCAATGAACGATAACTCAGAATATTTGAGCTGTACATACCCAGGCTGCAACATTAAACCACGCGGTGAACCAAGCGAGGACCTCCTTGTATTCATCCCATGATACTAACACAACAATTAGTCTCAGAGGATCCTTGGAGTCAGCGATTAGGGGCTGAACATACCAACTAAACAGTGAAGAACAACCAGTTAGCCACAATCTGCAACCATTAAAGTGAGAGGGTCAGACGAGGAATACACCTACCAGCTACCCACTGGTACTGCCCTGCCGCACTATATCAATTCGGTACCTTCGTCAGCATCGCGCTATAACCCAACCATTCGTCGTTTTTAATCGAGTGACTGAAAAACGTACGTGGGATATGCGGATAAGATTTCCGCCAACGAGATAGAAATACATAGGGTACAGATCCCAGCGGCAAGAAGACCTGTGCGACTTTACCATTAACGATATATATTGTGTGGATTGGATATCAAGTCTCATACCCCAGATGATACTTAATGGGCCTCCGGAAGAGAGGCTAAGCGGAAGGCTCGATGCAAACGCGCTCCATGACTGCAGAATTGCGGTTAGTCTGGATTCGTACAATCTCACTCTCTTGTATACCAACATTCAATGTAGCGAATGCTAAGCCTAACAATGAACTGGAGAGAGAAAGTCAACCTTATCCCCGAGAGCAGAGCGGAATTCCAAGTCGGAAAGGAGCACAGGCTCACATAAAAGAGAAGTTCTTTGCAAGTTGGACATGAGGCGTTACGAGGATATTCTCTGACTTGGGAATCTCCATGGCGACACAGAAAGAGATTCAAATATTGTTTGGTGGCCTAACTCTTGTGAAGTTGGATTTATCCTACCTTCGGGATTACAGGAGCGCAGCCTAGCCGGAGTAATATACTTTGACCAACAGCTGCCGGGTCACCTCCACAAGGATTCGCTTGACATACACTTGAGCCGTGATAACCTTATCACAAACCTTAGGTCAATCTTTCCATCCACGTATTATCATTAGGGTACGGAATAGTACGTAAGGGCAAGAGAGGGTCTCCAAGTGATAGCCGGAAAGACCAGGAAATGCACATTAATCAGTTCAGTATCCTTACAAATCTATTTTACTGCTAGGCTTTTGGCTCGGCAATAATCCATGCATTCCTGCTTCTCTTTATGCAGCAGTTGATTAAGATCGAGTGTTGATTTCCGATCTCGGGGGTTGCAACAGACTCAGAATTGTAACTACAATCGACCAATCCAGAGGCAAACCCGCGCTTATCAGCGACTGATAATTCCCCGCATTGGCTACCTTACCCCGACGACCCATCAACTGCACGGGGATGATTTTGCTTGGTTTTGTCAGACCTATGCCAGTTCCGGGCCATTTTTGGCATTTCTCGGCATTATGGCGCAGTTGAGTCTACATTAGATAGTGGCCTGGCCAGAGAGTTCTAAACATATGTGATCCAAAGAAGTCCGGGCTCACATCGGCAACTCTCCCAACAGCTAGTTTACTGATACAAAAGTATGGTAGATAGTAGCGTACTATGACCTCTGTACTAAACCAGGTCAAAGCCATGACAAAGCGAAAGATCGTATAACGGCGGATGACTTACCTTATAAGGTTGCAACAGTGATCGTAGTGGAAAAGAGGAATTGTACCGGCAATTGTTTTGCTGACAAGTTACTGAAAATCTGGTAATGGGTAGCTTTAACGGCATATAACAACCATGCCAGCTAGCGTCATAATATGATCTACTACCTATCCTCTGTCATTCAGTATCGATCTTTAGAAAGATTCATTGCTATGCAAATTTGGTATAGAAGTGAACCATAAAACACTGCCCCGCTGTCGGCACTCGGTTACATGTCAGGAATGATCCCCTTCATAGGCGGACCAGTCTCAATCTCATAGTAGTCGTCCAGCTCAGTGAGCGCTTCCTTCAGGATGGCAATACCCCTGCGAAGTTCCTCTTCAGAAATATTCAACGCCACACCCATTCTGATGCGATTGCCATCGGGGTAGGTTAGGAGACCTTCAGGCACAGCATCCCGAATCGCCTGCTAGTAAGCCTGGGGTCATCAGAGGGCTTCAAGTATATTCCCAAATCTGCACCTCTGTTGGTGACGTAGTCCAACAAGGGAAACTTCCAGTCTGCCGTCTCCTTCCTCCAGACATCACTAATCCATGTTGCCCTATCCACGAGCTTCTCCTCATCCATGATCTTGAGCGTTGCGCGGGTGGCTGCGATGGCCGCCGGTGCCATGCCAAACGTCGCGACAGACTCGTAGCCACCAATAAGATCCATGACCTCGTCTCGGCCCAAGATGTATGAGGCGGGGTAGGCTCCGCCTGTGATTGACTTGCCCATGATGACCATGTCGGGTTTGTTTTCTGGTCCCATCCAGTCGGAACAGAGGAACTTGCCTGTCTTTCCTGATCCCATGCGGACCTCGTCGGCAATGAACAGGACGTTGTATTTCTTGCACAGTTGACGTACGCCAATGGCGAAGTTGAGTTCCTCTTCGAATGTGCTGCGTTGGTTAGCTTTGATTTGCGTTAGAAAGGGCGCGAGAAACTCACGGCCGCTTTCCGTGGATGCACTCCATGATCACTGCAGCTAGGCGCTGGTGTTGGGAGGCAATGACCTTCTCAAAATCTTCCAGATGCCCATAGCGTAACAGATTCCCTGTTTCAGGGTCTGTATTTCTGAGGTTTGGATTGCTGATACCGTAGTCTGATAGAAGAAGTGGGGGGTAGTTTTCAGCAATTATATTTCACGCAATTGCGAGTAATAGAAGAGGCTCACCCGACGCCTGACCCATATCATTCATTATGGGCCAGATACCCGAGCCGACTCCATGGTAGTTGTCCGACACTCCAAGGACAAGCACCTCGCTGGGCTCGATACCCTTGACCTTGATCCCCCATTTGCGCGCAAACTTCACAGCCGCATCGGCACCTTCCGTCCCAGAGACCATTCCAACCATCTTGTCATATCCGAACCGCTGACACATGTCTCTGGCAAACTCGGCCCAGTCCCCTACCTTAGTGGCGAGGTTGGCCAATGTAACTAAAGATGGAGCATTTGGTTAGACTCTGGTTGTACATCCCTTTATGCTTCAGTACCCCGCGAGCGGCAGCTTACTGGTATTCATCGATGCTGTCACTGCTTTCACGAGTTCGGGATGGCAGTGGCCTAGATTGGTGGCACTCATCATACAGAGGAAGTCTAGAATCTCCTTGTCGTCGGCATCCTAGATTGATGGCTCCGTCAGCATACCGCACCAATGGCGTTCCTGGACTCAGTCCGCAGCCACTGAACAGGCAAACAACCAACCTTTAAGATTGAGCCCTTGCCGCTCTTGATAAACACTGGAAGAGGGAACACGCCGCCCGCTGAATGTTTGTCGTCGATATCGAGCAGTTCTTTGGTCCTAGGGCTAAGCTTAATAGTTTTGCCAGTCCCGTTCTGAGGTGTAGCTGTCATGGTGAAGAAAGACTTAATTTCTTGTATATCAACTGGAAAGATGTTGTAAAATTTGAGGAGGGTGTCCGAAAGGAATCAGAAGATGAGGAGTGATCTTAGATCTTGACAATTGATCAGAGAGAACTGGTCTTTATATAACCGCAGGGCAAGTGGTCTCGGGGTCCGAGGAGGATCATGGCGCCAATACTATATGAAACCTAAAGGGCTCACCCACCTGGTACGCAAGAGTACGGATAGATTCCGGGGTACGTAACAAGCCACCCTCTACAGCTGATAAGCGCGGGTATGTTATCTTATCCAAGGGTCCTCTCCGCAGTTCCACTTCGACTCTTGGCTAAAGCCCGATTTTAGGATCTAACATGATTTATGTACATGTTACATGACCAGAATAGTTTCTTAAGCCGAGAGATCAACATGAGTGGATTCATATAGATCGGGTATGTTTAGAATTCTCTAATTTTTTTAATCATTTATTTCCAAGAAGATTTATAAGTACGAATCGATACGCTCCCTGTAAGCCATTCTCCAAACTAAACCTGCGGGGTCCTCCCCGCATACCCAACACACTGGATATTCTGTTTGCTACCCAGAAATAGAAGCACAAATTGAAGATGCATTTTGGCTCGGCTTTTGCTGTGAAGAAAGACACGCTGAGTGAAAAGGTTGGCCTAATTCCTCCAGTACTTCGACTGAAAGCCCGTATCAGGATAACCGCCTAGAAATTTAAAGATTGAATTCTCCCCTTCTGATTCTTCACAGACATCTCCGACATCTAAGCTAACAGTATCCGATAACCCTGAGCTTTCATTCCAGCCTGGAGACAGCGGGGTCCCAGTTTCGTCAGGTCCGGACGTTCCATATGAGCTGCAGGAGATCGATGGTTTGGTACATATTGGCATGGTTATACTTTGCCGCCATCCGAGAAAGATAGTCTCGGATGAACTCGCGATGCTGCGCATCCTGTGCATACCTTCCCAGTACTGCCAGAGGCCAGCAGAGGACAGTTGTGTGGTTTGATTCCACAGGGAGGAGCCGGAGCAGCTGGATTGTTTCGGCGATGAGTTGGCGTCTGTACGACAAGGAACCCTCGCGAATTGCTTGATCGTCTGTCGGTGACATATCCAAGAGCGCAAGAAGCGCAAGTTGGTAAATCAGCCCGCTGCGCGCTCCATCTATATCATCTGTTTCCGGCGCCCAGGACTGAACGATGGAGTGCAGATGCTGTCTGGACAGAAATATATCGATCGGTACGGTATGACCGTCGTGGATGGTGTCATGTACGGCGGTGGATACCTCATATACGTCCGGAATGAGCTGGAACAAGCTGAACGCACTCCCACAGAGCACTCCAACCAAGGGCGTGCGGTGTTGCGCGATAGCCCGAAAGAAGAATCGAACATCGCCGATGATGTGTTGTGGGGGCTCGGCCGAGCTGGTCGGCAGCAAAGCCATGATGTATGAGTATATCTCAGCGGCAAAGCAGAAGAGTGTCGTGCTCGAGCAGTGAGCCCCAGCGACGGAAATGAGGTTCTGGGCAGCTTCTAAATGTCGGAAAGCGTGATCGTGCGTATCGCCGTAGCTGACCTCCGAGGCGCAGAGTAGGAGACATGTGACCAATAATAGGATAGCCAGATCCTTTCGGCCCTGCGCGTACCTTGTCAGGTTATGCTTCAGGCTCCGCAGCGCTTGCGCGTATTGCTCCCAGACAGCATGTGCGACAGCCTGTGAGTAGCTTTGGAGGTATATAACTCCACTGAAGGCGAGAAGAGAATGCAGCACCATGTCAGACTGCATTGCCACAGGGGCCAGAACATGAAGGAAAGGATTCGAAGCCTTGTCTCGAATAGATATGGCTTGGGCCGCTTTATGTAGAAAGAAGGAGTAGAGGAAGCCAGTTTGATCACGGCTCAGTTGAGGGTGTAGGGATCCAAGGCCCTGGACTACAGAATGCGGATCTTCCCCGGGAGTGATGGTAAACTCGGTGGTTGCTTGCGGGTATGGCCGATGTTGTGATTGAGGGAGTAGGCGTGCATAGGGAATATAGTCTCTAGTAGTCCTCCCTCGCAGAACAGTAGCAGGCGCTGTGCATTTGTGTGCACGTGTGGATGAATCATTCCACGCGCAGATAAGGTGATTTCGAATACAGGCAGCGCAGGATGGCTTTGCTTCGTCACATTTCTTGCGGCGTACTTTGCAGGGAATGCAGCCATTGCTCCTGCGCATGTTTGTGAAAGGTTGAGAGCTGTTTTGGAGTTTGGATTGATTGTGAGGATTAGCTATGTAAACGGCAATGGTGTTCAACTGGATCGCGCCGTTAGCAGTGATACCGACCAAACACGGGGAAACAAGCTCTGTACCGACTAGTAGGCTCTAAAATGTGGAACAGTGGAACCGATGTCGTGCGAACAGGAGGAAGTTGGACGCGCCGGTGTAAGGTCTAAGTGGCATCTGGGGAGTAATCTAGACTCAGGTTAATCCCCAGACCATGTGATGCTGACAACGACAAGCCTTCAAGCCTCAGTAGGTCCAGACCACAGTGACCTTAAGGTCCAACCGTTGACTAGGGTAGAATGATCCCCTCCATTAAGTGCTATGGTAGGGTGGAGAGCGGCAGGCCAATCATCTGCAACCCCGCGCGATCAATTGGGGAGGGTCCAACTGCAAAAGGCAATATAAATCGCCAAGACGTGTTATCAGCAACCCCCAAAGTTTAATAATGCCACCTCGTAGCGATATCGAATGCCGTCTAGTGTCGATATTGAATATTATCTAGTAGGGATAGTGCAGTGCGTGTGACCGTGCCAAGGGGTGGTGTGGTGATGTTGGAAATGATAATACTGTATCGATTTACGAATCGCTAGCAATTTCTATGGCCAATCGAAAATGAATGAAGGTCTGATTCTTCTAAACGAATGACTATCTATCTCCTATTTAAGCCTTCGATAGGGGTCGGATTGCGGGGCTTCCAAATGATCAAATGCTATCGAATATTCGGCCAAGAGTGGCAGTGCTTTGCCAATTCATATGCTTCCAAATAGGGCAAGCAGTAATATAATTCAATACACCCCCCAGCTGAACCGTTAGGCGAAGCTGCATTATTCCATAGCTGTTGAAGCCGTATCCATCTCTTAGAACGGGCAATCGTGTTGAATCAATAGTGTTGGATGGGTTGAAGCTCAATCTCTGCTTCCTGATTGGTCTATGAGCCCAACCATCCTGCAAAAGTCCGTATGCTTATTCTTTAGTAATATCTTTGTAAGGCCATCTGCCGGCATGCGATTGGTTTCAATCCAATTGACTGATATGCAGCCTGATTGAACCTCTTGCTGAAGCCAGTGCTGGTGTATATCAATATGGCGTAGCTTTGTGCGAATTATAGGCTCTTCGCTGTGCAGAAGCCCTACTGTTTGGTGATTATTATATAAGATTAATATCTCATGCTCCGGATTGAATCTAATATCCAGGAATAGTTATTTCCACTAATAGATATTCTTCGCAGCTTCTGAAAGGGCAAGCAATTTAGCCTTAGTAGTGGAAGTAGTAACAGTCCATTGCTTCCCTGCGTGCTAATCCACAGTGGCGCTGAATAGCTTTACTAGATATCCTTTGCTGCTGCTATGATCTAAATGATCTGCATAGGCAGCATCACTAGTAATGATGAAGATATTCCCTGTTAAATTACTTCCATATTCTAATGCGTAGTCCTTTGTTGAAGTGAGATATAGAATGATTTGATTGGCTGCATTAAAATGTGCTGGTCCAGGATTCAATAGATATCTTGATAGATCGGATGTTATCTTAGTGATGTCTAAGCGAGTGATCACTGCGGCATAGAGAATTGATCTGATTTTAGATTGATAGTGGTATATCTCATGCGCTGTAGCCTTTCCATTGTAAGGGTGTAGATGATCTGTTGTTACAGGTATTTGCGCCTTCTGATTAGTGGAATCCAAATGATATCTTGTAATGATCTTCTTAATATATGCCTATTGGCTAAGCTATAGCTTCTGTTTCATTTGATCTCTAGTGATCTTGATGTTTAGGAAGCTCTCTCCCTCACCTAAATCATGGAATTTATATTGTTCTTATAGTTTTTAAATCAGATTGTCAGCATGCTTCTTGCTTTCATGGCGGTAAAGAAATAGTATGTCATCTATAAATACTAAGATGACAGTCTTATCATCTGTATAAAGGTATGAGTCTATATCTATTCTTTGCAAACCTATCTCTTCAAGCACTTTTGAAATATCTCTCTGCTAGAGGCGTGGTGCCCTGCATAGGCTGTAGAGAGCTTGCTTTAGTAGGTAAATATAGCTATATTTGGAGAATCCTTCTGCCATTCTGGTATAGACCTCCTTGTCTAGCTTGCTATTAATGAAGGTGTTGACGGTGTTGATTTGCTGTATATTAAGATTGAATACTGCTGCAATAGCTATTAATGTCTGAAATGTTTGTGCAGTAAGAGTAGTGGCTGTGGTATCATTATATGTCATCTACTGCATGTCTCCTTGTATACAGATTTGTGCCTTGGCCTTAATTAAATATCCTTCTTAATTAAATTTGTATGTGAAAACCCATTGTAGTGGAATGATCTGCCTGTCTCTAGGTGTTCTAACCTTCTGAAAAGTTCCTTAAGCTAATAATGTATTATGTTCTAACTCTGCAGCTGCTTTAAAGAGTTCCTTTAGTGGATGCTTTTGTATTTCCTTCTAGCTGTTAGGTGCAGGTGGTATTTCATCTTGATGAAGTTGCTTCTTTATAGATGCCTTATCTTGTAGGCCTATTCTGAATGATATAAATACTGAGTGGAATTCCTTTAAGCTATCTATCCAAGTGCTAGTATATGCATGTTATGGAGCTTGACGTTCCTGTTTTCCTTTAATAATATTGTCTAGTGAAAAATTAGTGCTTATACTATGTTTTGGCTTCTATAGGATATCATTGATGTTGTCTGGCTTGTCTTGATCATTTGGTTTGATACTCAGTCTATTGACTTCCTTAAATAGCTGTTTTGAAGGCGAATCTTCTGCTTGCAATTGATCTGGGGACTCAGGAAGTGTATCTATAAGCCTTACAGGTGTGTTAGGCTCTGGGGAATCATTGATTCTTATAGGAGATCTTGGAGTCATTAAATTAAGTTAAATAGGCTGTTCTCTCTGCAGGCTATTAATCTAGCCTCTAGGAATGCCATATTGGCCTGTATCTGCATACTATGGGTGTAGTGTAAGATCACCTTCTTACTTAATAGATTTAATAGGTTCATCATATTGGATAGATCTTCCTGGCGTAGTAAGGGGAGTTAGAGGTGTGAGGTTTGCTTCTAGTGATTCTGCCATCTGACTGCCTTCCTTATCTAGTATAGTGCCTCTGCTTATTTCTTTACTTATTATATTAATTGCTTTATTCACCCCCTGAGCTTTAACCTTATCTAACTCATTATCTGCACTTCCTATTAAGCTGGGTAAATTATTAATATCTAGCAGCTTATTAATTTTAATAGGTAATTCTGGCAGATCTAATATTTTGATTGCTTCAGCGTGGAATGGCTGATTTGGATTAAATAGGATGTCTTTATTAAATATCATGTCTCTCTTGTTAGTAATTATTCTAGTTACTGGATTCCATATCTTCTATATATTAGATGCTGTATAGCTGACTAGATAGCCTACCCAGGCGTGTGGATCCAGCTTCTTTAATCTTGGAATCTTATGGTGTCTAATATAAGCTCTGCATCTATATATATGTAGATTTGCTAATGATGGCTTCCTCCTATAGAGCTTCTTATATGGTGTGATCTAGATCTATTCCTTCTGCCTATTCTCCTCTACTGCCTCTCTGCGCGGCTGTTAATTCTGCAGGTAAATGGCAGTGCAGAATATATGTGGCTATAACTTCTCTGGTAATTGTGTGCTGATTTACATGCTTTGGGCTATCTTAATGATTATCTTGCTAGAATGTTCAATCAGCCCTTTCTGCTCATTGATATATTGTGTTGAATAGAAGATCTTAATGCCTTCATCTTTTATAGTGTGTATATATTCATTCCTAAGTGTTGGTTTGTGGTCTGAGAATATCTTCTTTGGCTTGAGGCTAAATTGTGTTTTAACCTATTGGATGAATTGCTTTATTAGGCTATTAAGCTAATCTTTATCTGGATATGTGTAGATGACATGCCATCTAGTTGATTTACATATGAAATGAGTGGCCTAGTGATCACCATTATGGGCTACAGTCATTGGAATCATATCAAAATGAATGCTTTTAAATGGCTTGGTTGATCTCTCTCTAGGTGTTTGAGATATCTGTTTAGCTGCCTTCGCTAGCCTGTATGTCTCGCAGATTGATCTCTTGTAATTTAATACTTTTGCACTAATAGATGCCTCTTCTAGATGCTGTATGGCTTTATCTCCTAAATGTGCTAGCTGTTTATGCTATTATTTACTAGTTTTAGTGGATTCATATGGCCTCTCTAAATATTAATTTATTGCAAAGATATTTGATATTAGATTATATTCCACTACTTCTAGATTGCATCTTATTTCTGTATGGCAAATCGGCTTCCCATGCTGATCTTCTATGATATTAGTGCGTTGATTGAGATAAAATCTATATTTCTTTATATGAAAGGTTGAAAGCAAATTTGTATGGTACTTAGGTATGTAGGCTACTCTACTTAGTTCTAGGATATGCAGCATTCCATTCATTCTAATTGCTTTTAGTTTGACCCTCCTATATCTGAGGATTTGCACATTTATTGCACTGAAATGTGCATACTCATCTTCCACTAGTTTGTAGGTGAGGAACTGAGTTTGATTATTATAGATATTAATATCTGCTCCTGAATCAACAATCTAACTATCTTGCAGCTTATATGCATCGCTTCCTAGTGAGAATGCTGTGGAATTACTTTGGATAATACTTATAGCTATGTGAGATGCATCCTGATTCTGATTCTGATTAGCTTGCTTAATTACTTTATCTATTACATGCTTTACCCTTGGGTTTTACTTAATCTTCTTAAATTATTCCATAATACCTGGATTTGGCTTCTATCCTTTTGGCTGTATTAATTTAATTATATATAGGCACTTATTAAACAAGTGCCTTTCTCTGCAGGGGTAGTCATCTTACTTAGGCTATTTAAATCCGCGATTCTAATTAGCTGAATTAGAATTTAATTAGTTAGAGGATTGTCCCTTGAATGTAGTAAAGATATTCTTCTATTCTCTCTAACTAAGGCTTTCCTAGTGTTTTTAATAATAAGAGATCTTATTAAAGACACTTAGCTTGCTATCCTCTAGCAGACAATCTAATTAAATACTAGCATATTGGGGTTTGATCTTTTTTAATACTATGAGGAAGGTCCTGGTGCCTATATATCTAGTGTATTATGTTATATTTAGTTTAGTATACATGCTCAGCACCTTCTCCTACTTGCTTAGCTAGCTTGATATATTCTGATTGGCTGGCTTAGCGGTAAGCTTTTAATATCTTTCTTAGATATTGTTTATTTGTGTTTTAATTGAAGGCTTTAGGTTGGCCTTAAGCTTTTAATATCTCTCAACCTTATTGTCTGATTGGCTAGTTAGCTGTTAGAGATGTTCCCTGGCTACTGTTTGCTCTATAGTGGTCTAGATAGCTGTGAGGCCTTGATGATCTAGTTAATATTGCTCCTTTTCTTCCTTATAGATTGCTAGTTCTTTGGTATATATTACTAGTTTGATATCAGTTGGCTTTGCTGGAGCCTTTGGGGCGGCTATAGTAGTTAATGAGCCATCTGATTGGCTTGCTTCTGTTGCTTAGGGTTCTGCTGAGGCTGACTTTACCTGTTGATTGGCTAGAACCATTGGATGAGTTAGTTGAATTAGTGGAATGGGGTAAGGCCTTTCTCCCTGAAGTATATTAAGCACTCCACAGGTTTGGGCTAGGCTGATTATATGTGAGTCCTATGTCTACTAATCATTGGGCTTATCTAGCATGATGGAGACCTTTGTGGTGGATCTGATTAGTTCAGTATAATAGTCCATATTGGCTTTAGGGTGATGGCGGTGTTGATATATCTTTAATTCTTCTGAATCAGGCAATTCCAATGAGATATCTTGCTAATGCTATGAGATAGAGCTCTCTAATATGCAGGCCTTGGAAGAATAATAGCAGAAGTTGATCTATGCGTTCTTTAAGGACAAGCCAGGCTCATAACTGTTGGAAATGATAATACTGTATTAATTTACGAATCGCTAGCAATTTCTATGGCCAATCGAAAATGAATGAAGGTCTGATTCTTCTAAATGAATGACTATCTATCTCCTATTTAAGCCTTTGATAGGGGTCGGATTGCGGGGCTTCCAAATGATCGAATGCTATCGAATATTCGGCCAAGAGTGGCAGTGCTTTGCCAATTCATATGCTTCCAAATAGGGCAAGCGGTAACATAATTCAATAGGTGAGATGTAATCATTATAAAAAACCAAAAGTCCATATTGTAGCTATAGTCCACTGTAGAAATCAAATTTTACTGCCGGCAGAAAACATGAAAGTCTGACATAGTGAAAGTCCTAAAGTCGTTATTTCAGTTTTGCTCCATTGGCTTGCCGTAGTTAATACTCAGCTGTAAAATGAACAGTAATGATTAATGAACGTCGGATTAGGGAGGATCATAGCTGCTGGCCGAATTGTATAACACATTGACCTTCCCATATGGTAATGACAAAGCAGCAATATCTATCAATGTTCATTAGATAGATTAGAGGTACCTTTGTAATAACTTAGCACAGTAGCAATCTCTCACAGAGCCCTCTGGATTAAGGCTAAACTCATTGATTATTTTACATTATGGCCCAATAGAATCTTTTTGGCCTATTGAATTCCCAAGGCTTCCATATCATTAGAAAAGCGAAGGTGACATTTATCCTACAACTTATTACCCCTATGCAGCCATCATGCCATGGAAGCTGATCCCTTTATCCCTTTCTGATGAAAGCCTGCAACAAGTGGACCAGGCTTCAATCCTCCTGGGAAGGAATCCATTTACCCGCCTATAGAAATACAAAATTCACCTCCTGCAGGAGTCATAATATGCCTGATATAGACCCTTGCAATAAATCTCTCTAGTCCAAAGTCCCAACGTATCAGTCCCCAACGTCGCAAAGTTGACTAAACTTGGAGCCTTCCATCCTGCCACTGCTAGAGTCATTTACCCCCTTTAGCAAACCAACCTTATTTGGCTGCCCAACGCATACCACAACAAAGCATCTTCTTCATCTTCAATCCAGGCTTGTCTGATATCAGCCATTTGCTTCGCGACCCAGGTCTGTGACTTGATCTTCATTTATTTATCATTACCTCAGCACTATGTCAATACCGAGGCTGACAGTTTCTTGGTCTTTTAGAGCTCGCAAAATTGTCACCGGCGCTGAAAAGGAGTTTGACGTATACGCCATGAAGACCGGACTGAAAAACTGTGTCTTTTCATTAGCGCAGCTTTACTTAGATGCAACCAGTATAACCAACCCCTTCATCGACTACATGACGGGTGAAATCCCAAATGATTGTAAAACTCAATGCTGATTTAGTTGGCATAAAACAGCATCAAACGCTTCCAATTAAGGACAAGTGTCCGTACCCCAATGTCGATTGGGAGAAAGAGACCCAGGTCGTGCAAAGCAACTTTGCGACATTCATGTCTCGATGGGTGGTCGACATGGATATGGTCCAGAAGAATGTCGTCGGCTGCTCGGTTCTGGCTGGTAACACAGGCAGTGGTACAGTCTCAAACTTCATTCTCGTTTTAACCTTACTATCGAAAATTAAAAGGATGTCAACGCGGCCAGTCAATCCCCATGCGCCCACGTTCCCTCCGACCGCGATTGATTACTATAATTATCCATGGCGAGATGTCACCAGTTACACCAATCTGCAGACCAGCAAAAATTAAGACGGTCTGGACCGGAATGGGTTCAGCTATCTCATCACGACTCAGAAAAAGGAACCCCCAAAAGCTCCCGTCCTTGAATACTCGGGCCCTTTGTGAAGGCGCCCGTGCTCTGCATGAACCGGGAGCTCTTCTGGGGATCCTGGATGCTGGATCGTCTCCGAAAACTTGTTAGAGGGACAGACCTGATACCCCAAAAGGCGTATCTAGAAGATGTGTCAGCACAGTGCCCCAAATACGCCTCCGTTGTTTCAACGGGACCCAGTTTTGCATTCGGCACCAACCCGGACCATCCAAACCCCGATGACAGTTACTTTGGACTAACAGACAAGGGCTCCTCATGGAGTTGGAGCAAGTCTGCTACCCCAAGCACCGTGTCTGTTGCTGTCCCCAGCACCAAATCTAGTAGAACGGTGACGGAGACAGGTATATCCCACCCTTAATCAAGATCAAAGTCGAACGAAAAAGCTGATTGATTGAAGCAAATTCCGCCATGCGGGTCACTTTCGTCTCGGGTGGCCAGAAAATTGCCATTACTGGCTCGAACTCGTTCGAGTTCCATTACAGTTCCAGCGAAGGTGGCTAGTATGTTTGTCCTTTTTCCACTATACGTTTTCTCCCCAGCATTATCAGGAAGTGAATCTGCGTCCCTAATTCTTATTAAACAGTGCCACTCTCACAACCGAGACCTCGTGGCATCTCAACTTTGCTCTGGGTGCTGTCAGCGACGGTGGGCTACAGATCACAAGAGTGCCCGATCCCAGCGGGATGAAAAGCGTCACAACCACTCACTCCTTTAAAACAAGGACCTGGAATGGAGTTACCCGTTCGACGATTTCGACAAAGCTATCTCGGACACACTGAAAATTGGTTCAACAACAGCCTGGCCTGGCTAACGAACGATCTGATCAGTGCTTTGAAACACCACCACAAGCTGTACCTGCCTGCATCGGGAGTCTTCCTCATGCAAGATGCCAAGTTCAACAAGCGAGGAGATCTGCTGCTGGGGTTGCACTACAATGGATGAGTTGACGATTTGACGCCTTTCTGCAACAGCTGTCCGAAGGAAAACACTGCTAATCATGACTCTTTACGCCTTTAGAGCCGAAGCACCGACCACTTCTTCTTCTACAGGTACATCTGCGCAGGGACAAAAGCAGGGCTTGTTCAAGATGGAGGGTGTCAATGTGCCCGAGGCATTCAGCAAGTTGCCAATAGCTTGGAAAAATCTGCCTACACGGCAGAAGCTGGGACTTGTGACCACAGAATCGCATTTACCCTCCTCCGCCTGACTCAATTCCCCAGCCAGTGCCAGTGTTTGGTTAATGAATGGGAGCTTGCGAAAGGGGCAGACCCCAGTAGAGAAGCAGTTACAATCGTGCCACGATATTTACGATCAGTCTCCACTGGCCCATTGGAAAGTTGGTGGATTCGTGGGTCGTTGACACATTGTCAAGGCGATGCCGCGAGGGGTAATGTTAAGATGAGCAATATCTCAGCAGCGTAGTAACATGGATGTTTGTCCAGTTGCCGTAGTTCTTGTTTGTTGGCTAGCCTGAGTCCAAGAAAATATATTTATTTCCAGTTGGAACAATTAAAGTGTGTAATCCTCCATTTCGCAAACAATAGAAGCATGTACAGTGGGATGAATGGTGATATGGGACGCAGGAATATAAGGTATATTGTCCATACGCCACACCTACCTACGCCATACCTACCTACACTAAATTCCGTCACGCACAGATACTACCACTTCCACTTCAACCATTAGGTATATATAGCCCGACAGCAGATTCGTAGTTTTTCCCATGATCTGATTCACTAGCATATGCTCTTATGAATCCTTCTTACTATTGCTGTCCTCTTTACCTCTTCGTTTCCTTTCTTTTCCTCGTTTCTTACTGCTCTCCTCTATATTCCATATCTACCTGACTAGGACCTTTATCCTAATTATTTTGATTATTCTTCCTAACTTTAACCCCTGTACTCTTTACGTGTCATATGGCTGCGTCTTGTTTTTTTCCTTTCCCTTTCCTATTACCTCCACATTATTGCCATACGCGGAGTGCGATCAGCACCTAACAGCACCAAGAAAATACAATGTGTCATGTAGAAAGTCCAACGATGATCAACATGGGAAGTAGGACATTTGACTTCGGCATGATGATCACCCTATCAACACTCGGTTATTAACAGGGGTTGTTTTCGATACCTCCTCGTCTACGGCTTGTTAGCTTAGGAAGACATCTACAGACATCGTGACAATAAAAGCGTCACAGTAATTTCGGTAGAATACAGATCAAAATGGGGCTCTTTTTCTACTTAGAGTTGACCTTGGTTGGGTTTGAAGGAAGGTGGGACAAGGAAACAGGAAAGCAAGGCTGAGGTAAACAAGGCTGAGGTACGGAGTACAGCGTCTTCCAATGCTTTGTGCACAGCCTCATTCATATCCCACCCTTTGGAAGATTCGACATTCGTTACAGCCTTGCGACCTACTCGAAATCCCCCACTTTCTGGATAATTTTTGAATGATCCATTCTACCACATTGTTCCATCGACTGACCGTCACCATGTCTGAAAGCACCGATCAACAGTCACAATTACTTCCAGACAAAGAAAAGCAGCCAAAGAAGGACAAATGGACATTACTTTTTCTTAACACCTGGTCCTTTGAAATTCTTTCCATTGTCTTCACCGCCGCTTGTTTTATTACTTTGTGTTGCCTCCTCCTTATATACAATTTGAAGCGGTCTCCGGACCTTCCTCAGGGTCTGACACTGAACAGTATTGTGTCCGTTCTGGCCACTGCAGCTAAATCATCACTACTTTTCTCGATCAGCAACGCCATCGGCCAGCTGAAATGGATCTGGTTCCGGCAAGGAAAGCGTCAGCTATATGACATGCAGGCTGTGGATGATGCGAGCCGTGGGCCTCTTGGGTCGCTGAGCATCTTATTTCAACGGCAGCATCCTGGTGGTCTCCTCCTCTCTCTTGGTGCCATGGTCACGATTATTTCTCTCGCGTTCGATCCGTTCGTGCAACAGATCGTCAGTTATCCCGTCCGACAGGTAATCAGCCCATCCGATGTTGCTACAATGAAGCAAGCTCGATTTCCACTGAGTGCTGAAAATACAGGGGCTGACGTGGATGATGCCTTCGACCATGCCATGCACGCTGGTCTATGGTCGGATAATTTTATTTTGGATCCGACGTGTCCGTCGGGAAATTGTACCTGGCCTGTCTTTCTGTCAGCCGGATGGTGCAGCAAATGCGAGGATGTGACATCCACTGCTCGCCTGGTTGGATGTACAGATCCAGTTGACCTGAACGCTAGTTCAAATGGGACTCAATCAAGCCCATGCAGTATTGACCTTTCCCACGGAACTGCATCGGACACACCACTCACAATCCAACCATATAACTTCAACTTTGGATCCACTGGCCCTCGGCCATACACAATTGAAGTTCCATCCGAGGCCATATGGGCCGTCAATTACGAGGACCAGATTGGTCTTGTAAGCCGTACAAACTCCACATATCTGGGTGTACAAGACCCTCTGGTGGTTCTGGCTCATGCTGAATTGGACCTTCCCTTCGATAAAACCACCACATTCGTTCCTGTCCATGCCGAGCAGAATCTCACAATCCGTCGCGTGACAGAATGCGTCATCTCCATGTGTGCCCGGAATAACAATGTCTCGGTATCACGGGGAGTCTTTTCCAACAATATGTCGTCCGTTGACTTCGGGCACATGTTCTACCGGAATTTCAACGCGACTGCAGCGGAATCACCAGATAATAGATTCGCTGCATATGGACAAAAGCCCTGTTGGAAGCCTATACATGGCCTCGCCAATAATAATGATAGCGATGCGATCAGCAACCCCGATGACTTCCAACTGTGTTTAGACAGCTATAATGCCCAGTTTACGAGCTTTAAGGAGCTTTTTACCCTAAGTGCGACATACACCCTGCTGGCGGGGGATGGGGACCATTGGAGCATGATAGAGCAGCCTTTGGGCCCCAATTTGAAAAGAGTCAAGTCTGCAGGGCTGGAGGCCATTATGAGCAATATTGCAAATTCGTTAACCAAGTATGCCTATAGTATCAGCAACGACACGGTTGCCGGGGAAGTGAGAATGTTGGAGGTGTATGTCGCGGTGGATTGGCGATTTCTGGCACTCCCCTTGCGGTCATCGTGCTGGGGATTGCATTCCTGGTCTGCACCATTCGTCTAAGCCGAAAGCAAAACGTCTCCCTGTGGAAGTCATCTGTTCTGCCGTTGCTGTACCATGGACTGGGTGAAGATCTCAGGAAAGACAATCTCAAAAATATTAGCGCAATGGAAGCGGATTCGAAAACACTTAGAGTGCAGCTGGAAGACGATGGTGATGGCGAAGAGGGAGAGGGAGAAGGGAGAGAAGAGGAAAGGAGGGAAGCGGAAAGAAAGAGAGAAGAAGAACGAAGAGAACAAGAACAGAGATAAAAAGAACGAAGGGAATAGGGGATGAAAAACCGGCGCTTCGGATCAGCGATGTGGGGGAAACTTACTTTTATAGTCCACAATATACAGGTAATAGTTGAAGTCGTGATCCCATTTCCACCTGCGAATTTAAAGAGTATGGTTGGCTGAAAGTCGGACACTTGCAATTGATGTGATACAAACATATTATTAGATAGTAAGTAAGAGTACTAGGCAGATGCAAAATAGAGGGGTACTACACTTGCCATCCACAGTTAGAAGTAGAAAGGAAGGCATTTCCGGCCTCAAAAGCGGTCATTTTCAGCGTTGATTTCACAGGTCATCATATCCTACGTGGAATGTTAGGAGTAACTTATAATTTAGACTAAATTAATCTAATATGTGGTTGTTGAGTAAATTTAAAAATTAGGTTTGCACTTGGTAGTTGTTTCCTATATACTGGTGAGCAATTATATTGTTATGATGTCTTCCATGGTTAAGTAAATAATTTTAGTATCATAACTCGATCTCTGGTGTTTATCAACGAGACAAAACAGTAGAGCAACTAGGAATCCAGTAGAGATATTTGCAGGGAAATTATATATTCTATAGGCTGAAAGGTGAGTTATCTAGAGAGTTTCTGCTATTAGCTATTTAATATACAGGCACTAACTATTAAACTATATTAGAGCTCTAGATTAAGCTTATTCCTGGAAATGAAGATAAACTTTTAGAGGCCTCCACCCATGATAAGTCTATTATACTTCAAGATTATTTTTTATTTTCCTTAGATAACATAACTACATGAAGTAAAACTTAATACTGAGCAAGGTAGTATATAGATGTCCCCTATTGGCCTTATTACAGCTTTACCTAATTTAATTATAATTTTATGTATTATCTTATAGGTGCAAATGTCATTCACTTATTTCCTGATGCCTGTCCTGCTGGAGCGTGTCAATGGATGGTTGGAGCCGCTGGAATTGCAAAACAGTAGGGTCCTTAAGTAGCTAGGAGACCATCCCCCACATCAGTTAGGCAGTTGAAAGCATCACTAAAATGACGCTTTGATTGCTCATGCGTCTACAGGTTGTCTTTTCTTGGAGACTGGCTTCCCAAACACATACACAGCCTCTCTTTTATGTGCCTGCCCCCAGAAAAGATTGAAGGGATAGTATTTCTTTACATTAACAACCAGTTACATGAAGCCGAAGGCTAGCTCTCAGAAACGAGGTACACCAGCTTTCGAGCCCTAACTGACCGATTCTTCAAATCCTTCAGGCCATCCAGAACCTTCCTCAGTCCTCCATCACGCTTTTCAACGACTAGTGTCCTGATCTTCCCCTGAGCCCAGAGCGTGCTTACGACCCCAGCCCATTTCTTGGCAAATTCAAACTCTGCTGGCATGCTGGGAATTACCATCCGATCAGGACCATACTCAAACGGCTCACCAATCGCGGTACAGCAGTTCGAGAAAGTCGCCTTCATGTCCGAGCGCGAAGTTTGCACCGGGAGCAAGGAATGATACAGGCCTCCTGCGTCACCGATAGCCGCTTCGCAAATCCGCACAGACTCTTGAGTTGCCACAGCATCGCAGACGACTCTGAGGGTATCGTTGGTATGCTCGCGGATTTTTCGGGCACACGTAGGGTCGCGATAATCGAAGACTACGTCTGCTCCGTATTGGCGGACCAGATCAAAGTTGTTCGGCGAACATGTTGTGAGGACGGTGAATCCGGCCCTATCGACGGTTAGTGGCATGTCATTAGGACTCAAAAGCAAACGGACATACAGCTTCGCAAACTGAATAATCCAGCTCCCCGCGGATGTGGCTCCTCCATATACTAGAATCGGCTCTCGATTCTCAACAGGACCTTCATTCTCTGGCCAGCGCAGTTTCAGACAAGACGGTCCAAACAGACACTGTCCAGCTGTAGTGGCTCCCACTCCCACTGTGGCTGCATCCTCAAAGCTGACTCCCTCTGGGATCTTCATCTGAATCGCCGCCTTTGCCACAATATATTCTGCAAAGGTGCCGCTCTCGGGCCGCGTATTGTCTGCGCCTTTGACGAGTCCACACACGCGGTCACCAACCTTGAACAGCTCACGGACGGAGTCTCCAACTGCCACAACGGTTCCGACATAATCATGTCCCATGATTGCATGGGGGGACGGGGTGGTCTCCAGGAGCATCCAGTCGATTGGATTCAGGGCCACGGCGACGGTGCGCACGAGAATGTCATCATCGCGAAGGGACGGGATGGGACAGTCAGTGATGAACTCGGCATGACCCAAAGAGCGGGTTATGACGGCTGCCTGGGATGATTGCATGGTTGGAAGTATTTTCTGGAACAGGTAGGTCCTTGAATTTCTGATAATGCAATTCGGCGTCTACCGTTCATCTTTATATACATTTCGGGCGTAGTTTTCAGATGCTGAGTAGCCTTTGATTACTCATTTGAATCGCTTGTCTTGTGTTCACAATCTTCATTCTGGTAAATCATTGTCTGCCAGGCAGATAATGCGCCGCAATCTGGGCAATACATCCACTCTTTCCCGCAATTGCTTATCATATCCATCGGACAAAAGGCGCCGAGTGACCATATTTCTCAGCAAAGCTTAGAGATCGGGATCCACTATTAGCCGCACTGCTTATGCTGAGCTTGCTGACGTTCCCTGTTCCCTTATACCGGATTCGAGAAATGTGTGGCTCTGGCCCCTCCATATCTAGTTCGACGCAAGATTTGCATTGAATATAGACAAATATTTATTCAAGAGCGCTAAGTATCATGCATGAAGAGGGTCAAAGGTGGGAACCAGCTCCTTCGATGTTCTTTCTCGTACAGACCCCAACCCTTTACACGCCACTAGCAAAAGATGCCTGAACTCATCCACTTGAACAAGTCCTCCTTGCTCCCAGTCGCTCACAAATTCATCATACGATATGACTCCAGAAATTGATTGTCCCGGGCTTTGCTCCCTTTCATAAATGAATTCCTCCCAGCAAAGCTCCGCGTATGATTTAGTGGAAACCGGCAGCCCCGCCAGATATTTGATATAGTTGCATCTCTGGAACTGGATGACCGAGTGAACGGCGCGCACCAGATACGAAATCATGACCAGTCGACGAGCACTTTCGCAAAGTACCCAGCCATTTAAATGGCTCTCGGAAAAATGAGAGTCCAACTGTGTTTTGTATCGGGTCGCTTGGCGACTTGATAGTTCCATCCGCTCTAGGTCAGCGGTGCCCTGCGCCAGCATACGGTCTAGTTGTCGAAGGAGCGGCTTGTTGGTGATGCCACCAGCTAGGAATATGATATAGTAGAGGACCAAGGCTTGAATACGGTCCAGTTGGCGTTGCAAATCTGTGTGAGCTGAGATACTTCGACTCATGTTATTGACGGCTGCGTTCAGGAGTTGGTGGTAGAAAGGCTTTTTCGCGTTCTTGGATGCTCGATATGCGGCGCAAACCCCGTATGCTTCACGCAGAAGTGGCGGAAGATCTGATGTGCGATCGGCCAGAGACCCGATGAGTGGCATTGTGCCCGTATCTAGAAAATGATCGACGTAACCAATGAACGTCCGGACACAAAATCCCCAGGTTTCCGTATCCTGAGCGCGGGGCCAAAACTCCAAGACTCTGCGTTCGAGTCGGAGTAATGCTGAAGTAAAACCATCTGCTGAGCTGGGAAGAGGACGCCAGCCTGACGCCCCTTGAGAAAAGTTCCAGGCTTGACTGGAAGTCATGGGGCCCTCTAGGAACCACGTTGGGTTAACAATGTCATCTCTTCGGTCGGAGATCATGGATGGTTGTATGGAGTCCTCCACCGGAGCAAGTTCGCATGTGCTCGAGCCCGTGGGATCAATCTCGAGACTGGACCCTACATGGACATCTAGTGGTGCAGTCTGATCTCCCTTAGCCGGTGGAGGCGGATATGGATAGCGACATGTAATAGATTTCTTGCAACAGCGAGAGCAGCTGGGTACCCCATGGTCACACCGTCGCTTGGCAGCCACACATGCCCGACAAGATGTTTTGCGGAGTGACATAGCGAGTCTTACAGCTGGATTGGATCAGATTGCAGATGCTGAACACTCAGGAGTTATGATGGGGGTGTCTTTTGAGCTTGAAGCTTATGTGTCATGGCGGACAAAAGTGGGCCGGCGGAGTAAAGTGGGGGTCTGCGTGCGGCCAATCAGTATAACGGGAGTGGTGGTGTCGTTAATACAACCATGTCATACTGGACTATAACTTAGTTAACTATGGGCGGTGCTGACAAATGCCAGAAGGTCTCTGATACCTTCTTTTGCAACACTCTTCCCATTAGGAAGCAAGTGATTATCAAGTCGAGGCAGCGCTCAGGACGTTATAAGTCTAATTTTAGAGACGTAGCACAGGAGATACCGCAGGATCCATGGTCGAAGCTGCCTCATGAATGCCACTGCATCGTTCCCGATCTTGATGATCAACATGTATACAGTTTCAGAACGTATATTCTCCATTGTAATGTACGCCCTGGGACTGAATTGAGATTGGGAGTCTGTATTCAACGTGTAACGTCGGAGTAAAACAGATAGAGAGAATCATATCCCATCTGACACTTTTATGGGCAATGAACAAGTGCTCCAGGAGCCCTGGGTTGTAACTGAAATTCGCTCCAGAACAAGGTACTCCATAACAACTTTCGGGACAAAAATCAAGACCAGTCGCCTTTGTCGACGACTGGCTCGTGTCTGTCCGAAGCGTCCATAAGCTCCTTGACGGTCCATGGCTCGTACCTGTAGCCCGGGGGGATATTGGTGTTCTGGAAATCTTTGCCTGCCAGAATATGACGAGCACAGCTATCGTAGTTTTCATATGCATACTGCTCCGGGTTGTGGCGCATAATCCAGTTTGCAGTAGATTTGCTCAGGATATCCGGATTTCTGGAAACCTCGTCCCAGTCCGTATTGTGGAACTTTTCTCGGTGGTGAAAGCCCATTTTCTGGGCACACGACACGCGCTCAAACCTGCATAGCATAAGTATATGGTCGCCTTCTAATCTGAATTGGGCAAGCACTTGCCTTAGTTGATTATGAACCCTTACAGCCAGGGGAGCGTTGGTCTTCCCACCTAACTGTAGGCAGGTCGCCAGAGAGTACGCATCCTCCATGGCCATTGCCGCTCCGCTCCCCGACGTGGGTAAAAATGAATGTGCGGCGTCTCCAAGCTGGATCACACGAGCATTAGGTGAGGCCCACTTTGGTTGCGGGTTACGCCACAACAGCTTCCAGTCTGTGCAACGGTGACCTGGTGTTGCCTTGACAATCTCCGTTAAGAATGGCTCCCAGCCCGCGATATACTGTAGGGCAGTATCGGTAGACACCATCTTATCCCAATTCTCCTCGGCATTGTGGTCATCCTACAGGACGGAATGGATTAGCCATTGCTTTTTGGAACTGCAAAATCATGAGACATACCCTATGGGTCAATATATAGCATATCTGTCTTTCGTTTTTGCCGACAACCATATGTGCTCCGGGACCTAAGTGGATCGAAGCACGATCCACATGGCCCTGGAACTCCTTTGCAATGATCGGGTTCTCCAGGGCTGGACCCGCCGGGAAAGTCGCCCTATAGCAGGCAAAGCCCGAGCTGATGGGTTTGTCTTTTTGCCCCAGGACCAAAGGCCATGACTTCGATCCAACACCATCAGCCGCGACAACGATATCTGCCGTAAGCCTCTGTCCGTCCTGTAGAACGACGCCTCCCTTCGTGTCACTCTCGAAGTATTCATCCACCGCTTTGTCGAAGTCTACTGTGATACTCAGTTCCTGCACATAGTCCCAAAGCAAACCGTGAAGCTCGGAACGGTTAATGGCTGCAGATTTATTTTCTCCATCACCAATAGGCCAGCTCCCAATCCAAGTTCCGTCGAACTTCTTCACGTTTCGCTGGGTTTTGTAAGATATGGCCTCCAGTCTTTCGAAGAAACCAGGCCATTTCTTGACAGTGTGGAGGGCATTGCATTCTATCAGGAGTAGGTCCCCTGTCATGATATAACTGTAAGATAAGGCACTGTAGTGTATGCATGCGATGCTAACTCACCATAACCTTTAAAACTTGGCCGTTTCTCCAGGACCCGGACCTCATGACCCTTGCGATACGCCTCAATCGCAAACGCGAGGCCTCCTATTCCACCCCCGACTATAATAATGGAGAGCCCACTAGGGGGATAGCGATCCATGATAGTAGATTTGTCTAGGCTTCCCATGGCTGTTTTCTTCCGGGTCTTGATAGAAAACTGGGTTAATAGTACGAGTAATCAGGGCAGGCATTTGCCGCCCTTTTATAGGCCAGGAGGAGTGTACGCATTGATCCCCATTACTTGACTTCACTTCTTTTCGGACGGCAGCGGATGAGAAGGTGAACAGCTTCTTCAGTTGCATCTTGCGGCCTCGAACATCACCCCACTAAGTGTGTTCCATACCGTTTCTCAAGTGGATCGACTTGCCTCGAAGTGCATAAGTGCCCTAACCACGAGGCTAGTTCTGGAACGCACATTGCCGATCTGCAGAATAATGGCTGCTAGATGAAAGTGAAGTGGAGATTTGTTGGGATCCCCGGAGTGGTGATATATTTGTTTGACTCCAGAAGAAATCCACGCGCTGCAACTGCAACTGATATATATAGCTTTTATACTTGCGACAGGACCCAGGATGACCAAATACGGTGGACAGCCTATCATGCATTGCGTTTCTGGTCCACTCGAGCGTTATTGTGCTTATATATGAGCATAGCTTAGTCAATCGAACGACTGTCAGGATGGCATTCATTTTTTTATGAGAGTGTTGACCCATCACATCTTAACCAATACGACCCTAGTTATACTGCTATATCTCGACGGATCACTTGTCAACAGCTATCTTGTAGTTTTCCCGATCCTCAATTCGGCGCGGTTGACCCACAACGACCTAAGTTTGATTTTCAGGCATTTGCAACTGCAAGCCGGGAACATATTCCGTTTCTTCCGCTGAATAAGCTGCTTTGTATTTGACAGGAGTAGTTCGTAATAACCACAAGAAAGGAACCTGCATACCCGCCCGCCTCTTCCGCTGAGTAAGGGGCTGTGTTAGGGTCCACTTATTGCTAACAATTGCCAGAGTACTCTAGAACATATCCTACTGCATGGTAGGTCTCACTAGGCTGATCACCGCTTCAAGACGGATATATGTCAACAGAAGGACACAGTTCATTATCCCAACAAGGTCTCAAAAAGTTGACCAAGATAGGAGTCATATTTGAATGAATGAGCTACTGGGCCGGATTCCCCTGTTCCACGCTGCTCTTCCACTAGAGTCACTAGGGTCCTTGTGTAGTCTACATGCCTATTAACGCGGAAGCGCGAAATCTGAATATGTACAAAAAAGTGCATGATATAACAGAAGCTTACACTGACGGTGTGCTACTTGGTACATGAATAAATTGAAGCAATAGCGACGATATATCGCCGGATACTCATTTAAACATGGATAGCCCCCTGTTCCCATTTCAACCCAGTCTCCCTAGTTACCGTGCTGGCCACTACTTGCTCCTCATCCGGATTCGTTCTCCGAATGTGTACAGCAAGAAAGGGTATGCCTCAAATACCACGGTCAAACAACCAAGCAATGTACAAGCCCAACCGACGCCCAGATTATGGAATATTTGCGTCGCGAACAAGGGAAAGCCGCCTCCGAAAGATGATCTTAAGAAGTCATTTCCGGCAAGCACCGAGGCTGCATATTTCGAATACGCCTGTGCCTCGTAGCAGGAAATGCTGTTGAAGATAAGGTATCCACAAAAGAAAATAACATCGAAGCAATGATCGGCCAATCCAGTGGATGCCTGCAAAGTTTCCGGTCCATCCAAACCAGAAAAGGGATATTGGTAGACACACAGCTCCAAAGCATGCTGGAGGGAGGTGTTCTTCCGGGGAAAGGTGGCCGACTGGGTTGATGTGTTTGGACTGCCAGCGATATTTCCAATAGAAGTGTACTGGAAGAGCAATGTATACTGCCCCTATTATGATACCCAGGAATGCCAGGCCAGTTTCTCCTGGAATCAAGCCGTGTTTTTCTTCAAAGACAATTGGAGAGGCTTCGAGGCAAATGCACAAATTCCGTAGATAAGGGCAATGTATAGGTTTATGAGGAGGACAATAGGTTCGAGGAAGCAGAGCACAACTGGACGCACGAGCGCTTCAAAGAGGACATCCTATTCCGATCTGTCAGTTACCATATGTTAACAAAAAAGGATCTCCACGCAGGCTTACGCTCGGAGCCACCCGAGCAATCTCAATCTCAGCCTCGGACGCATATCTCTGATCACCTGTGATACGGCGAATACGGCGTGCTCGACGACTGAGGATGTTGGGGACATATGTCTCGGGCAGGAAGAAGAGAAGCACCAAAGCAAGGCCAGATATCCAAAGCAGCTCCCAGATCGTCCACGTCCAACCTTTGGCGGAAGCGGCCAACCCTCCCACAAGTGGCCCCAGCACCGGAGCGGCAATGGCAAAGCATGCCCAGATAGCAATCATATAGTCGCGGATTTTGGGGTCTCACGTATCCCACATCGAGGCTCCCCCTGTCGCCAGAACGGTCGAGCAAATAAAGCCGGTTATGAATCGAAATGCCAGGAGCATGCCAAAGTTCTAGGCGAAGATCACTCCGAACTGGAAGAACATATACACTACTAGTGTTACGACATATAGCGGATTTCGTCCCGAGGCGGGCAGCTCTGATATCGATTCCCATATCATGGGACCTGGTCTTCGTTAGTATTCGCTAATTTTGACCTGATTGATTTGAAAACAAGCGCTCACCCAGTCCGTATCCGACCACAAATAGTGTCAGACCAAGAATTCCAGCTTCGCTACTCACACCAAACTGCTCAGCCACAATGTATAGAAAGTAAGAAGGCAGATAAGTAGGTTAACTAGGATCTTTTTGCTAATGCTCCAATCTTGCGGATTCTACCAATATTAGCCTGGATGTCCATCTTGCCAGCCTCGAACTGCTCAAGCATTACTATATGTGTCGACAAGTACCTAGCTATCATCCATCCCTCCCCAACCAATTACTTCAGGCGATTTATCATGTATCACACGCCATGGACCTGCCAAAACACTTTTCAGAGGGAGCCTTTGCCGCCGCCTGCACTGCGACATAACCGTGTACAAGGTATGCTGCTCGTAAAAGCCTTCGCTACTAGTCTCCGTCATTGCTTCTTCCAGGTAGGCATCTGGCGTTTGTAGGTATTTCCGCCAAGTCAAACCATCCATTTCTTCTGGGTACAGAAAGACCCTGTAACCGCTAAAGAAACGAACTAACTTGCCGAAAGCTGAATCGCGAATTGTCTCCATGGTAACGTGTGTGCTATAGAATCCTTTGCAAACTGAAGAATTCAATGAGTACAGCTTAAATGCGGGAAATTCACTGCCTGGGGGAGTTGTCCTTCAATTACAGTGCTAATGTCAGCCCATTTAAAATGTCTAATAACAATGGATGTCATCACCATGTGGTCCATATCTTGCTGCCGAGAGGTTTCCCTATAAAGGCAATGCCATATGTTCCCAGGATCACACTCAGCAGCTGATTTTCCTGAGGCTGATTCCTGAGTTATGGGGTAAAGAGTTCTCTCCAGTGATCTTTACGTTCGAGACTGTCAGATCCTCGGTACATAATACCGCTGACATCTGGCCCTCAAATGGTCCATAACCTTCCATCGCTGGTCGTAGGTAAGGTTTAGTGGCGGGCGTTGATCATCGTTAAGGTTTGTGGGGTTCGCTGATACCTTGCAATGCGCCACACATCGCTGTCTGGGTACATGAAAGTTTCTTTTCAATGGGAGTGGCGTGACCGTTTTAGGTATTATTCTTACTCGAGCTGATACATTACATAATGTAGATGTGGAATTTTCAAGATTTTATTATTGTTAGCTTCCAGATCCCGCGGTAGACTTCTTCTGCGTAATGTGTTGTCACCGTCGCTTACATTAATCTATTTATGAGGGCTCTACGCCATATGTCGAAGTAGAACACACCATAACTGAATCCCCCAGTGCAGGCCATGCCATATGCAATGCTGCATGCCATGATGCACCGAGCCAACATGTGACAAAAAAGCCAAGATCTAATTCTCGACAAGATGGTCACACGCTGGTGGCTTGCATCGGCAAGCTTCCCTGTTGTCGCGGTACTTTCCCTAAGATTCCCGGTTTGAAAGTAAATCTGACCGACGAGGCATCCAGGGAGTATTATGTGCATTGGCCATAATGTTCAACATTTGCGCCGTATCCCAAGGATGGCGAGAGATAATTGATGCCGATGGAAGCGCAAGCATTATAACTCAACCGGCATGGTACGAAAGGCACTCATTTCTTTCGCTTCTCATTGAACTAATAATCAAAACCAGGGCCGTCGCACTTAAGGCCATGTCGCTGGCATTCGCCGTTGTTGCTTATCTCGTACTCCTGCTTACAATGATATCCAAACATGATCCGGTAAAGGGATTCATTGTGACAGTACTGTGCTGGTGTACCTCTGCAGTAACGCTACTTACTGTTATCGGTGTTATAGCTGGGGAACATACAACAGTGAACGCCCAGCAGACGCTTCGGTATACGCAAAACTACTTCTACGGCACATTTGCTGCTGGCCTCTATATACTAATTGCTGTGCTGTTGGCAATCTACACATGCAGTGTGCGCTCGGTGCATCTGACCCACGGCGAAAGACGAACAGTCGAATGTACGAGCATCATCCTGCGAGTGGCGGCTTTCTCTGTCTTTCTGCTTGCGGGGGCTGCTGTCTACGCGAGTATTGAGGGTTGGACATTTATGGATGCATTGTATTGGGCCGACTACACTCTTCTGACAATCGGCATCGGAAACATTGCCCCGCAGACTCACCTTGGACGAAGCTTGTTATTTCCATATGTCTCTGCGGGAATCCTGAATACAGGTCTAGTGATCACCTCAATAACGTCATTCACCGAGAATATTCGAGAACTAAGCATCAGATTCAAGATTGACGAAGTGCACAGCGGCATCCAGGGGCGCCGACCTCTCGATGAGTATTCTAGCAACGGTCACAGTGACAGGGAGAAACAAGGACAGCAAACGCCAGCTGAATCTCGGTACCCAATCAAGGCTGATCTTATGAAGTTGCAAGGCATCAAGCGTGACTTCTATAGAAGGCATCGATGGACGACTTTGATCCTCTCCGGGATCGCATTGTTCTTCCTCTGGCTAGTCAGTGCTGCCGTCTTCCGTCGCTCGGAGAGAAGCCAGAAGTGGACTTATTTTCAGGCCCTCTATTTCACATACACCTCTCTGACAACCATCGGCTACGGAGATCTATACCCCACCAGCAATTTGGGAAAAGCATTTTTCGTGTTCTGGTCCCTTCTGGCTGTCCCCGTGTTGACCAACCTCGTTGCTGCCATGGGGCAATTGGGATTTGAGAAGTTGACTTATTTGTTGCGCTATCTTTGGAGACTCAAAGCTTCAAGTCTGGGCAGAATGAACCCTGATGCTCACAGCGAGGAAGCGAGAAGTAAATCAGTCCCAGGCCTGGACCTGTTTATTGACAGCAACAGTCATGCCCCTAATCTCATAAAAGCCGGACAATCATCCAACAATGTACCAGGCAGTTCAGCATATGAAAAGCACGAAGGTGGTGCATCACTCGTCCAAGCTGCTCATCGCTCCCTTTTACTCGGCGTGGAAATTGGCAAGCTCATATCTACACTTCAAGGTTCGACTACTACGCAGCTTGATCTGGAGAGTGAGTGGGACATGATCCTTCCACTGCTCCATCCTGAAAACGATGGGTGTGGCTTGTTGGAACCCACTTCTCTTACAACCCTATACAGCCATAGAGGAACTGTGCTAGAGTTTCTGGACTCCGACAGACCGGCTACAGACATGAACAAAGAAATTCTGTGGATGCTGAATTTCTTGACGGAGAAGGTGTGTTCGAATTTACGAGAGGCCTTGCAGAGAGAGCAAAGTGAAAGATCAGACACGTTGTCCTAAGTCAAGAATATAGGTTGGATGTGTCCAGGCGACTACTGCACGCCCTGTTTCAGTTAGCCAACATTGTCTCCGACATTCGGGCTGCTTCTGGACACGATCATTCCATAAAGTTGAGCAAGGTTTGCCTTGTGATAACGCCTATTAGTGTCCTCACTTCAAGAGCCAACTGGCATATTGGGAAAGGCAGCAATAGTCACGTAGTTCCCCGGGCGATCGGCAACAGTCACGCCCTTGGCTCCAGCCCTGCAATGCATGGATCGTAAAACCTCGACTGAATTCTAATATGCGATAACTATAAAATGGCTTCATATTGGGTGCTAGAGTATTTAAATATTACTATATGCAAATGGTGCGCAAATATATCTTTGGGATCACTAGGACGGCTTAATACAAAAATCAACCCCCCTCTCCTTTGAGTCTAGTTTCCAATATTAGTATTCAATATTCAACGGTTCAGATAAATATAAACTAATACTAGGCTAAACAAAAAGTCTATGTCTCGATAACAAAAAGAAAAATCACATAATATTGGAGTTGTGAGAGGTACTGTTAGGTACTGTCAAATGCTTTCCTACACACTTCCGGAGTTGGACGCCAGCTACACCCCGTTATGTGGAGAGACATCGTGACGGTTAACTATTGTCAGTGCTCTTACGCTCACGAGACACAAACAGACCGCTTAGCCCTTTGGGTAGTTATGCCACTCCGAAACCGATGAGTAAGTGGCGTATTCTCAGGAAACTTAAACGTTGAGCGTCTTTAACATCACGTCGTTGCTAGAGGCAAGCCTGGTCTAGACCACCAAGGCAATGAACCTCTTGCTGGGGCTCCGATGACAGACCAGCCACGTTGAATGAACCATGGCTAGCAGCGATTATCGGGTGATCATGCGGGGCTGAGCCGGGATTATGGAGAGCTAAGCTACCCAGGCTTCGGACAAAGTACTGTGTTTGAGTCCTGCGATTGCCCGAAGCTTACGGAGCTCATTATGGGTCGTACGCCTGTCTCTGTCCCGCCCGATGCGCTCAACCATGAGGCGTTGCAGATGATTGCTCGCTCATGAGCATGGGTTACAATAAATTAGGACTCCTGCAACATGCCTCTGGCGCGAAGCTTATGAACCGCCTTCCTCGTCTGGTCAATTTAGTAAACGTTGTACGTCAACTGTCAGTTTTGTATGTATTTTGATCGTCTATACTGGCATGTCTGACTTCATCGAATGACATTTTGAGAGGGAGATAATGGAAACATTACTCCCAGACATTGCTCGCCACTCCGGAAGCCAGACTGTTGGCCATCGAAAAGGGATCCGGCCCACCTTTGCACTAATTGAGCCCGTTGTATTTTTGCAAGGGCACAGCACAGGTAGCAGTGCTTGCAAAGACAAGGCGGCCGTCGTCCGGGGGTCTCTACGTATGAAAGTCACTGAACCGATCAAAATCAAGCGGATCTGCGTCTACTTTCGAGGGCTGGTTAAACTAGAGCTATCGGAAGGTCTGTCGTCAATCCATCTAGTCTCAGGATTGAAGCTCGCTCCCTTTTCAATATGCTAATATCCTAGCCCAGTGAAGCTTGTGGGGGATAGGGATCTGATCACGTCTGGTATCACCTACTTCGACCGCGGGCAGACAACGCAATCAGGCAATGTCTATGGAGCAGATATATGTCACATACTGGATCGATCTGGCACAGATATAGAAAGAGGCCAACACAGCAGAAACACCGCTGAAACGTCTTGGAGAGACCGATCCCTTCCTCCTAAGTATAATATTGGCGGCTTACAGCAGCCTGGACTCTTGGGGGCCGTCACCAAGAGCACTCTATTTCCCGCTGGTGATTATCTGTATAGCTTTGAATTCCTCCTGCACAACTGTCTTCCGGAGACCATCAATACCGAGCTGATATCCACCCGGTACTACCTGGAAGCTCTGATTGAACCGTCCGGTCCATTTTCCTCAAAGGTAGTTTGTCAGGTCGATGTCCCGGTCATTCGACTTCCAGCAGAAAACTCGCTGGAGCTGATTGAGCCGATCGTCCTTTCCCGGAAATGGCGTGAACAGCTCGCCTACGATGTTTGCATTTTCGGGAAGTGTTTTCCTCTTGGCTCACAGATACCAATAAAGGTTAAGTTAATTCCCCTGGCCAACCTACAGTGCCACTGGATCAAGGTATACGTGTCTCAGCACGTACAGCATCAGACAAAGGGCCAAACCGGTCGCTTCCTGCAGCTGCCCACGAAAAGGGTGCTTCTGTTCGAAAAGCAGGCTGGTGTTGCAAGTTACAGCTCCTACCCAGGCAGCACCATGCGAATTATGACAGACGAGGGCTCAATAAGATCCCCCGGCATTCAAACCATGAATCTGCTAGGGGAAGAATTGGAGACCTCCGAGATCAACTTAGAGGTACAATTACCTCGATGCCCAGAAATGAGAGTCAAAGGAAAAAGACAATGGCTTCATTTCAGTACCAAGGGCGGTAGTCCTGAGGTTAATCATTGGATCCAGGTAAGAAAGAGCAAGATACCCAGTGATGCGACTGCAAGCACACTTTATATTCCTGATGATGCTGACTTACACGCAGATTGTTCTGTGTCTTTCGAGAAACGACCATGAATGTATGGGCTCAAGCAAGTCTCGGCCCGTGGAGTTGACCATCGAGACACCTTTCACCATTCTATCGTGCAAGGCCACACCGGCAAATATTTATGTCCCACCATATGAGAGGGAAGGTGATATCGAAGTGACTGCGTCTCAAGAAGCCCAATGTGGCTGTGACCAAAGTCCCCAGTCAATATCACTACCCACAAAGCACAAAGCAGAAGCAACTGAAACGGAAGCGAGTGACAATTTGAAGTCTGTTAAAGGACAACTCCCGTGGAATGTTACGCAGCCGCTTAGCTTCGATAGTGTCTCCAGTGGCATTAAGCAACCCGCTCGAGCCCATTTACCTGAATGGGGCCTTCCTTCTGATGAACCTCACCAGCGACCTGATCCGTATAGGAGGCAATGGTATGGCGGATAGCTTTTCCTCATACTTCATACCCTCGAATTGCCGATACTTGGTTATCATTTCTAATGCATGACTTCCCTTGTTCGAGTGGGCCGTGGTTTTCCTCATCTTTAGGAGTAATCCTTTGTTTGATTTCGCTGTGGCAAGTCCCTGCTTGTCCTCATGAAACCCTATTGCTTGGATAGACGGTGAATATACCCTTGTTAGGTCATACATTCACATCCAGTACTATCCGTCAGTCTACATCATCACATTGTCGAGGTCCATTCAAGGGTCTGTGAGATTTCAGTGCTTGCTAAGTATTATTATTAGGTGGTCTGTGGCCGTGGCTGAATTAGTCTAGCCATCATCAATTTTTCCAACTAGTTCCCAAGGCATTCTGAGACGGATACTAATTGAAAGCATATCCACAAGCATCACGCCACCTCCTAGCACGGTGGGGTGATTTATCAGACAGTTGTGGGAACCTGTTAACATGGGACGTAAGCCGCGCCCTTTCCATGGTCCCCGGTCATGATGAACCATGGATGTCCTCTCGATGGTAACGGAGACTTGAACCGAGCTGAATGTCTTACCTGGACACAGATGACAGGCTGGGTAGCCAGTCAAAGAGGGAGCATAAGCAATCTTAACCAAACTGGCTGAAGTCTACAATACCACATCTATGGACAGGTTCAAAAAGGGCGCGTTTGGGCTCAGTCAGGGGAGTCCAGGTGGTTTGCAGACTCGGATGACATCATGAGTCTCATCCAGTGTTACTACTTTACTTGGAGGATGAATACTGAAGACCTTCAGATCTTGCGAACGAAGATAACTGTCTCAACTTGATGGTGTATCTGATGGTGAAACGTTCAAGATCCGATGCAGTCAGATCTGAATCCGCAAACCGTGCTGCGCGCATCCTGCGAACCCTGCAGGAAGACAAAGGTACACAGAAAGCTTTGTCCTTTTCCGTCGTACTAACGTGCTATTCTACCTTAGGTACGATGCAAGCGAGAAGGCGAGAGTTGTTCGCGGTGCAAGCAGCGAGAGCAGAAATGCGAGTTTTCGCCCTCCTCCCGAAGCGAATCATCAAGGGACAACCCAAGCCCGCATCGGTGAGCGCAAGACACTGTTGTTCGTTCGAATTATTGGACCGATGCCCTATGCTTCATACAGCGACACCATCGATGAGATGAAGAACCGCCTTGAGAGGATGGAATCGCTGTTGCTCGCAGGAAGGCGCTCATCGGTACGCGATGCGAATCAGGACGATGCATCGTACTGTTTGATGGATCGGATCGGATTCTCCAGTTTTATTGGTACCACTATGTCCCTTCTCATTCCCTTTGCTGGTAGCAAATTCACAGTGTCTGTCATGTTCCGCGTCCGGATCTGCTCTCCTGTCGCCGCGGGGTCTGCGGTGGGTTTCCAGCATCACACACTCGACCGAACTATTGGATTTTGTTTTTACTAGAGCGCGTACCTACATGCTAGGCTGGTCGGAGGAGATGATGAGTACATGGCAACATCTCAAACCAGATGATCATTCCCACCAAAAGGATCCGCCATTCTCGCGGCTAGCTGTTAGATATCCCCTGACGCCCCTTGCGCCAGTGATAATTGGCAAGCTGACACTTGTGCAGACTTCTTTGCCTACGTAAACTCCGCCTTACCTGTGTTTAATCAGAGGAGGCTTATGCGACTCTTCAACGCGCAGTACTCAGAAGATCCTCCAACGAGCGTGGCCTGGTATGCCTCACTTAATGCCGTACTTGGTATTGGAGCACTCGTCTTAGATGATGAGATAGGCGGGTCAGCGACAGTCCTACATCGCAGGCGGGATGGTGAAGGTGGTGCCTATGTGTTAAGATGTCTGCGGAATTGCTATTCTGTGTTCAATCAGCTCTCATATAGCTCTAGAGAGGTCATGGGCATCAAAGCCCTAATTGGAATGGCCAGTGGGCCCTGTGAAAGTCATTGAAGACTGCAGCAGATACACCTCCGTGGTATAGGCTATGGTTCTGGAAACCATGCTGGACGTGGAGGCTGGTTACATGGCCATTGGATGGGCGGCACGACTCGCACTCGGGTTAGGATTGAATCGCGACTGCAATGCAGAGTTCTCCGCAGGCGAGGTTGAGAAACAGCGCAACGTCTTCTGGGTTTTGTACGTCCTGGATCGAGGTCTGAGCTTTCGGCTCGGACGTCCACCAACAATCTCTGACGAAGACATCCAAGTCAGCGAGGCAGCATCCGGCGAATTCGCACACTTGGGAAAAGTGGTCAGAATTGAGAGCGAGATATATACCAGGCTGTACTCTGTCCGCGCCCGGGTCCAGGTCGGAGTCAAAGAGGCTTGTAGCCGAGGATGAGCTGTATCAGAAGCTTGTCGCCTGGCAACATTCCCTGCCTGACGGAGAGCTGAGGCCTGGGCTGGTCCTCCATTGCCCGAATCCAGAGCAACTTCCGTCCACCATTTCACTTCACGCTGAGTATTATAATTGCCAATTCATCGCCTTGTTTGTGGACCTTGGCAAACAGGCAGTTTTAGAGGTGCAGAGGTAGGTGACGACAACCATTTATCTTGATTTCAAACCTCTCCCTTCTGGCGATATCGAACCGCTCAGTCTAAAGGTGTCTACGCAACCACCTGTAATTATTAGGGATGATCGCAGTAGGGTAAACACAGCAGGGATACAACACCTTCTGATACCCGGCTCATAGTTCTTATAATACCTACGCTGACTATCCAGGTCTACCGATCTATCAGCCTACCTTAGTCGTTCTATATATGGGGCTTACGGTGGTGACAATGTCAAGCCCGTTCCTTCACTATTACTATGGCTCTGTGTAGCTTTCAATGACCTATGACCGGACCTGTCGAAATACCACTTCCGCTCTGGATTCTCTCACACATCACTTACAGCTGCTTTCAATGTGCTAGTGTGTAGGACCTAAGATAATGATTGTTGCGATTGAGTTTCCAGGAGGAAGATTTCTATCAAAGTGTGAAGCAAGTAGAGTTGAAGGAGCGGCACTGGGCAAGATGTCTAATCCTATCCCAGGTTTAGGAGAGATGGAGCATTCCGAAATCCCCATGCTGATGTTTCTCCAGAAAGTGATAAGCGATGCAAAACCGTTTATGTTCAGCCGGGAAATCCCAACGGCGGATAGTACAAATATAACGAGAATGTAACTATAGGCATTGCGGGCCGGGGTCCGAACCCATCAGGAATACCGTAGGGTTTCGGTTCCGCGGGTCGCCGTTGTGTCTGAAGACGATGCCTGGTGATCAAAGTACACCATAAGTACTAGCAGTTGTGGGGTATACAATTCGGATTCAATAAGATCTTCCATATTTCTGCTGTTTGAAACGTGGATGCACCTCCAGGATGGTGCTGCAGTTGCCCTATCTCACCAGGAAATTATCATATTTCTTTCTTCAATATCGTCAAGCTTCAGGACTAATATATCTGTGCGCAATTCCCCGCATCGGCAAATGGGCATACTCCTGATTCTGGGGTATATTCTTCCATTAATATGTTTCTTCCTCCAATCCCGCCTGCATTGCATCCTGCATGCGGCGCCACCCCACCAACATGGCTTATCATCACCGTGCAGATGACCATAGACAGCCCCGTAATCACACCGGAAATCTACCGAGCAGAATTAAGGCACAGACTTCCAAGTATTCACGTGGTCTGCGTGAACATTTGCCGGACTCCACACCGGACTCCACATATCCGTCATTCTGCAAGCAAAGTATGGGGTGCGTCACGGGGTCGACATGCATCGGAAGGGCATCCGTGATGAATTCGTCACTACTCAATCTAAGCAATGGGTCCTGTTCCTGAAAGTCAACGGTTGCTCGGCCTCTTGTGCCGAGAGTTCGTGCTATGCGACTTGCGGGACCATCACAAGGGTCATTATGAATCCGGGTGGAGGAATATGCAGAAAGCCTTACAGGTATCACCCATGCTCAATACGCGCGTATCGTGATGAGACTTCTCAAGGTCCTCGGAATGGGAGCTTAATGCATATCATCATCCGGATGCAGATGCTCCATCGGCAGACACACGTGCATCCTGACCTGAAGGCCATATATTGCTTTACAATCACCCTAGAGGAGCAGCGGAGACATCTCCGTGCAGTTGAGACTACTTAACTCCCATAACCCGCCCTTCTTTGGCCGCTCCAATTCTCATGGCTTGCCAGCATCTAATGCCAAGATGATGCATACACTGAACCTGGTCTTGCTGGCTGCAGGCCTCTTGTCTGATGTGGCCCACGGAGCCGCATCACAAGCTTACACCTGGAAGAATGCGGTTACAGGAGGCAAGTATACTGAATACTACCTGTCTGACCCTCTTGCTGACAGCAATATTCAGGAGGTGGAGGCTTCGTTCCAGGAATCGTTTTCAATCCATCAGCCAAGGGAGTAGCGTACGCCCGTACTGATATTGGAGGCGTGTACCGTCTCAACTCGGACGACACATGGACCCCTCTACAGGACTCTGTGGGCAACAATAACTGGTATGTAATTTGAATCTATGAGCGAAATTAACTGACAATTCAGGCATGACTGGGGTGTCGATGCACTCGCTACCGATCCCATTGACACCAATCGCTTGTACCTGGCGGTGGGGATGTACACGAACGAATGGGACCCCAACGTTGGCTCAATCATGCGCTCAACCGATAAGGGTAATACTTGGGCGGAAACCAAGCTACCCTTCAAAGTTGGAGGAAATATGCCTGGGCGTGGTATGGGCGAGGTAGGTAACAGTACCTTCACCCTGCATTGCTTGTTTCTCGGCTAAGACAATGTAGCGCCTTGCTATAGATCCTAACAAGAACAGTATTCTATACTTCGGCGCAAGAAGTGGCCATGGCCTCTGGAGGAGTACTGACTACGGAGCGACCTGGTCTAATGTCACGTCCTTTATTTGGACTGGTAAGACACAATGCCGAATGATGCCATGTGAGCGAGATGCTGATTGGGAAAAGGAACATATTTCCAGGATGCCAGTTCCACGTACACTTCCGACCCGGTTGGCATTGCTTGGGTGACTTTTGATTCCACGTCTGGTTCAAAGGGCTCTCCCACTCCACGCATCTTCGTTGGTAGGTTTGGAGAGTAGAAAGTTTCGAACTATGGCCTAATTCTTTCCAGGAGTGGCGGACACCGGTAAATCAGTGTTTGTGTCTGAGGATGCCGGATCTACATGTACGTTCTTTTCATCTATCGAATCCGATCCTCCATTAACTGAAAGCTAGGGTCCTGGGTTACCGGAGAGCCACAGTACGGCTTTCTGCCTCATAAAGGAGTACTCTCTCCAGCTGAAAAGACTCTTTACATCTCTTATTCCAACGGAGCTGGTCCGTACGACGGCACCAATGGAACGGTACACAAGTATAACATCACCAGCAAAGTGTGGACTGACATCAGCCCTACACCCATGGCAAGCACATACTATGGGTATGGCGGTTTGTCTGTTGACCTGCAAGTCCCTGGAACCTTGATGGTAGCCGCATTGAATTGCTGGTGGCCAGACGAGCTGATCTTCAGGAGTGTGGATTCCGGAGCCACGTGGTCCCCCATCTGGGCGTGGAACGGATATCCCAACCTGAACTACTACTATAGCTACGATATATCAAATGCCCCTTGGCTGCAGGATGACACCTCAACAGCTCAGTTTCCCGTTCGTGTCGGCTGGATGGTCGAGGCTCTCGCAATTGACCCATTCGACTCTAACCACTGGCTGTACGGAACCGGCGCGACAATTTATGGTGGCCATGACCTCAAGCAATGGGACACAGTGCATAATGTTACCTTGAAATCTCTCGCCGTCGGCATCGAAGAGATGGCTGTCCTTGGACTCATTTCTCCTCCAGGCGGACCTCCACTGCTGTCTGCTGTCGGCGACGTTGGAGGATTCTACCATTCAGATCTCGGCAAGGCACCAGCTCAATCCTTCCATAACCCAACATACGGCACTACCAACGGCATTGATTACGCTGGTAACAAACCATCCAACCTTGTTCGCTCGGGAGCCAGCGACACGCTTCCTACTGTTGCTATGTCTACGGACTTTGGCAAGACCTGGTCGGCAAACTACGCAGCCTCTTCCACCACACCTACCGGGAAGGTTGCTCTCTCCGCGGACGCTGATACAGTCCTGCTCATGAACTCCAACGGGGCAATGGTGTCGAAGTATAGCAGCACTTTCAGCGCTGTCTCGTCTCTACCCTCCGGTGCGGCTATTGCATCTGACAAGTCCGACAACACCGTTTTCTACGGCGGATCGGCCGGCTCTTTCTACGTATCCACCAACGGCGCCACCTCGTTCACCAAGACTGCATCGCTTGGCTCCAGCACCGCCGTTAATGCCATCCGTGCCCACCCCTCTATTGCTGGTGATGTCTGGGCGACTACCGATACGGGACTCTGGCACTCGACAGACTATGGTAAGACCTTCACCAAAGTCGGCGGTGGATGCACAGCAGGCTGGAGCTTCGGTCTGGGTAAGGCCTCGTCGACCAGCTCTTATGCCGTCATCTACGGCTTCTTCACCGTCGACGGGACAACAGCACTCTTCAAGACCGAGGACATGGGTACGAACTGGCAGATGATTTCCGATTCTACACACGGCTTCGGCGCTGCGTCTGCTAATGTGGTCAATGGCGATATGTCAAACTATGGACGTGTGCTTGTGGGCACCAATGGAAGAGGTATCTTCTACGGTCAGCCGAGTGGAAGTCTCCCGTCTTCGACAGCTACGGCGACTACGACCAAGACGACCTCGACGAGCACAAAGACGTCTGGCACCACGACTTCGACAACGCTGAGCACGACCACGAAGGCGTCCACCACAAGCACGAGTACTTCCAACACAACGACATCGCCAACCGCTACAGGGACTAGTACCCCGTACGGACAGTGTGGTGGAACCGGATACACCGGTCCAACTACCTGCCCGAGTGGATGGAAGTGCACTTACCAGAACGCGTATTACTCTCAGTGTAAGTTATGAAGCCAAACCTCTATGGAATGGAACGATCCTCGGACAGGATGCTGACAGAAAATCAGGCCTGCAATAACAGATAAATCCAAGTCGAATCCATCAAAGGAGAGGAGCTGTGTCGCCTAGCATGACTTATAGCCATTATTTGTATCTAGTCATGGAGCAATACAATCGACTTCCTGGCTTAAATCGTTGATTATAGAGATCCCAGGTCAGACTTTTAAGATGGTTTGGTCCATCCCCGGTAAATGCGTGATACTCGTAAATCCTAATGAAGCTGGGCATCCAAGCGCCACTTTCCAATACAATCCTAAACAGCATAGTAACATAGACTCTCCCCGGATGAAGTTTACATGTCCATGCCTGTTTCCATTCGCGATTAATGACAGCTTTTCCCTGCTCCTTTTTATTCACCTGAGCAGGAGAGTTCGGAAAGGCTCGGAAGCCTGGATGTCAGAAGAATAGTACCTAACCCGCGGACGTATCAATAAGCCTGGCAGTTAAATGAAGTAGAGTTTCATCACGGTGCGTAGAGAAGGGTTGGAAGCGCTTCTAACAGTATCTCTGCTCATATCTAACCAATGGGGTACGCAAAGGAAGAGTGCCGATGACAATTCGACGGCGCTTAGGTGGCGCGGAGGCAGTTGTGCGCGTTCTGAGGTGGCACTACAAAATCCTGCAAAGGCGCATATTTGGAACATTGGGTGTCTCATATTCCTGGAATACCCAATACCAAAAATAGACATGTCTCGCAACTGTCGCTATGCTATAGTATTTGTATATGACTGTTCTCGTCCTTCAGGCGGCATCAAAATGATCAATGTCTACTAGGATTACGAGGGAACGATGACCGAGATCCCTCGACCGACGAGTCGCGACCAGTTCCGAATCGCAATTATCTGTGCACTACGAGTCGAATCAGAGGCAGTTGAAGCCATCTTCGACGAGTATTATGATGAGAATGACAACGGGTTCGGCCAAGACCCATCCGATGAAAACGTATACAGGAACGGGAGAATCGGCAACCACTATGTAGTTCTTGTCTACATGCCAGGAATCGGAAAATGCAGAGCGATGACTACAACGCTGCACTTGAAACTGAGTTATCCGCGGATCCAGCAGGCATTAGTTGTCGGTGTTTGCGGCGGTGTCCCATACGGAAACGATGGGCGGGATATCTTTCTAGGGGATGTCCTTGTTAGTGATCGTCTCGTTCAGTGGGATACTGGGACTTTGCTTCCCGGCGCTTTTATCCACAAAGACAGACCTGAGTACGTCCAAGGGAGACCGTGTCAGCGTATGGAAACCTTTCTAGCCAAGTTCAAAACCCCGGACGAAACGCGTCGGTGGGAGACTATCATGGCAGAACAGCTGGAGACTGTTCAACGATCAGTCGGCGAGGAGGGCGCCGCCTACCCTGGTGTAGACCAGGACCGTCTTTACCCTTCAGGCCATCTCCATCAGCATCGTGACATGCGTCCCTGTGGCAAGTGTCGCTCTTGTGGCGGTTGCGAGGAGGGCAAAATATGTCACAAGGCACTTATCTCTACCTGCGACGAACTGGGTTGTCCCGATTATGCAGATTCCTGCAGGACCCGACAGCATGGGGAATTGAATTCGACTCCAAAACCAGCCCTTCATCTGGGTCCTATTGCCTCTGGTGACACTGTCCTAATGTCAGGAGACGCCCGCGATCAACTTGCCGCCAAGACTGGCGTGACGGGGATAGAAATGGAGGGTATCGGATTATGGGAGGAGACATCGTGCGTTGTGATCAAAGGAATTGCCGACTATGCGGATTGCCATAAGACCAAAGAATGGCAGCGATATGCAGCGGCAAGTGCTGCCTCGTGCACGAAGGCCCTTTTGTTAGAGTACACAATGGAGCCTCCACAGATTTACTCGCCCGAAAAAAGGACCTCTCGCGACCGGAATTCACAAGCTGCTCTCAGCCCTGGCCGACTTCTGTTCCAGTCGATGCTTGACTTTTTTGCCAAAGTCGCCACAGTCTCAACGATGTCGAGTATCTCAGACACTGTCAAAATGATTGATGTGTTCCACATCTCGTCCAGCCTTTGGACTAACTTTTGTATGGCTGCGTTGGCGTTCGTGATTGGATACTGTGGAGGCCGCGGTTGGCTGACGCCTAATGACCGTCCATATATATATGTCTCAGCACCGAAGTTTCACTGATTTATATTCTTGTCACGTTTACTACTATTGCGGCATTCCCTATAGTAATTTTTATACTTGATGAAAGCTGGAGGGAAGCGGTCAGACTCCACATGAGGATTCTACATAGAACCATGATACTACGAGTCTCGCTCTGCAGCATCGATACCATGGAGTATGTTGGGTATTTGTGATGCGATGGTATAAGAAAAAGATAAAACAAGGACATCCTCCGTGACAATGTCAAATAACATCATCGCAGTGTCCATTAGTTCGTTTGCATTGCTCGGAATGCTTGCTCATTCTAGACATTTCCATGGCCTAGGACTGGACAGCCTGCAGCGGCCCCGGCAGCATCCCCTGCAGCCTTGCCCTCACCCTCAGCTTTCTCCTCTCGCGCAATCTGGCGGAACATATCCATAGGGTCAAACCAAACGTCAATCTTTTCCAGCTGCAGCGAACTGTTGACCTTGGCAATGACGATGCCTTGGATATCAATCAGACCACCATGCGCTTTGACAGTAACCTTTTCTCCTCGACTAGAAGACCGATTAGTATCCATCTTTCTTTATCCAGGAACTCAGACATACTTGTTATACCCAACATAATCATTCTTCATGTACCCCCAATGCCGCCACTTGAAGATCACAACCGGAGGCCCACTATACACCTCCAAGACCTCCCAGGCAAACGTCGGCATCATGCGCTTGAACGCCTTGTGACTTGTTGAGAAATCATTATGCTCGGGATCGTAGTACGAGTTGGATGTAAGGAGGGCGTTGTAAGTGCCCACTCGGAGCATATGGTCGCCTGCCTGGGGAGGTCCGCCGTTCAGCGAGAAGGTATATTTGCTGTGGTCGATGGTGCGCCAGTCGTCGAGTGAAGTCTTGAAGGATGCTTCGATCTCCCAGTTTTTGACGAGATTGGAGACGAGGTCAGGGAGGCTGCCTGCCTCGTGGGTCATTTGTTTCGCTGGAGCGGTATGATTAGTTCTATAGGGATCTATGACATAGGCCTTGAGGGTTGTTGCGTACTCTCTTCGTAGAATTCCCTTGTTTTTGAGTAATCTGGGGGTGCGCCATGGCGCCAGGCAGCATCTTTATCGTTCAAGACGGCGTTGGGGTCAAGGACATAATCTGGAAGAGCGTCTGCGTCACCCATTTTGATGATTTGCGTAGTATCTATCTCTGTGGTTAAAAAGAATTCTGGAGAATTGAACTCTCGCAGAGAGGCACAGGGGGGTTAATAATACCCCCGCCCCTCGTCTGACATCCCTGCCGGCCATGGGTGTAGCATGGAGACGGCATAAGCGAGGCGCAACAGAATCTACAGGGATTAGAAGGACAGATTTCTCGGTATAGGATAAACCCTGTCGACCGTTGGCTTATCCCTGTCGCTTCAAACTAGGAATGTCTGGGCGCCGGCCGAGACTGTTCCCCATGCCATAGCCTAATTGGACAATAGCTCTGGCGTCCAATGAAGTCCTCCGTGTTTCATTATCAAGAGAATCGTTTGTTGTACAAAGTAAATGAATATAGATTAATAATGACTGCTAGCATGTGTCTAGCATGGGTCTGGCCCACGTCAGACAGGGTCAGCCTCGGCTATGTTCCATCATCAATATGATCCCCCTCATCAACCACGGCGAATGTACCATTCGACAAATGTCCCGTAGTGGTCAATACCATCGTTTCTGTATGTTTAGGTACATAAAAGGTAGTTTCAGACTCAGTCAAAATGAGCTTCCCTGGTTCAGGATGGCAGCCATGGACAGGTGTACGAGACTTTAACGGTTTGGACTTCGCCGACACCAGTAAAGAAAGCTAGCCCGCAAGCAGAGTTATCTGAGGCATGATTGGCTGCTATTCTCGGAAATCTGAACTATCTTCTTAGGAAGTAAGATCTTGTGGGGCAGGCAATATATCGCTCAATGGTGATTTGCTAGGCAATCTGTCCCTTTTCCTCGCCGTTCAAACAAAAGTCAACAAAACTGAACTGCAATTCAGCTCCAGGACTGCGACTGCGAAGGATGGTCTATCTGTAAGGTTAGAAATGTTTAAAGCAAAGGGTAAAAGGCCTCCAGTAGAAGAACAAGGATTGTCAAGTATCAATTTGAGCACGGCTATGTGCTCAGCCGACTTTTGCGAGTCGTTTTGTGGGCCTGGCTTACAGGCTAGCAGGGGTTCCTTAGGCCATGAAACAGCGACAAACAGCATTAGTGGTTTCCGTTGGCAGCACGTCCGCTTTTAATCCATCATTAAGGTGCGGGAAGTGTACTGTCTTGGCAGACAATTGTACTCCGGCAGACAATTGTACTCCGGCAGACAATTGTACTCCGGCAGACAGGAAAAGCTAGACATAATTGAGGAACATTCGTCACAACCCAACAGAGCCACGAAACATACACAGCTACAACAAAGGAGTGAGAAATATGATCCTATGGAAATCCTCTACAGTCTCGCCTGTTTTCTCTTTGGTCGGAGAGGTAACCTCAACTGAAGACACGCGACACCCAATAGCCATTCTCTCCGACAAAATATATATACGCGGCCTGGATACACATCAATGCTGGTACTAGAATAAAGGTAGGGCAAGACGCCGACGGTCGGGCGATTCAGTTAAAAGTTGAGTCTAAAATCATTGTGTATTGCCTTGAAGTCATTTACATTTTCTAAACATGTAGGGATATAATCGTCTGCATCCTCGTAGTAGCGATTGAGAGGATACAGAATGCGGAGCGATCTTTGCGGATCCTGATCAGCGCTGATCTGCGAACCGATGACTTGGAATCGAGATCTTTGGATTTTGAGGCCATACGACTGGACAGAAAATAAATATCAAACAATTCTGTAGAGACTACGCGCCGAATATGAGAAAACCACAGAGCATATTGAAAAGCGGCCAAGGAAAGTTGATATCGATATCCCGTCCACTCCCTCATTAACATTTTAGAATTTCCGCAAGGGATATTTTCCTAATTGAAGTCGCGGTTTTCCCGCTTCACAGATTAATCGAAAGGAAAACTAGTGCAGGATATGTCCACTTGACGGTTCTCAAAATCGCCGAGTCTACTCCGTAGTCTCTGGTGACGGCGAATTACTAGAAGTGGCATAGCGTTCCTATTCAGGGAAAGCGCGCAACTGAGGCTTGGCATCTCGGTGCGTGGTCTATAAAGCTTCCTCCCTGCCCACCCGAGATCATGGCCAACTTTTGTTGCTATTTTCCCACCCCTTCGCGGTCTTCTGACCCAAGCGCTTGAGGCACTTTTGCCATTGGACTGAACCTCCCGTGTTCTGCACTTCGCCACCTGCTTTTTGTGAGAATGAAATTTCTGCTTGCCTGGGAGCTTAACTGACCATTGATTCTTCTTTTTATAGAAAATGCGGCACGAATTGCATAGAGCTGGTGCTATCAGACTTTTCCAAGTGAATCAATATAATTTCTCCCTCCTATACCTGATACATAAAGGACGTCAGTGAAGAAGGATTTCAAGTTGTAATCCACCATAAGATGGCAAGCTAGGCTAGAGGATCATTGTACTTAATCCAGACAATGCCACTAAGAACAGAGAAGAAGACTGCAGTTTAAGTAGCAGGGCTGGCCCATCTGCAAATACAATGTAATATGCTTCAATGAACTGACATAAAGGATTTCATGTAGGTATACCATGGGCTGAAATCTCTTTCCACCCCATGAGAGGATCATACAATGTAATTTGTTCTATATTGTTGCGGTATCTGTTTTATGTTCTTGTTGATGTGCAGTTTAACTAATAAGGTATCCTCTGTCACAAGGGCAATTCATTCCCTGGTTTAAAAGCCAGAAACCGAACTTCCTCTCTAACAGAAGTTGACTGAAAAGATAAATGCATGTTAAAAATTAGTCATGACTGCCCACCAACATGAGACCCAATACTTATAGTCCTCGTGAGGTGAATGCCACCATCAGTAAGTAGAAGCCTGTGATTATGTTACAAGCTTAAAGCTTAGAACTTCCTAGAAATATTAATGCATTGGTAAGAATGCTAGAATAACTTCCTCCTTCTGATAAAGCTCTCCTAGTGAGCCCAAGCTCAAGAGCATTTATTATAGATGTGCTGATTACTGGTGATGAGCTCCTCTTAAACCCCCTTAACTACTAAATTCACTAGTTAAATGATGTTGTTTATTAATGCCCCGCCATATCACATGACCATAGGTGACAATTCTAACCCCTCCTTTTTATGCCCTTTAAGCCTACGTCAATAAAAATATACTCAAGGCATGCATTGTGAGAATAAACCTGGGTAAACACTTTATACCGATACATTTTCTTGCAGATACTGAAAAGTCTCGAATTTTACTCTCTGCTGGATGAAATATTCAAAAGGAAGGACTTATTCCCGTCGGTTCTCCCACTGTTCTTATGTGGTCAGCCGATGACCGTGTCTACATTTCCTTCTTACTCAACAGTGGCGCACGTTACCTCTGATTGAAGCGAATCTGTTCGTCAGGTGGCGATTTATAACTGGCCATGGAAGCTGAGAAATATGTGCAAATAATGGACAAGGTTGTGCAGGATAAAGCCAAGCTTGCAAAGGAGGCCGTGAATCATGTCTGTTATTGATATAGCCATTCTTAAACATGTAGCTGACCGCGACGATGCGTACCTATGCGGGATCATTGCAGACCTTGATGGTTCATCCTCTATATGACCAGTAGGATCTGCGCTAATTGGTCTACGTCTGCTAAGGGTACTGGAAGGTGTCGAAGCGCGCAATATCAGGAACACCAATATAGCTGATGGGGCGCTATTAGAAACCAAGTCTCTTCCGGATGCTTAAAAGGAGGCCATGAGCGAAAGAATCCTCAACGTCATAGTGAAATATAAGCATCTTCCAGATAGTAACAAGGACAAGGTATTGAGGGCGGTTTATGAAGTGGTGGTCAAGATGGGAGGTCGGGTTGGCCCTGAGAGCCAGCAGCTGTTGCTGCGTGTAAGTGAGATGATGGCCTGAGCTGAGTGACAGAAATCGAATTTTACACATACCTTAGAGGTGGTTTCTAGTGTGACAAAAGGTGCTTGAGTCAATGCTTACTATATGTTTGATCATGATTTAGCCCTGTCCTTTAACCATAGTCCAGAAATGAGTCTCCTTTGGCTCAGCATATCTTCTATTTCCAGCTGGGATTGTGGATCACTTTAGATTAAACTCAGTGTCATTTAAATATTTCTACTTTTAGACCTCACATAGATGAAGCTAACATCTGAACAAATTCAATCAAGGTGCAATATAGCTTGCTGTAGGTACATGAACACATCCTGTCATGGGAGACATGATCTCACCATTCCAAGATGTTGTGATGGTGAATGACCACTGAGCAACACTAGCAGTTGTAGAAGAAAATTTCCCTTCCTCTTCTCTTCTCTCCTTTCTTCTTCCCTTTATCTTCCCATTGCCAAATCTCAATAAGTAAGTACCGCTGAACAAGCCTACCAATACAGAATGAGTATAGTGATCAGGTCTAGTTGAAATACATTAATCAATGCACTAAAAGGAGCTTCTGGCTCTGATGAAAAGCATCCTAGAAAGGGAAATAGTGATTACTATCTCCCAAGGGACAAGCTGGTTATCAGTAAGGAATGCGTGAGTTCTACTCAAGCAACTCCATTATACTAGTATACTGACTCTCACGCCTGATAGCAGGTAGATGCTTGTGGGCTCTGCAAGAGGACAGGTCATAAGATGGCCAACTGCCCTTATAGAGTGGCCCTTGTCAATCTAGTATGAGTAGCATGTCAACTGTGTAGGATATGTTAGATGAAACTGACTATTCTATGATACATCCAGAACGTCCCTGCCTCTGAAGCCCCGGCACAGGAAGCCCCTCCTCCCTCTGAGCGGCGTAACGCTTATCAGACCCAATTTCCCCCTTGCCCGCGTGACCGTCGACATGCTAACCGGCCTATCGCCCCCGCATCTCCGCGCTGCCCTCGCCAAGAGTGTCCGACGGCTAGAGACCGTCGCAGAGCGATTCGGCAGGCTGGCTGAGAGGAACCAGAGCCCGAGGAGCCGCGGGAGGACATAGAGGAGGAGCCCCAGGAGCGTCTGCAGCGAGAGTGAGAGCAGACAGGAGGACTGAGCCAGGCTATGAGGCAGGACCTTTGTCTTGACTCTCCTGCATACCTGATGGATATGGATGAAGATTGGGGTTCTAAGTAAGATACGCTGGATGCCGACAGCACTGAAACATGTGCCCATAGGATTAGCCTCTGCCTACTGAAACGATGTGCCTGTAGCCTATGCTCCCGCCCATCGGCACTGCAATAATATACCCTTAGTGTCAGCCCCATCATCAGCACTGGAACAATGTGCACTCCGCCAAAATTATGCTAGATAAGTAGGTGGCTGGTGGTCATCTTTGATAACGTCCAGGCCTCCAGTGACAAGCTCATACTTCACTACAGTGCTGGAGTCTAGTAAACAGTTTCCAACCTTTGCTAGCAAAGCCAAGATAAGCTTGCTTTTGTATATAATTTGCGGTACATGAGACTGAGAGGTCCTTTCTGTTAATCATTTTTCCTTCAGTGGTTCGTGGCATTACAGAAAAATTGAGTCCAATGACCCAACGCATATATTTGTGTACATTGAATGCCCTTCTTGTAGAGCACACTTGTATTTTGCTCAACCATTCCATTGTACATGGGCACTTACATTGCCGGATGATACCTCACTTAATAATTTCCTTCAGACTGGATAATAATTATGCTTGGTATTTTCAAGGTATCCAGGACCGACAAATCAGTTCTAGCAGTACATCATAGCCTTTTAGGCGCCGGAACAGATTTACGTTGGTCATATGTCACTGATATTCGTATATTGATGTTGAGTCTTGCCACGACCCCAATTGCAAGGGACTGCACGAGGTGTTCGTTTACCATTTTACCTCTTGACTAAAAAGGCATCTACACAACCGTTTGTAGCGCAGCAGAAATAGTAGCAATGCGATGTTCACAGTATTATAACCAGAACTTATATGCTGCCGGAGTCTTCAGCCAAACGTGGATATCTAGTCTTCATTTTCTGTGGCATCAGAATAGCAATATCAAGCCTTGTAGCACCTCCTACGAAGTATGATTGTCTAAAGGATATGATTTTTATGCCAATTCATTTGCTCTTCTGAACGAACGAGCAACTGAGTTACCGCACTCTTATAAGACCTTGGCCAGAGCCTCGCAAGCTCCATGTTTGTACTATGTGCTTGCCATATGTTGAGTGATGACACCTCGGGCATTTTACACAGACGAAAGTGAATGGCCAGGACCTGAGCCCATCGCTTACCCCTCGCACAAACTCTAGCTGTTGAAAATTTTCTCTTCCTCTTCTCTTCTCTCTCCTTTCTCTCCTCGCCACTGACACAGAAGGATAATTGCTCAACAAGCTATAACTTATCCAATGTCTTCAGAGGTCCAAACTGTCCATCCCGGTCTCGCCGCATCGGTGCATGCGCCCACTGCCGGCTCTGGCTCTGGTGGGAAACGCCCAGATCGCCGGGATGGTGATCGGCGTCCCCCTGACCGTGGCCCAGGCAAGGTGACGAAGAAGAAGAAGGTATGTCCATGGAGCAGCATCTTCCGTGGGAATATACTCACCGGCTTTTGATAATAGGGGAAGAAGTGGTGCCTGGGTTGCAAAAAATGGGGACACACACTGGACAAGTGTCGTGTCTACGGCAATGTTCTCAGCAACCTTGCTCTCTCAACGGTGCGTTTAATTCTCCCAAGCATTACAAACAGTTCAAGCTGTTGGATTGAATCAGACAAGGACCATCGCTGCTGCCCGTAGCGGTGGTCGGAACAGGGTCCTCGCTACTGGAGGTAGCCGCCCTCAGGTCGGTGGTCGCCATCCCCTGGGCCCGCGTCAGGAGCGCCCTCGTATGAACGGCCTCAACTCGAGGGAACGTCGCGAGGCACAGCGGCTGGCAGCAGGGCTGTGGCGGCCACAGCAGCCACAGCAGCAGACGCAGGAGCAGCAGCAGACGTAGGAGCAGCAGCAGACGCAGGAGCAGGTTCCTTCGGAGCAGCCCTTCCAGCCCTCAGCAGCCTTGCCACTGCGGCCGGCTTCTGAGAATGTCAAGCTGACTCCCGATCCTCCTTTCAATTGGGCTGAAGATGTGGATATGGAGGCTGAAAAGAATGCTCAGTGAGAGATTCTTTACTATGACGGCACTGGATAGTGTCCTTGTTACTGCTGAGGGCACCGGATGGTGTCCTCATAAAAAAAAATCCTGCGCAAGTAGGTGCCTGGTTGTCATCTCTGATGGCCGCCGGGCCTCTAGCAATAAGCTCACACCTCACCGTGGTGCTGGAGTCTAGTAACCAGTTTATGACTATAGACTGGTGAAGCTAAGATGAGCTTACTCATGTATATAATTAAAGTCTTTAGTTTGTGCTTGATAAAACATTTCTTACTCTCATAGTATAGTTTTAGAGTCCACACCTCTCATCCATAAAGCTTGTTTGCACCATTTCTCAATTATAAAGTACACCTGTATTTTATTTAATCAATCAATGCCTATTTCGCGTCTTGCTTTAGCAATCTAAGCACCCTGTGGTATCTTCAATCTGCTCATACAACTTCTAATCATTCTTTTCATATTGGTCCGACTACTGGTTTAATAAAGACACACCCCTTATTTTAAGTAGTGTTATCACCCCTTAATCATCTACAGATTTATGAACAGGCATGCCTCTAAAACATTATAAGTTCCTTAAGCTCACTCCAGTAATATAAATAATAATTTTAAGATGCCTGCATGAACCACAGCATATACTTCCTTCCTTAAGGTACCTTAGTCTATCTGGTTTCTTTCAGACCCAGGCGCAAGATCTCCGCCTAAGTACGGAGTAATTATTGGCCAAGAGACAGTTAAAGAATAGCGGGTTACAGTTCAGCAAGAAAAAGAAATGTCTGCCTCAGCTGATCATACTCCATAACTTTTCCATTAGATCTCTGCCCGGAAGGCAATGAGATTCCCACAGACTCACAAGGCATGAAGGCCACGATAAACTGGGTAATTAAGGAATCGATTGTGATAATATGTGTTTGTTTCCTCTAATGTACTGACTAAATTTTCGGTTCGTTCTAGACTCCCTCCCTACCTCGTACTCGGAGTTCGTACCTTAATTTTGAGTTCTGGTACCGTTGGTACTAGTATCTTATTTTCCGGGCCGTCTAACTACTTCTGGTGCGGAGGGGGACCATGTAGTGTTTAAAAGGTGGTCATGTGACTGGACTGAGAGGGAGCCCGGTTTTACGTCATGTCACCATGGAAATGTTTCTACTCTTCTGGGCATCCTAACAGCTGATCAATATCCATCACAACAGAATCAACTTTGAACAAAGCTTACTCAAATTGAACAGCTTACTTCTCATTACGTTGTACCATCAGCTATGTCCAGCTCAAGTGGTCCAGTTCCTCCTTCCAAGGTTGCTGACTTCGTCGAGGCGCCAGATGCTTCTTTCGACGAGCCTGAGCGCGTCGAGCTGATCAACAAGATTGCCAACGCACTAAACGCTTTGAATGAGCCGAAAATAAAAGACTGGACAACTTGTTACGCGTGCTTGTGGCTTGCTGATATAGAGAAACTACGAGCTTTAGTTAATCAAGCTCTCCCGGATAATGGGGAGCATGATGTTCTGAGGATCTATGACAAGTTCTTCCGTGTTGAGGACGAGGGCTGCATAGGTCAAAATTGTTAGCCATCATCCAGCCTCTATCATTATGTACGGCTAACAACATGTTCTATTCAGGGCAACAAAAGAAAGGTAGTGCTCAATCAAGGGCTCTATCTGCTCCGCCAACACCAGCCAAGAATACACCACCACCCTTGTTCTCATCCTCCCCCGCCCTTGGGCGGAGCCCGGGCGATTTGGTATCTGAGCTTCCCACCTCAACTCCACAGCGCCAACGCCTGTCGCTAGGAACATCAGGAAGTCCTAGTGCGTCACACAAAAGAGCAGGGGACCCTCAGAGCACGCCTAAAGGGGCGAAGAAGCTTAAACTAGATACAGCCGTCTGGGAAAGTGTAAGCTATGCCTGGCCGCCAGAATCTGTTGCAACTGCCTTAGCACTAACCACATGGTATCCTAGACTAAGGATCCCCGCTCTCAGGAGGCCGCGGACGAAGTAAGCTATGCCTTCCCACCAGAATCTATTGCAACTGCCTCAGCACTAACCACATGGTATCCTAGTGTAAGAAGCGTGACAAGGCCTGCATTCTTACAAAATTCCACGTGGACTTCTGCCAGTCATGCCATTTGTTCCCATATTGCATGAACAATGAGAATACCCAAGGTGTGAAATGGTTTTTCAGGGCGCTAAGAGATTTCTGGAGTAAGGAAAGGGTGGATGGGTGGAGAAATGCAGTCTATGGAGATGCTACCAAGACTGAAAAGATCCAAAATCTCATAACCCTCAACTATAACGCACATCAGCTCCATACAAAGGCGCTTTTTGCCCTTCAGCCTGTTAACAGGGATGAGGTTCATGGTAAGTGGCTTAAACTTCGGTTCTGGTGGCTGAAAAAACATGACCATTCAGATGGGGTTGAGTTTAGTGTTCGCCCACAACTTCCTGAAGATTTTTGCCCAACAGAATATGCAGTTGCTCTGCATAATATCTATAATAATCTTCCACTTGTCTCTGGTGATTACATCACGCTTGAGACGCATAATCCGGAGACTCATCCCCTCCCTGATACTCGGCTCCTTGACATGCAGTGGATGCTGAATCGTGTGATTGCCTTAAGGGGTGCTGCAGAACCGGAGGAACTGAAGGATGAGTCGGATGAGGACTCAGATGAGGGACTTGGCCTCACCGCCAGGCCCGAGGTGCCTCTGGACTCGAGTTTTTATGGCGAATCATCTCCTCCGTCCTCTATCACTAATATCGCGAGTGACCAGCCCAAGGCTAACCCCGTCATCGCGACGACTGATACAGTCGAACAAGGTCTCATTAAGGAATAGTTTACTATATTCCAACAAGGACTTGTCCTATACATGGCCTCCTACTGGATTGTAGGCCCCTGTATAAGCGCCCTACTGGACAGTAGGCCCGTCTATATAGCACCCTACTGGATTGTAGGCCCTTTATAAGCAGCCTACTGGATAGAAGTAGTTAACACCCTTATTTAATGGGTCCGCAAATCCGGAATCAAATCTGGTGCCGGGGGTTCTCAGCCTCCGGCCTTCAGCGACAAGCTCACACCTCACCGTGGTGCTGAAGTCTAGTAACCTGTCCATTGACGGACAGGCGAAGCTAAGATGAGCTTATTCTTCTTGTAGTCAACCGTAACTTTGTTAGACCATTATCAGACACCGATTTTTACTTTGTTAACTCTCTTTAACAAACATAAAGTAACTCTTGAAGTTTCAAGATTGATATCTACTTATTTACAATGGTACCTACAACCGCTTACACTCACAGCACGGCAGGCCGCGGATCAACTAGACTACGACAACTTGCCGCAGCCAGTCGCGCCTGCTTCAGAAGTTTACATAGGCCTAATCAAGAACTCCGCCCTTGACACTGCCATTCATTCCGAAATCTTTATCTAAGTGAAATAGCGGTCTTTGGACAGTACTACAGACCCTCGGTAGATTGAGGGAGAAGGGGAATACATCCAGCGGACATCAAATCTGAGAACTTTAATTCAGAACCTGTCGATATACTGGAGTTCTCAGATATACTCAGGCATCGTCCTAAAGCTTCAGTGGATAATCCATTCCCATGCCAAATAAGCAGGGCACACTCTCTATGGTTGATGCGGTATTCGGATAACTGCAAAGTTTACCTGGAGCTAGTTCTGATCAGGGACTTCCAATGCAAGAAGGATCACGACTAGAGCCTAAATAGACCGGATCGAGAGTGCTCATTTGAACCAATCCAGAACTGCGCTGGTTCGGAAATTGTACTCAGAATTTACCAGAAAATGCCAGTTGATGATCTTAATGTCTACCACCAGAGAGAACGACATTACCCGAGTTCATGGTGAATTCGTTGTTGTTGGACTGTCGACTCTTTACAACTGGGAGGGAGCTGTTCATGCAGGCGTTGTCAGCCAGTCCGCCGTCCCCGACAACTTACTCCGTAGACCTTGCATTCGGATCAAACCACGGCCGAAAGTCGATGCCTCAGGTGGACGAAGAGACGAAAGGTTTTCAGATTCCTCTATTTTAGGGCAGATAACAACAAAGGATACGCTTAGCCGACAGCAATAATAAAAGAATATGCGGCTTTGACAGATCCTGATGACTACTTGACTTGATTCCCAGACTGCGGCAACACCGATGATTGGGTGGAAAACCTCAGCTCCGTGATTCTCGGGATAACTGCTTCTTCTAGACTAGTGCTCGGCTAAGCTCACCTTGGTCACTTCAACAGTTCAGAAGGCGCTCATTGTGATTGACGGAAAATATCTATCAGTCCATCATCGACATACCAATTAAGCTGTCTGTTGGTTCGTCCAGAATGTTTTCATCACTCAAATCTCGTGCCACGTGGTTCGGCAGCTTCCGGTTTTGACTGCGTCTGAAGGCTTGATGTAGAACCTCGACGTTTCTGGCTCTCCGATTGAGCTGGAAGTACACCGAGCCACTGGAAAAATGCCGGGCTGGGACTATTTCCATGAGCCGGGCCTTGGTCTAGATCCTGCCCGTCTATGGAATACTTGATGGCGATATCGTGAACTAAGTTCGATCCAGTGACGACTTTTCGACAACTCCCATACTGCATGTCTGATGCGTCGCTTATGTTTTCCCCCAACTATGGCGGACGGAGCAGGCGTCGATAGTTCCAAGGGTCGGCGAATTTCTGGCCGTCGGCCCCGGAGGGCTTGCCCTACTCCGTACCTATCAATAGGTCGATAACAGAGCTGGCAGCGATGAGAGGCGTAAACTCTGTTGCGCTGGAATATATAGGAGTAACACATCCTTCTCAGGTCACCACAGCCGTCTCAGGGACAGAATATTCTTACCAAGACAAGAGCCTGAAAATTCGGTCTGTTCAGTAGCGCCAAAATGCGTTTTTGGCACGCCTGGGGCCTGACTGGCTTAGCCAGCCTAGCAGTTGCCCAAAGTGTGACCGTTGGCTCGACTGTAGCATCGACTTCTGCTGCAGTCACTGCCGCCGCTTCTTCGACTGCATCGACTACAACCCTCTCATCTCCGAGTAGGTGGACTTTTTGACTTTTAACGGACATCGGACTGACTGGCTTTTCCATCTAGCCTCATCTTCAATGGTTGTCGTTGCTACCGACAGCTCCGGGCAATTTACTGCAATCGGCGATGCCATCGCGTATGCTCAAAAACAAGGGATTCCCACTGTCACCGTGAAAGCTGGAACTTATACTCAAGCGGTCACTGTCTCTGCCACACCCTCTGTCACCATCCTTGGCGAGACTACCAATGAAGATGACTATGCACAAAATCACGTCACGATATCTGCCGTCAGTCCACTCGTCATCTCCGTCAATCTCCTCGGTATCACATTCAACAACATCAACTTTGTCAACACCGCGACGGGTAGCTATGGGGCGGCCACCATCCGAGGATCAAAGAATGCATTCTACCAATGCCAGTTCGTGTCTGCAGGAAGCCTAGGTATTACAGCCAATCTGGGACTGGGTATTATCGCCAACAGCTATATCGAGGCCCTGGACAAGGTAATCTACAGCTATCCCAGCCTGTACATCTACAACACCACGATCGTACCTGTTGGGTCCAGCGCTCTCCTCGTTTACAGCAAGGGCTACACATCCGGAACCACCCTGTACAACTCGACCGTCGTCTTTGATTCTTGTTCTGTCCAGCAGAAATCTGGCACGAGCAACAAGAACGTCTACTTGGCAGCGGCAAACAATGGCGGTGGATCTGTCGTCGTTTTCCGGAACACGTACCTCGCGGGTCTGATTGCTCCGAGTGGTGTGCATGTCGACACGGCCACTCAGAACACCCTCAATTTCTATGGCGAATACGGGACTACAGGAGCGGGGTCTTACTCCAGCAATCAGGCCTCGCGTTCGCAATACATGTCTCAGATGAGTGCGTCGGACCTGACCGGATTTTCCATAGACCAGGTATTTGCCGGTGTATATCCGCAATTTGCGTCTTCGTTTACCAACTGGATACACTCGGATGTCCTGGAAGACATTGTAAACTCGGACGTGATTCAGAGTTCATCGTCAGCCGTGCCCACATCGTCCGCCGTTGCCACGTCGACTGTAGTGGCTACATCGACTGCGGCATTGACATCTTCCACCACTTCTTCTGCGACGTCTACCGCACCCACGCCGTCCTCCACACTGGTTGTCTCCCAGAATCCCACTGCTAGTCAGTACGCCAATGTCAGCCAGGCGATCGCAGCTCTGCCTAATGATGGCCAGGCATACACAATCTACATCAAGGCCGGAACCTATACCGAGCAGATCTCCATCACACGCGCAGGCAAGGTTACTCTTCGTGGTGAAACCTCCTTTGAGAATGATTACACTCAAAACCTGGTTACTATCCAGTTTTCTTACGGTGTCCTGACCAGCGCTGGTCAAAATGAAAACACCCCGGTTATCTATTCAAAGAAGACGGACGGCTCCGGTCTCGCGCTGTACAACATCAACTTTGTTAACACATACCCGCAGACCAAGAACACCGCTGCCCTGGCTGCAGACTTTTACGGTTCGAACATGGCAGCATACGGTTGTTCCTTCGTCGGTTACCAAGATACCCTGCTGGCGAACAAAGGCACGCAAGTTTTCTCGAACTGCTACATCGAGGGATCGGTCGATTTCATCTGGGGTTTCTCGACTGCCTATTTCCACCAGTGCTACATCGCATCGAATACCGCAGGCGCGTACATCGCCGCCCAAAGTCGATCCTCTTCCACTGCCGCTGGAGGATACGTCTTTGACAGTTGCTATGTGACCTATACCAACACCTACGGTACCACTTTTGGTCAAACGTACCTCGGCAGACCTTACTCCCAGTACAGTATTGCCGTTTACATGAACTCCTACCTGGACAAGCACATCAACAGCGCTGGATGGAGCATCTGGTCTACTAGCGCACCCCAAACTGACCACGTCACCTTTGGAGAGTACAACAACTCGGGTCCTGGAGCATGGTCGTCCGGCCGTGCCTCATTTGCAACCAATCTCACTGCAGATGCTGCCAGCGCGTACACACTCTCGTCCTGGATTGGGGATACAACCTGGTTGGACATGACAGCGTATAACTATGTTCCTTCCTATAGCCTTACTGGACCATCTACCAGCCCAAACACGACCTCTACAACTCCTACCTCTACTGCTACCCCCTCCTCCACCGCAACTGCAACGTGGGGCCATCCAACCAGCGGAACCACTCCCCCAGCAGGCGCGGTCAGTGTCTCTCAAGGAGGCTCAGTGAACGGGTCGTATAGCAATTTGACGGCTGCATTGGCTGCTCTACCCAACGATGCTTCGACACAGGTTATCTTCATGTATCCTGGCACCTACACTGAGCAGGTCCCGTCGATCAACAGGAATGGGCCCGTTCAGATCATCGGTTACCAGTCTGGGAACCCTGGTGAAACCTACAGCACCAACCAAGTTACTATCACTTTTGCACGCGGCTTGTCTGTGTCTCCTCTTCCAACAGGTCACTCCGACGCCGAGACGTCAACCCTGTCGACCGCCAGCAACAAGATTGCGCTGTACAACATCAACATCATCAACAGCGATAACTTAGATGGATCGCAGTCGTCCTATGTAACACTAGCCGCATCGATATATGGCTCGCAAATCGGCTTCTATGGCTGTACCTTCATCGGTTGGCAAGATACCCTCTTGACGGGCAGTACAGCCGGCTATCAGTACTACGAATCATGCTATATCGAGGGCGCAATTGATTTCATCTGGGGATACTCCAAGGCCTATTTCAAGGGATGCACCATCGGCGCCAAACGGGCCAAATCAGCCATTACAGCGCAGAGTCGAGCATCCTCTTCTGCCATCGGTGGCTACATCTTCGACGAGTGCACATTTGAGGCCGCTCCGGATGCAACGGTCGATCTCACCCAGAGCGTGTACCTTGGTCGTCCGTACTCGGCGTATGCTCTGGTTGTCGTCAAGAATTCGTACCTGAGTGATATCATCCAGCCCTCTGGATGGAAGATCTGGAGTACCACCGACCCCCGTACGGACCACATCACATTCGCCGAGTTCAACAATTCAGGGCCGGGTAACTGGGAGAATAATGCGGCTGCTCGACAGGCTTTTGGCAACTGTACTCTGCTTACCTCGGACACTTACACGCTTGAAGCAGTGATGGGTTCGACTGACTGGATTGATCTGACATATTGGGACGCTGTTACCATCCCGACGGGGACCCCGACCACTACAGCTACAGCGATCGCTACCCCTGTTGTTTGTCCGACTCCGTATGATGGAACTGTTCCTCCTGTTGGAGCGTACATTGTGTCGAAGACGGCGATTGAAAATGTGACTACGTACGACACTATCCAGAGTGCGCTCAATGCCCTGCCCACTTCAAGTAAAGTGGCCCCTACAGTATTCATCTACCCAGGTATCTACGAAGAGCAGCTTGTGCTCAATCGTTCTGGAACCACGATTTTCATTGGCTACTCGACCTCGACCTTCGACTACAACAGCAACCAGGTCACTATCCAGTACAACGCCGGGGTCGATACCCAGGCTGACCAGTCCAACTCGGATAGTGCCACTGTTTATGCCACCGGCAACTACTTCCAGGCCATCAACATCAACTTTGTCAACAACTTTGGCACCGCTAAGAACTATGCATCGCTCGGCTTCGCAGTCAAGTCAAGCAAGTACGCCTCTCTGTACGGCTGCCAGGTGAAGGGGAACCAGGATGCACTCCTAATCAATGGATATCTGTTCGCCAGCAACAGCTACATCGAGGGAAACATCGATATGATCTGGGGATCGGGGCTGGGTACTTCCTCAAGTCGACGATTGCACCTAATGAGGATGGCATCAATCTGACTGCCAATAAGCGGTCTACGAATACTACCGCCGCTGGGTTCGTCTTCGACCAGTGTACCATCGTTCCCTCTACGGGTGCTGGGACGATGTCCGATATCTCGCTCGGCAGGCCATGGAACTCATTTGCTCGGGTGGCCTATGTGGATTCATACCTTGACTCGTGTGTGACGGCGGCTGGATGGGAGCAGTGCTCGTCAAGTACTCCAAACACCGACGGGGTGCTATTCGGAGAGTACGGCAACTATGGGCCTGGGGCGTCGACTGCTCAGCGCGCCTCGTTTGCAAGCCAGTTGAGCGATAGCGGCGTTTCTCAGTTCCAGCTGTCGAGTTTCTTTGCTGTTACATCTTGGATTGATTTCGCTCATGTCAGTGGAACTCCGTTCGTGCCTGGAATTGCAATCAGCACAAGTGCGCCTGTGAGTTCAGCGACGCCGACTTCGAGTGTCGTTGTTACACCTTCGACCGTGACGACTACCGTGACCGTGACGGATGAGGAGACTCTGTACACGACTTTGACTTCTACCGACAAGACATCCACGGCCAAGTATACCGTCACGGAAGATGTGGGTACAACGCTGACTGCGGCTGAGTCTTTCAAGACAACGACGCAGAAGACTACCATCACGGACACGGTTATTGTCACTGAGCCAACGGTGATGAGCACGAAGAAGGTCGTCATCACTAGTGATGTCGGTCTCACCGTCACGCCGGCTCCAAGCACGAGTACGAGCACGTTAAAGCAAACTACCACTGTGATTGCAACAACTACCCAGGCATCATCTACTGTCACCGTGAAGAGCACATTGACCTCTTCCATGACCACCACAGTGACGGCCAAAGCAGTAACGACAACTTCGACTGCAGAGAGCACAACGACCGTTATCACCACATCCACGCCAGGAACAGTCAAGGTAACTTCGACTGTCACTATCACTACGGGTACTGGCGGCACCACCACTATCACGGCTAAGGCTACCACAAGCACCGTCAGCGTCACCTCCACAGTCTCCAAGGCTAAGACCGTCACAACTACGATTGCCTGCGTTCCAGCTGCAAAGATGAAGCGCAGTGTGGTACCTCGCGCTGTTGCGACTACTGTCACCGACTACACCACGCTCACAACAATCGTCAAGACATCCACCGTCAAGCTTCCTGCATCAACTGATATTGTCACTGTGGTCACCACCAAGACAACCGGAAAGACGACGACAATCCCAGCGTCAACTAGCACCATTACCGTGGTGTCGACGGTGACGAAAGGCACCACCAGCACCATCCCAGCGGTAACCAGCTATGTCACGCAAACCAGTATCTCCACCATCGGAAAGACTACCACCCTTAAGGCCTCTACCACGACCGTGACCGTCACCTCGCTCGCAACGAAGACATCAACTACCACAGTGGTTGGTGCAACTCAGACAGTAACCAGTCTCAAGACAACAACAATCGGATCGACCGTGTCACTTCCGCGAAGCACTCTCACCGCGACCAAATCGGCCGTCTCGACGATCCATTCGACGGTCACGCTCGCAACTCCTACCAGCACGGTTGTGAAGACGACAACATATAGTCTTAAGCCTTCGGCGACCGTTACTTCTCGGGCCACGAGCACCAAGACGACAACGGTAAAGAAGACAATCACGCAGACGCAGACAGTGACTAAAACATCCAAGGGGGCTGGAACCTGTCCTACCAACTAATTGACCTCATCTTACTTCCTTTATCAGTGTTTCATCCACTCAAGTGTCAACTTGCATTTAAATATACACATTAATCATACAACTCATAAACAAACAATCACAACTCCGCTGCTCTTCACGACAGACATCCCGGTAAAAATCGAGTAGATCAAGGAGGCAACTGACTCTTCGACTCCTCGGGGAACTTCCTAAACAAATCCGCCAGATGATCAATTGGCGCAGCCATCAACCCAGCCACAGTCTCAAACGGCGGCTTGTCAGGCGCACTGGGGTGGCTCCGCGTGGGGATAAACTTCTTGGTCCGCATGAACTTCTTCGTCTGCTTCTCCGAGTCATCCTTGTCAAGGGTCTTCTCCAGCGAAGGCAGATCCTCGGCCTCTTCCTCTTTGATGTGCTGGCTTAGATTGTTCCAGAGGGATCGGAGCGTGGGCTCGAACTCGGGGTCTTCGGCGGAGAGGCCCTGGAATTTGTAGAGGTGTTCTTTGACCTGTTCCATGTCAGTAAGGTACGTTGTGTTGAAAGAGGGGGAGGGAAAAGGCGTACAGTCTGATGCTCCGCGCGGTCCTTATCGGCCATTTCCTTCCCTTTGGGAAGGTTCTTCTCCATGAGCGGGTAGACGATCAGCTCCTCACCGATGGAGTGGCGGGCGAGTTCCCATGTGAACTGGTTCTGCCAGCGGGTTTTCTCATCGGAGGTTTTGGCGGAGAGGATCTTGTTGTAGGCGTCTTCGAGCTCGCGGTGGTCGTCTTTGATTGCGTCTGCGAGGCGAGTCATGGTGGGCGAGGTGATTGCGAAGGTGCGGTTCTGGATAAGTTTGGATGTGATGGGTGTGAGTGTGGATGGTCTGAGGGTGAGAGTTGTTCTGGAGGCGAGGCAGCGGGGGAACATGGTTAAGTTATAGATATGTTGCAGGCTGTGCTAAGATGAGGGGTTGAGTCTGTTGTAGCAGTACTTTTATATACTTTGTTGTGGATGCGAGTGTATAGTTCGTAAGGTAGCTTGGGGGAGATCATTCTCCACATGCCCCACAGTTGAGGGTTGGCCAATCACACAGCGAGAATTACCAAGAATGAGCATGAAATTAATGTCATGTTCACGTCATGTTCTAGACTTGTCGGTATGGTTGCATTCCTTTCTTGAATTATCCTGATCCATTGATTAAGAGCGCTGTTCACAGTGACGTACACACATTTCTGCCTTGAAATCATGAGTACAGATCAAGGAGTGTTCTTGTGGCCTTGGAATGATACGCAAGTATGAGCTATGCCAACAAATGAACTTGCATGATAGGTGCGGAAAACTGTCAGTGTCATTGACATAGCTTGTTTTGTTATTAATACCTAGCACCTGATTCGAGCATTCCTACAACTGGTGCCAGGGTACTATGACCGCCTCGTGATGCAAACAACGGAATAGAATCAAGATATTCCCAGCATTGATCGAGATCGAGATCGAGGACTAATATTGGCGAAATTGGCAAACATTAGCTGTATACGATCAGATCATGCAACCAAGACGATATATTTCCTTGCTTGAACTTTTACCATAGGTGACGTCTAGAGCAGAGACCTGTTCATCTGGCTCAGAGGAACCTCTCCCAATAGATCCAATGGTGTGAAGCAACTTCTCACTAGACGTCTTGGTAGACACACAAGCTTAGATTGGGTAATCTCACATATCCCCAGTACGAGTGCCCAGTGACGCATCGTCTTGAGACAGCCATCTATCATGACCGACAAGTACTTGCAGACAATCAGCGGTGCTCTGGACTGCGTTAGGTTTAGTATAGTGATGATGTTGGTAGCATTGTGGCCTCATGTCACTATTGTACAAGAGTGATGGGATATACATTCTAACACTCTAGCGTCTGATTGGGACACACGAGGGTCCAGAAAAACCTGTGGTTTCTGCGATATTTTGTTCTAGAAAACACGATAGCCCTTTACCCTTTGCGGACGAGTCTGCGAGGGATTTGGAACATTCATGACAAACTCATCTCCAGAATATAATTATTCTCTCATTCCTAAGCAGTCACACCCTCGGTCTCTACTACCCTCACCACATAATTGGCCATGCTCGCTTTATCATTCGTCAAATCCGTCGAGGTCTGCTGAAGTCCCTAAGACCGCCGTGTACAGCCTGATGAGGATACGGCTGGAACCAACCCATCCAGAGGGCCTTGGCGATGTATTTAAAAGGATCAATGTCCTTCTGGTCGGTATGAACACAGCAATATCCGTTGGCTTTGTTGATACTGGCAGAAAGCGCATCATCCTCCACAGGCAAAACAACGGCCACTTTTCCGCCGTGCGATACCACCATTCCGAGATTATTAATGCTACTGCCCTTGCTAACGCCTTCAAACGCATGCAAGAGCCGCTTCTCCCACCTTGAGACTCTGGTATTCTTGATCTGGTGGGCAATGGACTGGTCGCTATGTGGTAGTCGATCATGGCATCGCTCTTGGACTGGTCGATTAGAGTCTCCTCGAATGAGATGCTACGTCTCGCGGCGGTGATGATAGGGTGAATATTGCTCTTGACAGCCATTTGAATAGCAAAGGCCCCGACTGCTATAGATAGCCGGCGCGATACGGGAGTAGCTGGATGGCATGGTTCAGGCAGGCCAAGTGGTGATATAATGCACCAGAATTTGCTATGCAGACAGCTCTTGGGACGCAATGTCTTTGACTCCTCCACAGGATCACCTGTTATCTGAGCAGGCTTATTGTGTTCATATTCCTATTTGCTTTGCAACAATGAAGTCTCTTCCGCCAAACTCGTCAAGCACCCCAACTTATTTGTTGACGAGTCCGACTTATGAAGGAGATGTGGTAGCAGATATCAATGGAACACTGCAGCATACATATCCCAGGCTGGAAAGGTGTCATCTGCAGAGATAGAATCTATGTAAGCTTACCTATAGCCTATACTACGGCGCCAGCTGCAAGTATCATTCTAGCAAGTCTACCATCAGCAATAAAAAAGTGGAGGATGCACAGCTTGCTGATACTAGTATTTCTCAACATACTGAGCTCATTCTCTGGATTACACTACACAATGGTATACTCGCGCTTTCATAGGCAAGCAACTTGACTGCTGAGTTAACACCTTGGATCTGATCAATCGATTCACAGTTATCCCAGATCTCCGATGGGACCTTTGTGGAAACTGAAGCAAAGATGGTATTCACATAGCATTCTGCGAAGGAGCGTAACAGATCACTCATGAGAAACATGCAACCTTTATGTTGAACGGGGCAAAGTTAGCCTTTTGGCTTCCCTTGCACAATTATTCAACAAGAAGATAACTATACCTGGAGCGTATCCTAGTTCTCTTGCACTTCGGCGGGAGGAGTCGTCCACCGATACCAACAGCATGATGGCTTCGGGGCATACTATGTCAGCACTTCAACTAGTTGACATAAAGCTGGAGGAATGCGCACCGCGCAACCGCAGATCCCACAGGACGGTCCTACGTGTCCACACTCGACGCAAAACTTGCAATCAGAGCACTAAACGCTTAGCTGTAGATTCAGAAAGACGGCCGAAATACTTACAGACATGCATCCGCCAGAGCTATCCGAACGCGAGTCGATTATAGGGAGTGTCCGAGCAGCTACCATGGTGGAGGTTGCTAGGACGAGTAGGACACTGATAAGACGCATTTTGGAGATAGAATGTCAAAGGATTCGAAGGATCAACAAAGAGAGAGAATGCGATCCTTCGGAAATCTGGGCGATGCAAGGGGGGAACAAAGCTATACTAATATGCGAACTGATGCCGCCGTCACAGACAAGGATGATAGCTGGGTTACAGATTATGCAGCATACTCTAAATATTTCCACAATGAATGCGGCATGGCGAGTTATGCTGTGCGCCACTGCTGTCGATCGACAACATGGATAGGGCATTAAGTGCGGGAATATTTTCCAGACAAGAGTGATCTACACAGTACATTCGCTCTTAATTAGCGGAGCCGTCAAGGAAGTATGCCCTTGGACATATAACCACGATAGGCAGGTCGTATCAGGCTAACCGTACTAGCGCCTCATGCTGGCTAAGCTTTACCTATTCATATGGGAGGTATTTAGTTGTAGAGCACCAAATAATCTGACAATTATAAGGCTCTATGAAACACACAATAGAGCACAGTGTTGCCGCCCTTGCAACACTGCATGTATCATCGAACCTCTTAGGGGAATGTTCAAGAGATACAAAGATCAGATAATAGCAGTACATTGAGAAGTCCGTATGTTTCAAAGTTAGTCTGACTGAGCTGCAGCTTTATGCAAAGCTATAGAAAATGCTAGAAATGCTCTAGGTCTAGATCTCACAGTAGATCAATGTCCCACCAAAGCCTGATGCTGAGGCCCGTACCTATTCCCCTGGGGCTTTGCTACATCAATGATTCTCCGCATCTCCTGTTTCTCCTCCTCGGTCAATTCAATCTCCCTAGACGCCCAATTCTGCTCGAGCCGGCTAGCCTTGGTCGTACCGGGGATTGCAATGAACCCCTGCGACGCGACCCAGGCCAGCGCAATCTGACTAGTCATGCAGTTCTTCCGAGCCGCGAGCTTCTTGATCTCCTCCACGATTGCGCGGTTCTTGTAGAAGTTCTCGCCTTGGAATTTGGGGCCTAGATCATCAGCGTTAGCAAACGTAGGTGCGTTAGGTCCGGCGGGGTAACCTACTCCCCCTGCGGAAATCATCCGGGGCAAAGTCATCAGGAGATTTGTATTTGAAGTCGTCGACGAGCCAGCCATGCCCTAGAGGACTGTAGGCGACATAAGCCACCCCTAGCTCTCTACAAGTGTCGATGAGACCGTCAGTCTCGTGAATGGTCTCGAAGGCAGAATACTCCGCCTGCACGGCATCGATCTTGGCGACTGTCATCTGTTAGTAAGATATGATGACAAAAAAGGAATGAAAATCTCACTGGAATTGGCCTTGCGCAGTGTTGCAGCAGAACATTCCGAGAGACCGATATACTTGGTCTTGCCGGCCTTGCGGATCTCGTCGAGTGCAGGAATGGACTCCTCGAGTGGTGTTTCTGCCTCATTAGTATCTTTCAGAGTTTAAGCGTGATGATGACGTACTAGGATCGATCCGGTGCAGGTAGTAGAGGTCAGGCGCGAAGCCAAGTCGCTCAATGGTACCGTCGATGTACTCCTTGATATGAGCAGGGGAATTGGTGACGGAGCGATCGCCAAAGACGTCAAAGCCGCATTTCGAAGCAACTAAAAGGCTCTGTTAACTCATGCAGACTGGACAGGCAACAAGAGTGACTTACTGAAGACCTTGTCCCGGACATTGTGTTTCCGGATGAAATCTCCGAGCAGCTTTTCGTTTACACCAGCTTGGTAGACGACCTTGCTTGACATGTTAGACTTCTTGCCTGAAGGTCGGAGGACTGGCGCTCACAGCAGTGTCCCAAAAGGTACATCCTAGTTCAATCGCTTTCATCAGAACGGGTTCCGCTTCTTCGAAAGAGAGATTGGAGCCCAAGCCGAAGCTTAAGCCCATGGCACCGAAGCCGGGTGAAGGCACTTGGATATCGCCGAAGGGGAGTGTTTTGACCATTGTGCTTCCAGGAGAAATAGTATCAGGGGGTTGTGGTTGCAGTTGATTCACGATTTTGATCTACTTGCTTTCTGTTCATGTCGGTAGCGGCGATGGATGAATATATACCTCGTTGCGGAGCGCTCGTCATTGCGGTGCACAAAGATTGGCATATTGGTAGAATATTCTGTGACATCATACACTGGATATCATTTAACCAATCGCCTGGCTAATCTCCGGGGAATTAGAGAGCTCTGATAGCCATCTGATAGTAATTTCTTTGAGCCTATGTTCTTAAAACCGATACACCCGAAACTCCGATAGTGCTGACTCGGGATGTGGGTCAAAGGATCTGATGAGGGTTTCGGAGAAACACTCCTCTTCAAAGTGCATACTATTGGTTAACTGAAACAGTGAATTTGTTGCCAACCTGCTAACCTGGCTGATCACCTATGTGGTTTGACATATACCAAACCCCTCAGCGAAAAAGGTGTCCAGACAACCATCTCTAACTAGTACGGATGGCAGCAGTGGGTCAACACAGCAAGGATACAACATGATTCATAGTGGAGATTCGTTTCTCTCGCTTCTCCTCCTATACACATCTCTCCACATGCACTCTACACTACTCCATCGCCTGAAATGCTCTATACTTCTGGATTTTGATTGGTCAATTAGGCCGTGGATGCATGATGCTCTTTGGAGGATGGGTAAAATCACGTGCTTATGTATTATGTAATAGGGTGGGATTGTACAAAGCACGTGATCAGGCCCCCTGGCCAATGGAACACCCCTTGCTTTTCGAGTCTCAATTGAGACTGAGAGTCTCCTCAGACATAATGAGCAGATCAATCGAGTTTCTTAAAATATACTCATCACTGAGTATGGACTGCGCTTGCTACCCTGCAGGACCGAGGGTGCTCAGCCATCCGTCATCATTGCATAGCCACAGTCTTCCTTCTCTTGTAAAATGCTCGTATAAGTGTGGCTGAGGCCCATATTTCTCACAGCTGCCTGGCCTTACCCCTCAGGTTGACTCAGATCATCAACAAAACCGCTCGGTTTCCAATAATTGTTTGGCTATTACTTGGATGCTCAGGCAGAGTCCGAATTGTCCCTCAAACATGAAAACTCCGACAGTACAGTCTAGGATCAAAGGATCTATCTTTGGCGTGGCAGTCGTTGATGCCCTCGGTGGGCCGGTAGAGTTCCAGCCACGGGGAAGCTTCCCGCCAGTAACTCACTTCATGCACAATGATACCTTTGATGTTCCACCAGGGTCAGCATCATCACATGTCCATACCATTCGCTCTGAAACTGATCAAGGAATAACGCAGCACATGGACTGACGACACATCCATGACCCTATGTCTTGCCCAGTCCCTCATCGCCTCAAAAGGCAATTTCATCCCTCAGGCTGCAATCCGCAACTATATCAAGTGGCACGAGAATGGATACTTATCAGCTACTGATGAATGCTTCGATATTGGGTCCGGAACCAGACAAGCATTGATGATCTGGAGACACTACTTTGACAGATCGCCTCATATTCGCGAAGATGACCCGAATGGTCACGAGGGCGGACAGCCTGAAATTGACAGAGCCTTGAAGCGCGAAGTAAGTGCATGGTCCAAGAGACAAAGGATACAATACTGATAGTGGTAGGTGTTTTGTGGAAACGGGTCCCTTATGCGCGTTGCACCCATTGGGCTGGTGTATTTGCGGGACATGGACAGAGCATTGTCCAACGCTGCCCTTTCCTCAAATGCTACTCATCCTTACCCCACATGTGCCGAGTGCTGCCAGATCTACACCAGACTTCTTGTGCGCGCTGTGAATGGCGCTAGTAAGGAAGATCTTGCAAATGAGTTCGCTAGGATAGAGTTTACAGATGTTAAGGTGAAGCAACGGCTTGATCGCTATTCAAGTCTTGTCGATTGGGAGAGCACGGATGAAGATGATATCAAATCATCGGGATACGTTCTTTCCACGCTCGAGGCTGCTCTGTGGGCTTTCTTTACCTCAAGCACCTTTCAAAGCGGAGCTGTCAAGGTCGTAAACCTGGGCAATGATGCAGATACTGTGGGGGCGGTATATGGAGGGCTCGCTGGAGCATATTATGGGGTCGAAGATATACCAGCTGAGTGGATTGCGGGCCTGCAAAAGAAAGATGTTGTTGAAGAAATCGCATCCGGTCTGTGTTCCCTTAGTTAGTGCTGTTGCTTATCCCCTTATTTAAATGCCAGTCCAAAGCTCGTGACAAATAGATAAGGCAGAATCTACCCGCGGATGCTAGTCGTTCATATGGAAGAAAAGCAGGAATCGATCTCTGACAAGAAGCGGAGATCTCTTTTCGCCCACTGCATTTACTCAATGTGAATCTCAACACTGCCGCATCGTCGCATTCTAGATATATATTTCCGCTCCGCATCTCTCAGCTGACAAGACTCGTCGCGTCATACTCGCTACTCCTCCCAATGTAGAGCGCAAAAGGCTATTCAGCTACATCTCTCTAAGTAGATAGATACTGTTGCAGTCGGAGCTCGAAAGCTGTAGAAGTGTTTCTGACGTTCAACACGTGTTCAGGGGCCCAAGGAGTCTGCAGCTCGTATTAAGAACAAGTGTCTAAAATACAGACAGAAAGCGTAGAACAGAATACGAGGTGGACATTCCATCAGTGATCCGTGATAAAGGAAAGACCATTCCCGTCGAGATCCATTCCTATCCTTCTCCTTCGTGAGTGCACAAGTCAACCCCTTCTTTCCCTCTACAATATTAATAATGATTAGCTAGACAGGCCGGGAGATATCTACCGCCTCAGCCTCGCCAACAAAGCGCTGTACAACCTATTGCAAGACCCCTTATACAGACGACTCCTCCAACCCGGTTCCAGCCGTCACAATGGCACGAGGATTTGAGTAAAGTTCGTCATGGATCCTGTATGCAGGATTAATTCGTACTTAGCCAATTGAACGCAGGTTTGTTCCCGGATAGCCCTAACATTACCCCTCATCATGGCGCCGGCTTGAGGCGGGGACCTTGTGAAGTCCGAAACACCCCACCTCCGTTGTCGGATGTATCCCAGTCTTCGAGTCTTCCACTCCTGACCCTCCCGCTGGAAGATTAATGCTTGAAGCTGATCTAAAATCATCTCCCTGATCATTGCAACATGCTTTCTGCCCGAGGGGAAACATATGCCAAGGCTGGCTTGGCTAATAGCTACCTGGCACCCAAGACCCCCTTCGACAAAGATAACAAGCAGGGTGTGGTGTCTTTCCTTAATGCAGAGAATGTACCCAGCTCCTCACTGAGATCCTAAACATGGATGCGTATATATTAACTGACGAGGTGGTAGTTCCTGATGCACGATGTAATGCTTGAATACATCCGCACACAGGTGAAGCGTTGGACTACCCACTATAGAGAACAGAGGTTGGCTAAGCAAGTGTAAACAGGTAGCATCCAGCGTCAACCACTCGGATCTCACCTACCATGAAGGCCCCTTTGGCTCAAGGCGTCTCCGAGCAGCCATGGCCAGTCACATTACTACGTACTTCCACCCCACTACGCCAATCTCGCCTGATCACATCATTTTCGCAAATGGCGTGACAAGCCTGAACGCGCTCTGTGCTCTCAGTCTAACCGACCCGGCGACGGGATTCTCCTGGGTCAACCTATCTACGGCTCCTTCAACGGAGATCTCCGCGTGCCATCCAGCTGCCAACTAATCTACACCCCCTTCCACGGGGACGATCAATTCAGCCCAGACGCCGTGGCTCGGTACGAGGAAGCCTTCCTGCAAGCGCGAGAGACCGGGGTAACAATCCGGGCCCTTCTGATCTGCAACCCGCACAATCCGCTCGGCAGATGCTACCCGCGCGAGGCCTTAGAGGCGCTACTGCGGTTCTGCCAAAAGTACCATATCCATCTCATCAGCGACGAAGTGTACGCGCTATCAGTGTACGGGGATGATGACTCAACCGATGGCTTTGTTTCTATTCTGTCGATCGACCTCGTCCCGCTCGGGGTTGACCCGGCCCTGATACATGTGCTGTACGGCATGTCGAAAGATTTCGCGGCATCGGGGTTACGGCTGGGATGTTTAATCAGCCAGAATCAGAAGTTCTTACAGGCGGTTTTGTCGATGAGGTAAAGTGGATGCCCGTTCATTCATGTTATGTAGCAACGGTCTCACTCCTTCGTGTGGATGCAGTCGATTCCACTGGCCTTCGCATATATCATGCAGCATCGCCACTGCTATTCTCGAGGATCAAGGCTTTGTGGAGGCCTTTATTCACAAAAGCCGCCGATTTCTTCGCTCGCAGCGGGATTTGGCGACACGAGTCTTGGAGGAGGCGGGGATCCCTTATACGCAGGGCGGGTAAGTCTTCCTCTGTCCCTCAACTTACAGGTCTCCAAGACAGTGATAGTAAGAAATTAATGTCTGTAGTATCGCGGGCTTTTTCCTCTGGATAGACTTGTCCAAGTGCTTGGATAAGGCGATTGTTGCTAGTCAAGATGGGTGGGCTGCAGAGTTGGATCTGTCCCGCCGGCTGCAACAGATTGGGGTGGAGATGTCGACTGGGTATGCCTATCATAATGAGGTGCCAGGCTGGTTCCGCGTCATCTTCTCACTAGATGAGGAGAGCCTGAAAGAGGGCTTGTCAAGGTAGGTTGCATTTGATTCCACGTTCATATGGAGGGCGGTTAGGTACTAAAGGCTTTCGCAGGATTATCAAGTTCTATCACAGCTCTGGCGGATCACCTTAGAAGAGTTTCGGGAGTCTCCTCTTGTCTACTCAGTTTAGTTATTCCATTCCCTTCTGTGTCTCTGTCGGTCATGTCTTGGCATATACGTCCAGTTGTGGCTTCAGTTCTTCCCGTGGCTACCTTGTTTACGCTGCATATGAGCCTGCGTGATCACCTATCTAGCACATACGACCATACGGTGTGGAAAACAGGGCTTCCCATCCACTCAGCCGTAATTAAGCCCATTATTAACGTGGTAAATTCTTAAAAAGCCTTCGTCTCCTATAAAAGCAGCCTTATATTCTTAGTATGGGTGCTAATAACGTGGGTGAGGACTTTATTACTCCTCATCACCACTCTAAGTAATAGCTCACAAGTGGTGATAAGGGGTGGTAATAAGGCCTTATAAGTGGTAATAGAAGATAACTTTACCAAGCAAAATACATGCTATGGAAAAAATACCGCCTGTTACTTTTGACAACAATGTGGAGTTGAACAGACACTTGACAGACTGCAAAAGAATAGACGCCAATCAAATGGCAGTATCTGCCACACCGAGTCGAGATCATCAATCATTTAGAGCTACACACTATACAGTTCCCTTCTCTTTTTATAAATACCCTTTTTATCTGGCCAGAAGTACTCTATGGCCGTGTCAAGTACGTAGGGTTCAGCCAATGACCGGAGCACGCTAGTCCATGGACTATCCAACACCAGGGCGGAAGTTGAACAACTGTAGCTTAATAATAAAGTCAAACAAAGATTAGATAGTTAGTCATTTGAAATTAGGCAGAATGGGGCGGAGCAGCTAAAATTCTCCGTGAAATCGTTCCAACTGTGCTCAAATGGCTCAAGAACACGTCAACCCCGCGGACTCCCAGTTCTTTTCGAAAGGAGGGTTATCCCTACTCCTTCGAAGTTGTCACGACTGTAACCGAAGGAAGGTCCTATGTTGGGCTTGAGTGTACATTCTCACCACCTGGGCGCAGGCCTCCGAAAGGACCAAGAAAGTCCAACAAGGCGGAGTTGATCTCGCGACTGAGTCTCTTGGAACTGAAAGTCGAGGAACTCAGCGCACAAAGCGTTGCTGAACTTGCCTCTGCAGACATTCAGGAAGGTCCAGAGAGCAGCCACAACGCAGGTTCGTGGCCTTCAAAGTCTTGTGGGAGATGTCATCGTCGTCCCGTTGGCATTTGTTCCTTTACATATGGATCCTGTTACTCGCGAGCACTTAACGGAGTCGGTGCTTGAATTGGTTGAGGAGATTTTGCTTGGACATTTCACAGTTACAATATTGATGTATCCTTATAATATTGGATCGCATTCAAGATTATTGACGGATCAAGACTACGCGTAACTTCCATAAGAGTAAGACTACTGCTGTAGCCACTGCTGTTGTACTCCTTGAGAGTAAATGCTCCAAAATCGCACTAGAGATTTCGAGGGACTAACAAAAATGGGCCCATACTTGCGAGGTTGGTAAGATCTATGAACAGAGATACTCCATTAGGGCTACATATGGAGGTACTGTCTCTTTTGTGAACATTATGTCCTGTGTACTCCGGTAGAGGCAAGTGTAGGTTGTAATCGACATGATTAATTCTTGCCATACAAGGGTTGATAGCATTGCATCATTAAATATCAATCTGAGATACAAGTATTGTCGGACAGTCATTCTTTTTTTCTCTTTTACCACTTCTCCGAATACGGCCTGAGGTCTATTTCATGGGTAAATGAAGTCCTGGGCTGGGTGTGCAAAAACCAGTATGATTCCGCAATCTGGTGAACGCAATGATCAGTACAAGGACTGTTTGTTGCCCCAGGGACTGCTTATACACTTACCCATTTGGGATCAATTTTCGAATCGGGGATTTCTTGACCGTAACCCTTAGTCTTCTCAGTATCAATGATCCCGTCAATGATAGCATGGGACACATGAACGCCCTTGGGCCCGAATTCACGCGCGAGAGACTGGGACAGAGCACGAATTCCAAACTTGCTCATGGCGAACCCAGATAGTCCAGAACTACCTTTGAGTGCAGCCGTTGCACCTATTATAATTAGAGATGTTATATCAATCAATTCAACGAGCTTGTACCTGTGAAAATGAGGGTGGGTGGATACTCTCCTCTGTCTTCATTCAACATCAAGGGCAGTGTGGCCTGAGCGAAGTTGAATGCACCCTTCATGGACGGTTCAAGGCTCCCTAGGAACTCTTCTGGGCTTTGTTCCAGGAAAGGCTTTCTTGCAAATTTACCAGCAACGTTGTAGATCGCTGCTGCGATGCTAAGATCAGGACCAAACTTGGTCTTGATTTGTTCCATTGTCGAACTCATGCTTGAGGAGCTGGCCACGTCAGTAGGTATGCCCATTGCAGAGCCTCCACTCTGCCTGATGTCGTGAACTAAGGGGTCGAGTGATATTTGCGATCGAGCAAGCAGAACCACAGGGTAGGCCTTTGCAAACCTGCGGGCGACAGCACTGCCTGTTCCCGGCCCTGCGCCCGCAATGATTGCAACTGGCTTTGGCATCTTGAAAATCTTGTCAACTTTAAGATTCTAAGAGGATTGAATAGCACTTCACAGCTACAGTCCACTCAGTTTACGGTATCTTGAGGCAGGGTGACATTATCTGCTAAGAAAGTGGACCAATGCACACGGCAACAATCATGAACTCTATGATGGATACTGATGACCCAAGGATTAGGTAATTCTCGGACTCGGGGCTCCCAGTGAATGCCGAGATTATGGCGCACATGTTCCCGAGCCTAGATCCTAGCTTCAATTGGGGTGAATTCGTTGACAATGATGCTGTGGCTTGGAGCTAGCTTAGCCCAATCAGAAATGATGCTGTTGCATAAGGTTTAAGGTAGTCTTCGCTGTGTCCATCGATACATCCTCCAGTACACAAATGGAAATTATGGGGCCTAAGGGTCATCGATAATTTTTCTTAACCTCATCAAAGCCAACTTAAAATTTAAAGAGTCAATATTCGCATCCAACTTCGTTCGCAACATCTTAAATCTAGAAGATGTAAAATAAAATAAAATAAAATAAAATAGAAAAAAAGAAAAGAAAAGGAAAGGAAAAACAAGAAATCTCAGATTGATGTAATATACACGAAGACGAGGGTCAATCAAGACATGATCCTTCTCGACAGTTGCGTAGATCTGTAGGCTTTTCTAGAGCGGATATATCGCCATTACTTATATGTCGTCCTGAAAACTAAATCCTTATCGTATTCAGGGTATTGTCTGTTAGTAAGCGTAAAAATACTGTCACTTTTGATCCTCGGATCTCTCTATCTCTGGTCAACTCCCGCAAAACAGCAATTGTCCCCTCCACGGCCATCTTGCTCATTTTCTTCTCCTTGTGGTTTGCGGGCATGGTTAAATTGTGGAGTTCCCAAGTTGTCTGCGGGACGAGAACGACGATCTTTAGAAGTATATACATCCCATGCATAAGAATGGTGAAAAGAATGTCTTCAAATGGCTCAGAGTCTCACCACATCGGCCATGACATAGTCAGCGAAGAGGGCGAGAAGTGACAAATCTCGGCACTCAACGCTGATATCCGAACCCATGCGGAAACTCCACTGGATGCCATTGACCTATATCGTCCCATGGTTTCGACTGAGGTCGAGTCATTCAAGATTCTTTTTTGTCAGCTTCGGACTTTTGCTCAGTCAGCCGCAAGGGGTCGGGGTCCGAATCAAGCGAGAAACTGGACCCAGATAATGCTATTTAACCATCCCAAGCTGGGAAAGATCGTGACCATCCTTCCACCATCAGCTACTACTTCCCAATTACCATCGGTTCTCCTTACAATGGCGACTATGAGACCCATCGTCTTCTACGCCCACCATGCTGGCCCAAACCCCCAAAAAGGTAGTTATGGTTCTGGAGAGCTCAAAGTCCCCTACAAGGTCAAGCTACTCGAATTTCCAGAGATGAAGCAAGCTGCCTGGAAGAAGATTAATCCTAACGGCTAGGTTCCTGCAATTAAAGATTCCAACACTAGAACCACTCTCTAGGAGTTGGGGGCAATCTTTAAATACCTTGTGACAAAGTACAATAAATAGAACGAGATCAGTTTCCCCAACTAACTCCCAGGAGTCCTACCATGCAATACAGTGGCTCCATTTCTAAGCATCAGGCCAAGGTTCATATTTTAGCCAGGCTGCGTGGTTCAAAATCCATCATAAAGAGCAGCTCCAGACTGCTATTAAATGATATAGCAATAAGATTCAGCGCGTGTCAGGGGTGTTAAACTGGGTCTTGGCAGAACGCAAATACCTGGTTAATGATAAATACAGCGATGTGGATATTGTATTTGTCCCCTGGTTTGATGTCATTCCATGGGTGGCGGGTGATGCGATTGATTTAGAGGACTTTCGCAATGTCCATGCATGGCTGAATACATTGAGATCACGCCCTTCAGTCATTACCGGTCTAGGTGCTAAGTCTGAGGTGCCCAAGAAGCCGTGATAGGCAGATCATGTACAACTAAGTAGTAAGGCACTAAGCAGAACAACCATGGCTTCATATTCCTCATGCATTCATATGTTTATAGAAGCTGTTCATTCTACTTTGTAGCATTAGTATAAGGTAGGTTCATAGTATTCTATTGTAATACCTGTATTACTTACAATATCTGGTGCTCATCGCGCTTATTATAGACTAAGATAAGCTATTCACAGCAAATTCTTACTGCTGATTCCTTTGATCCTGCATGTAACACCCGCCCTGCACTCGTGCGGCTGGGTTGGTACAAGTATAACAGTATCCACTTCCAGATCACCATCTACCGGCCCTTTCAGTAGTTCCCATTCTCTTGGCGAGAGGTGTGACACTGACTCAGGAGAGCTTGGGATGTGTGCATCTAAATTAGTAATCTCAATTCATCTGCAATCTCAGCAGGTCGACAAGAGTTGAAGACCTGAGCATAGAGATCCTGAAAAGTGATTTCTACGCGGATTACTGCTAATAACTTCGGTATAGCGCTGCATGTTGTCATATGCTGCAAGACAGTATAGCATGAAAGAACCCTTCGGCACGGTACTTTGCACCGCAGCTTGCCCCCAATCCTATGACCGCTCTTTCAAACTTCAAATATTTGCACATCTCCATACTTTCGGAGTTGCGGCCCGCGGGAAATCAGGTGGTGGAATTGGCTTATTGGCCCACACCTTGCGCCCTATCGTTGACAAAACTCAATTATCTGGAAATTGATGGCTGCCCCGCAGGCACAAACTCCCTAGAAGAAATGAAACAAATAAGATGTAAATAAGCAGTTGAATTTCCTGGCAGGCTACCTGTGCATTTGTCTAGCTTCTGGCGTTTCTCCCGCTTGGTGCCACTTGGATCTTCATATCGCTCAATCAAAGCCCTTGTAACTATATGTCGGGCTCTTTGACTCGGACTACTCCGAACAGGACGGAGTCCTCGCTGAATGCGCCGACCCCTCAATCTAGATATACTATGACCAAAGCGATTGCTTCGGCGGCCATTTCAGCGCAAAACGAGACAGATAATGCCTTGGTGGACGGATCCATTGATATGAGACATCCTCGTCATGCCAATATGCAGACTCTTGTGAGCCATGGAGGTACCAGTTCGGCACTCAGTCTCTCCAGAGCGGCCGCCACAATCCTTATCTGTACATTGGCTGGGATTACATTTGTCGGCAGCATGAGCACTGGCCTGCTGACTATCGGGTTACCCAGAATGGCGAATGATCTTCACCTACCGGACAATTTACTTTTATGGTGAGTGAGAGCGGTCTTTTCACCGATCCTATTGGGTACGATTGGAAGTTTACGCTTTGGTTACATTATGCTTATCAGATCCGTCAAATTCTTAGGCCTACCTCGGTGTACTCGTAAGCAGATTCCGCCTCAAGCAGCACACAATTATACTAACGTTGCGATAGACTTGCAAATGGGTGCTGCCTCCTACTTGCTGGCTCGTTAGCAGACTTAATTGGGAACCGCATGATCAATCTGGCAGGATGTGTTTTACTCTGTGTCTTTATCCTCGCGTGTGGCCTCGCTCAAACCGGTGTCCAATTGATTCTATTCCGCGCTTTTCAGGGAGTTGCCACCTCGATGTGCCTTCCAACTGCCTTTAGCATCTTGACGGATTCCATGCCGGCCGGGACACGACGGAACGTTGGTTTTGCGTGTTTAGGATTGGGCCAACCTCTTGGGTTTTCCTTTGGGCTTGTCTTTGGCGGCATTCTCGAATCATCGTCCCTGGGATGGAGATTCGGCTACTATCTGTGCACTGGAGTCGCGTTGATTCTGGCGGTCATTAATTATTTCAAGCTTCCGAAGAGCTCACGGCATCAAACGATGTCGTGGGGAAGGCTGAAGGAAGAGATTGACTGGATAGGCCTTGCCTTGTCCAGTTCCGGTCTAGGAATACTCTCCTACGTTTTTGCGTATGCCGACCTCGCCACTGACGTGGTTACTGCTCTCTTAAACGCAAACTGACCAGGGGAAATGCTTTGGACTAGTGTCATCACGGAAGACGTCTCCAGTATTAAAAAAGGACCTAATATTGCGCTGCTCTGTATCGCGACAGCGCTACTACCGGCCTTTCTTTTTTGGATGAATCGACAGGAGAAGCTGGGAAGACCAGCCCTGATTCCTAATTCCCTCTGGCGTAACAGTGCATTCACTTCTATTTGCCTCATGGTTTTGCTCTCCTGGGCAGTTCTCAATGGAACGGAAACCATACTGAGTCTATTGTATGTCTTCCGGTCTGATCTCAAGTCTCAGCAGATCTAATTAGGCGCAGCTTCCAAAATGTTCAACAACTATCTGCCTTTCAGGCATCCATCCGATTCTTACCGAATGTGATTGTCGGAATAGTTCTGAATCTGGCGACTGGTCTTCTTGTTCACCGTCTCCGTGCTGACCATCTAGTGCTCTTCACTACCTTTCTGAGTGCTGGTTCACCTCTGCTTATGGCTGTCATTGACCCACATTGGTCTTGGTGGTATTGCGCCTTCTGGGCCGTACTATTGGGGCCTCTCTCTGCTGATGGTAAGCAATTGGCACCTTTTTCCAGTCCACGCAGAATGGAAATAGTTTGAGACGGCAATTTCCGTCGAAGTGTGCTAATAAATGCTCATGTCTAATAGTTATCTTTACCGTTGCAAATTTAATCATCACCGACGTCTTCTCCCCAGAGACCCAAGGACTTGCAGGCGCTGTCTTCAACACCATTGCCCAGTTTGGGACATCCATTGGCCTTACACTTTTCGCGATCATATCTGCTAGTGTAACAAAGGAGTCCTCATATGTACAGAAGGGTTCGCCCGAAGCACTCTTGTTGGGATATAAGGCCGTGTTTTGGACCTGTTTTGCACTTATGTTACTTGCTACCGGTATTGGTGCTTGGGGTCTGCGAACAGTCGGAAAAGTGGGATTGAAGAGAGAATAAGCCGCTCTTGGGACGATCGGATCAGTGCCTAAAAGACAGCAAGGGTCGCAGCCTCTACAAGCCCATGGGTCCGTTACGGTCAATCTAACCTCGCTAATGTCTACTTCACAAAGCAACTTGCGAAGATATACCCCAGAATCAAGTCCGTTGCCGTCCACCCGGGCAGCAATGTCGGCACCAACATCTCCTCTAGCCCCAGACAGTCTTACAAGATTCTGATTCCTTTTATATTTACCCGAACCGATTCTTCGTGATCCCTGTCAAGGATGGAGCGCTTAATCAGCTCTGGGCCGCCACCGGTCCAAATGAAGATGTCAAACAAGCTGCCTTCTACTATCCAGTCGGAGTAGAATTCAACGGGAACCCAATGGTCAACGATCCAAAGATGGCAGAGAAACTGTGGGATTTCACGGAGACAAAACTGCGGGAACACGCATTTTGAGTTTTTGTTCTTCCCTTTCTCAATGTTAATTTCCACGTGAGATACCAATATCCGTTATGTAGTATTGGCGGAGATTCCCTCCTGTTTCCGTCGGTCTTTGCAGGACCAGCGGCCGCTGTTTGCTCTTTTCCTGCTTCTCCGGCCTATTTAGGCCTCGCGGCTTTTCTCTCTCGCCTTCTCTATAGATAGATCGAACTAGCTCTATTCCCCCTTTCTGGCTTCCTATGTAGGCATACATGACGCCTTCAAGTATTAAAACCAAAGGAATTTAGACCCTCTCATCGGGCTGACGATTGGCTTCCAGGCGATGACTAATCATGCTGACATAATGTAATGCACAACCGAGCGGCCATTCCAATCGAGTGGTGCTGGAAAGTGTACGGAGTAGAAGCATATGATTCCACTATCTTAGAGTGGTTGAGCCCAATATGACACCGACACTATCCTCCCCGAAAATACGCCTTATTTGCGATACGATAGAGAACCCAGCATGATACGACACTTCCAGGGAGAAATGACATCGTTATGGTCCGAATGAGACTAAAACTGCAAAGGCAGATTGGACCCCCACAAATACGAGAGTCAGCGTCCAGGGGAAATCCAACCTCGTTCTCACCTCATCTCTCCCTTCAGACTGAAAATGTCCTCTCCTCAAGTGATTCTCTATGCCAAATGGTACTCGGACTGCTCTGCACGCCTGCGTCTTGCGCTTCAGCTCAAGGACATCAAATATGTGTATATGCCAGTCGACGAACCAAACGCGGCTGCCTACAAAGAAATAAACCCGTCCGGCTTAGTCCCAACGTTGGTCGTGCAAGAAGATCAGCAGCCTTCCTCAAACCAGAAAGCCAGCAAGTCCACTGTAATATGGCAGTCACTCGCCGCGTTGGAGTATCTGGAAGAGAGATATCCGCCATCACAAACCCGAAAAGGTCTCCTCCCGCCAGAAACGGACCTACAGGGACGAGCAACAGTTCGCTGCTTGATGAATATCATCGCGTCAGACATCCATCCCTTGACCACCGCCCGAGTGTGTCGCCGGATCTGTGAGCAGTTCCCTTGTTCCGCAACTGAGACAGCGGCCGCCACGGGGAATTGTGAGTGGGATAAGTTTTGGATCGAACAAGGTTTGGCCAAGTACGAGCGTGTGGTTAAGGACAGTAGTGGAACGTATAGTTATGGCGAAAATATCACGCTCGCGGATGTGTGTCTCTTGCCTGCGATATGGACCGCGGAAAGATACGGACTGCTTCTTGATGGGTTTCCTACGATCTGTCGCATTGTCGAGGCATTGCATCGTGTTGAGGCTGTGCAGAGAGCCCATTGGAGATGCCAGCCGGATACACCGGAAGAACATAGGTTTCCATGACAAGCTCGGCGAAATGCTTCCAATTAGTTTGACGAGTGTTGGTTATTAGTGCTTATTATGCCACTACCTGAGAAGACAGTGTTTGGACTTAGTGCTCTTGCTTCTTGGGTTGGTGTTTCTAATGATATAAGCTGCATTTGACCATGTGAACAACGTCTATTTCTTTTCCTCCCTTGGCGTTTTCCTGTTTGTCTGCTTCGTACAATCTAGCCAGGTTGTACTGTCTGATACTGGGCTGCATATGATCATGTTAATGGGCGAAGCCCAAGAACCCTGGATAACTTTGCTCAAGGCTATACTACTCAATGATCACTAATGATCGCCTAGCTAAGCATTAACCAAACCGCTAACCCACACAAGGCTAGTTGGCACGCTGAAGTAGTATTTATAACTTTAAATCATCCCTAGCATGTAATCTCCAGCCACCAGGACGATATACTATTTTATTTTTAGGATGCTATATTTCTAGGGTGCTACCAGGTCATATTACTGATAGAAGGATTATTATCTGTATGTTTAGATTATTAATATAAATAGCTCTTAAGTCTTAAACTTAATGTCATGGGGCAGGGGCCTAGGGGGTTGGTGGTATATAAGCATGTTCTAGGCTAATGATTCCAAGGGGGATCATCATTGGAACCTTTTGGGTTCGAGAAGGGACCTCAAGATTCTAATCACTGCTTCGCATTTAAAATTTCCACTGTGTCACTTTACATTAAAAGAGCTGGCTTGTCCCTTCACAGGATCTCAAAATCTGCTCCGCTATCGACCCCCACAGTGGCCAAAACAGTATACTTAGTCTTCAGAGTCACATAAAGCTGGCAGAATTTATTCTTTGTTTCCCTACCCCGCTGTCTCTGTAACAGTGCATGTAAGGCTCTGCTTTTAGCACTCATTATCACAGTAATCACACTATACAATCTCATCCTCTGTTGGACTCATATATAAGTCATGGCTATATTTATAGGAAAGATAAGCTTAGGTTTATGTATATAACTTATGCAGGAGGGAACCTAGATATAGCTAAAAGATAATAAGAATTATAAGATAAATAACTATATAGTTATTAGAGACTGAGCTTAAGACTTTTAGACTATACTAAAGAATAGCTATAGCTAAAGCTATGCTATCTTTTATAGTCGGTAGCTATTGGTAGCCATTTGCCCAGGATGGCCCGCCCTCGTAGACCTTGTTATATATTATAAGAATAACTTTCCATGAGTGCTAGAGACCATGGTGTTGTCTGAACCACCGCTTCCTCCACTGTCTACAATCAGCGCGGCAGTACTAGTAAAATGGAGATACATAAAGGACGACCATAGCCATCAGGCACCAGAAAAAGACAAAGAAAAGGAAAAAGCATCAGTTTGATAGTCACTATCCGGCCGGACGTTTTCTCGGCACTGCCAAAGCTTCAAGATCCCCAGGTAGACATTCATTCACATTCCGCCCAAATTCTGCAAGCTGACAAGCTCAAAGTATGCTGACCGCTTCTGCATCAGCTCAGAATGAGTCCCAAACTCGATGATGCGGCCTTGGTTGAAGACATAGATCATGTCTGCCTTTTGCACTGTACTGAGACGATGCGCCACGGCGATCGTCGTGCGGCCTTGAGCTGCGGTATCCAGAGCAGCTTGCACGAGCTTTTCAGACTCTGAATCGAGAGCGGACGTGGCCTCATCGAGCAAAAGAATTCTGGGGTTGCGGAGCAATGCTCTAGCTATTGCAAGACGTTGCTTCTGGCCACCGGACAGCATGCTGCCCTTACTACCAACGGGGGTATCGAAACCGTTTGGCAGACTGATGATGAAATCGTAGATGTTTGCATTCTTGCAGCAGAGCACCATCTCGTCCTCTGAAACGTCCTCTCGGTCTGTACCCAGCATAATATTCTCACGGATGCTCCCTTGGTAGAGCGTTGGCTCCTGGCTGACAAGTGCGAGATGGGAGCGGTAACTGTTGATGTTGAATGACGAGATTTCCTTGCCGTCGACATAGATACCGCCGAGGACTGGATCATAGAATCTCTCCAGGAGGGCAATTGCAGTAGACTTGCCACACCCACTAGGTCCGACCAACGCAACGTACTGCCCGGGCTTGACGTGCAGATTGAGACCTCGCACAACGAGCTGGTTTGGTCTCGTCGGGTACCTGAAGTGCACGTTTCTGAACTCAACATGGCCTTCTATAATCCGTACCACCTCGCCATCATGGCTCCAGCTATCGATATCTGGCGTCCGGTCGAAGAGAGCCTTGAGACTAGCAACAGCGTGCCTGGCTTTGGCAATATCCGGTGCAAAGCTGAAGATGGTCCCTGCAGACTGCGCGCCGAAAATGACTGCGCTGAAACAGAGGAAGAATTGGAGCCTGAAACATAAGGGGTTAGAACTAATACAGCGTCTGTTCCGGGGCATTGTTCATCTACCCACATGGAATATTCGTGTCTGCCGAACAAGATACCTCCATACCAAAAGCCGAGAGCCATGCAAAGAAATTGAAGTGATTGAGATGCCGCGTAAAGAACGGACGACTTGAGAACCGACCACACTAACCTGCGGCCTTGCGAGAGGAGCTGTTCGTGGTAGTGATTGCAAACGTCCGCCTCGCGGGTCAAGGAAGCCACGGTCCGGATGGCTGAAGTGGCCTCGCAGGCATAGCTTGCCGACTTCTGGTAGGCTTTTTTCTTCTCCTTCTCGAGTCGGACCAGCATGGCCAAACGGAAGTAGCCACAAGCGAGAAGGAGGGGGATGTTGGACATGCACACCAGAGTAAGCTTCCATCCGACGGCCAGACCAATTCCGCAGGCGGCCACTAAAGTGGTGACCGGCAAGAGAATCGTCATAAGAGTAATCCCAGACAGCCCGGCCAGGTGGGAGGCCTCAGTGGACAGGAAAGAAGTGAGAGCACCCGAGGATCGTTCGTCGAAAAAGGCAATGTCTTGCCGGAGGATAGATCGAAATGCTTGGTCGCGGACCCGATGGGTAAGTCGCTCGGCGCAGTAAGAGAACGCAATACCCTGAGAGATGAGAGCGAGCAGCTGCACAAAGGCGAGCATCAAATACATGGGCGACCAGAAATTGACTTGTCGCCGCATCTCATAGCTCTCTGAAAGAGGAAGCGAAAGGGCAGTAATGCACTTGGCGAAGAAGACAGCTTGTGTTGGCTTACCCCCACCACAGACGGCCGAGAGTAAAAGTCCAAAGACCATATATTTCCATTCCTTTTTGTTCAAACCAGCGACAAACTGTATCAGCGTGAACAAGGTATAGTTGTCGGCAATGTCCTCTTGTCCCTTCTTCGCAAGTGCCGTCCTCGATGGGGTCCTGTGCGATCGTGTCTTGTCCACCTGAACGTCGTCATCATGGTCTTCTCATTGAACCTCTTTGTCTGAGAGGTAGCGATTCTCCTTGAGTTTGGGTCGCCGTAAATCATAACCGGTTTCAGGCAGTATGGGATCTTCATCTTGGTTTCTAGACTCTTGCTTCGTCGCGATTCGCTGAGCCTCGGCCAATTTGTAGTAAGCCCCTTTCTTCTGGAGAAGGTCATCGTGGGTGCCTTGTTCAACAATACGTCCGTTCGACATAACCACGATACTGTCCGCATTCTTGATAGTAGACAGTCGGTGAGCAACGACCACGGTAGTTCGTCCCTGGGCGGCTTTGTCGAGTGCAGCTTGCACAACTCTCTCGCTCTTCATGTCGAGTGCCGATGTTGCTTCGTCAAGCAGCAGGATCTTAGGATTGCTAACCATGGCCCTAGCAATGGCAATGCGTTGTTTCTGAACTCCTGAGAGAAGGAACCCTCGCTCGCCAGTGTCGGTTTCGTAGCCCTCTGGAAGGGAGGTGATGAACTCGTGGGCCTGAAAAAGCAACGGAGTCAGAACAACATCGTGTCGTATATAGGTACGAGCAGATAGGGTGTGTCCAAAACAGGACATCATCCCCTTTGCCTTGTACTTACGTTTGCCATTCGAGCAGCACGTTCGACCAGCTCCCAAATTGCCTTTCGGACTCATGCTCGTGCGCTGTTCCGATCAAACCGTGCTTGATATTGCCAAAGATCGTAGTAGCGAATAAGGTAGGCTGCTGGCTCACCAGAGAAATTTATTGTCGCAACCAGCGTAGGTTCAGGTCTTTGATATCATGGCCGTCGATGTGTACGCTTCCACCGACAGGATCGTAGAAACGCTCAATCAGCCCGATTATAGTGCTTCTCCCAGAGCCTGAAGCCCCAACAAGTGCAGTAGTCTTGCCCGCGGGGATCAGTAAGCTCACATCATCCATCACAACAACTTCGGGGAGGGAAGGGTATATGTGTCTGATATTCTTGAGTTCCACATTTCCTTGCAGCTCCTCCAGCTTCTGCCCCTCGGTCGATAAAGGGTCGAGAGGGGAGACACGATCAATGGTTGCGTAGATCTTTTTGGCTGCGGCGACCGCTGTGGTGATGGCCTGGATATTCGGTGTGATATTCCTGAGGGCAAAAGCCCCCATCATGATGGCCATTTGAATAGTGAGGATTTGCGCCAACCCAACGGACCCATCCACCAGGAAGCGGGAGCCCATCCAGAAGGAGAGTCCGTAGCTGAGGTAGATGTACCTAAAAATCAAAGGCAAGATCAGAACACTGGGGCTGTTTGAGGTATTTCAAGAGACGGCCATTTGGGCTGGCAAGATGTTGTGCCACTCGCTGTACTTACAGATAGAGGAAACCAATCATTGAGCTGGTGGTGGACTTGAGCTTGAATCCGGACTTCTCTGCTTCGACGAGATACACATCGTATCGTCGAGCCAGCTTCTCTTGGGTATTGAACGCAGCCGCATTTCGGATCGAGCTGATGGCCTCTTCCGCAACCGTTTTCCTTCTTGAGCAAAATGGCCGAGGTATGTCTTGCTGAGCTTGGCGACGAACGAGCCTACGGCGCCCAACGTAACAACAATGGCAGCGACAGTGGAACACAGAATCAGCGTGAGCTTCCAGTATCTAACAATACCAATCACGAACGCGGCCACAAAGGTGGCGACGGCTGTCAAGGTCAATCCCGCTTTCTCTGAGATACCTTTCCTGGACAATATTGGTGTCTGCCGTCATGCGTGTGGTGATCTCACCCGCGCTGAGCTCGTCGAAAAAAGCAATATTCTGCCTCAGAATGGCGGCCAAGAACTGCTGTCTGATTTTGGCTGCGATGTGTTGACCAGTGTGCACGAAACCGACTGTGGCCAAGTACACCATCACAAACTCGCCAATAGCGAGGTAGAGGAAGTACAGAGAGAAGCTTGCAAGCTCGCTAGTGAATTGGCTGTCGGATATGTCGCCCAGTATGAAGCTACGGAACTTGCCTGCAAGACCTCCAAACAGGACGGTCATCAGAGGCATTAATGCACCACCGATGATTGCTGCGAGCGAGGCGATGACCAGGATGACCTTGTCATTTCGTGTCGCATAACGATACAGCTTTATGTAATTGACCTTGCTGGCGGGCAGATCCAGCTGTCTCTTGAGGATGACCCTCTCGTGCTCAGGTAGATGCTTGAACGGATCACCATCTTCGTCATTTCTGTCTGCATCAGCCGGCGCTGAGGCGACTGGGTTCAAGGGAGGGTTGGCAGGCACCGCGGCCTCTTGGCCTGCCTGGACAGACGCTTGCCGGTCACTAAAGTCACGGCTCGGCATGGTCAGGTAGTCCAGCAATCCTCCAAGCTGGCAGTGGCTGTCAGTTATGGTGGTCAAGTCCAGGAATGGAGTGAGGAACTGAGGATGAAGCTAGAGGATCGTTGAGGCGAGGCTGATTCTGAATGCTAGCGTTTTGTTTACGCCCCTGAGTGTCCCTGGGTAGGTACCCCTGCCGACGCGTTTTCTCTGTTTGGGATCACTGGGGAGCGACAGGATATGGGTACAGTAGCCCGTGTTAAGATTGCTGTATTGCAAGGATGTTGTTAGATTAGTCAGCACTATAAAGTTCATAGCCGTGCTCTATTCTCCGATGATGTCTCAATCGTCGTTTCAGGCTTGCATTCTCATCGAAGGCCTAACTCTTCTCTTCCAAAGTGATTGTGTGCGCTCCACTGGCCCTGGGGCTATCCGTGCACATTCGAGGCAGTTATGGCATGCGCTTTCCCGACTGTGACCGCGGACCTCTCCTCCTAACGACAAACAACATATGCAATCCACAGATATCACCTTCTGGTCGCGCTACCGCCTTGGTGGATAGCATGAACATCTCTGCGAAACTGGGCAGTCTCATTGAAGCAAGCGCAGGGTCCTCCCGTCTGGGCCTACCGTCCTATAACTGGTGGAATGAAGCGCTGCATGGCGTTGGATTTTCTGATGGTGTTAGCTTTGGCGTGAACTTTTCAATTGTCACGGAGAATCCTGTGGGTCGGGGTTGGACAATCTCTCGCCATACAAGGGGATAACCGCGAAATTTCTAGTGTCGTGCCTAGAGACTGTTTGTTTCGTGGGAGTGTCGTCGACCACTGGAGACGTACCTTTGAATTTCTCAGGTAGGTCTTCATCTGTTCTCCTTGCGCGCGGGAAAAAGGCCTGAACTGGAAAGCCTGGTGCAAGGCTCCGGGCCATCTCGTCGTCGCCCGCCCCAATCATCATAATAAATAGGAATTATGAAGTGCAGATCTATTACTCTGACAGCCTGTCTGAATACAGCTTGATTAACCTAACCTAGTTGCCAGCCCCCAACAACTTAACAACAAGGAGTTCCCAAGTAGTGAACTAAGAGTCTTATAAAAGGTAGATCATCTATATCTAATAATGAGTGATACAGATGAGGGAGAAATCCATTACCTGAGTAATAATGAGTTTAATATTAGCCCAGTCCTAGGAGGTCACCAGTGCAATTCGAAACCACTGGCAGGAGATGTAGTCATGAGGTATAAAGTTTGCCTTTTCTGCACTTTGGTAGATCTGCGAGCTACTGTGGAGCAGGGGCTGACTAGTAATTAACAATGATTGTTAGTACGAATACGGGAAATTTTCCGAATAAGGACAAGTAATTCTTGTTCACCCGGTGGGGAGGCCGGCCCCAGGTCCAGCCCATTCGAAAGCTCCTTGATTGATTCTCTAGGTCTAGGTCCCTTGAGTTCCACGGCACAAAGGAACCAATTTTCCATTGGTGAGCTTTGATTTTAAGGTACGTACGGATTTGTTTCACCGCGCCAGAAAGAGAAAAATAACTGGTCAAAACTTAACTAACTTAGAGCGGAAAGATGACCAATCCTTTTGCCTTAGTTACAAGGACGTCTCAGCTTTCATTGGATTCTTTGAGACATAGAGCTGATGGTTTGCTTGGCACGCGTTGGGGCTATTGACGAGACTGGCTATATTGTTGAGGGCAGTCAATTTGACGCTCTACTACTGGCATACTGCAGTGAACATTATGCAAAATAGGATATAAGCCTGTGATTTTGCCATACTTGCCCTGTTTCTTAGTCACTTTCCAGTCATTCTTTTTCTGAATTTTCTTACTGTATACCCAATAGTCACTCTTTATTGGTTCGTTCACTTTTAGTCGTTGATCAACTCTACATACTTTCATCATGCGTTTTATTGCCCTGGTAGTCGTGGCTAGGCTTGCGCATGCCTACACTGTGGTTGTTGCTGAGTAGCTTATGATGAAGAATATTGATCCCATTGTTCTTCCTGGCTAGTATAAGAGCCATATGCATAGTTTCTTTAGATCTGATGCTGTCACCATCAATATAAACACCTTGGCTGAGCTCTAAGCTGGTTACTTAACTGCTGCAAACCCTAATAACCTCTCTGTCTACTGTACGCTTCTCTATTAAGGTGTGCTAGTGATCCCTGATACCACCTGCCTATTCTGGCTATTTATCTTAGCTTTGTCACAAGAATATTGTCCCTTCTTTTCTTTTCCACCACTGGGTATATTTCGCTGAGAGCTCCACTGATCAAAGAGCAGAATTCTCCACATTTTGACAAGGACAGTAAGTGAAAGTCTAGATATTAAGGCACTGTAGATGGGTCTCCGTGTCTCCGGCGTGATCCCCTGGCAATTCACTCCTTCAAAGTCATGCTGGAGAGCGCTAAGCTGGGAAGAAAAACGCTGCGTTCTTAGAGCATAGATGAAAAATGTGGTAACTGAAGGCAGTGGCGGACTTGTTCCGTGGATACGAGAATGCCCAACGAGCTGTTTCTCCTTTTCTAGCACGGAACCGGGCGACGGTGAAACCAGTTATCGACTCACTTCGTCCACTTATGTGAGACAATCCGTGACTGCCTTATTAAGACCAATATGGGTATGCTTCTCCCGGTATTGAGAACGGAGAATTACACCTTTTGCCTAGCAGGCGCGATGGAGCCTTAGTTGTAACTAGATAAGACGAAGCATATATATATAGTGTTGTCATCCACCCCATTGTATCCCTTGCTGCACCACGATCTGTCTATATCATCGACATCACACTATTCCTTGCAAATATGCGTTCGTCAACCTTTGTGGCAATTGCATCTTGCCTGGTAACTCTAGCCCATGGCTATGCGAACCCCGGAACATGTTCTGGAGCTTGCAATGTCCATGATCCTAGCGTTATTCGCAGAGAATCTGATGGAAAATACTTCCGCTTTTCAACCGGAAACAAGATCTCTTATGCATCTGCAACTTCTATTAATGGTCCATGGACGGTACTAGGGTCCGTTTTGCCAAGGGGGTCGTCAATCGACCTGGCTGGGAATTACGATCCTTGGGTAAGTCCTGTCTGCAATTATTAGCGTATCCGCTTTTCTCCAACCTCACGAGCGCACTTTGATATTCTTTTCATGTTCTCTCTATCCCATCCTGCAGCTTTTCTTGGTGACAAGTGTTCTCCTCACCGCAGACAATCAGTTGGTATACTTCCTCCGGGATTCAAGGTTTGACTTAAGCTATCTAGGCTCCAGATGTCTCCGTCGTCAATGGCATCTACCATGTCTACTATTCGGTCTCGACTTTTGGTTCGCAGGACTCAGCTATTGGGCTTGCGACATCTAGCAGTATGGATCTGAATTCATGGACCGACCGTGGCTCTATTGGTATCCGGTCTAGCTCCTCTAAGCCGTACAATGCGATTGACGGCAACCTCTTCAATGACGGAGGAAAATATTACATGAACTTTGGTTCCTTCTGGCATGATATTTACCAGGCACCAATGAACTCAGCCGCAACTGCTGTTTCATCCTCAGCCCACAACATTGCCTATAATCCTTCAGGGACCCATGCCGTTGAAGGATCATTCATGTACAAGCATGATGGTTATTATTATCTCTTTTACTCTGCAGGCATCTGCTGTGGCTATGACAAGTCCAAGCCAGCCTCAGGGCAAGAGTATAAAATCAAAGTCTGTCGTTCGACCTCAGTGACAGGGAATTTCGTAAGCCGACACAGGATATCTCAAAAGTTGCAAAAGCTGATTGGAATCTAGCTTGACAAGAACGGTGTTGCTTGCACGAATGGAGGCGGCACAGTTGTGCTTGAAAGCCATGGAACTGTCTACGGACCTGGTGGACAGTATGTCTTCCCTAAATAAGCCCTCTCCCTATCGGCCTGATAAATGTGCAATAAATGCTGATCATTCTCAGGGGCGTCTTTACTGACCCTGCTCTTGGACCTGTTCTGTATTACCACTATGTGGACACCAGGATCGGCTATGCTGACGGCCAAAAGCTCTTTGGATGGAATGTTATTGACTTCTCCAGCGGATGGCCTGTTGTGTGAGTAGGCATAGAGGTCTATGTAAGCTTACCCTAAAACATAACTATGCTACTCCACCAGCTGCAGGTATAAACTTAGCAAATTCACCCTCCACCATAAAAAGCCAAGGACCTACAGCTCTGATACAATTATTTCTCAATATTTGCTGCTCACATTTTGGATTACTCTGCACGGTGGAAGTGTCACGTCTTCCGCACATAAGCTAGCGGATATCTGCGTTAGTATCTTTAGATTGATCTATCCATTCATCCTTTTCTTAAATCTCCGATTTGGACCTTTGTGCAGCAATTAAAGCGAAGATGGCATGCATTCCTAGTGACAGACTCATGGACTTTGTTGTTGATTTTACTCATCGTCCGGCTGCCGGGCGCAGAATCTAACCTCAGCTAAGATTATTCTTTGGCAATTTGCTGTTAAGTCGGTTTTAGGATCATTATGGCTCTTGACTGATGGAACGCCGTAGTATTAGCTCAGCAATGATGGGGCTATGGGACTGGTGTGACGCGAGGTGTTTCATTGTGCTTCATGGAGATAAGGGATCTTACCTCTCTGTAACTAGCCTCTTTATCAATGCAAGCTCAGCCCAAGTCATATTGGCTTACGTGCCGTCCAAACGCTCTCTTCTTTAACCACGTTGAGCCAACACAATTCAGAGAAGATACACTCTCCGACTCCCACCCACATGTGGGAGAGAAGAAGAGACAATGTTTAAGCTAGCATTGTTGAGCTTGGGCGCAGCGCAAGTGCTTAATATGCGCCTCATGTTACAATTCATCCTCCACTTTCACTCCAACGATGACCTTAACGACATTTGGGTTCTCGCAGAATATGAACAGAACAAGAGTAACATCCAAGATGAGAAGGAAAATGGCGCTTCGAGTTTATGCGAGCTCTTCAAGGACCCGGCATCTTTTCGGCGACTAGTTCTTGTCGCGGCCATACAGGCGTCCGTCCAGATGACCGGAGTCTCAGCAATCCAATACATTTCCCCAAGCATCTACAAACAAGTCGAAGTTGGGACAGCGCAGGCACTACTGTACCAAGGCATTTCCTACATCTGGGGCATTGCCGGTCAACTATGGTGCACCGTCCTCTTCATCGACCGCATCGGACGATGCTGGCCCCTAATTCTTAGTAATCTTACCTGCTCCGTCAGTTTCATCGTCACAGCTGCCGTTATTGCCAGGTTCAACGACATCGGCCCATCTGCGCAAAAGGGTCTCCTCTGGGCGTTCCTCGTCTTCGGATGGATCTTTCAATTCACCTTCTCCATGTGCTGTGGCTCGCTCTCCTGGGTAACTCCCTCAGAGATAATTCGATACCAAACCCCGAGCTCATGGGGTCGCCATTGGCTGCCTCGTCAGCTTCGCCTTCAACACAATGATCGGACAGATCACAGATCCTGGTGAGTTTTTTTCTTTCCAGTCACAAGGCTGGCGGTATTTCCTCCTCTTTGTCATCACCAATGCCGTTTCCTTCTGGGCATTTTTGCCAAAGACCAAGGGCATCCCTCTTGAAGAGATGAATCGCTTGTTCAAAGAGACAGGTTGGTTCATTCCGACAAAGAAAAGCAACCGTTATACCACCCAGCTCGCAGTCACGCCGAAGGAGATCGAGGAGAAATCTGGGACTGCTCATGTGGAGTCCTCGCCCTAAGTATATCTCTTCTGGCATGCAGTCCGGATTCCTTCGATATTATGGGGAGCGCACGCCTAATATCGTACGCAAGGGCGGGAAGGGCGGGTCGTTGGAGACAGAGTCCTTGGGTAACTCGGAAGGCTACAGGGATCAGTATGTTAAACTTTAATTTGAATATTGCCACGCCTAGGTGAGGCATTCATTGGATGTTGTGTTTGCAGCAGGATAGGTGATACCCCGAACTAGGAGATAATAGATACTAACACTCTTAAGTTAACGTAATTCCCAACCGAGCCGCCCACCCGGGCGAGCCGCCCACCCCTCCCGATTTCGATCTGTTCAAAATGTTTGAAGCTATCCAAATCAACCAAAATAATAGATTTTTATTAGATCTAGCTAGTACAGCGTGTAGGGCATCTAGTTCTAGTATGCCCTATAATGAAGCAATTAGAACACCTTAGTGGCGCGTGTTTTAGGGGTTCTAAAGGTAAAGGCGCGGAATCAATAGATGACCCCCTAATCTCATTCCCTTGCTCATTTCTTGCCTGGATAAGATCCCTAGCTTCCTGAATGCAGAGTCCTTCATTAGGAGCCATCTGGTGTCTAGATAGCTTCCTTTTCTGCTTCTCTTTCTCATTGGCTGTGTGTAGATCATGATTCTCCTTTGCTAGTAGGGCTGCACTATGCATGGCCATCTCGCAGCCCTTAATAAGTTGCTGTATAGCTATTTGTGAAGGGCTTTGGGATCACTGTTTTAGGAGCTTCTTGACTGAGGATGCTTGCTTATGTAATTGCTGAAGTGTATGAGATGTTCTAAGCCATGATGAACTGGTTAATTAACTTGCATAGCTTGGAGGGGGGTAGGGGTGGATATGCAGATATTTAGCTTCTTAAGCACCCTTATTAGATTAAATGGATAGATTCCAGCTGCAGCAAAGCTATTCTGAATATTTAGAGGCTTAAAAACCTCTAGATAAGCTGCTGGATATGCTTTAAGGAAGTTAAACTTATTAATATAATTATATCCTAAGCATATCTTTTCCTCAACAGTGCGTCCGTAAGCACGTTTTAAAGGGCCAAAACAACTAATATCTAGTGGTTGTAAGAGATGGGAAGAATGAGGAGGCATATAGATAGTGATAATATTATTATCCCTGCAGGCCTTATTAAAACCAGGTGTTAGATGGCTCCTGTGGCTATCTAGAATAAGTAGATGATATCTTCCAACTGTACAGCTAGTTGTTGCAGGGATAAAGACCTTTTAAAGCTATCAAAGGCCTATCTCATCTATTATCCATCTATTTTAACTGACTTCAATTCTCTAGTTAGACGGTAAGGTGTGATCTTAATACTATCCCTTAATATGAACCTTCCCCTTGAAGATTATATAAGATGGAATCACCTAGCTAGTAGTATTGATGTATTTAATTATTGTAACCCATTCCTGATTACCTGGCTGAATAAGGTGAGGCTTCCCAGGCATATTAGCCCTTGTAACTACCTTAGTAGTTACAATCAAGCCCATAGTGAAGCACTGAAGCTAGTTTCATTAAAATTATAGATATCTTTATAGGAGATGCCATATTGCATTTAGATCTGTTGTAGGTAATTAAACCACCCCTTAATGATCTTTAGATCCTCACATTAAGCATAGCTATAATTATATTGTTGAGTATATTGTGTTTTGATATCCTCATGTTGATTGATAAAGGTAGACACCCAGTTCTTGCTAACAGGGTTGAATCCAGATGGATTATCAGCTTGGAGAAGGATATTTGCTATTTCTTGCACATGAGATGGCCTAGGGGGCACTCCATATTAATCCCTAGATAGTATCCATTCTACTAATAATTCTTCCTGTGTAGAAGATAGTCAGTGGCTATTAGTGTGTTGTTTGATTTGATATTAGCATCCATTCAGGCGGCCACGGAGGGTAGATTTAGGCACATCAAATGTCTTTGCAGCGTGACAAATACTTGAAATTTGCCCTTTTTTCAAAGCAGATATCACTAATTGGATCCTTCCCTCTTGTTCCACTAAATTCCCAGAGGTTTGACGCGAATTTGGTGGCATGGTAGCTGTTTAGATAGATTCAAGATTCAAACGCGTCGAAATCGGGAGGGGTGGGCGGCTCGCCCGGGTGGGCGGCTCGGTTGGGAATTACGTTATCTGACAAGATTAGTCACGTATAGCCTATCCCACCCTTAATTGCTAGCTAGGGGCCTTTTAGCAATTCAGGCCCAATTTCAGGTTATCCATAATGGTATTCTCTCGCTTACCATCACCCAAGCCAGCCCAAAACAACCTGACTCGCGTTGTGAAGACCGTGACGTAGGAAAGCACTGTAGCAAATTTGAAAACAGCTCAGCTGGTTGCTTCAGGAAAGTAACAGATCTTGACTAGCTGGAGAAGACCATGACAACATCTTTTGATGACTCTCATGGTAGAGAAGGGGTGAGGTTTAAGGGCGCACATGGCCTCCTTATATGTCGATTATTCCACATGTTTTGGATTTGTCGGGCTTGGTTCCTACAGTGTTATCTCGAGATCCGCTCAAGTTCCGCGCCTGCTTTTCCTGTATGCGGCCAATGTCGGGTTGTTGGTGTTGTGGTCATCTCAGGAACTGGCGTCAAGGGGGTTTATGATTCAGGAAGTTGTTTACAAAAGCTCGAGTTCACTTTCGGAACGCAGCCTGAATAGCTGTGCTTCATCAAGCTTGGAACAACAATAATCGCGCACTCCTAGTCATCAGGTCAATAGCCCTGGGAAGGACATAAAGAATGTCCCAGAACGAGAGATTGGCTCCAATAAATGAGCCATTTTCGAAAGGGAGCCTGTCTAACCAGGCGCCATTTGTTGTTTACCTTTCTCCTCTTTGTGCCTATTGAACGAATCGAACACTCACACATCAATCACAATCACATACAATCAACCCACTTCCAGCAGGAGATCCACAGCACATAGGGCACGTTTGTGGTAGATATAAGGAATTGATAAGGTTTAATTTCAGCAAATACTGGTACTCAGAAGTTCGTATGGCTTTCTATGGTCAGTGAGAGCGTGGGGTGCTTCAAATACTCAATCTTCCCCTGGATTGTTTATTGCTACGTGAGAGTATCGTCTCACCTTTCTCTGTACGCATCATTCCTAAAGTGCTGTTTGCAAAGGAACACTTCAGCAGTTCCTCCGCAGAAGGCGGCCGTCGGCGGCTATAAAAGCTATTATGATTCAGCCACTTATCCTTCTGGGGCTAATGAACCGGCTTTCTTTAAGCTCTCTTTCGAACGGTCCTTTGCTTGTGACAACAAAGCGATACTATGTGCAGACCCCCTCGTCAATGACTTTGACCCGCGAAGTCTCCATATCCAATTAACGAATACAGGCGGCCATTGTGCGACTTCTATGGTAGCTTTTAGATTTTAAAATGGTTCCAATATAGCAGAATATAGTCCGAGAGTAGAGACTACACGACATGGAGAATAGGATTCATTGGGCTTTATAGGCCCAGATATATTCACATTTATCCGAGAGGTAGTTAGTGGCCGCTCGGCCGTGGATTACGTTATTACCTATTCCCAATATTACATATTCAACACCCCCAATGCACACGTGTCAATAGAGGTCAAATGAAGCAGAGCCCTGTCTCGCCCACGGTAATAGACCTTGCGCCCCACAGATGTAGTATCGTTAGAATCTTCTCCTTCCACTCAGGATCCCTGCCCATCTCCTTCATCAAAAGATCGTATCGATACAGCAACTCAAAACACATCTTCAAATACTCCTTCATCTCCTTTCTCTCATTGTCACTCCCAAGGCTCAAGGGGTCCCACGATGAGAACTTAAGACCATGAGCAATGCCCTTCGCATTCCAAAACGACCGATGTGGTATATTCTGAGCTGGAAAATCAAAATCACCCAATCCCCAACCAGTAAACCTTCTGAACGGCCGTGTCTCCGTCAGACAACCGGTATCATTCGTAGATCCTGGTTTTGCATTATCTTTGACAGAAGCAGCGATATTCAGCAGCATATAAATCTCCAGAGCCACGTCAGCAACATGCGTGACACCGAAGCTGTGACCCCAGCTTAGATGGTTTAGATCCCCTAGTGGGATTTTCTCGTGGTTTGCTAGACGTAGCACAGCGAGCATCTCATTCGAGATAATGAGCATTTTCACTGCATCGGCTAGGGCCGCAGTGGATGTGCTATAGGGGGCTTGGCTGATCCAGTAGTCGACATCCTGAAACTCCTCACACAGTGGATTTGATACCGCGGAGTTGGTCGTGTGTGGTCCAAGGTGATACTTCTTCTCGATGGAGGGTAGAATAGACGAGTCATATAGAGGCCCGGATTTTGGTAGAGCGGCAGGAGGTGGGTATTTGGCTCGTTCTGTGGCTGAAAACTCCTCAATGGTAGAAATAAGAGTCTGCATGAAATGGTTTAACTCGGCCGATTGACGATCAGCTAAGCGATCATGGATGACAAAATCGTTTTTGCGTATGTATGGGTTGTCCTTTATGAAAGCAAAGTGTGCTGACACTGTATTCCAGGGGAGCTTGTGGTCTAAGTGCATGGTGAATTTAGCGAAAAGCACTATTATCTTTACAAGTGTGTAGTGGATTCCGGAGAGTTGAAGGCTTCTTGCTGTGGAAATGCGTGCTCTATTTATCTTTGCTTGTGCAGGAAGGCAAAACATGCGTCATCCCTGGAAGAAAAAGATGGTTGTAGTAGCATAATATCATTCTTGGATCTCTCCTTAAGCGGAGGTAGAAGCCCTTTCTATCTTCTGGTGGAATACATCAAGCCACCGGTTTCAAATGCTGTCCCACCGTCGGGCCCTACCCGAAAAGGGAAATATCGCTGCAACGCAAAATACGGCTGTTTGCCTAATCAGGCAACCCCACCGCTAAGCCATAGAGTATCCTGTAACATCGTACTGACGATGAGCTGCCACCAAATTTTGATCAACCCCAGTCCAACTATGTCAGAGAAATATAGGGTAGCAGGTGATACCCCAGAGGATATAAAGACACCCCTTGCCCGATCGGTGACAGACATGTGACTCGATCAGAAAGTGGAAGCGAACTCATCACAGGATGAAAACAGTTTGATTTACCATACAAAAGGATCGCAGGTTTAATTCTTTTTAATACTTCAACTTGATCGTACATTCTTCTAACAATCAGAGCCCTCCATTCAAATTGGACGACTGTTGTCATTCCCTCTGGGGTGCCATGATATTGAGCCCCTGCCCATGCGCTCTGCGGCCTTGTTGCTTCGTATATTAAGACTGCTCGCGGGCTTCCCATGCGTTTGGTTGCTAATTATTCGCTTGACTGGATGCGCTACATGTGCTGATACATGAAATTATTTCGATACGATTACAAATTTCGTTATGATATTTATCATATATGAACAAGGTATTGTCACTAGTGGAATTAAATACTAAACCAAGTAGCAAAACAGTTCATCCGTCCACACCATATCATGAGCCAAAGTGCGTACATTACCTCAACGCCAACACAGGCCCCTTGCAAGCATCCACATGAATAAAGTACCAAACATGCGAATGGAACGCCGAGATATCAGGCAGCCCTGTTCCTGTATTGCCATTGAAGTTCACATCTCCCTCCACATCCTTCTCAGTGACAGTAGCATTATCCGCGGCAGTGAAATAGTACTCAGGGCTAATATGGACATAACCCATAGTCAAAAGTGGCAACTTCGGCACGGGATCATCGCGATGAGTGAAACAATAGTTATTGCCCTGGTCCGTGATGAATTTTGCCAGAGGCTTGTTAGCCACGCGCGGCGCAGCATAGGCATTGCTTCAGCTGCTTGAGACAACTGTCTCGGAATGGACTCCTACCACTGACAGTAAACCGCTTCTTTTCCGCTACACATTGGATACCGCCACCGAGTTTCTCTTTGGTACTAGTGTACACTCTCAAACCCGGGCCAGCTCTGGCATAACATACAATCCTTGGAACTCCTTTGCCGACGCGTTTGATCGCTGCATCGCTGCGCTAGGCGTTCGCACACGGCTCTCAGGACTCTACTGGCTATATGAACCTAGGAATTTCCAGAAGGACATTCGTGATGTTCACAGCTTTGCAGACCACTTCATCCTCAATGCTCTCCAACAAGGCAACCGTCAGGACAGAGAAGCTCGAAGGACAACTATGTTTTTCTGCACGAGCTTGCCAAAGTCCGGAAAGACCCCGTTGAGATTCGGAGTCAGCTCCTACACACCCTACTCGCCGGCAGAGATACCACTGCAGGGCTACTGTGCTGGGCGCTTTGGAATTTATCCCGTCAGCCTCGTATCTACCGGAAATTGCGGGAATCCGTGTTGGATACGTTCGGCACCTATCAACAGCCCCGATGCATCAGCTTTGAAGCTCTTAAATCTTGTGTGTATCTACAGTATACCTTGAAAGAAACGTTGCGCCTCTTTCCACCTGTACCACTCAATACGCGCCAAGCGGCTCGGGACACCACACTTCCCAAAGGCGGCGGACCGAATGGACTAAGTCCCGTATTTATTCCGAAAGGTACGGAGATTGGCTATTCTGTATACGCGATGCATCGCCGAAAGGACCTATGGGGCGACGATGCAGAAGTCTTCAGCCCCGATCGGTGGGCCAGCCGGAAATCCGGCTGGCATTATCTCCCATTCAATGGTGGACCCCGGATTTGCATGGGACAGCAGTTTGCACTAACCGAGGCGGGATATGTCCTTACGCGACTCATACAGAGGTTTGATAAAGTGGAAAACTGTGACCCTGAGATGGAGCCTGTACACTCATATAATCTGACTAGCGCTCCAAAGCAAGTACTCGTTCGGTTTCATAAGGGTACGGTATGAACAGATGGACTTGATTGTGGGATTCTTGGTGGGGGGGGGGGGGGGTAGGTAGTATTTACACCGTCGACCTTTTTCCATTCCTTACCTTCCATGTTACTAGGGCCACAAATAACCTCAGATAATTTCTATGGTGCCTTTTACTATACTATTCCTCAGAGAATAAGGGCAAGGGCTCATCAATTCCGAATCCTCTCGTGACTACAACGAAGACATGGGCCTTTAAAGACGAGCCCAAGTCTGCCAATTAGCATTAAGTGACGGACTCGGGCTTACGGTGACTGGGATTCAGGTTCACCTTTCGTAGCAAGTTTGTTGTTGTATCATATATCCCCCTTATCGGTGTCGAGTCCGTACGACGTAAGGAGCTAATTCGAACCCTCAAGGCAGGTCTACAGCTTCTAGCCCGTACAATCTGCGCATTATGTTGCAGTTCGTCGGCCACTTTCTGAAACGGGACCTCGAAAATAATGAAAGAGCAGCTGGCTTTCTCGAAAATATGCCTATGCGTTGCAGCGCTATGTTGGAGCAGCAGGAGGAAGAACCTTTGAGAGTGTTAGAGAGACAATGACCCAAAGTCCTCCTCTTCCGGCGTACTGAAATGTCGTTGAATAGTCACAACTGTTGTTGCCACCTGGCGGAGTGACCCGCTATTGCGGTACTATCTCCAAGAGCTAGCCTTGGCTACTTTCATTTTTGTTATCTTTCGTTTCCCCACTTAAGTAATATCAGAACAATCTCGTTTCGGTAGTGTTGTTGCGAGAGCCCGCAATAGGAAAATAAAATGCGAACACGAGCTGTGGACCATATAAGGCAATGGAGTCGCTATAGGGGTGCACCAGGTCACTTAAGTCAACATCACAGTGATCTGTAATCAAGAAGCAGTCCGACAAGCTGGAAATTAAGAGACGTAGCTTTTCAGACAATAAATTAGGTCGATAGCTCTCTAGACCTTGATCAGAGATTCATTACACCTGCCCTTGCACTCCTGGTAGTTATTTTATCTATGATTACGCCGCCGCCAGATATCACCGCGTGCGGCATCGATGAGTGACCAGCATGGATATGGACCCGTAGTCAACGGGACCCTGTGTTTTCTACGAATATCGACCTAGCCGGCCCGCGGGACTTGCGTTTGTCGCTCTGTTTGGGATTATCACGCTGTGCCATTTTGTCTATAGCATTCTTCGTTTGCGAGCGTGGTTTTGTATCCCCTTAATTCTGGGTGGTATATGTATGTATTCCTCTTCACTTCCTTTCCTCTCTTTGCTACCTGCATCCCTAATAGAGACTATGGTAGGTGAAGCTTTCGGATAATATGGCCGCGCTGCTCTTCGCTCGATCCCGCCAAGACCGGTCCCTTCATTCTCCAAACCCTCCTTATCCTTGTTGCTGCCCTCTACTTGTAGCATCGCTGTATATGATAAAAGCTCTTACTGCCAAGCAGCTTTCTTGGCTGAGTCTGCGCTGGATGACCCGGATCTACGTGCTGGTCGATATCGCCTGTATTATAACACAGTTTATGGGAGCAGGTATGATGTCTTCTGGCGACGCCAGCAAATTAGCCGTGAGCAGGACGCTCATCCTCGGTGGTTTAATCACGCAATTTGTGGCAGTGATCTTTTTCGTCTTGATGTGCTGCCATATCCATATGAAGCTTCGGGCCGAAGTGTGGATTGGGGTCGTTCGATGGGCGAGTGTCTTTATGGCTATTGAGGCCATAGGCCTTTTGTTGCTCATTCGAACCATTATTTGCGCTGTGGAATATCTCCAGGGCAGTGGCGGATTTGTAGTGTCCCATGTGTTTTTCATTTATGCTTGCGATGCTGTGCCAACGTGGCTTATGATGGCCTTACTCCTAGTATTTCATCCTGAGCAAATCGTTCAACAAGCGGGGAGCGTGAAGGGCCGAGAAGGGCCAGATGACACTCATATTCTGCTTGCAAATCAAAGCGTCCGAACCTTTCACTGGGACTCTGGTCTCTCCCCACCTAACACAGCGCATCAAGCTGACTTCTTCATTGACGCTTACTCTCACGACTGCGATACCTCTGACGAACCCTGAAAATGGTCAAAAAGCCTAGCCATGGTACCAGTAGTGATTTTGACACAGATACAAAGTCCTTCCCTCGTTCAGTGCTGAAGAAATAAGTATACGCATGACAGAAAGGAAGCAAAGAGAGAATAAATCCGCACGAACGACCACAGCATCGAAACAGCCTGTTGGAGCAATACTTCTTAGAGATCCGTCAGAATTCGGGAGGTCGTATCTTCCTAGCAATTACCGATAGTTAGCTGTGAGTATGGTTGATCCTACCCCTTGGAAAAATTTCAAAGAATCCAAGAATGACCAGGCCGCTGTTGTCAGAGGCATTATCCCATAGCAATGCTGGGCGATAGAAATGTGCGCATGGCGAATCCCTATTGATTCCCGCTAAACCCAGTAGACAATAAGGAACGCAAAACCGGAAAATGCCCAGAGTCGTGCAAAGTAGCGGCTTCACTGTCAAAGTCGGAGCCAAGACATTAGACGAAAGTATACGGAACTGATTGAGACCAATTGCTCTCATAGATGTTGGTCGGAAGTTTTGCCGATGCGCCGTGACATAAATGAAAAGAAAAAGCAACCATTGCGTGAAGGATGTGTATCTGTTCGCTTAATTCTTGCCGGCGTCGATTTTCTAGCTCGAAACTTCTCTTGAGCCACTACAGGATGACTCATTTCCCGTCGTCATCGAGTGACAAGAGGTATGTACCAGCTGTACGAGATATAGCCCGAAACATTTCACTGACACGCAGAACTAATTGCAGGTGGAACAATAAGCTGCAGCATGGATTTTGTCTTGGATGAGTAAACTTCATATGATTTTTGGGGAAGAACAGAGTTCTTGGTATTCTAACGAAATCTTCAAGCCGATCAGCGGGAATTCATCGCTCTATGGGAGCTGCAGCGGTTGCATAATGTTCATCCGAGTCATCGGCTGTTGCAAGTCAGATCCGCCAATGGGTCGCGATAGATCAAGGAAATTCTTACCAAGCGCATAACCAATCAATGCACCACCAACAGCACCAACAGCGAGATCAATCACCTGCTGCTCCCATACGCATAGCGCTCGTATCATGCTTGCTCTTCTTATGCTCGTGGTGTCCAGTAGTGTGTAGCACTGGCACCAGGTCCGCCATGATGACCCTGATCATGTGGAACGGGCGGCACCCCATGACTGTAGCTGTTATAGAAGTTACCACTTTCGCCGCAGTGAACCTCCCCACTATGTGTAGGAGGAGGATAGCCGTAATGGCCAGATGATGGTAGAAATGACGGAGGCTCCCACTAAGAACAACCTGTTGGCTGTTCCAAGTAGTACCAACATTGACTGTTGGCATCCCACTGGGCTACCCAGCCTGGATGGAGCGGGGGAATTTCTGGATGCGAAGAGGGCGGGGCACCATATTGGCCAGGTGGTGGTCCACCGTATTGCTGCTGCTGGGGTTGACCATAGGGTGTAGGACCCCTGGTGAGAACCGCTATAGCTCTGCGATGGTTTATCTACCGACAATCAGTCCTCTGGCCTCTCAACAACGCTCAGCTACCAACGCAGACAGGTGAAGAAAGGAACTCTCCCAAAACTTCACTTACCCCGACTTGGCTCGCCTTCCGATTTCTTCTTCCCTTCACTAGAGAGGGAAGCTTTGTATTCCACAAGCTCCTTGGTCAGCTTCTTGATGAATGACATAACTATTTATGTGACAAGACGGATCATATGAAAGAAATGAGCTCTTGGTACAGAGGGAAATTCTTCTCGAAGCTATACGGGGAGAATGTCTTCCAAGAAACCGCTTTGCGGGAGTTGTCCGCCTTCTTTGACATTGAGATGGGTTAGTACGATCTTCGCTATCCACTTCAGACCACAGCTGTTGGGATTTCCTGAGGATGTTGATCATTTTTCGCTTAAGACTGCGGAGGTGGATGATTGCTTAATAACCTCTGGTCGCCCTTCTTTCCATCCCCTAAGGTGTGAGAGGATAGTAAGGCATTCAAATGGTCTGGCCCTAACACTTTGTTACGGAGCGTAACACACCCTTCTATTAAAGCTAATGCAAGTTGAATCTTTCCCTTGCCTTTCCAGGTATAGACCAGGTTATTCATACTGGTCAGAGTGTCTGGATGCTCTGGTCCTAGCACCTACTTGCTAGTCTCCATCACCTGCACTTCTAGCCCTTCTGCTTCTTTCCATCTTCCCTGATTGGAGTATATAAGAGCCAGGTCAGCCATACTAGTTAGAGTATCAGGATACTTTGGTCCCATTAACTAATTTCATGTCTCTATTACACATAGCTCTAGCTCTTTAGCTTCTTTCCATCATCCCTGGTTCTAGTATATTAACCCTATGTTAGCTACACTGGTTAGAGTATTAGGATGATCTAGTCCTATTAGCTAATTCTAAGTCTCTATTATATATGTCTCTAATTTTTCTGCCTCCTTCTATTATCCTTAATTAGAATATATTAACACTAAGTTGCCCATGCTAACCAGAGTAGAGGGATATTCTAAGCTAAGTATATATTTCTTAGTCTCTATTACCTAAATCTCTAGCTCTTCTGCTTCTTTCCATCTTCCCGAACTTAAATATATTAACACTAGGTTAGTTATACTAGTTAGGGTGGAAGGATATTCTAGTCCTAGCACCTACTTTCTAGTCTCCATTACATACATCTCTAGCTCTTCTGCTTTTATCTATCATCCCTGATTCCAGCATGTTGATGCTAGGGTAGACATACTAGTCAGAGTATTAAGATATTCTAGCCCCAGCACCTACTTCCTAGTCTTTATTATATATAGAATCAGTGTCTCTGCCTCATTCCATCACCCCTGTTTTTAGTATATTATTGCCAGGTTATTCATGCTAGTCAGAGTAGAGGGATGCTCTGATCTAAGCACCCACTTTCTAGTATTCATTACCTACACATCTACCTCTTCAGCCTCCTTCCATCATCCCTGATTCCAGTATGCTAACGCCAGGTTGGCCATGCTAGTCAGAGTATTAGGATGTTCTAGGCCCAGCACCTGCTTCTGGCTCTTTATTACCCACAACCCTAGCTCTTCTACCTCCTTCCATTGTCCCTGATTCCAGTATGTTGACGCCAGATTGTGTATACTATATAGAGTGCCAGGATGTTCAGGACCCACCAGCCAACTTTAGATTTCAACACCTGCATAAACAAGTCTTCTGCTTCATTGCGCCTCCCATCACTGTAAAGACAGCAACCAATCTTCCAAATCAAATTGATGTAATTCTCCTGCTCCTTTTAGAAGTGCCCGTCTCCTATTAGTGAGAGCAATTCTATAATGCCAGCAGAGAGTCTGGTTCGTTTTAGATACATGGCAGGCCTCAGGGCTTGCAAGTGCATTGGAAAAAGCGAATGTTGGTTTTGTATTGCTGGGGGCCGAGGTCGATTTGACTCCAAGTCGGAGCATCGATTGGGCTGAATGCTGCCGCAATGCGCACCCTGGATCAGCTAGGGGCGACTGTGAAAGAAGCAGCGATGTGTTGCCGATTGCATGCACTCGATATTCGCATGGCCCCATTCGTCACGAACTATATTGCGCCAGATGCCACTGAGTCGCTGCTGAATTTAATCACCGGTAGGGCTCATCGGCGCTGCGGTCAATGAGTACCTACATGCTCATACATATAGACTACTACCAAGATTCATAAACTAAAAGGCCGCGCTTTCGTGTGGGTAGCCATAGCTACTGTTATCAAAGTGGAAGCATAGAAGCACCGCCTGAATCACGATGACTGATGAGCTGGTATTGCTGCCTTTGAAATCACCTGCTGCATGCCATGCCTTGATCTGGCTCCCAGATTCAGTCGGGCAGCCACTCTGTCTCAGTCGGAGTCAGTCCAGGCGCTGGAATACAGGATTAGTGCATGTCTTCAATGGCCTCTGCACAATGCGGAGGCTACTGTGTATTTAACAGTTCCTTTGAACCGTGGGACATTCAGCGCTGTCCTCTCATACGAGAGAAACTCATAAGATATTGATGGAACCTTAAGCCACAAGTGCATCTCTTGGACACGGTAGGAGAGATTTATGACTCCAACTCATGCGCATGTGTCCTTCCATCCGTACCCACAGCAGAAGGCTTAGGCCATGCTTTATCGCCCATCAGCTCATGCTTCTGACCCTCCGTCCCCAACTCTGGAATACCATGTGGTGGTATCGCAGATTCAACAGGCAGTGCATTTTCTCTACTCGCTTTCTTCAATCTCCTCCGCAGTAATATGATATATGCAACCAACGCCCCAAGTAGAAGGACTCCCAAGGATGCTCCAATCCCAATACCTGCGTTTGCCCCCGTGCGTAATCCATCGGACGCGCTCGGTGCGTCAGAGGATGCCGTTGCTCCCGAAGAGGTAGAGCTCGCGAGGTCTGTGGCTATGCTTGATGTGGATGTGCGCGTGGTAGAGGTCGCGACGTCTGTGACTATGCGGTTTGACGTGGATGTGTGTGTGCTCGAGCTCGTCTCTGTGGAGGTGACATAGATGGTTGTTGGACCAGTTGCAGTAGCCGTAGGGGCAGTGTAAGAATCGATGTTTCAACGTCAAATGGAGTCCCTAGCGACGTCATGAGGAATTACTGCTGCGTGTCTTTTTGGGGACCACTCACCAGGCGCGGACATGGTTGGTTCAGCCAAATGCAGAACTTCGTAATAGTCTCAGTTAGGGCCGCGAAGATAAAAGGGGTTCCATGCGTTCGAGGCAATTGATATGCTGGCGGCTTCCTGCTAATCTGTGCCACTTCAGCTGGGTACGGGATACATAAAGCTGGAATATTCGAGGAAAACTTGTTTGAATTCAGAGTCCTGCTGGGAAGGGATCAGAAACAGCTCTGTCTTGTTGTTTGTAGGCACTGTGACGAGGAACCAGCTGGTGTAACCCCCTCACCTTGTAGCAAGCTACTGACTTGGCGTGGTTTTTATGCACTAACTCTAGTTAGTTACTTTTATTCACATAGTAGTTAATTCACCTCTAGGCGAACTTACATAATAACCCATTAACTAACTAGTGCCAGAGCACTACTTTTATATATGTTTGGTGTCAATGTGGGTGTTAAAGTGCTTAGACTATCTCTAGGAATTTCTTTGCTAAGTTACTATGTAAGGATAACATACCATAGATAATGTCAGCTGAGCTTAGCTTCAATAATTTAATTAAATAATCCTAAGAAGTAGTTTTAATGTGGTAGCACACTGGTTAAATCCAGTTAGTGGTTGTCGCAACCTTGTAATACTGATATATATAAGGTAGCATGACACATCATATTTTTAAGAAGTCCTGCTATTGCATCTTTCACAACTATTCTGTTAATTTTTCCTTATGTAATTCACACATTTTTCTATTTTAATGACTCCCCTGCCCTTGGTATACAAGAGGGGTCCTCTACTGCTTTGTTTTCTAAATCATCCTAATTCTTTAGTGCTAACAGTCACTTTGCTGTGGTTACAGGCACCTATTTATGGTGACTTGCCTGCTAATCTAGCAAGTTAAAAAGTCACCTGCAACGCTAAGGTTAACCTATAGAGCCAGGCAAATGGTAAATTATTAAAGCACACACCCAACTATGGCCTCACAATAACCTTTAGAGAATCCAGATCTTTACACTGTTGGCTGGATAGCCGCTCTTAGAATAAAGCTCACAGCAGCGACTGCAAAGCTGGATGATGGACATGGAGAACTGTGCAATTTTATCCCGCCTCATCACGACACAGATGTATATACCTGGGGCCGCATTGGGGAACACAATGTAGTAATAACATCATTTGCAGCAGGAGAATATGGCGCAACATCCACCGCTACTACTGTGTCACGTATGCTCTTCTCCTTCACTCACATCAGGATTGGCCTTGTTGTGGGAAAAGGAGCTGGAATTGCAAGGCCAGAGGAAGGTCAGGGCATCCACCTCCAAGAGGTAGACACCTGGCCCTAGAGAATGGTACTGCCGTTAATTTCCCAAATTTGGTTCATTGTACGCCTTAAAAAGACAAAAAATAAGTGAGTGATCTAATTATAGACTGCTAGGGCAATGTTAGATAGCATAAGGCACTATAAGCTATGCCCATTATGCTCTATACACCTATGAATAAAAGTAGTCTGTCAGGTAATCCGAACATGTATCACTTTCCCTTCACATTCACCCACTTCAGTGCCAACACACCAAAGACGGCACAGCACGATAGTGTGACGCCCACATAAAAGGTCTGACATAGTGCTTTGTTATACGCAAAGATGACAGCGTCGTATAAGTCCGCTGGAATAAGATTCTTGATCTCAGTTGCGCCGGCATGAAGAATGACATCTGAATCGGCCTTTGGAACATACTTGGCTAGGTTCGTCTGGAGCTGGTTGGTGAACACGTTCTGCGCGACAGAGACCATAACCGCACTCGCTAAGTTCTCCGTGAAGATAATGATGGCCGTACCGATGGGAATGTCCTCTAGCGGGAGCACGCACTGAGGTGCCGCAAAAGCTGTCTGCAGACCGCAGCCGACTCCCGCGCCGAAGAGGAATTGGTAGTCAATCCATTGGGCGGATCCCGAGTCTGGTTTGAGCGTGCTTAGTAAACCGCTGCCGATGGCCATGAAGATGGTTGTGAGGTAGGCGAATGGCACGTAGTAGCCGATTGCCGAGGTGAGAGCGCCACTGCCGAGGGAAAAGGCAACATAGCTGAGGACCATGGGCAGGTTCATGATGCCCGAGCGGGTGGGGCTGGCGTCTTTGATAGCTTGGAGCCAGATGGGAATCTGGGAGAACGCAGTCCAGTCAGCTTCTATCGTATTATCAGTGGTCAAAAGGGTTTGAAGAGCATACATAGTACAGCATCGTGAAGAACGAAGCCACGACACACGAACCGAAGATAGATGAGCCCCAGATGTCACGATTGCTGAAGATCCGGCCCGGTACTGTTGCAAGGTCGCCACTGCAGTATTGAATTATGCCAAAAGTGACAAAGAAGGCTATGGCAAGTACCAAGAGAGCGATGATAACTCCGTCCCTCCATGCGTACCTGGTACCACCCCATTGTAGTGCAAGTAGAAGGCAGATAATCGCAGCTAGCAGGAAAAGAGTACCGGGAAGATCCATTTGCTTAAGCTGGTCTGCAAGACTGACTTTCCCACGTTTACCACCACCCGCGAACGGAGAAATGAAGGCAACGACGATGACAGCGGGCAAGACCCCTAGTGGGAGATTGATATAGAAGCACCACCGCCATGTGAGATTGGGATTATCCGTAAACACACCACCCATGAGAGGGCCCACAATGGCGGCAAGGCCGTACATTGCGCCCATGAGTCCGATCAAAGTCGGTCGTTGGCGAGGCGGCACACAATAAGCTATAAGGAGAAAACAGCCATTGCTAACGCCGCCTGCACCAATACCGGCGATCGCGCGGCCAACGATTAATGTTGTTGATGACGGGGAAACGGCGCAGATCAAGGAGCCCAGTTCGAACAAGAACAGGGCGATCAGGTAGATCCATTTGACAATGTAAAAAGTGTAAAGCTTTCCCCACATCAACTGAAACGCGCAGTTGGTGAGAAGGTAGGCACTTGCATACCAGCCTACGTCCTCAAGGGCGTGGAAGCGATCGGTAATCTTGGGAATGGCGGTGGAGATGATCGTGTTGTCCAGTCCGACTAGGAACATGGCTAGATTCAAGCTTGAGATGATGGCAAATAGCTTAATCTTTCCAGGATATTGCGAATCATCTCCTGGTGCAGTCGAATCGCTCGATTTCTCGGTATCAGCTATTGTCATGCTTTGCTCCTTCCTGGGGAGAGGTGCATCTGCCGGGTGGTGGTCTGCACCCAGAGCCATGGATGCTGCGAAAACCTAACGGAAAGGGAAGACTGGGAGTGATCAAACTGTTGATTGTGTTTGAACTTAGGAGCAGCCATAGTGGACTTAATCAGTTCTTATATGTATTTCTGTCTGTCGTTGAATCTGTTGATGCTCAATTTCGCTTTGATTCCCTTTGGCGTTAAACTGAAGACTCTGGAAAGCAACCATTGGCCACTCCGAATTGAGTGGAGTGTGCCAAGACATGAGTCATGCCGCGTCATGGTGAGAGTTTGCTTGGCAGAATGAGCTTAGTCTTAGTTCGTCCAATGAGGTGAGAGACCAAGGACAACAGTGGGGCCCATTGTGATGATCTCATCTGCTCTCATACGGTAAATGCGCATTCTGTTGAGCTCAAATAATCAGACGTGCCGGATTAAGCGACTGTTTACGGCTGGGAGGCTCAATCTCTTCGATATATTCCCTATCAAATTGTCGATATCTACGCTAAATCGCCCGTTGAGAGTGCATAGCCACATACTGCAGGTCTAGATCTCGTCTTATCGAATAATCATGGCGCTGCAAGGCAGACAGAACCTCCTCATTATTCACTCATTCACTAAGCTCACAGGCTGCAACTACAAAAGGCACCTGTCTCCCACCGTCCGTCCGTCTCTATTGTGCCTCAAGCCATTGCTCATCAAATCATTCATTCCCAAACAAATACGATGGCACCAAAATCAAAGCTGCCGTTCGATCGCGAGCTGGAGTCCCTTCTTCCAGACTATGATGAGTTAATCCGAAGTGGACAGACGCCAGTCCAAGTCCATGACATCCTGCTTCCGGACGTCACTCATGAAGAACACACTTTCCTCGGTACCGACAAAAACCAGCTGATCATGTCAATCTTCCGCAAAAAAGGTCTACCAGACACTGGACCACAAAAACGACCTACCATCTACCATATCCATGGTGGAGGAATGATCATGGGTAACCGCTTCTGCAACCTAAGCGGCCTGCTTGAATTCGTTCGCGACTACGATGCGATTTGCACCACGATTGAGTATCGGCTTGCGCCCAATCATCCCTACCCTGCACCGATCGAAGATTGCTACGCTGGCCTGGTGTGGGTACAAGCGCACGCAGAAGAACTCGGAATTGACCCAGCCCGCATTGTAATCAACGGACTCTCAGCCGGAGGTGGGCTGGCAGCAGGTGTGGCTCTACTATGTCGCGACCGAAAAGGCCCTCTATTGATTGGGCAATCGCTCTTCTCGCCTATGATTGATGAACATAATAATTCAGATTCTGCGCATGAGTTCACTGGCATTGGTATCTGGGATCGCAACGCGAATATGACAGGTTGGAATGCGTATCTAGGTGACCGCAGAGGAACTGGCAACGTCAGTATGTATGCAGCGCCTATCAGAGCAAAGGATCTGGCTGGGCTTCCGCCGGCGTATATTGATGTTGGATCAACGGAGACATTCCGCGATGAGGATGTGCAGTATGCGCAGAATATGTGGCGAGACGGAACACAGTGTGAGCTACATGTTTGGCCGGGTGCTTATCATGGATTTGAGGGGCTGAACCCGGGGGCCCAGTTGTCTATCATGGCGAGGAAAGCGAGGTCGGATTGGCTGCGGCGGGTCCTGTTCTGTTAATTGGATACTCATTACTTGTAACTACTAGTAAAACGTCGTTATAACGAGAAGAATACCTTGCTTCCATTATTTCTCCATACAACATCACATCATTAATAGCAAGCAATAGCTAAGGAACAACATGGTAGGGGAAGAATCGTTCCATCTTTGGTGATGATGGTTTTATCATCCCAGTCATCCACCTCGAGGGCCAAGCCCCGAGATAGTAAGCAGACCAAATTGCCTCACTGTACACGGCTCACGCGCTATCCCTATTCCCTAGTTTGGACAGGATATCGGTAGCCAGCTACGCAGGTATCGGCCAAAAAGCTGAGTCATAGGACCACAGGCCAAGACGTCCGGAGCGCCCTTTAATGCCTTATGCAGATTCTCACGGCCATACTCCACCATATCTTCGTACACCTCCCAGCGCGTCCGCTCACCCAGAACCTTCTCCTTCAGCATCGGAATAAGTGGGTATAGAGGATCATTTGTCCGCAGTGAGAGAGATTCCACCCACTCGGCGTACGTGACCCCGTCCATTGGGTATGGACATATGCTTTTCAACAGGTTGAAGCTTGTACACATATCGATCGCATGCCTTTTGTCCGGATGTACCAGGTTGTAAGCATGTTGTAGATTGTCTTTCGACTTGGATATGTGTAACACAGCGCCCACAATGTAATCCACGGGGATGAATTCCTTGCGCTGACCTGGAAGGAGAGGGTAACATCCCATCTCCATACAGCTTGCGAACACACGGCCGACGAAGTCATCCGGGTTGCAGACCCCTGTTTTGCTGTGGCCGAGTACAAAGCCCGGGCGGTAGATGGCAACAGGAAGCCCATTGTCGATTGCATTCCAGACAATTGCTTCGGCGACATATTGGCTTTGCGCATAGCCCGTGTCGTAATGGAGTGCTGTCAAGTGTGAAGCTGGACGTTCATCCTCGTGCACGAACTTAGTACCCGTCACGAGACCTGTAGGGCCATATGCTGCAATTGTAGAGGTATAGTGAGTTGCTTTTAGACGCTTGTGGTTGGCAAATTCGAGGATGTTGCATGTACCAACGACGTTGTCTGTTCTATGGGACGAATAGGGGGCAACGTAGCTCACTTTGGCCCCGAGATGAAAGACGACGCTGGCCCATTCAGCATAGTAATCATAGTCCCTCCGATTTAATCCCAGGTTCGCCTCACCGAAACTGCCTGGTACAACGACAACTCTATCCAGTTCGGAGTAAATCTGGTATTTACGAAGAATGTTCTCAAGGCGCAACCGCCCAGCGGCTCTATCTTTGCCGCGGATCAAACAAGCGACTTTCTTCACCGTCGGCATTCGCAACAATTCTGCGAGAACGAACGCACCAACGAAGCCTGTAGCACCTGTAAGGAAAACACGCCCCTCAGAAACATCTTCCCAGTCGACGACTGTGCCGGGTAGAGGCTTCAAGTGCTGCCCCAGTTGCGAGTCCTGCAACCATAGCTCCTGTTCAGCTTCGTGGGTAAGCTCCATACTTTTGTCCTGATTATTTTCTAATAGATTGGCAAGGCTCCTTAGGGTCGTATTTTCGTAAAGCATCGAGGCGCGCAGCGAGACTCCAAATGTACGGTTAATTTTAGCGAGCAAAGTTGCGGCCATCAATGAATTGACTCCCATCGCCATGAAGTCATCAGTTGGATCGAAGTCTTCACTGGGAAGACTTAAAACGTCAATACAGAGGGACTTTAATTTGGCCTCCACGTTGCCTGTATCCTTGCCCGCAGGTCGGGTTGTCATGCACGAATCTTCAAGTTTTGCGAGGTATCGATGCTCCAACTCCTTGCGATCTGTTTTACCACTGGTCTTCAGCGGCAATGAACCCATGAGTTCAATGCGAGGCACGATGAGATGGGAGTATCTTTCAACATATGCTTTAGTTATGGCGGCAACAGTGACGCAAGGCGATATGGGGACACAGAATGCAACCAGAAATGGACTTCTCCCCACTCCTTTGGGAGTAATTTTAATCACTACTGCGACACTGACGAGGTTTGTTCTGACAAGGTTGGATTCCAAAGCCTCAATCTCGACCCTTTGGCCCCTTATCTTCACTTGGCTGTCTCTCCGACCAACGTAGTAATAGACACCATCTTCACTCATACGCATCAGGTCGCCTGTTCGGTAAATGTGTCCTGGTCCTCGGTTGCTGTTGAGTGGAAGATGAGGAAGGGGGATGAAGCTTTTGGCTGTCTTTTCGGGCTCTCCGATGTAACCGCCAGCAACTCCTGCACCCGCCACAAGGAGCTCACCGATAACGCCGGGCTTCACGGGCATCAGGTTTTCATCCACGAGAAAGGTCTGTACGTGGTTGAAAGGCTTTCCCACGGGTATCTGGCCCTGCTGTGCCTCCTCCCGCGAGACATGATGCCAGAGTGAGTAAACACTGCACTCTGTGGGCCCGTAGCCATTGATGATACGCCGTGGTGCCCCTCCCTCAAATATGGATCTGATGGTTTGAGCATTGATCGCTTCGCCACCGGTGATTAGGGTGTCAAGTGAGGAAAAGGCACTTGGCGAAGCGTACACAGTGATATCAAGTAGTGATGTTGTGAGTTGTACAACATTGAGCTTCAGGCTCTTAATCTGGTGAGAGAGCTCTATAGGGTCGAGTACTGTTTCCATAGGAATGCAAACTATTGTCGCCCCATTCAGTAAGGTGCCCCAGATCTCTACCAACGAGATATCAAACGCCACACTCGCTATATGACCGACACGGTCACCTTTCTTTACAAAGGCAGAAGGATCGTGACAGAGGTTGATCAGCCCCTCTGCAAAGGCTTCGACGGCTTTTGGCTTGCCAGTCGTGCCAGAGGTATGGAGGATATGAGAACAGCTCTTGGGGCCCTTGAACAACGGCTCAAAGCTAGTATCAAAAGTCTCAGTCGTGTGATCAGCGAGGATGTGTGTGAAAGTCGGAAGTCGATGTGTGTTCTTTTGGTCGCATATAACGAGGCTGGAGTTGATATTGTGCAGCATGTTACTGAGATGATCATCAGGCATATTGAGATCAAGAGGCACGCATGATCTACCAGAGTAGAGCACGGCAATCTGGGCCAAGATATGGTTTATTCCTCTCGGGATGAGGATTCCAACCGGGGTTTCGTGGCAGGGGCAGAGCCCATGAATCTGCTGGGCCAGATACAGTGCTTTCCAATGCAGATCAGCATATGATAATGCATGACCATCGCTCTCAACCGCTGCTGCTGCACCGTTTGCAGAGGCCTGCGCTAGGAAAAGAGCCCCAAGGCCTAGGTTCCATTGATCCTCTTCAGAAAAGACCATCGTGCTGGGAAACGGCGCAGTAGGCATAATGAAACGAGCAGCAAGTAGCGGCGGATCGTCTGTCAAAATATGGTATCCTGTATTATTAGATGATGAGAGTATGCAGTTATCAATGATCCTAAGTTAAAACAACTTGAGTGTACGCCTCTAATCACACCTATTTATCAAACTACTGCCATTGTCAGTAGGAGCTACGTGTGGTGGGATCCGAATCCTCCAATGGATCTAAGCCCACGTCTACCAGTATCATAATAGTGTTATTCATTGTGAACCTGGCCCAGATCTATGACGGTATGTAGGGATTTGGAACCACCAACTTTCCTAGCTACTGTTCTCCGGTTATGAACTCACCCTCCATCAATGGTGGTGTCATACACGGAAATCATCGCCAGTAATGTCCAAGGGTGAGGCGGCACTTTGCTCTAAATTGCAGACAATTGGAAAGCGATCTTCCGCAAACAGCATAAGTAGTGCAACAGAGTGTTTCCTAGTTGGTAGAGGATATGTACGTTATTACTATAGGTATTCAACGGGTTTGAGTGTCCCGACAAAGAGGGGCATAGCCTAGAGTGACGCGACGCAAGGAATCGACAATATTGTCCTAAGAGCGGAGAGAGCTATGTTCACGTATCCTTCGTCGGCTGAACAAAGACAGCTGTTCGACCCGAGATCTGTCGAGGTAGCCTTGCAGTGATATGGTGCATCCAGTCCTTTGCATTGCGTTGACAGCTTTATAGAGCCCCCGAGGCGTTGGGTAATAAAAAAAACATTGCTAGTTAACAATTGTACAATTTTCTATGCACCTACTGTTCAATATCCTGGACCCCTTCCTTCATTTTGCAACACGGTCTCGATCATAGAAGTCGTACTTGGGCAGATCAGTACCAATAGTCAATCAACTTTCAGCTTGCAATAGATAGCATAGTAGAGATGTGTTGAACCGGTTCAAAGAAGTCTCTAGTTTACTTAATGGATTGCATCATATAATCCGTACTACATTCAGATAAACATCCTTATATGAGGATTTGCCATTGATGTCATACGTCTAACTTTGGATATGATATTGACCATACTATACTGATTCCAGAGTATAGGATGTGAGGGTTGTGTACCACACTTGTATGTTGATTGTAAAAGAAAAAGTCAATAAAACAGAGTTGCTTAAGTACAGAGTGAGAATAACCGTAGACGGTCATTGGGAGATCTCAGACGGTTACGTTAATGTGGCCAGTCAATTGATTTCGACGCTTTTCACCCACTTGAGCTTCCTATCGGTGGTGTAGCCAGTCGAGAGCGTCATGGATCCGCTTACTGCTAAGCAAATTTGCATTATCCGCATTTTCCGCATGGTGAAATCATCTCATAACAAAATTTTTCAAAAACAATATGCACCGGAATTGCAACCTTGCAGTTGCAAGCTGTTCTATGGTGATCTGGGCGCGATTATAGACATTACGTACTGCGGATAGCGGTATCCAACTGTGTCTGGGCGTACAAGTCGCTCTGCTGGATGCATGCAGCCATGCCTAGGCCCATCTGAGATTCTGTCCCAGCCTTGAAAGAAATATAAAAGTAAGTAATTCTTGTTCAATGTTGAGGTTCTCCTTTAGTTCTCTACTCCAAAGAAAGCAGCAAAATAGCGACGAGAATCATGTCAGCCGGACCGAAGACAATTGCAGTGTATGGTGCTACGGGTAAGAAGCCGACAGCTCTACGTCATAACAAGTAATTGACAAGGTGAAGGTACTCAGGGGACCGCAGTCTCACAGAGCTTGCTCCAGAGCAAGCAGAACTTCGTGGTGCGGGCAATTACTCGGAATCCTAAAGCACCCAAGGCTCAAGCACTTGCTCGCCTGGGAGCAGAGGTGGTGCAAGCAGATGGTTTCAATGATGACGAGATGCTGGCGGCGCTCTCTGGCGCTTGGGGCTTTTGGCTCAATACTCATCATCACGACCCAGTAAGCTTTCGCAGAAAAGTCTACTAAGAAAACAGGCTAACTACCATCGCAGGCACTCCTCACTCCTGAAGGTCCCGATGACGAGGCGTTTGGCAAACGCCTTGTAGCGATTGCTGCGAAAGCGGGCATCAAGGTCTTTATTTACAGTACGTGCGAGTCTCCTGCTACGTTTACGTACAACAAGGCACCGGTACCTGGTATGGATGGTATGTAGAATCTCCCTCGCCACATGAGTCTATTCTGACATTGCAGCATAGGCAAGAACAGAGTCGAGATGTTTGCTCGAAGCTTCAAAGAGTTTGATTCTGTCATTGGTGCCTTTCCGGGATGGTATATGGAGAATTTCCTGGATGAGGAATATGTGTCTTGCTTTGGAGGCTTTCCGTCTATTCCCGATGCCGAGGGCTATCTTAGCTTTCACAGCCCACGTTGGGGAGGGGATGGGAAAGTTCAGTTTATCTCAGTCGCCGATGACTTTGGAGAGATGGTCCATGGAATGTTCCTGAATCCAGCAAAATGGAAGAACAAGACCATCCAATGCTTTAGCGACACGTTTACTTACGATGACATGGCAAAGATATTTACTGAAGGTGAGTACCTAGCCTACCCGAAACCAATCCATGACAGCAGCATAATCTAATCAAAACTTATTTACAGTTACCGGAAAGAAAGCTCGATATGTGCCCATGGACTCGTACAACGATTTCCCCACCCATGGCAGTACCGTTTTGGAAGAGGTCCAAGATGTTTTTAGATACGCCCAGGCAAATAACGGCTGGTTTTTCGGAAATCCAGACAATATCGACGACGGGCGTGCCCTCAAGGAAGCAGCTCGGAAGGATAAAGGACTGCCGGTTGAGCCACTCATCTCTGTGAAACAGTATTTCCAGAAACATTTCGCCTATCCAAACTAGTATTAGAAACTGCTGTGGATAAGCACATTATGTCAACGTTGTTCAGTGATCTTTACTTAATATTCAAGCCTAATAGCCAAGTAATCCCAGATCTCTACATACTCTTAAGGATATCCCGGCCCGTTGGATGGTCAAACCCTAATTCACAGTTTAAATGAAAGGTGGTAGAAGCTTGTTTCATAGAGTATATACGGGTATTTGGAAGCATGATGCTGCCTTGACAAAAATCAAGATGAAGCAGCATGGTTTCTAGAAACTTGGTAAGCTGGTACTACCGGTGAGGCAGGCTCCTTCCCTTTTTAGATATTCCTGTCATAGGGGCTTGATGAGGTCTCGGCCCTGTGGCCCGCGATATTTTAAACTTTCAACTGTCTCAATGGTACGTAAGCGATTAGAGGTTGCTCTTTCATCTACAGACCGTCGGCTCTCTCGGCTGTCAACCCCCACACGCCGCCTACTACAATCTTGTCCTCCAGTCTCACTCTTGTTTATTTCTTGGAATATATGGAATGTAGAGTTAAAGATTTACCGACAGACGTCATATCGAATAATTTGCTTCTACTGAACCAATGGACTAAATAATCCACATACTGCGGTGTGCTGGCTGGTTGTCACAGACCACCGAGCAGCAGGTAAGTTAGTAGTCGAAAATTCAGTGGCCAACCTCGCCGTGACACAGCAATGATGACGATTTGAAAAATGTCAAGGTTACTTGTAAATTATAAAGAATCCCTCGGCGTATTGTTCGAAACCAGGAAGCTACACCAAGCCGCTTTTCGCCCAGAGGGAACCTCGAGTAGGCTCTTTTTGTACCGACTAGTATTCGCTGCTCTCCGAAGGATGGCTTTCCAGGAGCTTAGAGCACATCTCGACGGTCATGCAACCGTTTTATTTCCAGGCGACCAGGATTGGGATGATAGCGTAAAGCGATGGTCTGCTATAGGCTTTCGACAACCGGTACTACCCTTCACCTTTATAAGCCATTGTTTCCTTATTGACACAGTCCGTACAGGGTGTCGTGGTTCTTCCAACCGATACTCAGGGAATAGCAAGGACGGTGAGGTATGCAAAGGATCACAAGTTAGATCTAGCGGTTCAGGGTGGAGGTCACTCCAGCAGCACAGCTGCGTCGACTGATGGAGGAATACTTCTGAACCTCGGCACGATGAACCGAGTGAGCGTCGATACTAGCACCCGGACAGTCACCGTTCAAGGTGGTGCAACATGGGCTGATGTGGCCCGAGAAACTGCTAAGTACCAGCTAGCCGTCAACGGAGGCACAACAAGCCAGGTTGGGGTTGGGGTCTCACTCTGCGCGGCGGCTTCGGATTCTTGACGCCGCAACACGGTGTTACGCTCGACACTCTCCTTGCGGCGAAAGTGGTCACTGCGGATGGGATCGAGTTGCAGGTGTCCAACAAGGAACACTCGGATCTATTCTGGGCTATTCGAGGTGCTGGACCAAATGTTGCAGTAGTGGCTGAATTCAAATTCCAAGCATACCCACAACCAAATTTGGTCTGGTCTGGGTTGAGAATCCACGCATCTAGCGATGTATCGAAGGTCATTGAAGCCCTGAATCAGGCGCTTGTTCACCCCCAAGGCAGAGCAGCAGCGCAGTGTATTCTGTGTTTATCCCCGGAGGACGAAAGAACCCCGACTGTCACTACGATAATATTCTACGACGGCTCCGAGGAAGAGGGACGGAGACACTTTGCTCAGTTGCTTGAGGTGGAATGCATCAAAGACGACATTAAAATGAGACCCTATCGCGAAACTATCGGTATCTGGGATCGGCTGGCGCCCCCTGGGGGTCGGAAAAGGGAACTAGGGATCCAAATGACGTTACCACCCCGGCTTGCGTTTGTCTCAGAGCTCATGGACAAAATCAGTGATAAACTTACCAAGGAGCCAGACCTGGCTAAAACTGACTTGGAGATCGACTATCTTGACCCGACCCAGATCTGCCGTACTTCCATTACAGAGACCGCTTTCCCTACGCGTGTTGTTGATCTCCTGCATGCGACGCTCATGTTGCAGTGGACTGACGCCGGCAAGGATGAGGACTTTCTCTCATGGGGACAGTCAATCCAGAAGATGTGTGAAAATGAATTAACTAACCAAGGCCACAAACTGGCACACACAGTCTCGAACTACAATGGTTACACTCAAGGTTCGTCGGTGTCAATAGGTGAAAGAATCATTAAGGTAGCAAGCTATACTGACAGCCATAATAGAAATGAAAGTGGCAGCTGCAGATATGTTTGGCGTAAATGCGGAGCGCTTATTGCAGATCAAGGCAAAGTATGATCCAGCCAATATTTTCAACAAACTTAACCCACTTGATCGGGATTTATGAATCAACATTAGCGCACAACTGGTTGCTAAAGTTATAAAAGTCGCATTCAACTATTATTCAACATTGCAGATGGCAGCCTTCCAATTCTTTATTTTACTGGATGTGATTCTTGAGTGGTCAATATTGATTTTACGTAGCCTATATGCCGGCATAACCAAACCGTAGAAATTAGAACCAACCCTAGCGTACCTCCTAGGGTCAGCTAAGCTGACTAGTGTCATACCCTGGGATCCATCTCTGCTATTCTCTGCTAGTCACTACCTTTCGAATTGAGATTAGATTCCCTGCTTGATGAGGTGAGGTTCTGTGCCTTCATCAAAGTTCCAGATACTGGCATGGGGTTCGCACAGTCATGAGCTCATTATGCTGCTAGGCATAACTAAGACCTTCAGTAAGACTCTTTAGTTATTCCTTAGACTATTAAACTTAAAACTCCTAGTATCGTATCTTTTGTTAAGCCTTACTGTAAACCTTGACATCCAGCTTGTCGAGGTGAGATCTTCAACAGCTACAGGCAGGCTGGGGTTTGACCAGTACAACCAGCCCATGTCGAGTGTCTATGACGACATACGTGTAACAGTTCCCGGTTTGTTTATGCTTTATAGCCACTTTACAGGGTCTTACTCAAAGCGGCCCATTATGCCCCTGGATCCATCAAGACGAAGAAAGTCAAAAGGATAGCATTCTCATCATGTAGACAAACGTCCTGGCATTGTTGTAGCCATTGATACTGAGATTAGACAATTATTCTTTAGTATTCTAATGGACTATCGTAATCAAAATGACCCGGAATGTTCACTTAGTTACATCAATCAGTCTGATCCTCTCCAGTAGGGTTGTGATATTCATTCCACTAGCAGTTCATCTTTCCGACCCGCCTCTCGGCGAACCTTAACCAGAACTTGAAATTGTTGAACCCTAACGGCGCCTCGGTACTCTGGCTCTTTTTGGTGGTTCTTCATTACCTTAATTCCTAGCAAATTGTCTGTTGCTGTACCCATCATACCCTACCTTTACACTTAAGTCTATGGTCACCGGCTTTACCAATTGTTGCTGTTTGTTTAGATTTCACGTTTTCCTCATGTCCCTGTTACAATAATATTTGCTTTCAAAAATTATTTTAAATTAACATAACTAAAGAATACTTGCATATACTGTACCAGACGCCAGTCAATGTATATTAATACATTAATAACAAATGTTATGGCTGCCATCAGTTGCTTTATCAGCTGATGACTGGTTGGTCGTGTAACCTTACTCTGTTTCTGTTTCTGTTTCTGTTTCTGTTTCTGTTTCTGCTTTCCTACAAGCAATCTCCGGTGCTTGTTGCTGGGATGTTCTGTATCTATGCTACCACCCCCTATTCTAGATAAATACACTTTATTAATAGTCTTGTACTCCATCCTAGAGGCCTAAATTCTTTCATCAGCCCTATCTTAATTATCATCCGGCCCCTTCTCAGGTCTAGAGGGACTGTTCATCAGATCATGGGAAGCTATTCGTGGTTTGCATTCAAGCACAGCCTAGAAAAGGTCTTTCAACTGGCTCATTTTGACAGGCTCTGTAGGGATGCAGGAGCATTCAGCATGGGGACCACTCTGTTTTACACCCCTAAATTTGTCATATCTGAGCTCACGAGCCTCGTAAAAGCCAGCAGCATCTTCAAAGTCAGCAGTGTTGACCTGGCCCCTCGTGTCAGCAGCGTTTGCCAACAGCTTTCTAAGCTCATCTGCATCAAACGGCGGCGTTGAGGGGCCAAAAGGGATTGAGGCTAACTTGTATTGGCTTTTCTTCAAAGCTTTCCCGAATCCCTGCCATATCCACGCCGGGAATATTACATTGGTTGGTTCGGTTGATCAATTCCTCCACAATTGCGCTAAGGAGCAGCAGCTGATCTGCTTTGCTGTAGCTGTCTCACCGCCTGAGCTACCACCTCCCTGTGCAGTTAGACGACAGCGTTGCTTGCACCTCTTTCTCTAATTTGAGTGATGCCTACGCCACCTAACAGGAAACCTGCCTACTGAACGTAAGTCTTCTTTCGCTGCGCAAGTGCTATTCTAGATCTGCGCTGTTATCTCAAGATCCATTGATGTACTGATGTTATTATTGCTTTTGGCAAAACAGAACCTCCACCCCGAAGCTCGCTTTTTTGATGCAGCAGGAAGCCAGAACAACCCTCAACTAGCCGAGTTGTCACCGTAGCTTATGCAATGACGGCTTCTCTAGCGCATGATGATTACACAGTGGCATGGATTTGCGCCTTGTCATTGGAAGCAGCCGCCGCGAAGGCCATGCTCGATGAGATTCATGATCCGCTTCCTCAACCGCGTACCGATTACAACACTTACACGCTGGGTAAAATAAATGGGCATAATGTGGCGATTGCCTGCCTACCTTGTGGTGTTTACGGGACAACATCTGCAGCAACTGTTCTAGCGCATATGTTACCAACGTTCCCTTCTCTCCGGTTCGGGCTGATGGTTGGCATTGGGGGCGGAGTGCCTACTGGGGATACTGACATCAGACTGGGGGATGTCGTAGTATGTATACCAAGAGACCGCTCAGGGGGCGTCATACAGTATGACTACGGCAAGACACTGAGTGGTGGACGCTTTCAATGCACTGGCTCGCTCAACAAGCCTCCCCAATTTCTGCTGACTGCGGTATCTGACATGCGCAGTAACGATTTTATGAGGGAGAGACCTATTGGAGGAATTATATCAGAAACTCTACAGCGTCACGAAGAAATGACGAAGCAATTCTCGCGTCCTGACAAAGATTGGCTTTTCCGTTCGACATATCAGCATCAAAGCAACAGCCGTGATTGTTCTTTATGTGATTGTGCTCAACTCGTACCTCGTTCTCCACGAGCGTCAAACGAGCCACATGTTCATTACGGCACCATTGCCTCTGGAAATTAAGTTATGAAAAATGCCAAGACACGAGACTCTATTGGCCGAAAGCTGGGCATTCTCTGCTTTGAAATGGAGGCGGCTGGCTTGATGGATCACCTCCCATGCTTGGTAGTTCGAGGCATTTGTGACTATTGCGATTCCCACAAACAGAAACAGTGGCAAGGATATGCAGCACTTGCTAGTGCTGCATATGCGACGGAGCTGCTTCGTGTTTTGAACCGCGCAACGGAGACTGTAGTGCAGCCACAGGCCAGACAAGTAGGAAAAGGTGAGTAAAATGGCACGATTTAGTGATTTTCAGTCTATTCTATGGATGGGATCCAGTCCGCGATAATGGATTTTCAGCCTGCTGTTCTGCTACCAGTGGCAGAAGCTTCTCATGAACTGCATGGATTCTTTCTAATAATCCACCTACTATTTTGAATAGGCGAACCAGTGCATCCCGCCACTACTATAATGGTATCGATAACGCTGCTCTCGACCATAGTACCCACAATTTCCGACATCTTCCGGTCATCATGGAACTAAGACTACGTTATTTGATCTGCGCAATATTCCGCCTACAAATCATCATGTTCGCCACATTCATAATCTGTCTTATCTTGAGAGTGACCTTATTCTGCCTAACTCGGTTTATTATTCCACCTGGCGTATGGCTGTTTCCGAATTTGTTTGCAGACTGTGGGTTCTTTGCATCATTCAGTCCCCTTTGGACTTGGAATAAGGTACGTAGCTGCTTGTCTTTCATCAAACTACTGTTGATGGTAGTAGCAAGTACGGCATCAAGGGAAAGCGCGGTTGGATGTCAGCATAACAAGCTGCAGGAGTCACTTTACTTCTTCCGACCTGATCGCTTATCTCCTTTGCCTGACCATTGTTCTCCTTGCCTTCATTTCCGACTATGTCATAACGACCAATCAAAATACGGATCTGTCAACATTTGGATGGGTTAAGCTTGCGTTCAGCCAAATGTACCAATATCTTTCTTATGGCTATTTCGCTATCGATGGTCAGCAACTGGATGTGTCGACGATGGAATGGATCACGTCAATTTGTGAAAGAATGTGCCGCTGGCGCACTCTGTCGACTTTTGATTTCATAAATCTTGGATTAGACTTATTCATCCGACGGCCGATTCGTGTTGGATAACTCGGAGCTATGAAGTACCACCATACAGAAATAGCAGTTGAGGTACAAGGTGACACCTCCATCATCAGGAGAAAACACCCATGTCTTTCGTTAATGCAGTGACATTGTTATATATCCATTTCTCATCAACATTCTCGATGCGGGTTTTCATCGTCAGCTGATTGACTAACACTACTTACATTTTCAGCTGGTTCAGAGCTATTGAACAGAGGCCTGTCCATCCATGCCTGCGCTGGAAGATAATTCCACCAGGACATGGCCACAATCTTGACTCGAAAAGGACAGGGTCACCTCAGATCGCCTCAGGCATTCAATCATTTTTATAACGCATTTGGCACGTGATACCTTCTACTGAGGTTGTTGTGACAGACCAATAACAGAATTTGTTATGTAGTGCCATATATTTCTATTTATAGACAATATAGTGATAGATAAGTATAAGGGTTAAGTATATGATATATTTAGAGTAATTCCATCAGCAGAAGCTGGTTTTAGCTCTGGAAGTTAATTATCTAGCCACGGAGCTGAATCCAACCCTCCATTGAAAGTACTCGGTTGCATAAGGGTCCATGACGGACAAGGAACGGCGAAATGGGTGTCGGTTTAGAAAAGGGGACTGTACAAGGGATATATGACCAGTAGGTGTCGTTTCAACGCAATCGAAGGGGAGGTGGTGACAGGGATCGGAATCCCCTGTTCGGTTCTAAAAACGTAGGAAGTGCAGGCTACATTAGAGTAAGTCTGGTTGACAATAGAAAGAACACAGTTATGCATGCCTTTTGGGCTTGAAACTATGGCCTTTCCATACTGCAAGTCGCTGCTTTTATAGGCACTAGTTAATCTTACTTCCATTAACATCATACCCAGTGGGCTTATTGTTTTGTTTCTAGCATAGTAGCCTTTTATTTAGGCATTTATTAGATCCTTTGACTAATACGATATATTTTCTGGAGCAGGAGCTTTATTTAATAGTAGATAAGACTTTTATCACATACTTCTCGGGACTGCTTATTTAGCTAGTGTAATTTCTTACTGTAAAGACCTAAAAGCTACTGTCGATAGGACAGTAGTATACCGCTATCTTCAATTTCTGTAGCCCCAGCCAAATGAAAATAATACCTTTCATGGAATCGTCATGGTGACCTTTTGGTGTTCAGTTGTGGTTGGTAGCTACCTAGAACACATACTTTCACAAAATGAGTGCATATACTTAAGCTAATAAACGGGATATTAAATCAATGGAGAAGGTTCGTCCTGCTTAGTCTCTATTCAACGCAAAAGATATATTCCTGCATATCTGCGAGCTCTAACTATATCTGTGCACTTGAAATTCTCGAGGTCGCCTCTCTTACGCCTCTTCTCGACGTTTACCAAGGAAAGAGGCATATAGCGGCCAGACATCACATACTCGGTGAACGACGGAGCATTATAATCGTTCGGGCTAAAGGTCGCCTTCCTGATTGACACTTCCTCCATTTAGTGAGTGGAGTTGGCTTCACCGAAAGTGTTACACTGCACAAATTGCAGATGATCATTTGCCCTCTGGGACCCAGGCCGACCGATTCTCCTGCGCAAAGAGATCGAAGCTCCTCGGAGGTCGCCCAGTCACCTTTTCAACTTCATCATTCTCCCGTGTTTCAAACCCAGCTGAGGCCGCAACCTCCAGCTTTGTCAAAAAGCCCGCATAGTACTCGGAGACACCCGCGTTTACCAGGCCTCGGTACCGCTCCTCTCCTGAAAGCTTGACGTGCTCGATCGTTCGTCCCAGGACATGACTCAGCTTCTCGGCGATATCATCGTACGTCAATAGTTCAGGGCCCAACACCCGGTGGTCACAGTTGTGTGACTCGGGATCCGTCAGAGCGCGATAGGCGACGGCCGCGATATCCATAGCGCTGACGAAGGGAATTTTGCCCTGGCCGCAGGCAGTATAAATCTTGCCTTGGTCCCGGATGAGTTGGCGCGGGCCATCCTCGGTTAGATTCTCTAACCAGCGAGCAACATCAGCACTATCCCTTCAACGACAACTCTTTCGCGGCTCACCCATAAACCAACTCGGCCGAAGAACACACCAGTCCACCTGCTTGTCCAGAAAATGCTGCCAAACCATGCCCATGCCCGGCTGCCCACATTCGGCCGAGCTACCGGCCACGAGAACGAATCGACGGACGCCGTGCTCCTCCAGCGCGTAGTTAATGAACTCATTCAAGGGCTTCCATGGCTCCGGCGCCTGGGGTTCCATCAGATAGATGGCGGAGATTACCTGGTCCCTGACAAACTTGTAGTCGAACGGAATGCGCCAGGTATCCTTATCTAACCAGTCGAACTTGACAGCTGGCATGTCGGGAGGAGCGGCGGACTGGCCGCGGCGGGAGGCTAGTAGGAAAGGGATATTATCATTTTGGAGGAAGCGCGCTACTCGGATTGATGTTTTGCCCGTGCCTCCAGTCAAAAGGATTGCCATGATGAGTGTGTGCCGATATCGTTAGATGGAAATATGTATCTAGTGCTGAGTTTGTGCTCACACATTAGGGTTGGAGCCGGATCTCAACCAACCCTCCCTTTAAACCCCAATCTCCCCTGCCGGAGTTAGGATTTAAGATCCTGAGGTCCGACGTGGGGAGCAAAGTCCGTCGGACCTGATGCTCCCGGGCAAAGGGACAGGGGGTATGTCAAGAAATGAGCATTCTACCGACTCGATTCGGGATCCGAGGCCCGCCACGAGCAAGGAACCATCCTGGAGAGATTTGATGTCTTCCTTTGAAAGTACAGATCCGACAGACTTCATTCACTTGGGTGATGACGGGGTTCTCAGACACTTCAACGAATCGGGTGCTATTCTTAACTATGCACCACTGAGCCCGCAGCAGATTAGCCAGGCACTTTCCGATACTTCCTCGCGCGACACTGCGGAAGACAAGGGACATTTTTTCCAAGTATTCAATGGTGTGGATGGTCGTACTGTCAGGGCTCCGGCCCTCCTATATCCACCCGAGGAACTTTTCCCAACAAAACTTCCTCAACAACCAAAAGCCATCAGATACGTTCGAACTTCCGCGATTTGATCTCGGTCTGGGCCCAAGGCAACATTGTGTTTCTCGTGCTTGCACTCCCAAGGACAATTGTAGGAAGTATGCAGGATGCACACGTGGTTTCGTTTAAACTAGAAAGAGCCAGGCTGAGTTGAACAGCCGGGTTCTGGATGCGTGGGACGAGCGGAAGAATCCGACCTTTGACGCCCAGCGGGGGAATCGGCCCAGCCGGGGAGTTGTCGGCCGTTGCCTCTTCGCTGACAAATGAGGGCTCCAGGGATCGACACAAGAAAATAGAATCCGGCCTTCATGACGGCGGAGCAAGGAGTGGGCAGCCGGACGCTGGTTAATGGGGCCGTTACATGATGGATGGTAGAGGGCGGATGACAGCTTGCCGTGTTCTGTGCGGGATCATGAGGGATTCGAGGTGCAGAAGAAGCTTTGGTGCGAGTTCCATGCTGTTCTGGAAGAGATTCAACTTGGAGTAACGGCAATTTGGGTGAAGTTTAGGAGATTGATATCCTGGTGCGCACGTTACGTAGAAAAGACCGGCCAGGGCCAGGCTAGTCTTTCCCCCCTTCATATGTGATTCGTCACTTCGAACTGATAAGCCTAGCCCTGTCCGGCCCTCCTGTACTCTTTTGTATTTGGTGTCTCTGCCACTCAAGGCATAGCAATCATGGTCACCATACCTCCTTCACCCACGCAGGTTTTCATAATTGGCGCGTCGCGACGCTGAAACCGTCGTTCGGGAGCTCGAGGGCATACCGGGTATCACCCCTCGCGACTATCGGTTTAAATGGTCGGTTTCACAGCGATGAGTACGATGTCGATTAGATGGAATCTATCCATCAATTCTGCGACACCCATCCAGAGTTCCAGCCCCCAGATGCATCGCAGATGTCCTGTTGGACCCGTTTCGGCGTTGCTTCGGGAAATCAGATGACGTCTCCTTCATCCAACTCGAACAGTGTGGTTGGATGCAAAGGCGCAGGATACGGAAGATTGCGAGTCGTGCAGGACGACGAGGCAATCGAATGACAGCACCCTGCACGTCTCGGAATAGATCCTCTTTTTCTCGACCGAAGAATAAGCAATCACAGGCTCAGTTTAGCCGCTTCGAGCGTCTGGTGGACCACAATCAATGCCTAGCTCTGCTCCACGACGACGACGCCGACAACTCTATTCTCGGCCCGGGGGACCTCTATGAAGCTTTCTCCGAGGTACAGTATCTCCTTTGCAAAAATTGGAATAGCATATATTGGTAAATTGCCTTTCACAATGAGATTCACAATGAGAGTCTTCTACAGTGAATAAAGAGGCTACCCTACCAATGCTCTCCACCAATCTACAATATGTAGATCACAAGCCGAAGTCCATATTCAACTTAATCTAGCATAAAAGGCAATCAATCAAACATAATCGTTAACATACACTTGCTATACGCTCAAACGCAATAAGCATATCACCGTTGCAACCGAATACGAACAGCCAACACTAGCCTCATCGGCGTCCCAATTAGGAAGGTGCTGTCTTGGCCTCAGTTAAACAGATATAAGTATAAGCATCCAATAACCCTGAAAACGTCCCGCATCATCATCTCGCGAATCCATCCAACCTCAAAACACCACAACCATGCTCCAAAGCAAGATCACCCTCCACCCCGCCGTACTCGCAGACGCCCTCCCCTCGCCCAACTCCACAACGCTGCCTTCACCAACGACGACCTCATAGAAACAATGTACGGCCCTCTTACCCAAGACGACCCGCCTTTCGCGACCGATCTGCAGAAAATCATCGCCGACGACCCACACGCCCGCATCACAAAAGCCGTCGATACCGAATCAGGCCGCATCGTCGGCTGGTCATGGTGGTGTATCTACCCCGACGCCGAGGCGCATGCCACAGCAGCAGAAGAGGCTAGGAAACGAGGTACCATTCCGCCGGCGACATCGCTGTGTCCGCGGTTGTATCTCGATTATCAGGATTTGAAGGCGAGGATGAGGGAGAAGTGGATTGGGATTAGGGCTGTTGCTAGTACGTCTGCTTTCATGTTTGCAATTTCATTGTTTGATTTGGGTGTTGGGGGTGAGGCTGATTGCATAGGTAGTTCTGCAACTGTTAGCTGTTCATCCCGACTATCAAGGTCGAGGGATTGGGACGAGATTGTTGATGGTTGGGGTGGAGGAGGCCAGACGGTTAGGCTTGCCTGCCTGGTTGGAGGCTTCGGAGGCTGGGTATAGTGTCTACAGACGGTGTGGGTTCTACGATGCGGAACGGATGGAGTTGGATTTTGGCAAGTATGGGCTTAGCGGGATGGAGCATGTTTATTGTATGTTGATGGACGGTAAGCAATCCTCCATCAGTACAGTTGACAATTGAGATTTGTACATGTCGGCGTCGACGCTTAATATGCCTTGCATTAAAAGCTATTCAAGTACCTAGGTACGCAATTTTGGCTGTGCATAAAACATATACACTAGGAGATTCATATCTCATAAGAGTATCGACATCACAAACGAGCGGGAATAGTCTGCTTGCCCTTCAGATCAAACCGATCCAGATTCATAACCTTGTTCCACGCGGCCACGAAATCCTTGACGAACTTCATATCACCGTCGTTGCTGGCATACACCTCTGCAATAGCACGCAGCTCAGCATTCGAGCCGAAGACCAGGTCCGCGCGAGTAGCAGTCCACTTCTTGCCACCGGTCTTGCGATCGCTTCCCTCGAACAGTTCGCCGTTCCCGGCGTCCTTCCACGCGGTGTTCATGTCCAGCAGGTGCACGAAGAAGTCGTTCGACAGGGCTCCAGGACGGGATGTGAAGACACCGTGCGCGGAGCCATCGTAGTTGGTGTTGAGCACCCGCAGACCACCCACCAGGACGGTCATCTCGGGTGCAGACAGGTTCAGCAGCTGCGCCTTGTCGACGAGGTAGTGCTCCGCGCGCGGGCGGGCAGGCCCCTTGGCGAAATTGCGGAAGCCATCGGCGAAGGGCTCCATGTGGCTGAAGGACTGGACATCCGTTTCCTCCTGGGAGGCGTCCATGCGGCCGGGGGTGAATGGCACCTTGATCGGGTGGCCGGCGTCCTGCGCGGCCTTCTCGACGGCAGCGCAGCCGGCCAGGACAATGAGATCAGCGAGCGAGATCTTCTTGCTGTCGCCGCGGGAGTTGAAGCGCGACTGGATGGCCTCCAACGCGGAGAGGGCCTCGCGCAGCCAGGGCTGGTTGTTGACTTCCCAGTCGCGCTGCGGGGTCAGACGGATGCGTGCGCCGTTGGCACCGCCGCGCTTGTCGCTGCCGCGGAAGGTGGAGGCGGCGGCCCAGGCGGTGGAGACGAAGCTTCTAGGAGGCACCCCAGAGGCAAGGATCTCGTCCTTGAGCGTGGCAATGTCGGAAGCGTCCACGAGCGGGTGGTCGACGGCGGGGATGGGGTCTTGCCAGATCAGAACCTCGCTGGGGACCTCGGGGCCGAGGTAGCGGGGGCGGGGGCCCATGTCACGGTGGGTGAGCTTGAACCAGGCACGGGCGAAGGCGTCGGCGAACTGGTCCGGACGCTCGAGGAAGCGACGGGCGATCTTCTCGTAAGCGGGGTCGAAGCGGAGCGACAAGTCGGTGGTGAGCATGGTGGGCTTGCGCTTCTTGGATGGATCGTAGGCGTGGGGAATGATCTCGTCGGCGTTCTTGGCAACCCACTGGTGGGCGCCGGCGGGACTCTTGGTGAGCTCCCACTCGAACTTGAACAGGTACTCGAGGAAGTCATTGTTCCACTGGGTCGGGGTCTTGGTCCAGGTCACCTCGAGTCCGCTCGTGATAGTGTCGGGACCCTTGCCGGAGCCGTGCTTGTTCGTCCAGCCGAGGCCCTGGGCTTCCAGGCCGGCGGCTTCGGGCTCTTTGCCGACGTTGTCCGCAGGGGCAGCACCGTGGGTCTTGCCAAAGGTGTGGCCACCAGCAATGAGGGCGACTGTCTCCTCGTCGTTCATGGCCATACGGCCAAATGTGTCACGGATGTCGTGAGCGGCCGCAATGGGATCGGGGTTACCGTCGGGTCCCTCCGGGTTGACATAGATCAAACCCATGTGGGCGGCGGCCAGAGGAGTCTCGAGCTCACGCGAGTGGGTGGTCTTGTGTGAATCCTCGTCGGCGATGAGGGTGCCCCGCTTGTCGGATCCAGCAAATCCCTTCGCGTACCGCGCGTCGTTGCCCAACCAGGTGGTCTCTCGTCCCCAGTAGGTGGACTCGTCCGCCTCCCAGGTGTCTGGACGACCTCCAGCGAAGCCAAAGGTCTTGAAACCCATGGACTCCAGGGCGACGTTACCGGTGAGGATCAAAAGATCGGCCCACGAGATCTTGTTGCCGTACTTTTGCTTAATGGGCCAGAGCAGACGGCGAGCTTTGTCCAGACTGACATTGTCAGGCCAGCTGTTTAGGGGGGCAAACCGCTGCTGGCCCTGACCGGCACCTCCACGACCGTCAAACACACGGTAGGTTCCGGCGCTGTGCCAGGCCATCCGGATGAAGAGACCCCCATAGTGGCCAAAGTCGGCGGGCCACCAGTCCTGCGAGTCGGTCATCAGGGCACGGAGGTCCTTCTTCAGGGCCTCGTAGTCGAGGCTTTTGAAGGCGGCAGCATAGTCAAAGTCAGCGTCCAGCGGGTTGGAGACGGCGGTGTGTTGGCGCAGGATGTTGAGCTTCAGCCGGTCAGGCCACCAGTCCTTGTTGCTGGTGCCGCCACCAGCGAAATTGGGCTGAGAGGGCTGCTCCTTGAAGGGGCACTTGTCCTGTGTCATGATGTGCTTGTGTTTCTATTATCGGGGTATATTGATGGTCAGCGAGGGGGACAGAAGATGACAGAAGATGAGGGGTAGATGAAACCTTATAAGCTGAGCTGTCCTCGTCTAGGCCAGGTCTCATTAATAACGCGTCCAATCCAACATATCAATCACGATCAGCAGGTGCTTTCCCCGCATTCCGGAGAGTTTTTTGCTTTCGCAATGTAAAAATGTTCTGGCTGGACCTTCTTACTCAGCTCCCATCAGCCTATGATATCATGCAACAACCTTTCCCCGCTTTGTCTGAACCAATCACAATACTGAATTGCTAATCCTGCTGACTGTACGTCTGCAATTGTCGGCAATGACTGGCTAGTTTTCCTCGGAATACCCCGCTCTCATTTTTCCGACCTCCTCGCCTCGCGCCGTTGTCCGTGATAACAATAGCTATGAGAATCAACCTAGGAGAGGAGGATATTCTGTATAAATGTTAAATATGACCTGGGTTGGAACAGCTTGCTAAATTATTAAATTTTACTACTCTTTGCCAACCAACAGTAAGTTGTCTGCATGCCCCAGCCAAAAGATCTCGCCATTTTACCCCTCAAACCGGCTTACCTAAGAAAAAGTAAGGTAGCGGATTCACATTCCTTTTTAGGACAAACAATACCAGAAGATTCAGTCCCCAAATTACCCCCGGCAGTTGCTGTAGGAAACTGAAAAATGGTCTCTTTCTTGCCTAGAGAGCTGAAGGTTATCTCTGTATTTATGGAAGAAAATATGACATCTATTCTTGTGTGCAGGAAATTTGGTCATATTTTGATAGGTCGGCAGCCTGAAGACAGGTAGCGATTCATACAAACCTGGACTCACAATCTAAATATTTATTTGTTTTAGTTAGTATGAGCAAGAAATGCGGTTATCCTCTAATCAGGAGAGGTAATCCTCAGCAAATGACTAGGGTCATCCAATTAAGCATATCGATAAGTTGTTGTTTCATCGCAGAGATACTGGGATATATATTTGTGACATGCTGTGGAGTCCCGTAGTATCACCACTATTCGTAGCCAGCAGTCTATCATATTATTACGTCTGTATCAAGAATCATAACTGACTTTCCATTCACCATCATCCTTTTTTACTCCTCTGCTTTTGGAGAAAGCATGCAGACATGGACTACTGCTTGTCCTAACCCAAACAGGTTCTATTTATTCTCCTTGGAGGTAGAAATATATAGAACATTAGATACAACATGTGCTCTTTATACTGACAACGGTAATTACTTCACCATCTCCATCCCTATCGCTGTACAGCGACCGCGATCCTGCAAACTCATTGCCAAAGTCAATACTCCTGTTGAAGCTCGGAGCCCCATTATGTCTGTTTTTGGAAGGGGTAACATATCGACAAGACAGATGCGCAAGATGCCCGTATGTCGTCTTTCTTCAATCTCTCAAGACATCTGCTGTGATCTGCGCAAGTGAAGTCTCCAAAAGAGCAAAAAATCGATATTACCCAAGTCAAGATAGCCTCAGTAGCACTAGGTTGCCGACCTTGGCGTGGAAAACGTCTGCGAGATACTTTCCAGAGGGGTATCTGCGATCCATGATTGATTCGACTAACGAGCCGTAATACAGCCTGAGCACGAACTCAACGGGCAGGCTTGCAGGCTTAGCCTCTGGATTAATCCAACTGTTGCCCCTGTTTTTGCATGTAGAGATAAACCATCCTCCTGACTCTGCATCGGAGCTACCAAGACAAGCGTTCATGGCCGGGGTAGTCCTACGATGTGCGTGACAGAATGACAGGAGTGAACACCATACCATCAAACGCCGGGGTTAGGTTCCAGTCTATATTGGATGTACCTCTGACACGTAAAACGATCGACACGACACGCCAAGACTAGGGAAAGTCAGTATGTGAAGTTCGAGGACTGGATGACTAGTTTGGCGCCCAGGCTGACAGATATCGTTGTGACAAGCCTTAAGTCGACGTTGAGGTCATCAAGCGGACCACTGAGGAGAAACGGTTAGCAGTGAGAGGGGTAAACAACCTGTTCATGATGCTAGGTCATGTGCAGGGATGGTTCGAGTGATGCGCTGTAATAGGCAATAAAGTTCTGCTAGTGAAGCGCGAGGCGCGAGGTGCGACCACTTGGGTGCGGAGAGTTTGGCAGTATTGAGACAAGTGCAAGCACTACCTTTCTCAGAAGCTCTCGGAGCTCGGCACAGTAGTAGCAGCAGGACTATTATTCAGAAGAAGCATCTGGTGACCACGATATCAAGAAGAATCTTCTAGTGGGCTTTTGTATCAGTTAAGCGACCCACCGATTAGACTACTACGGATGCGCCGGGTCGCGGCGATCGAGCTGACCTACCCACCTCGGATTCTTGATTTATCGGCACAGTGACGATGTTTAGAACACATACTGAAGGTAATAACAGGATCAGGAACACTGCAAATTATTGACTATGATTATGAAATGCAATGTTGCATGCCTTGAAATAAATCAAAAGATACCGTGGACAGACTGACCCCGCTAAACAAGAAGCGACTCGCTACCAGTAACGACCCAACGTAAAACTGATGATAAACCGACGAGCACAGAACCTACCTTGTTAATCCTCACAGGGCTGATTGATCTCCACTACATTATTGGCGATTCCACACAATGCCGAAATTCAAAATCCGGACAGCCAGCGAGCGGAAGCCACGGGAGTCCACATCAACCCATCACTCTCGTCTCTGTATGGCGTCACTGCTCCACCCGCCCATCTTCCGGCTGGTTCGAGAGCTCCTAGCTGGCTGTACACCCATCACATCGAGAACATGACCTGTGTTTGCCATCGGGCCGAAGCTTACGATGGACCGCTGTAACTTTTCCTGGGATCAATGATTGCATGGTGCGATGGTATTGGTGCGTCGACTATTTCCATCGGCTGATGCTGGTATGACATAATTAATAGCTTCACCTTTTCCCCTGCTGCAGTTGGACCTCGCCATGATATATGAAGGGCTGGAATTACCTCCGAACTGAGTCTTTCTCAATTCCAACCTCAGAAGTAATAAAGCAGTCCTTGTCGCCGGCAGCTTCAGCACCCTGTCAAGCCGTCACAGATCCCATTCCCAACCACAGTCGAGGAGTTTGATATCCCCATAATACATTCAGCATCATGGTGTCGACAGCGATCACTCGTCCTGTCTCCCTGCTGGTGCGCTTTATGCAGTGGTCCAGTGCCGTCATTGTCATGGGCATTACCTCCTACTTCATCAACAAGTGGCCCCATGGACAGCACACCATCTACTGGGAAGTCATCGTATGTTGATCGTCTCTAATCATCCATCTATATATGCTAACTCACAGTAGTCGACGATGTCCGTTGTCTTTTTCCTGCCGGCTTTCCTGTCCCCCTTCATGCCGACTCGTCTGAGCAAGTTCGTCTTGCCCATTGACATCATCTTCTCCTACCTGTACGTGAAGCTACCCTTTCAACATTCTTGTTGAGATGCTAACATGCCTAGGTGGTTGACCGCGTTCATCTTCGCTGCGCAAGACTACAACTGGCACAACTGCGCTGTCAATGCTCCCCCCGGTGCCAGCTGCGCGCTCAAGAAGGCCAACGAGTCGTTCATCTTCCTCGCCTTGTAAGTGGTCCCAACCGTCCATTTACAGATGAGCCATACAGTAGCTAACCTGACCAGTATCTTCACCTTCTTCGCCATCGGTCTTGAAGTGATAAACCTCTGGGCTGCTCGTCGTGAGACTCCCACCCACGAGAAGCACCCTGAGGGTCATCGTGCTCCTCTCGATGCCCCTGCCGCCAACCCATAAGCTCCTTGGTCTTAAGGGAATCGGAATCCGCCGGCGACTGTTCCCGGGCACTGATTGCCAAAGTGCCCTAAATCCATGACCAACTACGAGCCAAGTCAAGTTATTGGTTGGTCGTCTATCGAAGGGATGTACATCCTTGTTTGATTTTGTAATGTCGCGACTTGACGTGATGTCCAGCGCGATCGTATCTTAATCCCTAATACCTAACGATTCGGTCACGATTTTGTCATGTTTGTATAATGATTAGTGTTATGTCGCTCGTTACATGTATGGATAATGCACGAAATAATAGCGGAATGATTATTTAATTGCTGGATATACTGAGTAGTCTCTCTTGGTGCATCCTGCATCTATCACATAAGATATATAGTCTAGTTGGACAGGAATTTGTTCACAAATCTTCTACCGAGAGGAGCAACCTTATAAACCGCGACCACCATTGCGATACACTGCGAGATCTTATTGCAGGAGCCATTGAAGCTTCTGACCTCAATAATTGTAGAGTAAAATCAGTAAGTTCCGAATTGGCAAGGCTATGTCCAAGTGTGCTGCGGATGTAGGAGAAACTGGATAAATTGAAGTGAATATGCGATAAGCTCGATCGACTCATATGCGTCATTAGTGCAATATCTGTACATCGTCCTTCAGATATTTTTGTCAGACAGAAGGTCAAGGCAAATCTCTACGCTTAACAGCTTCAAAATGCGTCAGTTTTGGCATTGCCGTGTTGGGAAGATGCGGGACGCGATCAGGGTCGACATTGGTGATGATGTCACCGCGCGGTCATTGAGATGAACCTTCGTCGCAACAAAATCAAGCCATTCTGCCCCCTTTTCCTCTTACCCAGTTTGCTCAATCAAGCACATCCCTTCAATAAAGCAACTCTCTATCCCCATAGTTGAACTGCTCTACGAGATCCCCGCAAGATAGCACGATTCCACGGACGTCAGCGGTTCAACCCTCTGCCAAGATGCCTTCGGCATACAGCAAGATCAAAGAGTTGACCACAGCATCGATTGCCCGGGTTCTGGGGGTCTGCGGCTACCTCAGTGCCTTCGTGCTGTCCTTCACAATCAATCGCGCCTTCTTGGCCTCTGCACTCCTTCCCCTCTACCTTCTGAGCCTCGCATATAGCGTCTTGCCTACGATTCTGTGGAATGCACCGCGGCTACTCTGGCCAAATGGATGGAAAACACTCATGAAAGATGCGGAGCAATACCGACAGCGAGCAGACGCGCTAGCTCGATCACAGCTGGAGGGAAAGTACAAGTTCAAAGACGATGAGATCATCCGGACCGACCAGAAGGGCAAAGGTTGGATGGCCGATATGCCATGGAGGGACAATGTGGAGGAGATTAACGTGTGCGGCGCGACGGCCCGATATGTCCATCTGAAACCGAGTTATCGCAGCATCGCAACGGATAATAAGGCTTCCCACCGGCCGATCGTCTTTCTGCATGGTAATCCAAGTTGGACCTATATGTGGAGAAATGTAGATTCATGTCCATTTTTCACGTCTATCGTGCCTACTGACCGATGTGCAGGTATTTCCTGCGCTTGTGGAACGAGGACATGAGGTATATGCGCTGGACTGGCTTGGACATGGTCGCAGCGACAAGATCATCCTTCCGGAAGCCATCACCTTTGAGCTACACATGCGTACCCTGCAGCAATTCTTCGAATCGACTGGTCTTGAGAATGCTACGCTCGTGGCTCACGACTGGGGAGGGTGAGTCTACCATCCATCGTCGCATTCCCTGTTTACTGACTTTTCCAGCTGTGTCGCCTTATCCACGCTACCTCGACTTCCAACATCAGCCTGCACCAGTCTCTTCTTATTGAACTCCTTCCTTCCTCCCCGCCTCAGCGAGATAAGCATGCGTCACGCCTTCCTCTACGCAATTTGGTTCATGACAACCGGGATACTCGGCACCCGTACTCCCGAATCTGCAGTCATGCGTTTCATGTCGCCAAGCATCTCACACAAAGACGTCACCGGCTACGGCGCGCCTTACAGGAATCTCCCTGCAAACGCCAAATCCAGCATCTACCGCTTCTCACATATGGCCCCCGCTACACCTCGCGTAGTCCTGACAAGTCTCCGATACACATGGCTGTGGAAACTAGTTGAGGGTTTGGCCGGACCATCCAACTTCGATAACCTCACTGCTCAGGCACGCCTTTCTCTTCGCAACGACGAGGTCCGGAGTTTCTGGAAGTCTAGCGAGAGAGCGCGCCAATTGGAAGTTGCGGTTGTATTTGGGGAGAAGGATCCGTTGTTGAAAGACTACAAGGATGTTCTTGTGCGTGCTGTTGATTCGCGGGTCATGGTTGACTGGGCCCCTTATGGGGTTTGGTTAGATGGTGCCGGTCATTATCCAGCCGAGGATAAGCCGAAAGTGGTTGGTGACTTGGTTGCTAGGCTTGCCAGATATCGCGAACCTACTGTGAAGCGGAGGTAAGTGCGGCATTTTAGGTTGAGGGGTGTCCTTATGTTACATATTTCTTTTGTTTCCAGATAGGAGTCATTCCGTGGTTACAAGGCTATAGACAATGAATAGACTCAGATACCGCAGAGTCAGCCACAGTCTTGGTCTGTTTCGTAGAAAAACCCTTGTCCACCACTAAATGTTAAAGATATCGCCAAGGAATCTAGAACAGCGAGTAATCAAGATGGTGTCTTTCTCTGGGCCAGAGGAGTCTAGTCCATGGCTGGTGCAATGCAAACACTGTACCAGATTCCAACCTTGCCCGTGCTTGGGAAGTGATAAATCCTCGGCATCCACGTCCTGATGGTGCTAGGAAAGAGGCACTACTTCGACAAATCCCAGAGGGCTGATACCCTCGTCCATGGAATAATCTCGTAGATGCTTTCACAGCCACATTTCAAACTGGCGGCACCGCCAGACGCACCAAGTCAACCGTGCTAAGGTTCTTGGTGAAGCAGCCACTGTCACAGCACTGGTACCCAACACACATGGGACCAGGTGGATGCCATAGCACTGCTTTTGTGCTGAAAAATCATCCTCGGGCAGGTGGAGGGGCGAGAATCGCGGTATTAAGATGCTGAGTCATCTCACCCAGACACCGCTGGTACTTCAGAACAGAAAAATGAGGCATCTCGTTGAAATGGCTCAACTGGGCCAGAGCCCCGACAGCAGCACACGATTACCGCCACCTGGAGACTGCAGACCTTTACAGTAAGGAAGGGCAGCTGTGCATGGCTGCTGTGTTGTACCTCGCTAAACTCTTTCTGCTTAGAAAGCCAATTATAATTGGCTGTAGCCAGCACACAATCCACGGCTGGGTCTGGACCGCCGATGGAACAGGAACTGGTCTAGCCTAAAGGGGAACAGTGGTTTGTATTGACCAATGGAGATAATGCCAAATGACGTAGAATCCATGGAACACATGGCCATTGATTGTGTTCCTGAACTCTGATTTTCAGAGTTTTCCAGTGCCTGGCGGAGCTCTTTTTTTTGTTCCCCGTCCCGGCTCCATGGGATGTGTCATAGTTGGATGTTTCTTTGTATCTGCATGAAACACATAAAGAGAGATGGGAACAAAGTAAGTGATGTGTTCGTTGTCTGCATGTCTGAGTACCTCTAGTCTCTGTAAGTCAGTGGCCTAGGGGCCATGGCCAGAATCTCACAAAATTCTTTCTGTCACTGATCACATGTGATTCGTAGCGAGAGGACCAGGAGATAAAACTGGATTAGGCCGAAGGGAGGCAAAAGTGAAAACCTTTCTTCGAGTTCGCGATATCCTCATCTTTCAGCCAAGTGCCGTTGGCCTCCGGACCATTCACAGCGTTTGGTGCCGGCGCTAACTGAGAAATTTTGACTGCTGGTGGGGCTTGCAATAGATTCAGAGTGTTCCTCTCAATATGATTCGTGCGATGGTTCAGGCACACCGTTTCTTGAATCTATATCCAATCTCGTGGCGCCCAATCAGCCCTTGCCAGACAAAGAATGGTTTTTGCTTCCACTTTGAGGCGTTCGATTTTGTGTGCCTAAAGGATTCTCGAACGTCTTGGAGATGGCCCACTCCCATCTCTCACTGCAGATGATAAATTCAGCCATGCCCCCCATGTTGTTTCAGTCTTTTCCATTCCTTCAACACTACTATCAAAGTCATTCATTCCTTTTGACTCTTTGACTCGAGGTTGATCCTCCACTGTCCTTTACTTCAAATCGTCGCTCTCTGTAGATCAGACTGTTGTCACTCCTTCCAACAACAACAACCACCATCACCACCACCACAATCATCATGTCTTTCTCCAAGTTCTTCAGCCTTGCTGCTGCCTTCGCCCTCACTGCTTCGGCCCTCCCCTCGCTCCCCGCGCCCCCAGCGGCGGCGTCCAGATCGTCAACAACATGAGCGAGGATGTCTACCTCTGGTCCGTCTCCGACTCCAGCAGTGAGATGCAGACCATCCCCACCGGCGCCTCCTACATCGAGAACTGGCGCACCAACCCCAACGGCGGCGGCATCTCCATCAAGATGTCCACCGGCGCCGACCTCGCCTCCGTCCTCCAGTTCGAGTACACCGAGGCCGGCGAGACCCTCTTCTGGGATCTCTCCTCCATCAATCTCTCCCCGCAGTCTCCCCTCATCGCCGCCGGCTTCGGCGTCTCCATCGATGATGCCAGCTGCCCCACGGCCGCCTGCGCCCCCGGCGATGTCAACTGCGCTGAGTCCTACCAGTTCCCCGATGACCACAACACTCGTGCCTGCGGCACCGGTGCCGGCTTCACCCTTACCCTGGGTTAAGCGAAGCGCGCTTGCGCTCCTCGCGCGCGCCACTCTGTGTGCTGGCCATGAACATCTTGTTTCCTCTTTTTACGCTCATTTCTACCCCTGGAGGATATGAAAGTTGTCAGGAACACATCGAGGCAGGCCTTGTTATTTACGAGTCATGACTCATACGGCTCACGATTATGCCGAGGATGGATTATACCAACGATGATTTACCTATACCTATAGCAAAACGCACACATGTCAATAAATTGTTAAACTATATAGAGTGCAATTGATTTGATACCTTTCTTGAATTATAGCTGCCGGTCTCAGTTCGTCTTGGTTTGAATGAAGCGAGTGTAGTCGTATCTGACGTGGTTGTCACGCTCTGTAGTGTACCGCCGGCGCTGAATGAACTCTATATTGACCCACTTCTTCCTTCGAACTTTATCTAGTTGTTTGCGGTCTAACTATGTCGGGTACGGTCTGATATCCGTCTACATGGTGTACTGAGTTTAGTTTGGGTTGCTTGTGGCTTGGTTTGTGCCTCAGCCATACACCAGTATTCTCTGTGACCTTGCACGTTGCCAATCACAACGAGGCAGTGACATGTCCGAAGACATCATCCTTGGTAAACGCAAAGCAAATGTGACACTGCAGCAGACTGCACGTCCACATGATACTGCGTATGATTCCTTCAGCAAGCTGTATATTGACTGCATTTGGAAATCGATAGATGATATCCCGGGTTTCAAACTGAAGGATTTGAGTTTGTTGGAGATGAACGGGTGCTAAGGAGGTATCTCTGTCATTATTGGCTACGTTGGCCTTCGTAGATGAGGAACCACGAGATAAAACATGTCTGAAGCTTAAGTACGTGGTGAGGCATCATTTGCCGAGATGGAGAGTTTCGTGTGGGAGTCAAGTATCGGTATGCTGACCATAAAGTCCGATATACCGCCCCAGGAGAAACAACAGACGTAAAATAGACGAGGGATGCGAATCAAGAAATCACATGGAATAGAAGAGGAATGTCTGTTGAGAGGTTTTGACGTCTGTATGGAACACATGACTATCGAAGCGATGGTTGTCCGAGAAGAAAACTAGCAGGAGGCTATGCCAGTCGCATTATTTACGTTGTATGCGTCTATTTATGGACTTGGTTCATTTTCAATCTGAGTGAGACATACCATATCAGATTAAACAGTCTGTGGAAACTGGACGTCTATGTACTCAAACTTCAGATTCCGTTTTGACCGAGACTGAATGTAGCCATCGGAACTCCAGTGGTTGCATCTCATTCAAAGTCCTCCAGTTTCAATCCGGACATCTTGGCCTCTAGTTCCCTGCGGACAGGATCAAGGAGGATTCCCAGTCTGCAGCTGTGCCATTCAGGACGCCCCTTCGTTGACAGCCTAGCCTCCCAGAGAGGAGATCGAGCAAAGAGGACCACGCTTCTTGTCAGGGATCCAATGCTCAGGTTATCATAAGGAGGTCTTGGATCCGGAAAAATAAGATTGGACAATCGCAGGAATTTCATCAAAGCTCCAAGAAGTATTGAACTGCATTCGAAAGAGCATCTGTGTGTGGAAGAGCTCAGATCATCGATTACTCGATCAATGGCGGCCAGAGCCTCTCTGATTCCCTGCTGTCGAGACTCGTTGATTGTTTCTGCGGGTGACTTAGCAAAGTAGTATAGTTAGGTATGTTTCAAAATACGAACCGATCACTCTGTTAGGAATAGGGAGTCCGTATGCATGTACCACTCCAGGACTCTCGACGAGGGCAACTCGCGTAGCTGCAAAGAACTCCGTTTGCTTGCGAAACACCCAGGCGATGCATATCCATTGAAGGACCGCCTTCCCAAAAGTCCTCGGCATATCCGCCTTCAACTCATCGATCCAGATATCCGCGAAGACATCTACGACCCCACGACATTGGTAATAATCAACCATCACAGCGATTTTGGCTAGAGTGTCCAGATCAACCTTGCGAGGGACCTGTGGCGCATAGCCATGCAGGATGTTCATGATGATGAGTGTGATGTCAACGTCCCAAATGTCCATGATGATAACTGCGATGCCTTGGGAGCGGATCTCGCGCGCCTCGTACCAGTTGCCGTTGAGCATGCGGTTGAACACGGGAGAGGCGAGGGCCAAGTGTCTTGAGGAGACGCGCATGCCGACGAGACCACTCTCGAAATGTCCTACTTCGTTCGCGTCACTAATCTCAGAGCTTGATGGTTGGTGTGAGACGGCTTCTGGGTCAGAAGTGGTATCAACACCGCTGGTATTTTGTTCAAGGGCAGGCGTGTCGATCATGGCAGATGTCGGAAGACTCTGACTGCTAGTTTCCATACTCTGACTAGGAGAGGCTTTGCTGACACTGGGGAACAGGAGCATCACATCGCCGTATGGGTCGAGTGTGTAAGGGTCATTGTCCATACTGCCAGCGCGTAAGAAGCCCGGATGATCCATGTCATAAGAATCTAAGGAAATCTGAGGCAAGTGGCACGAATTATTGCCAGAAACATGGGAATGATGACAGGACTAGGTTACAAGGCACCGTTCATCGGGGGTATAAGTATGTGATGTTCAGGGAAAGAAAGACAACTAAATATCTTGTAAGGAAGTAAAAGGAGGGAGGCGTTGATAAATCTCTGTGGGCTCTCGACAAAACACTTCTTGACCTTGGAGTGAGTGAATAGTGAATGTTGTTGACAGCCCTGTCTGGTCACCTTTCACTCACCTTCATCTTTCTCTCCAATCCAACCTTCTTTCTTTCTTACCAGCATATTCGTCCTTTTCCATCCTCAAGTCATCATAAAAGCAGGCGATCCTTTGGGATCAGCCTTTTCCAAGTCCATAGACATTGGCTACTAGGCCAGGACTATTGTAGGTCTGTTGAAAGCTACCTTACAGGTTCACATCCTCAATTGTCTCCAAGCTCAGACGCTAATCATCAAACATAAACACAGATTAGCGTTTGACACTCACAGTATGACGAGTATGACGAAAGGTTATTACGAGCTCGACCCTGACGGAGATATCATCCTCTTTTTTACCACGACTGATGAGGTACGTCATGTACTTTCGCTGCATGGATGCGATCTGCACCCCTTCGTTCAGCCAATTCTTCAGGACGTTCAGAACCGTCTGAGGGACCTTGAACTTAGCGATTTCAAGGATGAATCGAAAGCGTCGGGCGGAAAGTCTCCACGGCCTCTTCCTAGTGAGGGGACGTACCCCAGTCTTTCTCGGATTACACTTACTTCCCGAGCCAAATTGAACTTTGGTACGGCTCACGCAAGTGACGCAGTGATTCAAGGCCAGAATGGCGGCAACCGAGAACTACAATGTTGCTGTGTCCAAACGGGTCTGATTTATGATTGCCAAGGTTTACTGCTTCGTGCAGAAGTGGAAAGAACATCAATACACCAAGAAGCATCTCATTAACCTCTAGGTGTTGATGTCGGGTGGGATCGCGCCTTTGGGAACGGAGCATCGTGGACGAACTTTGGACGCAGAAAATCCCACCACATCAGAGAGCAGATATCCTCCTTGACAGTCAAGACCGAGGCAAATCGGAGCAATCTTTCTTTTGAGTTAGATAAGCCACATTGCTGACTTGCAAAGACAGGACAAATGGCGCCTAGACAACGCAGAATGTAAATATCTCTATAATTACTCTATCGTATCGAAACAAAGGGTATCTCAGCGCTAGAACATATCAGCCACGCCCCTCTTCTTCTCGTCCTCGCGTCTTTCCTCCGTGACCCGCCACCACCACTCATGCGTAGGGTCCAGACTAGCCGTCCGCCGTTTCTCCATCCGCTGGCCCTCCGCGGCGCTGTCGATCTCACCCCACGGCTTCGGACTGAGAATATAGTGAATATTTTTGACCTTATCATCCCGCCAGATAGTGTCATGGACGCCCTTGCGCCGTAGTGTCTTGAGCGCATTATATATGTACGGTATGCCGACCCAGCGGCCGCGGAAGACATCGGAGAGAAGGTCTTGGTCAGGGAAGGTGTAGTTCAGTGTCGCGGGGGAGTTGAGCTGCTCGATAATCCTATCGTAGACTCCTTTCGACGGATTGATGACGAGGAGGCCCGAGTTGCAGAGTCCGAGTCCACGGTCTGATGGGGCTCCCATTATCTGGGCCATGTCGGGAGTGGCATGCTGTGATGTAAACGCGCAGTTGGCAGGAATCCTGCACGTGTTTTCGTTAACCGTGTTCAATCATTCATTGGACCTCTCGAGACAAATAGACATACCAATCCTTCGGATAATGGGGTTTCTTCAACGGATTGCAGACACAGGCATGACTAGCCGCAAACACCCGGTTCCCCCTCCCCTCTAAGTCCGGCGCATCCAGCTCCATATCCATCAATTCATCCATGTTTTGCGTGACCAGCATGTCGCTATCCAGTAACACCACGCGTTCATATTCCACCAGCGAGAACGCCGTAAGCTTCGTCCACGTATCATGAAATCGAGGGTCATTGGTATATTCTTTCGGGAGGGTCGGCAGGAGATGCGGGACGCGCTGCTTCGGAAGCCCACGGGCGTTGACGGCGGCATGTCCTTCAACGGGGAATGAGTCCGTGTAGAGAACGACGAGCGGGTACTTCGACCCAGCTTTTCGTAGCGAATACTCGAGGGTGAAGAGGCCCGGGAGGTAGTTTGTGTTTGTGATCAGGGTGGCCCATACTGTGCGGAATGAGCCGGTTAGCTTTTCGGAGCACGGCTCCCTTGGGCGTACCTTTTGTTGCGGCAATGGTGCGACTGGCACCATTGCTGAAGCGCATGGTGTAACAATGTCTGCACTCTGCAGAGGCAGAACGTAAGGGTAACTGAGGCACAAGATCCGGAGTGGCGATAATGATTTATCGATCGCATAAGCTGGCGGGGAGTCGGAGCGGAACAACCCGAGGAGGGGTTCGGGTCCGAGCTGATTGATAACACCATTCTAGGACTTGGTTGCGAATCTATGATTAGTATGACTCAGAATTAGGAATTTTTCTAGCTAAGGACGTTACTGCTGAAGGTTTTGACATTCTTTCTGTACTATTAGAGGCTCATAGGGAAGGAATGTGTAAAAGCTTAAATATAGTAGAAAACAAAGAGAAAAAGGCATGCATTCTTAGATACAACTGCCGACAAATGCCGAGCACGACGGGATTCTTGACTACTCCTGAATACTGCAGGGTCTCCCCATTGTCCAATATATCAATTATCTTGGACACCTGAGGCCAACGTTCTCCTTCTAGCGGCGTGGAGTTGATTGCGAGAAAGTAAGCAGATTATTGGAGGCTACGTTGCCGCACTGTTGCTGACTCTTGCTCAAGTGTTTCTGTAGTATATTGTAATGTTCAGAGTGCTCATTTTTGTGGCTCGACAAATTTTTAGGGGACAAGATATAATGAGCAGCAAATGTCACGGAATTCGGAATTTCCGCGTCCGTAGTTTTTGCTTGCCAAGGCTCAGCCAGCCTCATTTACTCCCGGCCGACGCCTTTCTGCTAGCAATTGAAGCCGAGTCTTTTTATGGATGGATATTTGTCCCGGCAGCCTTCGATGCATATACACGTGGCCCGCATCTGTTAGTGACAATCGAGAGGACCAAAATTGGCGGACTTTCGGAGACTCTCTGCATGTTTGATCCTATAGATCCCTTCGACCTTCCAGACTCCAGAGTTCCATGAGCGAAGGACTAGATCGTCTGAACTTTCAAATCCAAAATATTTTTGTTTTTCAGTCTTTTGCTTCATCTGCCTAAGTCCTGTCGCAGCTGAAGGCAGGGTCTTCACGTCATTTATTTCTATGGAGCATCCACATTGCCTATACGAGAGTTTCAAAATATACTGAAATTAAAGCTCAATCTAAACGCTAGATGTTCTGCTGAGGTACAACAGGGGACTCCATTCCACATAGCTCAACCTTCTCTCGGCATCTGTCCACTTCATTATATAGGTTTGTCGTCCGATCAGGAGAAGCACCAATGTCAAGGGATGCCTCCCCAGAAAAAGTCTCGAGCTCAGACACAAACGTGTCCCACAGCCGCTCGGAAGTCATGGGCGCACTGCTGTATGGCGCAGCTCCTGTCTCATACACGAGCCTTTCTAACTCTGGGAGTAATGCATCCGCAGCTTGTGCTTCCATCTCCCTCTGGGCTCTCCGGCTGATGCCTCCCTGCTCCGTGTACCATGCAGAGTCTTCCAGGATAACACCGCCTTCGTAGAGGGCGCAGAGCTTGGAGTCAATGTTTGCCTCCTTTGCTGCTTCCAGCGCCATGCGGTGACCGATGGCCTGGATCAGTGGAAGCGACAGCGGGAGTATATTGCGGTTAAAGTCTTCGCTTCGATGCATGCCACCAAATTCTATCAGGCGATGCTTCGCCTCCGTCAACAGTGCGGCTTCGTGCCGAGCAACGGGGCTGTCGGCGTCTCTGGGAGATGGCAGCTGGTAGCGGCCGATCAAAAGCTCGCTTGCGAGTCCTACATGTGGTTATCATAATTAGCATAAAATCTCAACACCTAAAAACAGCAGGAGACGTACGAATGGCAAGGACCCTGATGTCGCCTTCTGCAGTTCCTACTGCTCGGAATTCCAGCTATGGTAAATTGTCAGCATTCCGCCTGGATAGGGGTTCGGTTCTTTTTTACCTCGCTTTGAAGGATTTGATTATGTTCGTAATACCCATGCCAGCCACACCCATCATTCAAGGCTTTGATGCTCTTCTGAAAGTGCTGCAACGCAACAGCCTTGAAGACAGTCGCGATAGCGTGGCGCACGCGGGGATCGACCTTTTTATTCCGGAAAATGGTCGCAGCTTGAACAAGGAATGCCTGGAGCACATGGTACTGCGCGATTGCGTGGAGGATGGGGAGGTGTTGGGTGCGGAACTTTATGACAGCCATTGGATTTCCGTCGTGGCCCGCCACCCTTCGTCGCAGACTGAATTGGGCGGCATTATATACTGCGAGTTTGAGAGCAGGGATGGAAGCACCAGAGAGGAATAGCGTCCCGGCTGAGACGCGGTGGATCGTGGAGAAGAAGTGATCCCGTTCGTTGCGTGGTTTTTCAAGGCTCCCCAGGAGAGCAGAGTTGGGCAGCACAACCCGGTCGAAGAGGGTGAGCGCGTGGTCGATAGGATGAGCACCAGCGCGTGGAGGTAGGGCCCTTCGTTCAACCAGTCAGTATCATTGTGCTGGAGGGAAGAGATCAGAGACTCACTTCGCAACTACACCTTTGCACATCTCGCGGCCGTCTCCCAAGGGAACTAGGAATGGCCGGACCCCATAGTTCTCGCCGTCCACGATCAGTCGGGCGATGACAACGGCAACAACTGGAAGCCCGCTTCGTGGTGTCGTTGGTGGCATACACCTGTGTTTTCAAGTTAGCGTTGTATTGGACAGGGTATGAATTACTAACTTTGCAGCGGCCCAGGAAGGGCTGTGAAGCTCGAAGCCACCGTCTGGCAGGAGTGTCGCGGTAGTTTCTAAGTTTCGCGCGTCTAACCCATGGCCGACCTCGGTGAGCATAAACTGCGCTCTGAGGCGTTCCTTCGAGTCAGCCCTGACTAGCTAGTGAGTGGGCAGGTTCCCTGAGGGCGGTACTAACGAAATATCAAAGCTCAGCGCTCGCTGGAGGATCCACTGAAGGTCCGGTCGGCTAGCTGCGAATGGGGCCACAGTGCCCACGAACAGATTATACTGAATACTGATCAGAGTCAAAGCTCCACCGTCAACTGCGGCGATTGGGTCCGTCTGTAGCTTCCAAAACTTCGGACTGAGAGTTAAGATGTCTTCTGCCGTCAAGCCTAGTCTTGCTTAGCTGGGATTAGGTGTGGTGAAGAGAGATTAGGGCCGTACCGTATACATCGCAAATATTCTTCGCCCTTTCGTATGTGAGCCTGGTGCGCTCTTCCAGGGTCAGGAAACGTGTTGGTAATCTGAACAAAGGCGATTGAGCCAGCTCAAGAGTAGGCGAGGGTGACTGCCACACCCAGTCATAAAGGGACTGGTCCGGCTGATCCGGTTGGCCCGCATCGGATGCTTTTGGTTCTGGGGGCAGCATATTGTGATCTGGTCTGCACGCTGTAGAGATTGATGAGTGTGCGATCCGACAGTTCCCTCCCTGCAAGCAGCGGTATTTATATTTGAGCAGCGGTTGCGCAAATGTCTTCCTCCTCGATAATAGAATCACTCCCAGCTGTTGCAAAATACTGAAGACCAGGTTGTGGACGCCGATTGGTTTTCCATGCACGACGCCAGACCCGCCGCAAACATCTTTGTGGCTGGCGGAGGTCGTACGGACTTCGCCGCATTGGGGACCATAATATGAAGCGAAGATTAACGAAGAGCTGAAATTCAGCTCTATGCGATAGGGTATGGGTGCATGTAGGGCACGAACCTGACACATAGTCGGGCTCAGCTTTTACCGTACACTAATGTAGTGTTCAGTTCGAGAGCCCAAGATCGTGCCTATCATAAAGGACTGTTCGCCCAGAACAAGTCAGCAGTGATCATCGCTCATCAACCACAGTCAACATGTTCGTGGCTGCAGTACTTGGTATGATGGTGGCCCATTGGACTGCCGTTATCATCAGTTTCGCAATCTGTTACGTCAGTACTGTCTCCCAATCAGGTAGATGAAATCTAATGCTTTCTAGCTCCTCGGCTCAGCCATCTACAACTTGTACTTTAGCCCTTTGGCAAAGTATCCTGGCCCGTTCCTCGCCAGAGTCTCTGCCTTTCCAGATTTCTACTGGTCTCTAACCGGAGACCGACATATGTGGATTGCTCGCAATCATGAGATCTATGGGGATGTGGTTCGATTTCGCCCCGACGGCCTCCTCTTTAGAACCCCCAGGCCCATCGAGATATCTTCAACCACAAAGCCAACGTCAAGCGCGCCAAGTTCTACGATATGTTGACGCGGAACAAACATGACACGAGCACCATCACCGGGACCGACCCAACCCTCCATGCTCAGAAAAGGCGGGTTCTAAATACTGTCTTCTCGGAGAAGTCCCTTCGTTCAATGGAGCCCTTCCTGGTTAAGCATGTGACACGCTGGTGTGAGCTGCTCATTGACGGGGACGGTACGAATTGGTCAACTCCACGGAGAATGTCCGAAGCATGCGATTATCTGGTCTTGGATGTGCTCTGTGACCTCTGCTTTGGGCAGTCTGTCGACACCAAGGAACCTGGTGAGAATGACTATCGTAAGATTCCTCATGCGATTGGCTCGTTTCTGGACGTCCTTTACCCGGTACGCTTCCCAGCCTATATGCACACAAGCTCGAACTATAACTGACTACCCTGAAGCTTGGTCATTCTCCATGGCTGGATCTTATCGTCTGGTTAAAGCCAAGAGGCCTCGATTGGGTGTTTGGAGCCCTGACTCCTCCGCACATTCAATTTCTCTATGACTTTGTGAAGCAGTCGCTAGCGCAACGTCTCAAGACCGAGAAAGCAACCCCATCGACGGGACAGGAAGGCCGAGGAGACATGCTTCACTATCTGATACATGCGAAAGACCCAGCAACCGGTCGTGTGGGGTACACTACAGAAGCGCTGGAAGCCGAGGCGCTAATGCTGACAATCGCGGGCTCCGATACTACTTCCGTGATCATGGCTGGATTCTTTTTCTATATTGTGCGGACACCTCGTGCTTATCGGAAGCTTGTTAATGAGATACGAGCTACCTTTACCTCCATCGAGGAGATCAGAGCCGGCCCGCAACTGACGTCCTGCCAATACCTTCGGGCTTGTGTGGATGAGGCAATGCGGATTATGCCTCCCGGGCCATCTGAGATGCCTCGAATTGTGCTCCCTGGAGGCATCATAGTTGCTGGGGACTATATTCCCGAAGCAACAACTGTTGGAGTGGCGTCTTGGAGCTTCTACCGCAATGAGGAGTACTTCCCAGACCCTAACGTCTATCGGCCCGAACGATGGATCGTGGATGAGGAGGCTGGAGTTACTGCCGAAGATGTGGCCAAGGCTCGATCTAGTTGCTTCCCGTTTGCTGCTGGCACGACCGGGTGTGCTGGGAAGAATTTTGCGCTTTTGGAACTTTACATGACCATTGCAAGCACATTGTGGCAGTATGACGCGCGGTTACTACCAGGCGACGTGACTGGTGCCGGCAGCAAGGCGCAAGGATGGGGAAAGAGGAACCCAAACATCTTCCACGTCAAGGACAAGTATATCAGCGTTAGGGATGGGCCAATGGTTCAGTTTAAGAAGCGAGTAGCTTAGATGCGGACACAACCATAGATGGGTTAATGACTTGTACTAAGTTATTGTTCTAGTACTACGCTGCACAGCGCATTTCAAAACAGATGGCTGCTTTTGAAACAACACCCTTTTTGATATAATATCATTCCTTCCGGTCCCGCTGCTGAGTGGCAGTCTGTAGTCACTGGCGGATCTCTATCCTACTCTCTGCTCATTGATGGAACAAGATTTACCATGACGTGCCTCGGGGCGTTTATACTGCGAAAACGAGCCAACAGAGTGTCTGTGCCAGATTTACTCGTGGTTTGCAGAGCTGAACATGGTCATTAACAATGTCCATGGCTAATAGGACAAGAAGAAAGCTAGCTCGGACCCCATAGCACCGCTGCAGTAAGTATCAAATTCAGCTCTTGATGGATCTGGTCTAACGCATGTTCCATTTCAGGTGCTGAAGCACAGTCTTCTGGTTCCAAAAAGATGTACGGATGAAGCGGAAACCGATTATAGAATATTATCAGCGCTAGTGCATTGGCGTTCCCAAGCCCCCAGTAATCCATGTGGTTCCTCGTATCCCTGAATCGAGCAGTGGGACCATGTTCTGTTTACAGCCCAAGGGCAACGCGGGTATCTCCGAGGATATTTAGTGCGCCCCTTGTCTGTATTTACGATTGTCCCGGATAAATGAGAGGAAGCGAAAAATGTTTGACGAGGCTACTGTTGCCATATACGTCAAGCTCGGATACACTGCCACAGCAAAAGCAGTCACCACAGTTGCTTGCTTAAGGAGTCCAGAATGCAGCTCTCCACAAGCCCATCGAAACAGTTCTCGGCGCATTGGACATTAGTAAACTATGCGCGACTATGTGATTCACCTGAAATGGCGCGCTGAAGAAGCTAATGGAACACTGTCTTAGAATAGTACTTGATCTACTCGAGCTCAGAGATTCAAGAGCCACCATAGTAGTATCATTAGAGGATTAAAAACAGGTTACAGACAGCAATCTCATGTACTTTGGGAAAGCCTAACTAGACGTGGAAACAACATGCCACAACGCGGCCCAAATTATGTATTACTACCTAAGCTGGTTTAATACATAATTAACTGGATGGTTCCTGCACCTGCAGCTTATCCAAGTAATTCCTCCTATATTGGATCACCCTGAGCCACAGCTGATAGCTTGATACTAGCGGCTACTAGCCCTTCAATTGAATGGTCTATTGACTTATGGTTATGTGACAACTGACAGGCCAGGCTAGCTGCATTATTAGAGGCGTGAAGGTTCTAAGTGGGGTCAGAGTACTAGGCAGTGTTTTTGATAATAGATCCAGCCATAATCTTGCACTAGAGCTGTGGCGTTGCTGAAAGTCTCAAGAGGTCGCAGCCAGCCATCCTCTACTGCTCCGCAAGCCCATCTGGCACTTTGTGCGCAACCTGAACCAGTGTTACCTTCGATTGGCAGGGCAGCACTGGGAATTCTACGAGTACATTTATGGAGTCATGTGCACTAGTGACATATCTGACAAACTAGTCTTGGTTTGCATGCTGCATGTTTGGCCCACCAGGTCCAGGCAACGAGTCAGTACCCCCAATCGTTCAAATGCATCCTCGGATGGGAACCGGTTTTGCTGCAGGGGAATTTGCGATTAGATTTATCGGTGATGAGCGAACCAACTCGCAGAAGTAGAAGCGTTCAGCAATGTACAAATAGACCTGTATCACGGCGTTTTTGCAAAGAAATCCCGCCTCTACCTTCCTAGAAACCTATAAATCTGCACTTTCCCCTCCTCCATATCAACTACCTGGATTGTAGTATTTTGCAAAACTGCTTCATCTTTTCTTCTCAAACAGATTGCCTATCTTCGCCAGCTAAGGAACCAGAATGGTCAAAGTTACCCAATTTGTCTCACTTACTGCCATGCTTGGTGCATTTGCACAATGAGCATCGACTACAGTAAGTACTAGATGTTCTGAAAGTCACGGATATAAGAGCACTATTAGTCTTTCATTACAGGTGGTTTTCTGCACAGATGCCAGACTTCGTGGTACCTGCCTGAACTTGCCAAGTAGTCTCTGATTCTTGTCTCGACTCCAAAGGTTGCCCTAGCCAGCTGTATGTGTTCAGAGCAGCCGGGGAACAGTTTACAGTCATAGCTACGGTAGGCGGAAGACGTCTTGACTAATCCCGTTTACTTCTTTATCATAGTTACCACAAGGCTTCTTCGGCAGTGGTCCCACAAGGCTTTCTCTGTAGGCTCTTTAGGTATGTATACGCCATGAACTACCTTGACTCGATGTGCCTCTTCTGGTAATATCAAGGGGTTATGGTTGCACCAATCCTAAAGCCTACCTCCAATCTGAAGCTTGGAATATAGCCTCCGTACCCTCTGCCTCTGGTTCCATTATCAATTTCAATGATTTAACCATTTAACCGGCAGCTTTTCTTGCAGCCCTATTTGAAACAGATTAGAAAAGGATGCACTTGATTGGCAGTAAAACTCGGAGCCCCAACTTAATTTATAGTCATGGCTACGTTTCTAGATGGATTCCAGACCTTGTATAAGCCAGACTTTGAAGCCCATTCTTGACGTCCTCATGACTACCTCATCCCTGTCCAGTCCTATTCTTATTTCCCAGACCTTCTCCGGTTGAGCTTCCTGTCAACTTAGCCTTGCTATTTTCTGCCTTAATGGAGATTAACGCACGAGGCAGCAAAGTTTCCTTGCTCTGTGTGAATGTCTGCTGGTAGTCAGGGCGTGCCTCGCGTCCTGAATGCGCTTCCCTAGCTAGGCCGGTGACGGCTGATTATCGGGAAGCTGATCTGCGCATACAGGTTGATATTCTTGTCATACATGTCACAAGCGGCGTAATCAAAGGCAGAAGGCACTTGGCAATAGACCATCCATGGGCATATTTTCTGCTGTGATTTATGATCTGGACAATTTTGTTTATATTGTCCATTGCTCACAATCACGCTAATATCATGAAGTAGTTTATTATAGCTTTGTGAGTTCTAATGCAATATATATCATGTAGTGTCCATGGACTATACGGAGAATCCAGTTATTTGAGCAACTTTGTGAGATTTGTGAGATTGACAGTACTTGCCCATTAATCCATTAAAAAGATTACTAAAGGATAACTATACTGGTACTAGCACTGATTCACAGATCCAGACCCAGCTCACCATGGTATCTAAATTAAGACAACCCCACTAATAGTAACTAGATTGGGTGTCATAAAGGCTGAATAAGCCTCGAAATCTGAGCTTTAACTTGGACACTCAACTCAAAGCAATGATCTACAGATCTCAAGCTAAAGCCTGTCAGCGCTGAGGGGGTGGAGCTTGGGGGGCCTAAAGAAGCATCAGCCACAACCGGTGATCACAACATAGAGTCATGTAAGCACCATACAGTTGGGGAGCAGCTTGTGCGCCTGATTCAGTGTCTCACTCGGAGAAGTAGGAGCCACTAAGATACGTCAAGCTTGTCGAAATCCTGCCATCCATGGTTTCTCAGCCACAGGATCCGTCATATACGGCGCGCCAAACAGATAATTATAGACTCTCGGAGCTTGACTGGGTTATAATGTCTTAGGTGACTATGAATACCTGCTGGTTAATACGACATGTACAAACCGCAATGATGGGTACAACATATAAATATCGCCTCCTTCCCAACATTGACTCCTGATTCCTATCATCTTCCCATCATCAATTCCTCTTCCTCTCAAATCCAAGTTCAATAGCATCTGCACGATGAAGCTCACCACCGCCTCAATCCTCGTGGCTGCCAGCTCAGCGCTCGCCGTTCCCACCAACATCAAGCGCGACAGCTACATCCAAATCAGTGATTTCTGGGCCAGAGCTACTCCCCAGTCCCCCGGTGCATTCATGCACTTTGTCGTTACCGATCCAAACTACCCAGAGGACACACCAACCGAGTGCAACCTAATCTGGTAACTCCACAGCGCCTTGTCGAGGATACTAGACTAACCTTCACTTTTTCTGTCGTTTAGGACCTATGGCAGCCTCCCTAAGACAAATGCCCGCTGCAATAATGGCGAATACTACATCAAGTTCCCCAATGGCGCTCCTGACTTCAATTGGTTCACGCTGGAGCTTCAGAGGGTCAGTGGATCAATTGCTGAAGACGGCCATGTCTTGCTGAGTTCGAATGCGAATGGCGCCGCGCCTGGAACCAAGTGGATTTGTGTGAATGATCCGGAGCCAGGGGTTGAGATTAGCTGTTCTTTTGATGGGGTGCTTCAGATGGAGGTTGCGTAAGGCCTGCGCATGGGAGTACTGTGAGATGCGCGTCACGTTGCTAATGTGGGATTTGTTTTCATTCTCAGGGACGCTTTTCCTGTTCATGTACGTCCATTGTTTTCGGGGATAGAAGTAATATAGTAATATTCCTTTTCCAAATCCTTATTCCCTTGAAATTATTCGCACTCCAAAGTTAGCACCTTATATTCAGCGTCTTCACCCTTCAAAGGTCCAAGACTTCAGGATATGTACTCTTCAAATCCTAATAAAAGCTTCGTCTCCAAACTGCCTAGATATGTCTCTCCGAATCTGGCTCAATAGCCTTGCGAATACCTCACAGCCGAAAGTCAAAGCGCAAACGGCGGTCTTGTGATATCCTGGTAGTAATTGTGTCAGTGGGATTCGTTAGTAAATACGAGGTATATCCCGACCTGACTCGGTTCGGGAAGAGATCACCATCAATAGCCAATGAAGCCTCCTTAATTCATTTGGCCAAGATATTAGATTTTCTTAAATATCATAAATCACTCCGAATACGAGTGTCAGTCACTCTCCACCCATACCCCAACAGCGCGAGACACATATAAGCTCATCTCTACCCCAACTTCCCACTTAGTGATCTACAGCCAACAGACATGACGCGCTTCTCCTTCCTCCTGCTGGCCTCGGCCATCTCCCTTACCACAACAGCATCCAGCCTCAAGCGCGATACTCTCAAGCCTTTTCAAAATGGCCGCTTCGCGCCATCAAATAATGCATCCACCTCGGTAGCATACGACAACAATCTCCTCCCGCGGTACTACGAGTGCCTACCAGGTGCACATCTGTGCGACGCCGGCCAGTGCTGCGACTTTACCTGCTGCTCGGATGGATCCTGCTGTCCGGCCGCTCAGCTTTGCTACAACGATGTGAAGCCATCCAAGGGACCGACATATTGCTGTGAACTGTATACTGAGAAGGAATGCGATACGAGATGTGTGCCGATGTTGTCGGAGTGTTGTGGTGATGGGTTCTATGTGCGTTCTTTTCTCTCGTGGTTGCTGTGGATGGTGCTAACTGGTGTAGTGCGAGTATGGCTACAAGTGTACTGCGGGTGGATGTGTAGGTCTGACTGATTCCTTGATGCCAGACGTCGTGCTGACATGGACAGTGTAAATGGGGCCATACATGCAGTGGGAGCTATGACGATGACGACGATGTTGGGAGCGGTGGTGGTTCTGAAGATCACGATTCAACGACTTCGTCCACGTCTACGGAGCGTAAAGTGTCTACTACCTCAGAATACACGACTCACACGGAGGCGCACACAAGGACATCCTATTCTGAGACGGAGTCCACGACAGGTTATTCCACGACAGAATCCGAGAGCAGCACTCGAACGCGATCAATGGATACGGATTCCGCATCGGAGACCACTGAGACGGATTCATCAGCCTCAACCTTGACCTCGACCTCGACCTCAACGTCGTCTCGCAGGACGACGACAGATTTTCCCACGGTGTCAAGTTTCACCCCAACCAGGACTTTTGTTCCGGTTCCAGTACCAACCAGTACAGTATCTCTCTCGGGAGCAAACAAGAATAGCTTCTCGAGCTTCAAGATGGGATTGTTGGTGGTCGTGGCTGCAGTTGGTTGGTATTTTACACTCTGATCCGCGGACTAACACAATCCCCCTGGGTGCATCTCTAACCAATGTAAATATCAAGTGGTGGCCAGATGGTATGATCTCCAATGCGGAAATGAAATTGTACTAGTTTCTCATGACTCAGTTAAGTAGAAGATTTCATCGCCATTGGCAGGGGTATCTATGTGACGGTGGCGTTCAAGACAAGCCGATCATATGCACAAGGCAACGCCACAAGCACAAGAAGAAATTCCTGCACTAGGAGTGGTTGTGGAAACTAGACTACAATCTCTCTCCTTGATCCGACTGCCTTCCAGAGAACAAGCAGCCAGTGATTGCTGTGCTGCTGGTTACACAACCTAAGCAAGGGGTGCTCTGGGGAACGTGCATGATGCAAGGCATTGAAACCCAGCCGTGTCCGCGAATGATATTGGCCTCGAGACAAAAGTATAAATTCCGCTGGATTGCCAGCCAGAGCTGTTCATTCTTCATCACTGAGTATAGGTTCAAGTCTACTATCCCCAATGTAAGTCGGCGCTCCCCTCCCTAACATCAGTAAACTGACCTTACAGATCAAGATGCAATTCAGTCCCCTTCTCACGATTTTTGCGCTGGCGGCGGTTGCTTTCGCTCAATGTAATTCTTTCCTTTTGCCTTCCTAGCTCGTGGTTAACATTACTAGACGATGAACCCTGTGGCAGTGCCAAGAGGTGTGAAGCCGATTGTCCCAGCAATGATTTCTTCCCTATGATTGATCAGTGTGATCTTGTGGACGGCAAGCCAGACTGCTATGTCAATTTCTACTGTGCTTAAGCCTTGGAGGACAATATCAGGACAGAAGGATGGTTAAACATTAGCTTAGTTAGAATAACCAATATCCGCCTTAACTGCCGGGATAAACTATTTACGGCGGACTATTTGTACAAAAGGAACTTTTGGTTTTTTTACAATGATTACATCTCACCATAACCACCCTTAGTACGGTCGCACGCACTGCACTATCCCTAGTATAGCAAAATCAAAACTTCTCGCGGAGGTAAGCAGATATTCAACTAAAAAGCTTCAATCTTAACTAAATGCCGGGTGGCTCAGTCAGGTAAGCCTGGTAGATATCTAGGTACATGGTGGATGATTAAATAGAACCCTTATTATGACCAGAGGCATTCCATGCCTGTGGTGAAATAATATATTAATATGATACCCTTAGGGGTACATAGATATCCATACTTTTTTGTATGGTAACTGATGTATCTAGATGTCAGGTCTTAGTATAGAAAAAGATTTTCTCTAACAGCGACAGCTGGAAATGAACCTGGGACCTCCAGATAATGGATTTTTTTTAATATTTAGTATGACCTGGCGCGTTCAGTAGTGGATTTATATGGGGGTACCTTGCTAGTGATGGTTCCTTAACCTTATTATACCTGAATATATTGTTAAGGTGTGGTAACACTATATATCTATGAAAAACAAAGGAATCTAGATAGGGAGGATGCCTGTGTTAGGACTATGCAGCAGCTATTTACCTAAGTATTATACACTAATCTGACCCTTTTCACTGTACGAATGCATCTGTAATAGAACTAAGATAATCTAGAGCCTATAAACTATTAAAAATAACTAATTTATAGCTGTAAATTAATTAAAGCTATATATATAAAGGATATACTACTTAATATAGTACTTATATTTATAAGGTTCACTATTACCTTTAAAAGCTATATTAATTATATGACTGAGCTGGTGTCCTAGCTAGATATGACTATATTAGTGCCTAAGGCATATATAAGTACTATATATTACATGACTAAGCTGATGTCCTAGCTAGATATAACTTTACTAGTATCTAACATAGACCTATGAGTGCTCTAGTAAGCTTGAGCACCTAGTAGGCCTTGCCTATTATATTAATAAGGTTAAATACTATACTTTACTATAGAAAAGACCCTATCCTTAATACTTTTAGCCTTATAATTAATAATAATATAATCTATACTAAGGCTTATCTCTTGCCCAGCCCTAATATTTAGTTTAGTAGAAACTAATATAACTCTCCTAGCACTAATAGTTATTAGGATCTCCATGGTAAGGAATTCTACCTACTATATAAGTAGCCCTAAGAAACACTATATAGCTATATACTATTTAAAGAATAGTCTGATAAAGGGAAATGCATGATAGCTAAATAACTTAAATATTAAATTTAGTATAATAATATCTATATTAGGAGGTTAAGCTTAGTATAGTAGCTTAGATAATAGGGATATATTCATGCTATATACTCACCCATAGCTTGCTTCCTCTATATTTAGTTAGTAGGTATATCTAAAGTTACTAACTATCTAAGTAGCCTATTAGTCTCTACTACCTTAGCCTCTACCTATATATATACCCTCTCTACCTCCTTATTCTATTACTATAGTTCCTTAGATTACTACTATAGGTTCTCTATAAGGTCCTAATATAAATGCTATTACTAAAGTTAACTATCTATCTCTAGTAGTATACTACTTATTATTAGAGGAGATAATTACTAACTCTTAGTTTTAGTTAAAGCTTAGGGAGATGATTACTAACTTACTACTTTAACTAAAGCTTAATAGATTAGTCTTATCTACTAAGAGATATTCTCTCTTACCTTAGAGGACTCTAATATTAAGGCATAAGCCTTTAACCCTTTCTTTATTAGCCACCTCTTAATAACTAGTTCCTTCTTAATAACTAGTTCCTTCTTAATAACTGGTTCCTTCTTAATTACCTTTCTCTTCTTCTTTAGTGCCTCCTCTTCCTCTAAGTCCTCTTCTTCTATATTAGTAGCTAGCTTATGGTTTGCTACACAAATATATACATTAAAAGGTTTATTTTAATTAGGCTTCTCTATCTTTTTCTTTAAGTCCTGTGGGGCTTTACCCTAGTGAAAGTACCTAGGAAGGATCTTATTAAGTATTCCATCCTAGATACTTAGCCTAAGGTGCTTAGGACCTTATTTTACCTAGAATATAGGTAAAATAATCACTTCCTTAGCTTCTTATATATACTATTCTATAAATCCCCTGTGTTTATTAATAAGGTTATTAAGGAAGTCATGCATGGTTTTAAAGGTCTAATTTAGTAGGATACTTATACTAAATAATGCTAAGGCTTATTAGATAATTATATAGAATAATACTAGGTTAAGCTTATACTTACTACTAATAGGTTTCTAATCCCTATATTTTTTAATACTATAATTATCATAGATTATACCTGTCTAGACTTTAAATAAAACCTCCTATAACTATTTTATCTTCTCTCTTTCTTTTTTACTCTATGTTAGTTATCCGCCACGCAAGCTAAGAGGTGGATATCTAGTATTTAGTTAAGTAGAAGTAACCTCCTAGGCATTCCTCTTCTATACCCTTATAAGGCTACTAGTCCTGTCTAGTAGTATTCTATATACTAGAAGTAGACTCTCTAGATCTAGCTTTATAACCTCCTAAGTAAATATTACTGGTGGACTGCTAATCACTTTAATATCTAAATTAAGTTTATATATCTAATACTTATTTAGGTTTGCCTTACTACATTAGGGATAGGCATCATTATTTATACTATTAATATTATGCCTATACTTAGGCTATCTAGGGTAAAAAGATGTCTATAGCATTTAAGGATAAGAATAAAGAGTTAAAAATAGAGGAATAGAGGTAGTAACTTAGGCACTATATAAAAAGATATTAGTTATCTTATATAATTTCTTTAAGCTACTAATAATTATTATATCTCTTCTATATATTTCTATGCAAATCATGATATACCCTAAGTCTTAGTTAAATATAGGAAAGTATATTTAATAGTCTAAATCCTTTTATTACTTTTATCTACTTTGTGACTAGAATTGCATATAGAGTGGATTCTATAGAGATTAGTTACTTATACTAGTACTATTTAGGTATAGCTAACTATAGGCTAATATTATAAGTAGCTACTTAATAATATCCCCCTTTCTAGCTACATCTATATTAAATTTTTAGTTTATAACTTTGTTTTCATGATAAAGATGGTTTGCTAAATAATTAATTTAGAACCTTATAAGAATAAGATTATTAAGATAGCTATAAAATAAATTATATTATCTTGCATATCTGCCTATTTATAGGATAAACATGATGTGTCTATAAATAGGAAGACTATTAAATACTAGCTTCTATAATAGGGTGTCTAAAGAAATTTAAGGCTTGAAGATAATTTAGTTATCTATGCTAGAATTATAGTATTATTTTACTAATACTACCTATTAGATAAGAATATTATAATGATTCTGGAGAAAGAGGGGTATTAAATTAATACTAGAGGCCTTACTAAGCTTTATTAATAGATGGGCCTCCTGAGATGAATTAATCTATATAACTAAGAGGAGGCTAACTGGGCAACTTTAGCTATTATATAGAAGGAGCTGGATAATAGAAGTATTAAAGGGTTAGGCTATAGCCTGCTATATATATATTTTAGAAATAAACAGCATCTTGCTTCCTGGTATATCTTATTTTCTATGATTATTATAATAAGTGTAATATTATATTACTAACTTTAGTAGTGATTAACTCTTTGCTATAGTATAAAAGCTAGATCCTAATAGAGTTACCTGCTAACTAAATGACCTTTAATAATATTATGGTGAATATATTATCCCTAGGCTGAATTACCTCTGGTTAATTAATGGATACTATAAGCTGCAGTTTTAGGGTATAGATGTCTATACTGCTATTAATGCATACTCTTACTATATTATCTAGATATATATTAGCATCTTAAATCACACAGCTGTTAGTGTTCTTTAATAATATCTTAATACTTTATATACACAGCGTGTCTTACCACAGATCTTATATGCTAATAGAGGTGTTAAAATAACTTATATTATATCTACTTACTATGCCTTTATCTAAAAGATTTGACTAGATGCTTCCTTTAGGGGTTGCTTTTAATATAGAATAAGCACTGTGAACTAGTAGATTAAGGTATGATAAGGTTAGTTAATAAAGTCTATTCTATTCCTCTAGTAGGTATATTAATCTGAATTAATAGTAATTCCTAACTTTTATCTAAGCAAGGTTCTAGGACTACTTTATTAAGTTATTAGGAAATAGTAATTTTAGAAAGGACTCCTTAGCTAACTATATTACTCTTCTAGTAATCTATATACCTATCCTTTGCTTAGAGATCTATGGGTTTATCTGCTTATAGAATTCCTATATAATTTACTACTAACCTTAGTAACCTAACTATGTTTCTAGGTAACCTGTCATGCTATATTACTAGCTAGGTAATAGTGTTTAGGACTATAGCTTAGAACCTAATATATCTATCTTAGGAGATCTTTAGGAATAAACCTCTTTATATAGTAAGTATATTTTAATATATTAGTAATCTATTTACTAATAATCTAAAGATGTTGATGACTACTTACCATAATTAATAAAGGACTAATATTAGAATAAGTTTTAAAGGCTTAGCTACCCTCCTATTATTAATAGTTTATAGTGGCTACATGACGGCACCTAAATGCATAAGTAAGCCTATCTTTAATTATATAGGTGTATTTAAGAATATATCACCTCTGGTGAAGATCCTATATTAGAGTAACTTTAAGCACCTACAGGGGCTTAGAGTTGGGAAGGCTTTAATATTATAGAGGTAGATAAGATTAATATCTAGAATAAAGGTCCTAATCACCTAGTGACTGCTAAGGATTTTACTTTTAATAAAGCATAGAAAGTTATAACTATTAGATTCTAAATAATATAAATATTTTACATTAACTACTACTATGG